ACTACACTACACTACAGCAACAACAACTACTACCACTACTACAACTACAACTACTACAACTACTACAACTACTACAACTGCTACAACTACTACAACTACTACAACCTACAACAACTACAACCTACAACAACTAGAACCTACAACAACTACAACTACAACTACAACCTACGACCAGAATTAGAACTAGAACTACACTACACTACACTACACTAATGACATGACACGACACGACACAACAGGACACGACACGACACGACACGACACAACACGACACTACAGTACATTACACTACAGTACACTACAGTACACTACAGTACACTACAGTACACTGCAGTACACTACAGTACACTACAGTACACTACAGTACACTACAGTACACTATAGTACACTACAGTACACTACAGTACACTACAGTACACTACAGTACACTACAGCACACTACAGTACACTACCGTACACTACCGTACACTACCGTACACTACCGTACACTACCGTACGCTACACTACCGTACACTACACTACCCTACACTACACTGCACTGCACTGCACTGCACTGCCACTGCACTGCACTGCACTGCACTGCACTGCACTGCACTCCACTCCACTCCACTCCACTCCACTCCACTCCACTCCACTACACTACACTACACTACACTACACAACACACACTACACTACACTACACTACGCTACGCTACGCTACGCTACACTACACTACACTAGACACACTACACTAGACACACTACACTACACTACACTACGCTACGCTACACTACACTACCCTACCCTACACTACACTACACTACAGCTACACTACACTACACTACACTACACTAACTAACTACAACTACAACTACAGCTACAACCACACTACATTGCTCTACACTACACTAATTACATTATACTACACTACACTACACAACACTAGACTACACTACGCTACTTACATTTCACTACATTTCACTACACTACACTTCACTACACTACACTACACTCAATTACACTACACTTCAGCTACGGCTACAACTACAACTACAGTATATTACACTACACACGCTAATTACATTACACTATACGAGTTGGATTGCGGTACAGTACACTGCATTATACTACGCTAAAGACAGCAACAACAACAACAACAACAGCTACAACTAACAGTTTAACATTACGCTACACCACAATGCACTACGCTAATTACATTTCACTACACTACACTCCACTCCACTCCACTCCACTCCACTACACTACACTACACTACACCCCACTCCACTCCACTCCACTCCACCCCACTCCACTCCATTCCACTCCACTCCACTCCGCTCCGCTCCACTCGACTCCACTGCACTCCACTCCACTCCACTACACTACACTACGCTACACTACATTACACTACACTACACTACACTACACTACACTACACTTACGCTACGCTACGCTACACTACACTACGCAAAGCTACGCTACGCTACACGACACTACACTACACAAACTACATAACTACAACTACAACTACCGCTACACTGCAACTACAGTACACTACACTACACTACACTACACTATATAACACTACACCACACCACACCACACTGCACTGCACTGCACTGCACTACACTACACTACATCACACTACACTACACTACACCACACCACACCACACCGCACCACACTACTCTACACTACACTACACTACACTACACTACACTACACTACCCTGCACTAACTACAACTACAACCACAACTACAACTAGGCTTCTTTAGGCTGCACTAGACTACACTACACTTCCCTACGCTACATTGCATTACGCCCATTACACCACCACAAATGCATCTGCAACTACACTACACTATTTACACTACACCACAATTACAACTGCACTACCCTACAGCTACAACTACAGCTGCGCTACACCACTCTACATCCGCAGTTGTGGGTGAGGTGACTGACGAGGTGACCATTGCAACCATTGTAACCACTCCAAAATAGACAACTCCAACCACTTTTCAGTCCATCAGTGGATTCGCTCTGCCATCCGTGATTCGCAACAACCAAGCTTTCCTATAGGTTTCCTATTCTGAAACTTCCGCCACCGCCTTGTGCGGCACCACCGGTAGATGAAATTCTAAAGAAAACTGAAATAACATCTTAAATGAAAACCCGAAGGAAACCATACATGAAACCCTGGAAAAACACAAAAATCCGTAAATGACACCCTAAAGATCCCTAAAAAAACCCACATGAACATTTGAACCACCAACATATAATAAATACCGCAACTGGGAGGTTGAAGTGCCACAAATATAGTAAATACCATGCAAAATGGAAGGTGAACGTGCCAAAACGTAGCAAATACCATGCAAAATGACAGGTTCAGTTCCAAACTGTTGCAAATACAAGGCAAATGGTACCAGGAAAAAAATCCACAACAAAATCCCAAACCTTATCAAAAAAAATCATAAAACTATTCTTCATCCAAAAACAGCGGGCAATCCTGCAAGAAGTGGTCAGCTTGCGGATTGGGGCATACAACGTGAGAAATGGGGGAAACCAGATGTTGATATCCCCCATGGAAAAAGAGTTTGTGCGTCCGTTAGTTTCTTGTCCATTCCAGTTGGCGAACTTATGAGTTTTGAAACATGGAACAAAAAAACCGCCGTAGAATTGCAAAAAAGGTGGATGGATCAAGAGCATGTGTGAGTCCGTTTTGTATTGTTGGATAGCAGGGTATGAGTTGCATGGTTGCACTTTGGGGCATCGTTTGGTTTTCAAAACAAAAATGTATTGAGTTTAGTTTGTGCACATGCTTTCATGGCCACCATGATTCTTTGGTTGAAACGGACACTACCGGTCTGCTCTTTGTGAGCACGCGTTGTACACAGCAACATCACAACAAGGAATTGAACGAAACAACTTCAGAATTCATGCGACTAAACCTTCAATGTCTGCCAAACCGTCCGACGGATGTGGATCAAACAATCAAAACATAGGATACCAATGTTTATTTTCGGGAAGGGAACATAGACATCTTGTCTCGAGTGTAATGTATTTTCATTTGGCGACTAAGTGCAAATTTTTGCCTCCTTGGAACTGGGATCATGTTACATTTTTTGCATGTGAGAAATGCATGCATGTCAGACCATTTTTATCACGGCAGAACACCCACTTGCACCATGTTTTCAGGGGGTTGTTTGGTTTGGATTCAAGGTTTTCGTGCTCAAGGTGCCTCTGAAACGTGCAAATTTAATCAAATTTATTGATTGAGACTCGCATGACTATCTGAACATAGTGAGGTAGCGGCAGCAAACAATAGGGCAAATGGATGGCAATGCAAAAACCCAATTTTTTTAATCACAACAAATTTGTTCGACTATTGCGCATCGTAGTTTCTGCCAGGCCAGTTGATACAGACGATATTCAACCATCCATGGGGCCAACATGATATTGAACAATAGCCGCCTCAATTTCAAACTTCAACCATCCACATGATGGTCCAAAAACATTGATGTTCATGAGTGCGGTTAGTTAACAATCAAAATGTACCAACCATTGTCTGATGGGTTCAGGGCTCAGTCAGTGCGCTGAAAATTCAGTCAAATTGTTGAACAGAGGCCACCAAACTGATGTGCACCAACAAATGTGTGACTGAGGGTGCCGCCAATCTCAACTATTGGTTTTCGCCTTGGTGATTTTCAGTTTATTGCATAATTTGTTTTTTTTCTTGGCGGGTTCTTTATCAGATCTTGAGGTTGGCAAGCACCACAGGACCTCCAGAAATTCTTGGAGGGATTTTATCAATATTTCGAGGCACATGATCATTCACAAATGTTACTTTGCCAGCAGTCTCTTCACTCGTGATCTTTGGTCAGGTAAAAGGTTTTCGTGGCATTGTTGCGCTTCACGTTTCGTGCAAGGGCTTAGTTTCTGATCCATAATTTTTCAAATCTTTTGCTCGACATGTATCGATGACTTTGTGTGTTGCCGAGGCACATTATTGCTCTCAGCTTCACCATTGTGTTCTCGTTTGTTTTGTCGCACTCACAGGTTTTCATGATCGTGAACCGCAATTGGTTTTGATGCTTGTGATTTTGATGCAGAAATATTTTTGTTTGCGTGTGTTGCAGCTGTGCTACTTGCCACTGAGGCTGTTCCTCATCGATTGGGAGGCTATCTTGTCCTGTGATTCCGAGGAGCGAAATCCTTAGAATTCTTGACCTATCTGAATCTGTGAGAGCTTTGATCGTTGTGTAAAAAAATCAAATATTTTTGATCCCAATGTCAGGTCTTGCCAGTCTTTGTCGATTTGGTATGCATGGCATTGGCAGAATCTGGGACTCCGTCGCTGGCTTGTGGCTACCTCAGGAAACACAAAATGCTTTGGATCTGAATGTTGCAAGCAGCAAATTGGGATGGACTGAGGTGCTGCTTTCCACTTTGATATTCAGTTTGTACTGGGGCTTCAATGCACCTCGGAGATTCGGATTTTTGCATCATACAGTATGAAATTGCTTTGCATTTGGAAATCGGGATGGCATCGATTCATTTGCCCCATTACTGCTTCCCAAAACTGTATAAAATTGTCAAACAGTGTGCCGTGACGGGGATCTGATCTTAACAATTTCGTAATTTTGTTTTACATGTATACTGTATACACAAAGGTGGCCTTTTTGCTGCACCATGAGGTATATCAGATGGTTTTAGTCTGCATGCAAGCGTGTCAGATGAGAAGCTTCTACAAGGAGTACATGATTTGTGACAAAGTCAGGAGTACAGACAGATGTACATATATACTGTACATCTATATCTATCAAGATCTCAAAACCATTACCTTGACATATGTATGTATATAAGTAGTACGTACCTACATACACAGCAGGTTGATCTGTGCTGTAAATGGGTCTCGACTGGTGGGGTTCGTTTGATTCATTCTGTCTTTGCTCATTTGAATCAAGTGAAGCTGTGTGGAGGAGCAGCTCGGTATTGTCTCCGATGAGAGTTTGGAGACAATGCTGTGGTCTGAAGTGGTGTCCAGACTGGTGCAATGTCAAAAGGCAAGAGGCATGGGTGGGTTTCAAACTGTGCGTGTGTAGTCGAGATTCTTATTCGAAGCGTACTCAGATTCACAGTGGATGAACGATTTCTCACTTTCGGATCGCAGGAGACTCGTCTCTGCATTGTGCAAGAGGAGCTTACCGCATTGGAAATCACCAATATCATCATGCGACAGGAGATTCTGCACCCTGCAGCTTTGTAAGTTGTCCCAAGAGGTGAGGCCACCTGATCGTCTTCCTGGTCAGGACAACTTTATCATTGGGCTTACGGACCATGATGCGTGATTCTCAGGTTCACTAGCAATGTCAAGCAAGAAATTTGGGTATTTGAACTCTTTATTCTTGAGTCACGATCGCCTGCAGTATCTGAGGCATTCACGAAGAATTTGCCCAGTTGGATTCCCCGTCGGCTTGTCCGTAGCTCAAGAACGTGCATAGATTCGCCCAGGACATTGACTCCGGTTTTCAGATTCTTCAGCTGGAGTTTACCGCTTTGTTCGCATATCCTCGCATATCTTCGCATGTCTTTGCCACCGAGGTGTACACCAAGGCACCTCTCTGGAACATTTTGCTGGCGATCTTCCCACCTGTTGGAGTCAGGGCCGCAGCTTTCGCAGCGAAACCCGTAGCTTTCGTAGCTTTCGTAGCTTTGGACCTTGGGCAAATCCTTGGCCATCCTTGGCCACTGTCGGTGGAGACCTGCAGGCAGAAGCCTTGGATCATCGTGGCAGACTGCGGCAAGAATTCCTCGACAGACCCGAGGCCTTGTTGCACCTAGTTGTCCAAGTTGTCAAAGTTGTCCAAGTTTTTCTAAAATATTTGCAACCAACCTATTCAGGCTTGGACGATTTGAACTAAAGCTTGGCATTCCTTGCTCCTACCCTCGGGCTTTGGCATTTGGGCTCCAAGACGGTATAGGTGGTAAATCCTTGATCCAAGTCCTTCGCCATGGCGGTTGGAAAGAACAAGCGACTCACCAAGGGTGGGAAAAAAGGCGGTAAGAAGAAGGCGGGCGATCCTTTCCTTCGGAAGGAGTGGTATGACATCAAGGCCCCCAGCATGTTCAGCGTGAGAAACTGCGGTAAGACCTTGGTGTCTCGAACTCAAGGAACCAAGATTGCCACAGAGGAGCTGAAAGGCCGCGTGTTGGAGGCCCGGTGTGTACTGTTCGGCTCATACTGTTCGTCGGGGATGATTTATTATGATTATTATGAATATTTGCGGACTCTGATCAAACCGCTTGCGATTTTTGCTGTCAGAAGTCAAAAGTAGTTCATCCTTGATGCGAGTCTCTGCACGGTGCTAGGTGAATCTTGCGGACCTGAACAATGATGAGGATCAGGCCTCCAAGAAGATTAGGCTTTGCATCGAAGAGGTCCAGGGTCGCAGCTGCCTCACCGACTTCCATGGCATGACTTTGACCCGTGACAAGATTTGCTCCCTCATCAAAAAGTGGCAGACGTTGATTGAGGCGCACGTTGATGTCAAGACAACTGACGGCTACGTGGTCCGCCTCTTTTGCATTGCCTTCACCAAGCGTCGTCCAGACCAAGTGAGAGCCAATTGCTATGCTCAGTCAGCTCAGATTCGCAAGATTCGCAAAAAGATGGTGGAGATTATGACCGCAGAAGCGAGCAAGGTGCTTCCACTGCAGATCTCAGGCAATATTGTGCTATTGTTGCTTCTCATTCTTTTTGGTTTTGCAAAATGGTCTCTTTCTCATGATTTCCCAAGTCTGCAAACCAGGTGCAGCTCCGAGAGCTTGTGAAGAAGCTGATCCCGGAGTCCATCGGCAAGGAAATTGAGAAGCAAACCCAGGGGATCTTCCCTCTGAAGGATTGTTTCTGGTTGGTGCTTTCAGCGTTTTTCTTTGCATTTGCATTGTTTTTACCATCTTACATGGGATGATGATCCCAGCCGACAGATTTTATTTTTGAAGGGTGACTGAAACACCAATCAGGTTTGATCCGGAAGGTGAAGATTTTGAAGAAGCCCAAATTTGACATTACCAAGCTGATGGAGCTCCATGGTGATGGCGGTGATGACGCTGGTGTCGAGATGATGCGCCCAGAGGCAGATGATGCCATGAACACGTTGACTGCGGATGTTACCGCAGCTGCGGATGACGAGTGAAGTGACTGAGAGGAGTCTAGAAACGATGAACAGTGTAGAACTCTACAGAAAGGAGAGTTGAATCTTTCCTATGGGCAACGCAGGTCCGTGATGCTAGTGCAACCCGTCCAACGATAGGATTTCAAAGCCACCTGATACAAAAGAATGTGAGTGCCTGCTGGGAGCAGAGGGCTTTTGCAGGCACTTGATTTGAAAGTCAGAAGCCACTACCACAACCAATCTGTGCACATGGTGTGTGTGTGTTGATGTGTGCGGCTGGCGCTGAAGCACCGCAGGTGCTTGCACGCAAGTTTAGATTTCTTGCGCTGTCAGAGACTCACACAAATGGTTTGCCAAATAAGGCCCGAATTTCCACAGCTGCAACTACTATTATAATCTATCATGTACAACTTGTTCTTCTTTTCTTTTATTTTTACACTCCAGTACATCTTTTACATTTTCCAGAGGTGCTTATGTTACTTGTGTTGTTTTTCCTCTTCAGCGATTGCATCCACGGATTTGCCAAGGATCAATTTAGTCCTGCTGCTTCCCGTCTCAATGTTTGTTGGAGTCTACTTCTTCATGCGCCGTCAGCTTAACGAGGGGTCATTATATCCTCATTTGTTGTGTCTAAGGCAAGGAAGAACAGATGAGAACTTGTCTGACACTCCTGGCGAAAGGTCATGCCCAAGAGTTTCGTTCACAGCGGACATCGCCATTCAGGAAGCAGTGGTCCGACTATGCAGGAGACTGAGGTATTCGATCCATACAGGTAAAGTCCAGAAAGATCGTGATTGACAGATTGACAATTCTAATCAGGTAGAGAGCCTGCTTTTGATTTCAGGCCTACTGGACATTTCGAGAATACAACGAGTTGCCCCACCAGGTTGATGTCAGGTCCTGAGAACATGTTCCAACAGAGTTGTCTTTTCTTCTAATCGTCCCGGTCTACCCTCAGTGCCCGAAGCCAGGCCAGAATGTGTACAGCTCAGGGAGCTGCAGAGGACGGAGCTTTGGTGGCTGTCGTGATGTCAGCGGTATGCTGTATACCACTTGGTTCTTTTGGGGTTGATGCCGTTAATGCCGTTGATGCCGTTGATGCCGTTGATGCCCATTGTTACTTGATGCTGCTTGCACTGCTGGAGGCGTACATCCATGCCACAAAACCCACTTCGCCTGTGCTCAAGTCTTTGCTTCGGTGTGCCAAGTTCATCTCAGGACGTGCTTGGAACCTCTTGTCTCTTCCATTCTTGGGATGGGTCCCAGTTTTGCCTTTGAAGTCCCCCGAATTTCACTGGTTGAAGCCTTGTTCTGTCAGAGGATTTGTATATTTTGTATGCCATTGTAGGCAAGTTGCGCGGGAAACTTTCGCAGGATCCATCCTGGCGGCACTGCTTCTCGTGGCCTTATGGGATGATTCTTGCCGAAACGTGTCATGTCATGTCGTCGTGTCCATGTTGTACACGAATTTCCTGAAGACTTGGCTTCTGGCCATGAGGATACTCCACTTCTCTTCGTCAAAGTTCAGGCAGGCATCAATCTGGAACCCTCAAGAACCAGAATTAAACTTCCCAGACTAACCATTTGCCAAGTAGGAATCTTCTCTAGAAGAATGAAACCACCGTTTAAGCCGCTTGCTTTGGGTTCCAGCGAGCTGTCCAGTCAAAAGGTTGCATATTGGCAGTCCCAAGATCATAGCGTAATATTCTGTAGTCTTGATTTGTTCAGGAGAAAAACCTGCTGTGGTACCTTGCTTTTTTTGGTGGCTTTCTCAGCTTTAGGTGTCAAAGAGTCAATCTTTTTTTGAGACCCGCATAATTGTTTTTTTCTATACTGTAATTGATTGTAGTTGTGGCCCAAGGTTTCGTATTTGCAGTTGTGGACAGTGCCGGCGAGGAAGATTCAGGAGTTGTGGATGGCACGCTCGTGATTTGTGTTTTTGTCATTTTTTAAGCATATCTAAGCTGCGTGGCCGTCGATTCCCAAGTGTTCACCTGATCAAAGGAGACTCTGAAGGCCAGCTATGTTGCTTTTTGGGCATTTCTGTCGAGCAGTTCGGCTGAGCATGACACATTTGGCCAGATTCAGGCAAAGGATCTGGCTCTGAAGCTTGTTTGCATGCACTTAGCACTCCGTGCGGGCCTTTATTTGGGAGTCTTGGACTCTTCAACTTGGCTCTGCTGGAGAGTGTGTTTATGCCCTTTAGAAACTTAAGGCTCCGGATGTATGTTGCGTTGATGAAAATGGTGTCCTGCCTCATCCTGAGTTTGAACTTTCAGACTATTTGCTTGAATGGAGGTTGCATGGAATTCTGAGGCACGCATTATTTGCCTGGAAGCTGGCGCTCTCCAGCAAAGATCACATCTTTAGCAGGATCCAGGGCAAGATGTGAGGGATTTCTGGTGAAAAGTCTATATAGATAAGAACTCAACCATGAGCAGCTTCAAGGACCACATTTTTTTTTTGTCTTTTCCGACAGGGGCAAACATCAAGTGACGAAAGGCATATTCTGTTGATTTTTTAAATGTTACTTCAATGGAACTTGGGAAGATAATCGTTTTTTTGACACGATGACGTGATGGAGCTTCTCGGCGGAGTTTGTACGCCTTTGCCATATCCAGAAGGCTCTTGCAGTCCCCTCACATCCAGCTTTCTGAATGATAAGGACACAAGTAATCATCATTTCGTCTACTGAAACTTGTCGAATATTTCAGGAGCATGCAGTGGTCTTCGGCGTCAGAGCCTGATTTAAGATATTTAAGTGTCGAATAGATTCGAGCGAAAGTTCTGCAGCTCGACATGTGAACCCATGCCTTGTTTGTCTTGTACCCTCTGGTAATTTAACATAGCTATTGAAAATGACCACAGAAATAGTGGATTTTCCCATGAAAAAAGGTGGATCTTTCCATAGTTATGTAACAGTTTACCAGGCCGGGTATGTCTTGTGCCCATTTTAGGTGCCACTCTTTGCAAGCACTTTCGCCGTGTACGCCAGGACTTCACTGAAGTACGGGAAATTGGGATTGTTTGGGAAGTGCTTCCCCAATATCCACATCGTTCTATGATGTTCTATGTCATGTATATATATAATTATCTATGTATATCTATACATACATATGTACTGTATGACTGTATACCGTTACATCATGTGCTCATTTACTGTTCGTGGAGCACTCTCGCTTGTGTCGAGCAAGAGTTCCAGACTTTTATTTTGCATTTCAACATTTAATGTCTTGAATACCAGACTCACCCTTTCTCCTTCATAGAAATTCTGAGTACTAGACGCAAAGACGAAGCCCAAGCCTGTGTGTAAGGCCGTCTCATTGGGGCGGAGGATTTTCTGGTTTGAACCAGTGAACAGACCTCTAGAACTGTAATAAGGATCCTGGTTCTCTACAGAGTGACATTATATATATATAAGTTGTTATAAGTTACATATAGGATCTGTGTATATGTGCGTACATACGGCCCAGGGTCTGGTGGTCCCCCCTGACATGGGTGTGTCTGTACGCATGCAGTATTTGTATGTGCAAATATATACAGTATGTATATGTATCTGTATATGTATATGTCAATGTATCCCCCTGTGGATGTGGTGCGGGGTTGGGGGGTGGGGGAGGGTAACCTCCATACCATATGGTGGGGGGGGCCGTGAACACGAGACACGGGACCACACACTATCTATGTATGTATGTATATGGATGGATGGATGTATGTAATGTAATGTAATGATGGATGTATGTAATGTATTGTAATGTATTGTAATGTATTGTAATGTATTGTAATGTATTGTAATGTATTGTAATGTATTGTAATGTATTGTAATGTATTGTAATGTATTGTAATGTATTGTAATGTATTGTAATGTACTGTAATGTATTGTAATGTATTGTAATGTATTGTAATGTATTGTAATGTATTGTAATGTATTGTAATGTATTGTAATGTATTGTAATGTATTGTAATGTATTGTAATGTATTGTAATGTATTGTAATGTATTGTAATGTATTGTAATGTATTGTAAAATTGTAATGCATTGTAATGCATTGTAATGCATGTATGCATGTATGTATGCATGTATGTATGCATGTATGGATGTATGTATGTATGTATGTATGTATACATACGTGCATAGATACAAAGATACATAGATACATAGATGCATAGATACACAGATATATAAATGGATAGATACATAGATACATAGATGCATAGATGCATATATATATAGATACATAGATGCTTCGATACATAGGTACATAGATAGATAGATACATAGATGCATAGATGCATAGATGCATAGATACATAGATACATAGATAGATAGACAGATAGATAGATAGATCGATAGATAGATAGATAGATAGATACATACATAGATACATAGATACATAGATACATAGATACATAGATACAGTAGATACATAGATACATAGATACATAGATACATAGATAGATGCATGCATGCATGCATGCATGCGTTCGTGGGTGCGTAAGTACATACATGCATACGTACGTATATACATTAGATTACATTACATTACATTACCATACATTACATACATTACATTACATTGCATTACATTGCAGACATACATACATCAATACATACACCAATACATATATCAATACATGCATCAATACATGCATCAATACATGCATCAATACATGCATCAATACATGCATCAATACATATACCAATACATACATCAATACATACATATATGAATGCATACATCAAAACGTACGTACCTCAATACATAAATCAAAACATACATCAGGTACATACATCAATACATACATCAACACATCCATACATCAATGCATCAACACATCCATACATCAATACATCAACACATCCATACATCAATACATCCATGCATCAACACATACATAGATACACACATAGATACACACATAGATACACACATAGATACATACATAGATACAAACATAGATACATACATAGATACATACATAGATACATAGATAGATACATAGATAGATACATAGATACATACATAGATACATAGTTAGATAGATAGATAGATAGATAGGTAGATAGATAGATAGATAGATAAATAAATAGATAGATAGGTAGGTAGATAGATAGATAGATAGATAGATACATGCATATGTACGTACGTACATACATACGTTGGAATATATACACACTGTATATATATATATTATACATACAAATGTACCGTCATAATACAGTACACGGGTATGTACCGATATTTTTGTATAGATGCTCTCTCTATATGGAGTAATTGTTTTGAAAGTCAACCCAGGGATTTGTGAGGCATTTTCTTGATGTCCTGCCGGCCCCCAAGCAGGAGCTACTCTGCGACTTCTTGTTGCATCGCATTCAAGCTCTTGCAGAAGAACTGCTGGGTGTTTTGGCCAATCCTTTGCTACTTTGGTGTCTGTCGGATGCTGCAGCTGAAATTGCCAGAACAATGCGATTGCTGCAGCATTCAACTCCGGCTCTGGGAGACTGGTGTGTATATGGCTGCTTGGATCCAACACTCTGCGGGGATTCTTTGATTTCACTTGATGGAAGGCAGGCATATCCCGGTTTCCGTTCTGCGGACAACCAGACCTTTAATGAGAAGCTGGATAAATCGGTGCTGTCTTTCCTGCTGAATCACCAACTGCTCTGGTTTCCAGATGATGGGGGTCCTGATGATTGCCGGCCTGCCGATTATTTTCACGATTTTTATTCTCCTCCTATTTGCAGTACGCGAGCCAGTCGTTCTTCTTCTCCACGAAGCATACCCTCACATCCATCCCATGGAATTCCACTTCAAGACTTCGCGAGCGACCCAAGATGCAATGGAAAGAGCACAGGGTCACATGCAGCAAACGCAGTGTCAAACGCAGCGTCAAACGCAGTGTCATTGGAAATGACAGAGACTTTGGAGTGGCACGCAGATGGCCCTCCGGGGGAAGCGTCCTCGATGCCAAGCGACGACATGAATGGTGGAATTGAAGGTGCGTTGGAGGAGAGATTACCCATCTCCTGGCACGCAGAGGGCGCGAATGCTGAAACAAAGAAAGAGCCGAACGATTGGGTGTTGACTCACATTCTTGGAGCACCACCGACTGCTACCAAGCTGCTTAAGGAGGTGCAAGAGTTTGAAGAAAGTGAGATGAGGGACAATGGCAGCGGCGAAAACTATTCGATGCTACCAGATGAATTGGTGCGCCTGCCACCTATCACTCCTGGAGCACCGGCTCATATTGCAATTGAGAATGCTGCCAAGTTGGCGGTTGATGAACAGAGACAGGAGACTTTGCAAAACTTTTGCAACACTTTGCAAGGATGTCAAGTCTGCAAGTTTCTTTGATCAGTAGGAATCGTTTCGAGGGATTTGTTTTTTGGGACTGTTTCAGTGCTAGGATGGCTTGGACATGTTTGGTGCGCTCTTCTTTTGGCTTGAGGCAGAGCCGACGTATTTGTGTTTCGCAGCTAGCTATCAGCCAAAGAATGCGTCAGCTGTGAGGCCTTGAGGAAGTCTCATAGAGCTGGTGTAGAAGCCTCAGCAAGCTCCAAAGTCAATACTGTGCCCTCAAGACCACGTAATGAAGTTTTCTATGTTCCAAGGAGGAAACGTCCAATGGAAATGGAACGGTCCTCAGAACTTGCTTGACATCTTTCAAATCGCTTCTTCGGATTTCTTTGGATCGCTTGCATTCTTGCTACGCGCAAAGAATGTTATGTGTATGTTTTTGTTTGCTTTTCTTCGGGTTGGTTTTGGTGCGGTAGGGTGTTGTCAACATTACTTGGAACTTGCAGTTAGGGTGCCAATCTCTGGGTCTGCCAAGTTGAAACTGCAGGAGGAGTCTTTTGCCGGCAGCACTACTCTCAGTCCACGGAAGACGGTGGGTGGTCGCAGCATTTCGAAGGGAGCCACGTGGTACAATGGGCAGTGCCAAGGCCACCCAGATTTCTTGGAGGAGATTTCACCTGAGGATGTGTCTGAAAAGTGGGCACTTGCATTGAATTTGAGCTCTTCCGCAGTCTGCGTCATGACCAGATGCAGCATGTACATGATTTATTGACGGACCTTCATTCTTCAACTTTTCGATGGAAGCAAGAAAGTTCTTTTCTGATGATGATTATGATGATGATGTTGATGATAAAACACATACAGTATCATACTGGAGCTTTTTCTTCTTCCGCAAAAGCAGAGTTGGCGTTTGTCAACATCTCAAGAATGGAGAAGACCGAGTAAGCTTTCTCAAGTGTAAATAGCGTGGTGCCTTGCAGATGGTACCTGTCCATGGGGAAAGTTCCAGAGATGACCTGATTGGAGCAGTGAGTCATTTCTGGACGGAGAAAGAGTCTGACCGAGTCTGACAGTCTGACAGTCTGACATGCTACGCTGCTGCACTCCATTTTGCTGTACTGTGCAGCAACATTGTGTTGATGGAAGGTCGACTTCAACGATTCAACGATTCTCAAGCACAGCTTACAAAGAAGAGCAGTGTAATATCTCAGCTAATGGAAGGAACATCGGCAGAGCAAACATATCGCCGCCTTGGCATAGACATGTTTGCTTAACAAGTTGATGACACATTGTATAGGAAGTTCTCTAAGCCTGTACACCAGAGATTGCCCTGGACACACAGATCTGTGTAAGCTTTAGGTGGACTTTGGTGGCTGCTTCGAGACATAATTTGCATGCAACATGCAATGCTCCAATGAAAGGAACTGCACTCAATTTTTGCATAATGTGCGCATTAGTTGTTGTGGCTCCTGGGTACGGGTGAATAGGAAGCTGACCTTGTTACAGGAGAATCCTGATGGCCAGCAATGCACTTGACTCTCTTTCAATATGGTTTGCAGCAGGCAGTACAGAAAACATCAGAGAAGCGGCAGAAGCATTTGTTTCAGTTTTCCCCGTCAAGATAAGTGTCTCTGCATCGGACTCCAAGGCTGTCACTCTCGAGCAGCCTTCCTGTTGACAGTCGCCAGGCTCAGAAGGAAGATCTAGCACGAGCACTTTATTTAAGTTGGATTTCATCATATTTTATCACATTCATCACAATTTCGAATCACAAATTCATGCAAATCATAGTTGAACCATGTTGAACCTGAATGAACTGCATGTTGCCTAAGGCCGTCCTCCTTGGCCACGCACTCAAGTGCTCGTTGCCTTGCTGGGCAGTGTGACAGCTCCGATGTCAAGGCGGACTTGGCGGACTCGACATTAGGAATTTCGTTTTTACCTCAGATTTTGCAACTTGTCTCCGCATGAGGTCAGTATCATGCACCCTCTCTAATCTTTTTGTCTTATCGAAGGAAGTTTAGAAGTCAAACTTCCGACAATATGGACAGACGAATAAGCAGAGGTCGGAAGAGTCAGAGAAGAGAAGAGAAGAAGAAAGAAGATGCAGGTGCGGGAAAAGGTAGAAAAGTCGCGAAACACTGTGTTTTTCAAATGATTTGTGGCTCCAGAGGGTCGAAAAGTAGGCTCGCTAAAGCGGCGGGTGCGGAGCCATCTGGGGAGATGAGAGATGAAAAATTGCACACCGTTGTGGCGCGAAGCACATTTCGAAGTCAAACTATGGAGATGTCGAAACATTGCCCTGCGTTGTGGTGCGAAGCACATTTGGAAGTCAAAATGTACAAAACACACCACCGTCAGGGCACTTTTGGAAGTTGAGATGTTCAAAAGTGTGCGAGGTTGTGGTGCGACGCACATTTCCAAGTCAAAATGTACAAACATGTTTGGAGCACTTTTGGAATTTAGGATGTGGTTTTGTGTGGCAGGCGCAAGGATTCTGCACCCTGCTAAAAGTGAGCAAAACGTAAGGGTTTTGCAGCAGTTTCAAAAACGTTGGCAGGCGTGGGACATTTGAAGAGGATCTGCAAAGATGCATTTTGCGTGGCAAGCGCAGTACAAGAGACATGTTCAGCGGACATGCATGTTCAGAGGTCAGGGTGCTGATTTCCTTAGAGGGGTTGCATTTCGGAGCATCAGATCTTCAGGTTTGCGATTTTGCGTGACAGGTGCAGCACTTCGTATGACCTGGCCTCAGATTTTCGTGGCAGGCGCAGCACTTTAGACACATGGACTGGAAAAATTGCAAAACGCATTGGTACGAGGCCGTCGGCTCTGCACTCAACTTTCCATTTTTGAAGGAAGTCTCGCGGAATTCTTGCTTCGTTTTTGATGTTGTCAACTTCGAAAATTGAGGAAGTCTCGCAGAATTGCTTCGTTTTGCATGTTGTCACCTGTGAAAATGGAGGCAGCCTCGCAGAATAGCTTCGTTTTCAAGCTTGCAGATGGACAACTTCAACTTCAACCCCAACTTCAACTTCACTACAACTACCACTACCACTTCCACCACTACACTACACTACACTACACTACACTACATTACAACTACAACTACAACTACAGCTACAACTACAACTACAATACAGCTACAAGTAAAACCCGCACGAGGCGGGTGGCGGAAGTCTCCAAAAGCAAGGAATGTTACAGTATAGGATCGAAAGACAAGTTTTGCCTATAGGAGATGGAGTGACATCTTCTCAACTCTGTTCTGTGAAATTGTCCTCTTCTTGTTTTAGTCTTTTTCAACTGTGGCAACGACTTCTCAGCTCTTCGCACCTCCTCTCAGGTCTCAGCTCTTCTCAAGTGTCACAACTCTTTTCAACAGCTCTCATTTTTTTCATCTCTTCCCACCTCGACTCAGCTCTTTTCACCTTTTCGCCGCTCTTCTCAACTCTTCTCAACTCTTCTGAACTCTTCTCAACTCTTCTCAACTCTTCTCACCTCTTGCCACCTCTTCTCAACTCTTCCCACCTTTTCTCACCTCCGCTCATCTCATCTCACCTCTTTCTCAGCTCATCTCAACTCTTCTCACCTCTTGTCAGCTCTTCTCAACTCTTGCCAGCTCTTCTCAACTCTTCTCACCTCTTTTCACAGAGATACTTTACACAGAGAAACTTTTACACACAGCAAGCCTTTTTCCCCAGAGAAGCTTTTGCACAGAGAAGCCTTTGCACAGACCAAGCTTTTTACACAGAGAAGCTTTTACACACAGCAAGCTTTTGCATACAGTAATCTTACACAGAGAAGCTTTTACACAGAGCAAGCTCTTTCACAGAGAAGCTTTTACACAGAGCAAGCTTTTGCACAGCAAAACTTTTACACACAGCAAGCTTTTACACAGAGAAGCTTTAACACACAGAAGCTCTTTCACAGAGACGCTTTTGCAAAGAGCAAGCTTTTACACAGAGAAGCCTTTACACACAGCAAGCTCTTGCATGGAGAAGCTTCACAGCAAGTTTTTACACAGAAGCTTTTACACACAGCAAGCTTTTGCACAGAGAAGCTTTTACACACACAGCAAGCTCTGACACAGAGAAGCTTTTACACAGTGCAAGCTTTTGCACAGAGAAGCTTTTACCCTTTACACACAGCAAGCTTTTACGCAGAGAAGCTTTTACACACAGAAGGTTTTACACACAGAAACTTTTGCACAGAGCACAAGCATTTGCACAGAGAAGCTTTTACACACAGCACAGAGAATCTGCTACACAGGATGCGCCAAAATGGAGAAAAATCTGCTGCCAAAGCACCATTCGGAACCTTCCTGCAGCCACTACATTACGATTTACGACTCTTAGCTGCAAAAGGCAGTAGTATTCGCAGCCGCGGCGGCGAGGAACCTCAACACAGCCATTCCACAATAGAATTACGCACAACAGTTGCACAAATTGCGGCTCCAAAACCGGATCTCGACGCCAAAGCGGAAAAACGACGATTTTGAAGCACTCTTTAAGAGGGATTTTAAAAGGAAAATCATTTTCGCCAAAATGCAGAAAAATCTGCTGCAAAAGCACCATTCGCAACCATCATGCAGCCACTACAATACGATTTACGACTCAGCTGCAAAAGACATAAATATTACGCACGCAGCCGCAGCAACGAAGAACCTTGGCACAACCATTCCACTTGCATCTGCAAACATTGAGTTGCGAAGCAACAAAGAATTATGCACAACGGCTGCACAAATTGCGGCTCCAAAACCAGATCTCGACGCCCAAAAAAGACGATTTTGAAGCACGGGATTTTAAAAGAAAAATAATCCTTGCCAAAATCGAGAAAAAATTGGCTGCCAAAGCATCATTCGCAACCTGCATGCAGCCACTACAATGCGATTTTCGACTCTCAGCCGCAGAAGGCAATAGTATTCTGCACGCAGCCGCAACAGCCAGAAGCGTTTACGCAGCCATTCCACTGCGATCCGCAGAGACCGAGTTGCAAAACACAATCAGAATCGCAACACATGACCTGGAAACAACTCGCTGTCATGCAGCAGTTCCAGTGCACAAAGCACCTCAACACATGCAAACTAGCAAAGCACAGTGTCAACAGAGAAAGAAAAAAGTCAGCTGGAAGTTTCAATTCCAATGCCAGCGCCGTTCGAGATAGATTCGACTTTAAAGCGGCAATGTCCGCAACCGTGTGCATGGGAGCCAGCTTTTCTCCGCAACGGGACCTCCGTTTACATGAAAAAGCACACTGTTTCGTGCAAATCATAACATTCAGATGGCATCCATGATGTAGCAGTTCCATTGTGATCTAGGACCGGTGATGTGCAAAACAATCAGAATCGCAACACGTGACCTAAGAACAACTCGCTGTCATGCAGCAGTTCCAGTGCACAAAGTACCACAGCACATGCAAACTAGCAAAGCACAGCGTCAACAAAGAAAGAAAAGTCACCTGGAAGCCTTACTTCCAATAACAGCACCGTTCGAGATAGATTCGACTCTAAAGTGGCGATGTCGGGACCCGTCGCGCACGCGAGCCAACTTTTCTCTGCAACGGAACACAATGTTTCATGCAAATCCTAACATTCAAATCGCATCCATGATGTAGCAGATCCAATGCCATTTGCCAACAATGACTTGCAAAACACAATCAGAATCGTAGCTTCTCTGCTCTACTCTACTCTTCTCGACTCTACTCTACTCAACTTCTACCCTTGCTCTACTTTATCTCTACCTCTACCTGTACCCCTACTCCACTTCTACGCTGCTCTACTCTGCTCTGCTCTACTTTACTCTACTTTACGTTTCTCTACTCAGCGCAGCTTTACTCTACTCTACTTCTACTCCTACTCTCCTTCTACTTCCACTCTGATCTACTCTGCTCTGCGTTACTCTATTCCGCTCATCTCTGCTCTTCTCTACGCTACTCTTCTCTACACTACTCTTCTCTACTCTTCTCTACTCTACTTCTACTCTATTTCTACTCTGCTTCTACTCTACTCTACTCTACTCGGCTCATCTCTAATCTACTCTACTCATCTCTATTCTTCTTTAGTCTACTCTTCTCTAGTCTACTCTTCGCTACTCTACTCTTCTCTACTCTTCTCTATTCTACTCTTCTTTACTACTCTCTACTCTACGCAGCTTTACTCTACTCTACTTCTACTTCTACTCTACTCTGCTCTCTGCTGTGCTCTACTCTACCTCTAATCTGCCTCTCTTAACGCAGATGCTAACTGGACACAGTGATCCTTGGGCTAGTGAGAATGTGACTTCATCATCTCTTAAGACACATGCCAACTGGAGACAATGATCTGTGGGCTAGTGAGAATGTGACTTCATCATCTCTTAAGGCACATGCCAACTGGACACAATGATCTTTGGGCTCGTGAGAATGTGACTTCATGATCTCTTAAGGCACATGCCAACTTGAGACAATGATCGTTGGGCCAGTGAGAATGTGACTTCATGATCTCTTAAGGCACATACCAACTGGACACAATGATCTTTGGGCTAGTGAGAATGTGACTTTATGATCTCTTAAGGCACATGCCAACTGGACACAATGATCTTTGGGCTATTGAGAATGTGAAAGTCCGTAACTCGGAGTTTCTCTGCAAAACTTCCTCTCACAGCTACAACTTCAACTACAACTACAACTACAAAAACCACTGCGCTACAACTACAACTTCAACTTCAACTTCAACTACCATTACACCACATTGCAACTACAACTACAGCTACAGCTACAACTTCAACTGCAACTTTTTGCTACAGCTTTTACTACAACTTTTTCTTCAACTTTTACTACAACTCAGCTACAAATACAACGACAACTTCAGCTTCAGCTTCAGCTTCCGCTTCGGCTTCGGCTTCAGCTTCAGCTTCAACTTCAACTACACAACGGCAACAACAACTACTACAACTACAGCTACAGCTACAAGTACAACAACAACTACAGCTACAACTACAACAACTACAGCTACAACAACTAGCGCTACCACTAGAACTACAACTTCAACTTCAACTGTGCTACAACTGCAACTGCAAGTACAACCAGAACTGCAGCTACAACTACCACTACACTACACTACATGACAACTTAACTACAACTACAACTACAACTACCACTATATTACATCTATAACTGCCACTACCACTTTATTACAACTACAACTACAACTACCACTGCCCTACATTACAGCTAATACAGCTACTACAACTACTACAGCTACTACAGCTACAACTGCAACTACCCCTACACTACATTACAGCTACAACTACGACTTCAACTACACCTTCAACTACAACTACAACTACAACTCATCCACAACTACACTACGACCACGCCAGACCACATTACATTCAGCAGTTGTGAGGTGACGACTGCAACCACTCCAAAAAGCACAGCTCCGACCACTTTTCGGTCCATCAGTGGATTCGCTCTGCCACCCGCACATCAACAACTCACCTCTCCTATAGTTGTCTGTCTTTGAAACTTCCTTCACCGCCTTGTGCAGTACTACTGGTATTATGTAGTTGTGGAATGTTGTGGATGCTTGTATATAGAAGGTTACTAGAGGAGTTGTTCCTTTCGCCCTTGTGCATTGGGAAGAGCTGTTTGGCCTACACATCCGACAGCTCGGTCCCATCTCCGGTGACAGTAATTTTTCGACGTTACGCAACCACGCAACCTCTGCAGTCTATTACAGCTACCCATCTCCTCCAATCTCCTCTGTTTTGCATCTGCATCTCGAAGCTTTGCCTTGTTATCCTTGTTTGTGTTCATAATTGTTCGTCTCTGAATGTCCTTCACTTAGCGCTTGCAAGAACGCTGCGACCCGCCCATGGAAAGCATGTACTTGGGAGCCTTGAGGCGCTCACCTCACCCAGGAAGCCCCAGCCTTTGGCGGAGGAGTGGGTTTGACATCAAGTAGCTACATTCTCTGACATCGCACAAGTTCTTATGCCGGAAAGACAGCCAACCAGCTTGTGTGAGCTGTCAATCCCCATCTGTACAACTTCCTACCAAAAGGACGGGAATCTCAAAGACTTTCTTATATTGCTGTATATGTACATATCTTACTATATATATATATGCACATACAAAGTGTAAGAGTCCAAACAAATCACACAGCAGAGCCGCATTTGGAAATCTTATTACTCATGACCATGATTCTGGAACCAAATCACATGCTTTCGCAGGAGGGTCGCAGACTGTTGCAGCTTCCACAGGACCTTCCGTCGAACCTTCCGTCAAACATTTTGTTGTGATTTCTTGAAAATCAGTTGCGTTGCCTTTCTTGTAACAGTTGCATTTGAATCATCTTGAATCCACATGTGGAAAGCACCTGTGGTCACTTGTGCGATTCCTTTTTCCAATGCTCAAATGTCGCCATGTTGCTTCGAAGAGTCCACGACGTCGGACGGTAGCGATGGCAGCGCTTCCACCGTCCGCGGATGTTTTTCACTTGGAGCGCCGCCGCCTCGAAGAAGCGGCCGCGGATCTCCGCAGTTTGTTGGCGGAGAAAAACGAACAGCTCTCCGAGCAATGCGCCAAGTGTGCGCACGAAGAAGAGAAACTCCTGCGCTCGAAGTATCTGGCTGAGTTTGAAGAGATCTCACTACAGAAAGATGCCTTGAAAGCAAAGCTGGAGAAGAACACCAGCGATTTGGAACATCAGGAGATGGACTTGAACCGTGCAGAAGAGCGCAAAAAAGCGGTGGAAGAATACCAGAGCCATCTAAGGTTGACAGAAGGTACTAAGAATGATCTCGTAGCCCGTATTAGTCAGTTGAAGGCAAAGCAGCGCGGTGCTACAGAGAGTTTGAAGTCTCAAATGTGTCATGTCTTGGAGGCTCATCAGAAAGAGGAGGCAAAACTTTCGCAGAAACTCCGTGGGCAAGAGGAAGCCCTTGCACGGAATGAGGCATGTGCTACAGCCGATGTATTGCAAGGTATGACTCCTCAAGAGAGTTTAGCCGCAGACCTCAAGCATCAGCTTTCTGCAAGTCAAGAGAAAGTCGCAACTTTGGAAGCATCAGTTGAGTCCATGCAAGCTCTGAGTTTTCAAAAGGAGATGAGAGTGGAGGAAATGATTGAGGCTTGTGACACTGCATTGAAACAAAAGGCCTTGCAAAGAGACATTGCAGAGAAGGAAGCCACGGAGCTCCAAAAGGGAGAGCAGAGTGTGAAGGCGGCGACTTTAGAGATTGAGCGCCTACAAGAAGCCAATGCCCTCGCGAAAGACTTACAAGAAAAGCTACACACATCAGGCGGGGATATTTTTTTGATGCGTTTAATTTTCCCCCACATCTTTGTGTGGGGTTCTTGTTTTTGGATCTGTATCCCTTCCGCTCCTCCCCCGTCCTCCTCCGCCCGCGCTGTCACACACAATCTTTCACATACAACTTTGTCACACACACACACAATCTTTCACATACAACTTTGTCACACATAATCTTTCGCATACAGCTGTGTCACACGCACACAATCTTCCACATACAAATTTGTCACGCACACAATCTTTAGCATACAACGTTGTCACACACAATCTTTCACACACAACTTTCCCACACACGCAATCTTTCACACACAAATCTTTCACACACAACTTTGTCACACACACACAATCTTTCGCAAACGAATCTTTCACACACACAACCTTGTCACACACAATCTTTTCCACACACCTTTCTCACACAAAATCTTTCACACACAAATTTGTCACACACAATCTTTCACACACAACTTTGTCACACACACACAAACTGTTACACCCATTTTTCACACAAATCTTTCCCTCACAAATCTTTCACACACAACTTTGTCACACACAATCATTCACACACACACAAATCTATCACACACAATCTTTTCCACACAGCCTTTGTCACACAGAACTTTATATCACACAATTCTTTCACACACAAAAGGCGTGGCACTTGGTCACATCGACTTGAGTTTTGCGTGGCAGGCATGGCACTTATGGCACTGGGCTGGGTCTGGTGGCGCGCTTGGTCGCTGTTAGTCGCCCGTGACACAGCGGCACTTTGCGTGGCAGGCGTGGCACTTGGCGACATCGATGTCCGTTTGCGTCGCAGGGGTGGTGCTTGGTCACATCCACCTGCGTTTTGCGTGGCAGGCGTGGCACTTATGGCACTGGGCTGGGTCTGTGGCGCGCTTGGTGGCCGTTAGTTGCCCGTGACGCCCGCGGCACTTTGCGTGGCAGGCATGGCATTTGGCGGCATCGACGTTCCGTTTGTGTGGCAGGCGTGGCACTTGGTCACATCTACCTGCGGTTTGCGTGGCAAGCATGGCAGTTATGGCACTGGGCTGGGTGTGGTGGCGCGCTTGGTCGCCGTTAGTCGTCCGTCACGCCATGGCACTTTGCGTGGCAGGCGTGGCACTTGGCGACATCGATGTTCCATTTGCGTGGCAGGCGTGGCACTAGGTCACATCCACCTGCGTTTTGCGTGGCAGGCGTGGCGCTTGTGGCCCTGGGCTGGGTCTGGTGGCGCGCTTGGTCGCCGTTAGTGGCGCTTGGCGACATCGACGTTCCGTTTGCGTGGCAGGCGTGGTACTTGGTCACACCCACCTGCAAAACGCGTGGCACTTATAACTCATGACACTGGGCTGGGTCTGGCATTTTCTCATACTTGCGCGCGCAACATCTCCGTTGTTTTTCCTACCTGGTCCATCGCACTTCACACGCAGCACTTTCACACACACACAGCTTGTCACACAACTCTTTCACATACAACTCTTTCACACACCACTCTTTCACAGACAACTCTTTCACACACCACTCTTTCACAGACAACTCTTTCGCACACCCGCTTTCACACTCATTTGTCCAACACAAGTCACAAGTTTTTTTGAACTTATCGATCCTCCACCACCTCCTTTGTCTTTCCTCTCTTCCCCGTCCTGCTTCAAATTCTGTTTCTGATTATTGGAAGAAGTTGACTTGTGGGGTTATTCCTTGAATTTTTTGACCAGTGTCCCCATCAGGCGCCTCTACTGAACGCGTGAGTGTGCAACAGGGAAAAAATCAATTGAGAGGTAGAAAGTCAGTCAGGTAGAAGGTATATGATCATATATATATATATATTTATAAAATATACATGATACAAAATATGAACTTCTTCTACATTCCACGTCCTCACAATTCCTACGCATGTTGGCTCGATCCTTGGCGATCGCAGGCCTGGTTGTAACGGACATGAGAGCTGCAGTTTGTCAGGACAAGGCGGGTGGGGATAACTGTGGGGGGCATTCTGAGACTTCAGGAGCCATGATTGCCCGTTAGTCCTTTCCAGAAGTGAGTTCAGAAATGAGGTAGCTTCATTGTGACTTCAAATTTCATACCACCTACTGTTACATAATGGTGTTCTACAATGGCCAAAAGCAGATCGATTCCTGCAAGAACACCTGAGGTTTGCCAAGGGCACCCTGCAGTGTTGCCAGGCACCGGAGGAAGAGTGGATTTCAGAGAAGATGAGGCTCCAGGTCCGAACTTCTGCGAACTTCTGCTGTACTTGTAGTTTGTTTGGACATGTTTAGACTTTGCCGGCAACTTTGCCTTTCTAAAATCACCTGAGTCGACTTTGCTGAGGTCCAAGTTGCCGCAAACAGAAAAAGAAAGGACGAAATGGAGGCCACATGAATGATCGGTGCTTGTTGTGTTTTTTCTTTTTTCCCCAAGCAGTGTACTGTTAGGGGATTCTTAATGCTTTCTTAAGGTGTCCGCCTTGGTGTTGGATGGTGTGTCCCCCTTCCCGACCGTCTTGTCTCCCATTGTGCCCCTTCTTGTTTGCCTTTGTTGCATGGTGTGTCTGCCTTCCCGAGGGTCTTGTCTCCCCTTGTCTCCCACTGTACCCCTTCTTGTTGCCTTTTGTTGGATGGTGTCTCTGCCTTCCCGGGGGTCTTGTCTCCCTTGGTCTCCCATTGTGCCCCTTCTTGTTTCCCTTTGTTGGATGGTGTGCCCGCCTTCCTGATGGTCTTGTCTCCCTTTGTCTCCCATTGTACCCTTTCTTGTTTCCCTTTGTTGGATGGTGTGTCTGCCTTCTCGCGGGTCTTGTCTCCCACTGGATGGTGTAGCCGCCTTCCCAAGGGTCTTGTCACCCTTTGTCTCCCATTGTACCCCTTCTTGTTTGCCCCTTGTTGGATGGTGTGTCTCCCTTCTCGAGGGCGGGTCTTGTCTCCCACGGTGCCCCTTCTTGTTTCCCTTTGTTGGATGGTGAGTCCGCCTTCCGCAGGGTCTTGTCTCCCTTTGTCTCCGATTGTGCCCCTTCTTGTTCTACAAACAGTGTGCTGTTCGGGGTTCTCTTCTTGTTCCCTTTGTGCGATGGTGTGTCCGCTTCCCGAGGGTCTTGTCTCCCTTTGTCTCCCATTGTACTCCTTCTTGTTTCCCTTTGTTGACTGGTGTGTCCGCCTTCCTGGGGGTCTTGTCTCCCCTTGTCTCCCTTCTTGTTTCCTTTTGTTGGATGGTGTGTCCGCCGTTTCGAATGCTTGTCTCTGCTCTTGCCTCCCTGCTTGTTTCCTTTTGTTAAATTGTTGGATGGTATGTCCGCCCTCCCGGGGTCTTGTCTCCCCTTGTCTCCCCTTGTCTTCCTTCTGTGTCCGCATTCCCGAGGTCTTGTCTCCCCTGGTCTCCCTTCTTGTTTCCTATTGTTGGATGGTGCGTCCGCCTTCATGATCTCTTACCTCCCCGTCTCTCCCATTGTCTCCCCACATGTGTGCCTGTGTTGGATGGTGTGTCCGCCTTCCCGAGGGTCTTGGCTCCCATTGTCTCCCATTGAACCACTTGCTGTTTCCCTTTGTTGGATGGCGTGTCCTCCTTCCGCAGGGTCTTGTCGCCGTTTGTCTCCCATTGTACCCCTTCTTGTTCTACAAACAGTGTACTGTTTGGTTTTTTTTTCTTGTGTGGGTGGTCTCATTTTGCCTTTTCCCCAAACAGTGTACCGTTAGGGGTTCTTAATGCTTTCTCATGTGTTTGACCTTGTTACTCAAAACACGTCTTGAATCTACCTACTGTTTGGGGTCTACGGTGGTGTAATTTTTACAGATACTGACGGCTCCAAATTTGCCCATTTCGTTTCTTGGTTGTGTTTGACACGTGCAGATTCTTCTCCACCCAAAAGCATGGGATCCTGCTTTTTTTTTTGCTAATCTTGTTATATGTTGTTGCTGTTTTTTGGGTCTATGGTATTTCCCCCGAAACCATTGATGGTTCCAAGCAAGACCCCAGCCAATCCCTAAGTAGTCTCAAGGTTGAAATTCGGAAGTTGGACGAGGTCTGTTTTGGGATGTATTTGTCGGACCTGGCGGAATTTCTTGCACTGCAGCTGCAATTTATGACCTTAACCAAGAGTCGGAAAGCATAGCGCAATCGCACACAAACACGCGCTTACATAGTATGGCTGTGGTGGATAGCATGTGCAACCACCTCAATGGAAGAGCATTGCTTCCTGCGAAGATATCACAGAACGGGAAAACTTTGGTCTTGGACCCCTTGAGGGTTTGTTTTACATCACTGCTTGGTTTTCATCATTCCTCTTACGTATTTACAACGATCAGATCTTGACACTTCAGGGTGAGTCTGGGGAATTCCTCGCAGAAGCACAGCGGACAGGAACTCTGTATCCGCAGAGGTGACTGCACTGGTCCACTCAGGAGACGTGCTACGAGCTTTGAGGGTCAAATATGTTTGATGTTTCCACATTCGCCAGTTGAGAACTTGTCCTCCAAACAGGACGACAGCTGGAGAGATTTCGAATGCTTTGTCTGACTGCGAGATGCAAGCCAAGGAGCAGAGTTTGCAGGTTGAGACAAGTCGAGGGCCGTATCAACTCGCGTTCAAACTGTCTGACAACCCACTGGTGAGGAATTGCGCATGCGGATTTCGCAGCCGGGAACTCAATCATTTGGCTCGCCCTGTAGCTAAGAAACCTGCAAAACTGCAGCAGTCTTGGGACCTGAGACATTTTTTGAGACCAGGCTTCAGTCAAATCCAAACGTCGCCGGTGGCCAGGTCAGCTGCCAGAATCGCGATTTTAATTATGTACTATCCAATTACATCGAATATGATATGTATATATATATATATATCTATATCTCCCTGGGGGCCCGGAGCTGGCCGTGTCCTTGCCGAAGGAGAGAGGGGCCGCCGCCCCTGCCGCCGACCATCAAAAGCACCTAAAAAGTCCCGCGTTTTACGGTGTTTTTTGCTGTTCCCATTTTTCGACTCTTGTGGCCTAAGATGGGTCAACATGGGCCAACATAGGCCGCAAGATGGGCCAACATAGCCCCAAGATGGGCCCAAGCCGTTCACCCCTATCACCTCAACATGGGCCAGGGGCCCAACTATGTTGGCCCATCTTGTGGCTATGTTGGCCTATGTTGGCCTATGTTGGCCTATGTTGGCCTATCTTGCGGGAACAGCAAAAAAACATTGTAAAATGCAGGGGATTTTGATGGGCGGCGGCCTATCTTGGGGCTATGTTGGCCCATCTTGGGGCTATGTTGCCCTGTCTTGAGGGCAATGTGGGCCCATCTTGGGGCTATGTTGGTCCATCTTGGGGCTATGTTGGCCCATCTTGGGCCTATGTTGGCCCATCTTGGGGCTATGTTGGCCCATCTTGGGGGGCTATGTTGACCCATCTTGAAGCTATGTTGGCCCATCTTGAGGCCTATGTTGGCCCAGGTTGACCCATCTCGAGCCACAAGATCCGAGAAATGGAAAAAAAAAGGGAAGAGCACAAAACACCGTAAAACGCGGCGGTTTTTGGCCTGACGGGGTGGGTCGGCGGCAGGGGGCTGGAGAGGAGAGAAACGCATTCGGCAAGGACACGGCCAGGGGGCCCCTGGCCGGATAAAGGGCTACCGCCCCTGCCGCCGACCCCGGAAAAGAAGTGTGGCTTCTCGGACTTCAAGAATGAAAGCCGGTCGTAAAGAAATTCAACTTGAACGACGTTGCCAGCACGGCTGCAAAAAATACGCCGAAAAGCAGACACGGCAGCCGAAAACACGGCTCCCAGACAGGGAAACACCGTGCCAGTGAAGGACGGAGAAGCCACAAAGAATGCCAGTGAAGGACGGAGAAGCCATAAAGAAGCGCCGAAAAAAATCTTAACGCATCGTTTGAAACCCTTCCGACGTTGCCAGCACAGCTGCAAAAATCACACCGACAAGGAGACACGGCAGCCCAAAACACAGCTCCCGGACGGGGAAAGACCATGCCAGTGCAGGACGGAGAAGCCACAAAGAAGCGCCGAAAAAGTGCCTAACGTGTCGTCTGAAACTTTTCCAAAAGTGCTGGAAACGATGTTGCCAGCACGTCTCCAAAAATTTCACCGAAAAGGTAACATATGGCAGCCCAAAACACGGCTCCCAGACAGGGAGAACACCATGCCAGTGAGCGGAGAAGCCACAAAGAAGCGCGTTGTCTGAAACCTTTCCAAAAGAGCTAGAAGCGACGTTGCCAGCACGGCTTATATGATTCGCATCGAGCCACAGATTGGAAATGTTTAAAATTATTTTTTTCATTTATTTTCATTTGGGTTTTCATTTGTAACTTCATTTTTTTTCATTTTGTTTTTTAATCATTTTTTTGTTTTCATTTATTTTTCATTTTTTTGTTTTTTTCGTTTTTTGTTCCTTCAAACTTCATTTTTTCCATTTCAAACATCATTTTTTTTTCATTTCAAACTTCATTTTTTCATATTCCTTGCCCGTGGCACCTGAAATCCAGGAAAGCCATGAAAATCAATGCAAAAAAACGGAAGACAATCAAAAACAAAGGAAAATGAAAAAAAAATGAAGTTGCAAATGAAAAAAAAGAAAATTTGGACTCAAAGTTGCAGATTCTCACTCTGAACCAGGAAATCTTCAAAAACTCGGGGAAATTTTCAGTTTTTATCATGTTTTATCATTTTTTTTTCATTTTCCTTGCCCGTGGCACCTGAAATCCAGGAAAACCATGAAAATCAATAAAAAACAATGGAAAACCATCAAAAACAAAGAGACATGAAAAAAAATGAAGTTGCAAATGAAAAAAAGAAAATTTGGACTCAAAGTTGCAGATTCTCACTCTGAACCAGGAAATCTTCAAAAACTCGAGGAAATTTTCATTTTTTATCATTTATATATATATATATATTTTTTCATTTTCCTTGCCCGTGGCACCTGAAATCCAGGAAAACCATGAAAATCAATGAAAAACAATGGAAAACCATCAAAAACAAAGGAAAATGAAAAAAAATGAAGTTGCAAATGAAAAAAACATGAAAATTTGGACTCAAAGTTGCAGATTCTCACTCTGAACCAGGAAATCGTCAAAAACGCGAGGAAATTTTCATTTTTTTTAATCATTTTTTCATCATTTTTTTATCATTTTCCTTGCCCGTGGCACCTGAAATCCAGGAAAACCATTAAAATCAATGAAAAACAATGGAAAACCATCAAAAACAAAGGAAAATGAAAAAAACATGAAGTTGCAAATGAAAAGAAAATATGAAGTTGCAAATGAAAAAAAATGAAGTTGAAAATGAAAAAAAATGAAGTTTGATGGCAAAAGGTGATGAACGAAAACGAAAAAAATGAAAGAATAATGAAAAAAAATGATATTCAAATTTACCCAACAAAATGACATGAAAATACAGATCAGAATGAAAATGAAAAAAATGAAAATACATTTTTTTTTGATGGTCTCAGAGTGTAGCAGTAAGAATCTTATAAAGCACGTCTCCAAAAAACACACCGAAAAGGAGACACGGCAGCCCAACACACGGCAAAACACGGCTCCCGGACAAGGAAACACCATGCCAGTGAAAGACGGAGAATCCACAAAGAAGCGCCGAAAAAAGTGCCTAACGTGTCCTTCCAAAAGAGCTAGAAACGATGTTGCCAGCACGGCTCCAAAAAACACACCGAAAAGAGACACGGCAGCCCAAAACAAGGCTCTCGGACAGGAAAGCACCATGCCAGTGAAGGCCCTAACGTGTCGCCTGATTCGCATAAGAGACAATTCTTCTTCTCTGCCGCTGCTGCCTGCCGTGCCATGTTGTTTTGCTGTCCGGCAGGTATCCTTTTAAGGCTGTGTTTGAAAATTGCAACAATAGCAACAATGTTAGCAGTATGCTAGTAGGAGCATAAGTTTTTATTTTACGGATATCTTACGGATTTTGCGCGGATTTCAGAAGACACGTTATCCGCCGACCCCGGCTGATGCAAGGGGGAGCGCGTCAAGGATTACAGGTTTCTGTTTGCGCAACGCCAGCAGCAGCAACAACAACAACAACAAAAACAGTCTTCAAGGGTTTCTAGGGATTCAGACGACACATGGGGCCTTTTTTGCGCCTTAAGGGTTTCTAGAGATTCAGACAACACGTTAAGTTTTTTTTCCCGCGATTCTGATGACTTTTCGGTGCGAAATTATGTGCTGGTTCGGTGTGGCCAGGGGTCCGATATGGAGGCCTGAGAGCTGCAGTTTGGCGACGATTAAGCTCCAAAATTGCGCCAAAAAACTCCCTAACGTGTCTTCTGAAATCTTCGTAGAAACTTATATGTGGTCCTGCTAGCAATGTTATAGTTGTTACAATTTTCAATCACAGCCTTAAAAAGACACCTGCCCGACAGCAAAACAGCATAGCACGGCAGGACGAACAAGTTCCAAAATTGCGCCAAAAAACTCCCTAACGTGTCTTCTGAAATCTTCGTAGAAACTTATATGTGGTCCTGCTAGCAATGTTAGAGTTGTTACAATTTTCAATCACAGCCTTAAAATGACACCTACCCGACAGCAAAACAGATAGCACAGCAGGACGAACAAACACCAAAATTGCGAAGAACAACTCCCTAACGTGTCTTCTGAAATTCGTAGCAACTTATGCTGAAAACAAGCCTTAAAAGGACACCTGCCGAACAGCCAACCTGCATGGCACAGCAGGACGAACAAACTCCAAAATTACGCAAAAAACTTCTTAAGGCGTCTTCTGAAAGACACCTGCCCAACAGCGAACAAGCTCCAAAATTGCGCAAACAAATTCCCCAATGTGTCTTCTTAAATTCCTAGAAACTTACGCTGAAAACAAGCCTTAAAAGGACACCCGCCGAACAGCAAGTCTTCTGAAATCCGTACAAACTTCTGCTCCTGCTAGCATTTTTACACTTGTTGCACTTTTCAAACACAGCCTTAAAAGAACACCTGCCGGACAGCAAAACAGCATGGCACGGCAAGACGAACAAACTCCAAAATTGCGCCAAAAAACTTCCTAACGTGTCTTCTGAAATTCCTAGAAACTTGTGCTGAAAACAAGCCTTAAAAGGACACCTGCCGAACAGCAAACCAGCATGGCATGTGCCAGACATGTGCTTCAACTTACACCTTCCGAGCCGCGCAAACGCTAGACTGCCAATAGGGGAAAGAGAGTCCTATTCCCTAGCGCGCTCCCCCTTGCTTCAGCCGGGGTCGGCAGATATACGTATGTATATATATATGTATATATATATATATGTATGTATGTATGTATGCATGCATGTATGTATGTATGTATCTATCTGTATCTGTATATATATATATTATACATGATTTCTATCCAGCTGTCATTGTGTCACATTTTCTATCATCAGATTTTTGGCCAGGATTTGGGGCAACTCCAGTCGGTCTTTGATGCGAAGGGAAGGTGGGCAATATGCGTCCTGCGACCGTTTGGAGCTTCTCTTAGGGCTGTTTGGTTCAAACATGTACAGTAGATTACAGTAGCATATCTGATTTCTAATTTCTCAAGCAATAATTTGCAAAAGCAAGACCGTCATGCTCAACTTGATGGGTTTGACGAATGCTCAGCCCCTTGGTGCAGGGGGAGATTTTGGTTTCAGAGCATTTGCGCCAGTGGTCGCCCGTTTTGCAGTTCAGGCGACTGCGAATGCTGTCCAGCCTCGTTCAGGCACTACGCAGATTTGAGCTGAAATACAGATGATTGATGCAGGTTGCAGACGGACGCATGCTTTTTTTGGCGATGAATGCACAAGTCGTGCGGTATATATATACACATACATATATATATACATACAACATCTTTCTACATATACATATATATATATATATGTAAATATATATACATACATACATACATACATACATACATACATACATACATACATACATACATACATACATACATACATACATACATACATACATACAAATATATAAATATATAAATATATACAGATACATACATACATACATACATACATACATACATACATACATACATACATACATACATACATACATACATACATACATACATACATACATACATACATACATACATACATACATACATACATACATACATACATACACACAGACATACATACATACATACATACATACATACATACATACATACATACATACATACATACATACATACATACATACATACATACATACATACATACATACATACATACATACATACATACATACATACATACATACATGCATACAACAATGTGTGTTTACAAGTACCAATCAGTACCAATGTATATGCGCAGGTCCGGGTGTTGTAGGTATAGTGTTGCATGGTTTGCATGAAATGGCAGTCCAAGGTAACAAGGAGTAGAAGTGTTTTCGGCCAGTTTTGTTTATCCTATTCCCTTCCGCAGTGGCATTCCAAAGCGAACACGAACACCGGCCTTTTTTTTCGTCGGTGCAGGACATGCCTCACGATTGTCTGCAATCAGTTTCCTGACGAGTCAGTTTCAAAATCGTAGCAATGATAACGCTTTCCAGCTTGCGGCGGGCAGTTGGAGATGTACATAGCTACAATAGCTTTGGACGGGAGAAGCTCAGAGCATGGGTGCAACCAGCTTTACAGGTATCCATGTGAAGTGACCTAATGGGCTGCCGGCTGCTTCTCCCGAGAGAAGTCCTCTTCCCACAAACAGAATGGCTACACAGTTTGAGCATTTTAAACTCAAACTGCTTGATCCTTTCATTGGCAACCACAGCTGGGAAAAAAGGCGGCTCCCGTGATGTTAAGGGTTAAAGCGTTGGCGCGGCAGTAGCCAGAACTGCAAACCAGAACTTTCGAGCGACCAGGACTTCTTTGGGAAAGGCTACGACATAGTGGATCTCCTTGCCAGAGGAATCAGCAAGAAAGGAGAAGAGGCGAGATACACTTTGTTGGGTTTACCACAGGTGACAATTCTGGGCTTGAAGGATTTACTTTGCCGTAACAAAGCCATATTCTAGGAACGAACATCTACTGTACAAAACCGTGTGCTTTGGCACGATGCAAACATGGTGCATGGTTCCCAAACAGCCAAAGCATGCCAGGGAGCTCCCACCAAGCTAAGCTTCATGCTGGATACGGGCTTGACAACGCCAAAGCCTGAATTCGGAGTTGACGGATACGCAGGTGCAGCATGTGGGAACAGTAAGAGTAGAATCTAAGTTGCCAGTTCTTGGGTCGAGGTCTCTACTCCTGCCAGACAAAGCTCAACAACTTGGACTGCTCGAAGAAGGGAGGTTTGAAGCGGGGCCAATGCAGGGGAATGGCTTGGTTGTTTTCTTCGTATGGGTCTCTTCAACTCTTCAACATAAAGACTCCTTCATTCCAACTCATTTTCTGTCAGGTTTGTTGCTGAAAAACTTCTGAAAACTCCAAAGGCAGGATGTCATGTTTGTATGTTTCCCAGCAAACCCAGCGAAAATGATGATGCCAAGAGCCACGAAGCAGGGTTCGAAACCCCGGTTGTTTGATGATTATAGGGGATTGGCGAAACCTTTTGCACTTTTTCCTGTGTTGTTCCTGCATGTGACTTTTGCCAAATAATTGGCTCAAGTGTAAGGTGAGAAACTAACTTTCCGAGTCTTAATTACTTAGGTTGGACTTGGGGTTAGGTTGATAGTACTTTTTGGGAATTTCGCATTTTGTCTGCCTATTGGTCTGCCTTTTGGTCTGTCTGTCTGTCTGTCTATCTGTCTGTCTGTCTGTCTGTCTGTCTATCTGTCCGTCTATCTGTCTGTCTAGCTATCTGTCTGTCTATCTATCTGTCTGTCTGTCCGTCTATCCGTCTATCGGCCTGTCTGTTTGTCTGTCTGTCCGTCTGTCTGTCCGTCTGTCTGTCCGTCTGTCCGTCTGTCCGTCTGTCCGTCTGTCCGTCTGTCCGTCTGTCTGTCTGTCTGTCTGTGTCTCTATCTATATATCTATCTATCTATCTGTCTATCTATCTATCTATCCATCCATCTATCTATCTACCTATCTATCTAGAATCTAGATACAATCTATCTATCTATCTTATCTTATCTTATCTTATCTTATCTATCTTATCTATCTTATCTATCTTATCTGATCTTATCTATCTTATCTATCTTATCTATCTTATCTATCTTATCTACCTTATCTATCTTACCCATCTTATCTATCTTATCTATCTTATCTATCTTATCTATCTTACCCATCTTATCTACCTTATCTATCTTATCTATCTTATCTATCTTATCTATCTAATCTATCTTATCTATCTTATCTATCTTATCAACCTGATCAATCTGATAAATCTGATCAATCTGATCAATCTTATCTTATCTTATCTGATCTTATCTTGTCTTATCTATCTTATCTATCTTATCTTATCTATCTTTTCTATCTTTTCTATCTTTTCTATCTTATCTATCTTATCTGATCTTATCTATCTTATCTTATCTTATCTTATCTGATCTGATCTTATCTTATCTTATCTTATCTTATCTATCTTATCTATCTTATCTATCTTATCTATCTTATCTGATCTTATCTATCTTATCTATCTTATCTATCTTATCTATCTTATCTATCTTATCTACCTTACCTATCTTACCCATCTTATCTATCTTATCTATCTTATCTATCTTGTCTATCTTACCCATCTTATCTACCTTATCTATCTTATCTATCTTATCTATCTTATCTATCTTATCTATCTAATCTATCTAATCTAATCTATCTAATCTATCTAATCTATCTAGTCTATCTAGTCTATCTACTCTATCTAGTCTATCTAATCAATCTAATCTATCTATTTTACCGAATCTATCGAATCTATCGAGTCTATCGAATCTATCGACTCTATCTAATCTATCGATCCATCGATCCATCCATCCACCTACCTATCTATCTATCTATCTATTTATCCATCTACCTATCTATTCTATCTATTCTATCTATTCTATCTATTCTATCTATCTATCTATCGATCTATCTATTCTATCTATCTATCGATCTATCTATTCTATCTATCTATTCTATCTATTCTATCTATTCTATCTATTCTATCTATCCTATCTATCCTATCTATCCTATCTATCCTATGTATCCTATCTATCCTGTCTATCCTATCTATCCTATCTGTCCTATCTATCCTATCTATCCTATATATCCTATCTATCTTACCTATCCTATCTATCTTATCTATCTTATCTATCTTATCTATCTTATCTATCTTATCTATCTTATCTATCTTATCTATCTTGTCTCTCTGTCTATCTCTCTTTCTGCCTGTCTGTCTATCTATCTGTCTATCTGCAAGCTTGAAAACGAAGCTATTCTGCGAGACTTTTCAGTTTTTGAACTTGACAACATCCAAAACGAAGCAATTCTGTGAGACTTCCTCAATTTTGCACTTGACAACATCAAAAACGAAGCAATTCTGCGAGACTTCCTCATTTTTTAACTTGACAACATCAAAAACGAAGCAATTCTGCGACACATCCTTCAAAAATGGAAAGTTGAGTGCAGAGCTGACGGCCTCGTACCAATGGGTTTTGCAATTTTTCCGTTCCATTTGTCTAAAGTACTGCGCCTGCCACAAAAACGTGATGCCAGGTCATACCAAGTGCTGCACCTGTCACGCAAAATCATCTCAGCAAACCTGAAGATCTGATGCTCCAAAATGCAACCCCTCTCAGGAAATCATCGCCCGGACCTCCTAACAGCTCTGATGAACATGTTTCTTGTACTGCGCCTGCCACGGAAGATGCATCTTTGCAGATCCTCTTCAAAGGTCCCACGCCTGTCATCGTTTTTGGAAGTGCTACAAAACCGTCACGTTTTGCTCACTTTTGACAAGGTGCACAATCCCTTGCGCCTGCCACGCGAAACCACATCCTAACTTTCAAAAGTGCTCCGAACATGTTTGTACATTTTGGCTTGGAAATGTGCGCCGCACCACAACCTCGCACACTTTTGAACATCTCAACTTCCAAAAGTGCCCTGACGGTGGTGTGTTTTGTACATTTTGACTTCCAAATGTGCTTCGTGCCACAACGGTGTGCACTTTTCCGACATCGCAACTTCCAAAAGTGGCGGACCCTTCCCCGGCCAAGACTGCGGGTCGGTAGTCGGGTGCAGGTGTGTGGGATGCCAGAAGCCGTGGCCGCCAACGACAGAGGCCGCGAAGTGGGCCGCCAGCTGCGTCTGACGGTAGAGATGGAGGGGGAACAATTTAAGCGTATATAACTTGATAAGCACCTTTAATGCATGCAATATAAATCAAAATTCTGGGGCCTGGGTGCTAACTCTTGCGGGGTTCTGAGTGTTAAAATTGTTTTTTAGTGAGGCATGATGCATATCAAAAAGGGACTTGGTTAATATTATTCATTAACGGTGTTTTGTATATAGGTCGCTATATGGTGTTATGTGTGATCGTCGTATTCTATCTTTTGCCATGGTATTTCAGTAGCATGCCAAAAGCTCGTGGCTGTGCTTTGCTTTTTGAACCACTGGTGCCAAGGTCCTTGTCACTGTTTGCACGCCTTACCCGATCGAAACCAAGCTAATTCCACCACAATTTTCCGCAAGAAACTCTGCTCAGGTCCCAGGTTCTTACAGCTTCGCCCAGGTTCTCCCAGGTTCCCCCAGGAAATTGATAAACCACTAAAACTAAGCATTGCAGGACATGGAGCGCTTAGCATAAGCATTGAATCCCTGTAATGGTAAGCAGAAGGTGCTCGGGGTTTCCTGGGAAAACCTAGGTGAACCTGGGCGGACCTGAGGAAAAAAAAGATGGTCAGTGTAACACTTAAGATTTCAGTGTAACGCTTAAGATTTCAAAGGTGGATTGGGTTATTTTAATTCCATTTGGGAAATACAATTTTTGAATCTGGGCGTTGCCACCCCCTTTGACCTGCAGGTCTGTCGCGCTTTCAATTTAGTTATATGCATTGAAGGGGTATGTCAATATATGACCCACAAAGTTGCGTTGTGAAAGCTTAGCGAAAGGAAATATTGAAGATGAGCTCCAAAGGGGTTTGGAGACAACCCCGAGGTCCTACACCTCGCGCAACCGCGCTGGTGGCTCTGGCCGGCTTCCTTGACCGCACCCTGGGCGCGGTCAGCGTGGCTGACGTTAAGGAAGCGGCCTACACAACGTGGCAGCAGTGCGCCGAGGCGACTGAAATCAGGGGGTATGGCATTCTCTCCTCATCCATTTCCTTCCTTTGCATAATATCTGACAGGAATATGGAAATAGATGGTTTTAAGTTGTAACTGCATAATCATGGATTTCCTCACGAGGCGTCATCAGGTCCAGGATTTTCCACAATTGTTTCGCTCCATAACGCATCTGTGGGGTGAACCGTTTGGCGATCGCATGGATCGACCTTTGAGGGTTTCTTGTGATCAGCGAAATATGCAGAGTCTCGGGGTGTATACCTGATCCTTAGACACGTATACTCCATCATTCAATATCTTCCCTCAAAACACATTCGATCTGCAACACGATGGACGTGTGCCAGCCGGCAGAACTATGGAGAATGGGGGGAATTAATCGCGGAAGGAAAAAAACCACAACTATCCCGCTGATTGACTGGTAGTTGCTGTGAATTGTAACATTTTTTTTCCATACATTATGTTGGCTATTGCCGGTCTTTTTCCCGGACGAACAACGCCAAGATCTCAGAAGCACAGCCTCTCTTTTGAATGGGCGAACCACCTCACTACAACCATCGCCGGTGACGTCCTAGACCCCTCGCGTGAACAGGGGGAGGTGGAGGCGATAGCTCGCCCGCGAAGACCTCCCGGAGGAGCTGAAGCACGGGCCTCGGGCAGATCAAGCAGTTGTCAAGAGGCCACAAGAAAGAGTTGTCCCCTGGATAGATTGGTATGGGAAGTGATCCCCTGTGCGAAGCCGTCCCTGTACTTGTTGTACTCCAGGCTGATAATCATGACCCATCCCTTAACAAGTTATTGCAGGGGATCAACTATGTTAAGGATTATTCCTTTTGGGAGTAATTTTCCTGGAATAATTTGATAAAGGGGTCCGAGCATGTAGTGTTTTGTACATTTTGACTTCGAAATGTGCTTCGCGCCACAACGGCGTGCACTTTTTCGACATCTCAACTTCCAAAAGTGGTCCGGAGCTGGTGTGTTTTGTGCATTTTGACTTCGAAATGTGCTGCGCGCTATCACGGCGTGCACTTTTTCGACAGCTCAACATTTCAAAAGTGGTCCGGACCTGGTGTGTTTTGTACATTTTGACTTCGAAATGTGCTTCGCGCCACAACGGTGTGCACTTTTTCGACATCGCAACTTCCAAAAGTGGTCCGAGCATGTAGTGTTTTGTACATTTTGACTTCGAAATGTGCTTCGCGTGACAACGGCGTGCAATTTTTCATCTCTCATCTGGCCAGATGGCTCCGCACCGGCTGCTTTAGCGAGCCTACTTTTCGACCCTCCGGAGCCACAAATCATTGGACAAACACCGTGTTTTGTGACTTTCCTACCTTTTCGCGCACCTGCATCTTCTTTCTTCTGATTCTTTCTCTTCTCTGATCTTCTCCCTTCTGCTCTTCTCTCTTCTACTCTTCTCTTCTCTCTGACTCTTCCCATCTCTGCTTTTCATCCGTCCATATCGTCAGAAGTTTGACTTCTAAACTTCCTTCGGTTATCTTATCTTATCTTATCTTTTCTTTTCGTATCTATCTATCTGTCTCTTTATCTGTCGATTTGTCTCTCTATCTGTCTGTCTGTCTGGTCTATCTATCTGGCTGTCTATGTATCTGTCTGTCTGTCTATTTGCCTGTCTATGTGTCTGGGGATCTATTTGTTTGTCTGTCTATCGGTCTGTCTATCTGTCTGTCTGTCTGTCGGTTTGTCTGTCTAGCTATCTGTCTGTCTGTCTGTCTATTTGCCTGTCTATCTATCTGTTTGTCTGCCTATTGGTCTGTCTATCTGTCTGTCTGGTCTGTCTATCTGTCTGTCTTGTCTGTCTTGTCTGTCTGTCTGTCTATCTGTCTGTCTATCTGTCTGTCTATCTGTCTATCTGTCTGTCTTGTCTGTCTGACTGTCTATCTGTCTGTCTATCTGTCTGTCTATCTGTCTAGCTGCCTGTCTGTCTACTGTCTGTCTAGCTATCTGTCTGTCTATCTATCTGTCTAGCTCTCTATCCGTCTATCGGTCGGTCGGTCTCTGTCTGTCTCTGTCTGTCTCTGTCCGTCTCTGTCCGTCTCTGTCCGTCTCTGTCCGTCTCTGTCCGTCTCTGTCCGTCTCTGTCCGTCTCTGTCCGTCTCTGTCCGTCTCTGTCCGTGTCTGTCCGTGTCTGTCCGTGTCTGTCCGTGTCTGTCGGTCTCTGTCTGTGTCTGTCTGTGTCTGTCTGTGTCTGTCTGTGTCTGTCTGTGTCTGTCTGTGTCTGTCTGTGTGTCTGTGTCTGTCTGTGTCTGTCTGTGTCTGTCTGTGTCTGTCTGTGTCTGTCTGTGTCTGTCTGTGTCTGTCTGTGTCTGTCTGTCTGTCTGTCTCTTGTCTCTTGTCTCTTGTCTCTTGTCTCTTGTCTCTTGTCTCTTGTCTCTTGTCTCTTGTCTCTTGTCTCTGTCTCTTGTCTCTTGTCTCTGTCTCTTCTCTCTTGTCTCTGTCTCTGTCTCTTGTCTCTTGTCTCTTGTCTCTTGTCTCTTCTCTCTTCTCTCTTCTCTCTTGTCTCTGTCTCTTGTCTCTTGTCTCTTGTCTCTTGTCTCTTGTCTCTTGTCTCTTGTCTCTTGTCTCTTGTCTCTTGTCTCTTGTCTCTGTCTCTTGTCTCTTGTCTCTTGTCTCTTGTCTCTTGTCTCTTGTCTCTGTCTCTTGTCTCTTGTCTCTTGTCTCTTGTCTCTGTCTCTGTCTCTGTCTCTGTCTCTGTCTCTGTCTCTGTCTCTGTCTCTGTCTCTGTCTCTGTCTCTGTCTCTGTCTGTCTCTGTCTGTCTGTCTGTCGGTCTGTCGGTCTGTCGGTCTGTCGGTCTGTCGGTCTGTCGGTCTGTCGGTTTGTCTGTCTATCGGTTTGTCTGTCTAGCTACCTGTCTGTCTATCTGTCTGTCTGTGTATATATCTGTCTGTCTTCAAGGCTTTTTGCAGGGGTAACAGGTTTGTTGATACAGACTGGAGCCTGTTGCCAGACGCCTGGACATGATAGATCAACTTTTGGCGGGGGTGTCACTTGAACAGTTTTGTCATGCTCCATTCTCCAGACTTTGAGGATCAATGGCTTTGCTAGACAAGTTTCTGGCTAGCACTCCCAGGGTCGAGTGCTTTCAGGCTTTTTGCAAATCGACTTTATGCTGCAGACTTGACATGGGCGCATGACAATGTCCAATTTGGAATTGGCCCTCGTTCATCGATTTGTTGTCCACTTTTTCATTTTCGATTGTGACTGTTCAGACTGGTCAGTGGGCCGTTCCTGGACATGAGCGTATTACGCCCATTGGCATCAAAATGCCATTTTAAGCTTGAACGCGCGCTATGGTGCATAGCGGCAGCAACTTTTGGAATCGATTTTGCATGGACCACTTTGTGAAGGTCAATGTCACCATCGACCGCTCAATTCTGTCTGCAGCAGTGTGTCAGCCTTCAATGAACTGCAACGTTCTGGCCAGCTAATTGAACATGCTTGTGGCCTAGAATCTAGCTACTTTGGCTCGTTTGGGACACTTATTCGTTCCAATTGCCATGATGGACAGACTTTCTTACGAAGCAGGCGAAATCCCGAAGGAACTTTTGATGCCACCTTTAAAGGTCAATGCTTTGAGCATTTTGTTTCCTAGAAAGGGCCACGTTCAACTTTGATCAGCAGTCGCTAATTTGATATCATGCTTGAACTTGCACGGTTCATGGTCAGACTCGTGGGCCACTTACATTGTGACCATTGGAACTTTGGATCAATTCCATGGGAGAGACTCCCGCTCACCTTGAATCTGTTGAAATAGAAAGCTTCGCATGATAGACTTTTCATGCAGGGCTAGTTCATGTGGACTTAAGCAAGATACTTAGTCCAAGGGGTCATGCGAAACTTTATGCACCTTTCCTCCGCTGTTCCTGCGTGAGACTTTTGCCAAACACTTGGCTCAAGTGCAGGTACCGCGGGAATTTCGCAGCATTAAGCAAACCAATATTTTGGGGAACATCGCGATCCATTGGGTGAATCCTTATTAACCAAAAAATTCAATGGACAACGCAGGGTTTTGAACACTGCACAGGTGGTGCTTGAGAACGTGGAGTTTTCCCGAATCCAAATAGGTCCTTTGAGGCAAAGTGTTTGGTCTGGCATCATTTTGTCTCGTTTTGCGCAATCAAAATTCCAGCCTGACTGCGTACCTGATGTTTGAGGCCATTTGTGATGGATTTCTTCCAAAGCAGGCCGAACATTTTCCATTGGCGCATGGTTTTTCTTCTTGAAATCTATGAAGGAGTTCATTATTGCAACACTGCTAGGATGGGTAATGGGGCTACGATTGACGGAATGCTTGGCCCAGAACCTGGACCTTCAATGTTTGAATGTGGACGCATCGAGTTGCCTTCCCAAACACAAGGCATGGAGTTCTTTGAAAGATTTGCTGCGATAGGCTCGGTTTCGCAGTGTAAAGACCTTAACTAAACCCAAACAATACATCTCAGTCATGTCATGCCAGCATGTGCCAATGTGAAAACTGACAGTCGATGGTTTCATCCTTGCAGAACAATCAGGTTGACTTGGGAACAGATGTTCGTCTATACGAGGCGTTTAATGCCCTTGCAGGGCAATTCACATCGTCCTTGACCTTTTTTGCACCAACCATGGCAAGGCGGACGACGGAGAAAAAACCGCCGTGATGGAAAACATGATTTGCTTGACTACAGGCATGGCTGGCATGGTTCTACGAGCTTATACCAGCATTGGCAAAACATGTTTTTCTTTTGTCAATTTTGTTAAATGTTTGCTATTGACCCTTTACAGATCTTTACAGTTTTCGCCCGTCAGCTCCGCTTCCGGCTCGTCTCCTTGGAGTGAACGTTTGCGTTCCAGGGAATGATGCTTGTGGACTTGCTCAGAGGGTCGAGTTGCAGTGGTTTTTCACATCACATATTCAAATCATTTCAAATCTATTGAGTGCAAAGTCCAAGGTGTGAAAGGAGTTCTGGACACCGGTGCTGCATTTTCTGCCGTCACCTGAGGCCTTTGAGGTTTTTGTTTCGTGTAATCTGCAGGAACTGAACCTTCGATCCAGAATTTAGAATCCTAAGCCAAGGTGTTGAACTGGGCAGCAGCAGACGTTCTTCTCAATGTTGCAGAGGCTTGCGGAATATCAGCTGTAAAGTTTGAAAAGACCCGTTCAACATTTGAGTGCCTTCAACATCTAGACTCTCTAGAGTGTTTCTCAGGTTGACAAGGATAAGATGCTCCAAGAACGGGGAGGCGGGGGCAGTGAGTGAAGAGCGACACTAGTGGTTGACTGAGTCGGGACGGTGCTGGCATGAAAGACTATGGCCTGCCGGACTCTTCGTACTCTTCGTCTTGTGCGCATCAACAGTTTCGATTGTGACAGTCTGTGGGGTTGCCTGGCCTGGCAGCCAAAGGATCAAGCTGCCTCCGAAGGCAATGCAGTGGTTGTGCCCTGATGCGAAGAGGCCCAAAGAAGGTCCATCCGAAACTGCCTGATGGGAAGAAGACGAGAGCCGAAGCTCTTCGGATCTGGGAAAAGGTGGACATTGGAAAGAAGGGCTTTGTAACCGTCCCTGAAGTCTTGAAGCAATCCAAACTTCTGGAACAAGAATGTCCCACTTTATCCGGGACTACGAATCTGTGGCCAGGGACGGCAGGGTAACTCGTACTGCTTTCCTGGCCTTTTGCGTGGGGAAGTCCACAGCAGAAGAATGCACACGTGAGGTTGACATGGTGCAACTACGCAAGATGTTTGATGAAGTTGCAGGCCTGTTGACCGTAAATCATGGTTAAGGTGTTTCATATCCTCTACTTCAGTCTACTTTGCCTAGATGTCTTAGATATTCTTAGAATTTTCTTAGATATTCCATGTATGGATGCAAAGAATCTGATGTTTTGTGCGCGTCACCCCCTGGCAGGTCCAGCTGGGCAGATCAGGGTGGCAGATCTTGTCAAGCACAAGACGAGGATCCAACAGGTCTTTCCGGTTCTGCTGGAAAAATTCTCTGAGATAGACCTGAACAATACCTCCACTGTGAGCTGGGCAGAACTTGAGGTTTTTGCTGGAGGCACAGGTGAGTGGCTAGAATACCAGCTCGATCAAGTGATTGGTTTGGAGCTTCTGAAGCAGCAGATTCGGCAGTTTCATCATTCAATTGTCATGGACCAGAAGCGAAGAGACACAGGTCACCACGTCAAGGTAGTTGGAAAGTACCACATGATTTTTCAAGGCAATCCAGGCACGGGCAAGACTTCCCTCGCAAGAATCATTGCCCAGTTGCTGCATCGAATTGGCATCATCAAATCGGATCTATTGGTCGAGGTGCAGCGCGACAAGTTGGTCGCGGAATACGTTGGACAAACAGGACCCAAAACGCAAAAGGTCATCGACCAAGCAAAACAGGGAGTTCTGTTTATAGATGAGGCATACAGACTGAGTCAGGATAGTGGAAAAAGTGACTTTGGCCGAGAAGCCATCGAGCAGCTCATGGCTGCTATGAATGACCCACCTGGCAAAGCGCCTATCATGGTTTTTGCCGGCTATGCTGACGATATGGATACCTTCATGCAGGCGAACTCGGGGCTATATCGACGTATCGGCTACACCTTTGATTTTAGTGATTATACTCCCTTTGAACTGGCGGAGATACTGAACTCTATTGTAACGAATTCTGGTTTCAAGTTGGCACAACCACTACTTGCCAACAATTTCAGCCGTGTGGCTGCTGTAATAGAAAGCAACACCCTTCCTCAAGCCCGTGAAATGATGAACGGTGGACTTTGTGAACGGCTCTTTGATTTTGCCAAGCAATCTTTAGACGCTCGCGAGGCTGTGGTTTCTGCATCAAACCCTTCGTTGGAGCTGAGAGAAGGTGATTTATTGGAAGCCTGTCGCCGCATCCCTCCGCCTCCCGTCCGAGAAGGTCGCGAGTCCTCCGCCCCGTCCGCCGATCCGGCGGCCTTGGCGCAGAAGCTTCAGCGGACAGATGCGAAACTGCGATCGGCACAAGCTGAAATCCATCGTCTTCAAGCGCAACTACGTGCTGTAAAAGCAGCACGAAATGCTTGGAAAAGTGGAGATTTGGTAGGGTCTGGTCAAGGCTGTTGTCAAAGAATTTTCAATTTCTTTTGTTTTTTGTGGTCGGCTTGCGTGCTCTGTGCAGCCGCGGTGCTTCATGGGGTTGGCTATTTTTGTTGCTGCCGATGCCTTCGAAAGTCAGAACAATTTACGACTCCAATCATTCGAATATCTCCCGCTGATGGCGTCAAACCTGGACCAGCTCCAATGTCACCATAGAAAGGCAGTTTGGAAGTCTTGAGTCAACATCATCACGGACAGCTTGCGTTTGCTGCAAAAAGCTGTATACCTGGTTGGGAAAATATCATGACAAGAGAGGTGGCATTGGATGCTGGCCAAGGGGGCCAAGGGGGCCAAGGGGGCCGGGGCACCTTTCGATCCTCATTTTTTGTGACCGTGGACCACTTCTTGTGGCCAAGACACTGAGCTTCCCCCTGAAGGGGGGCAACGCCCGTCTGAAGTCTGGTAAGAAGAGGGTCAAAAGAAAAGCAGCCATGAAGGGAATTTGCAAGTATTTTAATGGATTTTGCAGGTGCTTGTCTGATTTCAAGATTGGATTCCAAGAATTTGCACAGTAAATGCAGCAGGTGTCACATCCCTGGACACAAGTGGCAAAGCACTGCTGATGCCCACAATCCAGGCAAACCTTGAGGCTCCTTGCGCAGTTTTGCCTTGAACATGCAGAAATCGTTGTTGTCATTGCCATCTCAACGTGTTCTTTTCTTGATGTGAATCCCTAGGTTCTCAGTTTTTCCTTGCTGGTTGATCATGTTTGATTTTCTGCCTCGTGCCAGCTCCGTGGTGCTGGCCGGGAACCTCCTGGCCATTGGACTCCAGATCCAGTCGAGGTGGGAGTAGCGCGAATGTGAAAGCAAGCTGTCAGTCAGCTTTGCTCGATCTTTCTGCAGGTTGCAGTGGGGAACATCGCCAGCTTCCATCAGTTGCTGTCTCTGCGACAGGGTTTGACCATGTTTGACCATTGCTCCTGTGTGCAAGTTGGAAAGTTGTTCGACGGGCGTCGCACTTGTCAAGGATTTTTGGCGATACGGCGGCGCCATTGGCATTGATTGGCCAGGTGGAACCGAGTGGAACCGAGTGGAACCGAGTGGAACCGAGTGGAACCGAGTGGAACTATGCATGGCAGAATCCATTTTCTGGCAAACATTTTGGGAAGCTGCAGGACATTCTGACGCAAAGACGCACACTCCTGGCCGCAACTGCCTCGGTCAACACTTTGTGTTTGTTGCCTGCAGTGTCCCTACACCTGATACAACTTGTACGACCAACATCTAATAACCTGCTTGACATTCTCTGATGTCTTGCTGGTAAGGCCAGACAGAGGCTGCTGTGTTTTCACCCGTTTGAGGAGCTAGAGCCAGGGAGTGAGAGAACAAAATCAAGAAGGAGAGAACATGTACATGGTATCGGATGGAACTGATCATATGGCTGCTTCCATACTGTGAATAGTTTGAGCAGTGTTGGTGACCAAATGCTCTCAACTTTCCGCTGGGAGTCCTTGATGTGCTTCTCAAACATTGGAAATTCGATTGCTCACCGGCTCTGGCTTCAAAGTTGCACAGAAGGATCAAAAGACATGCCCACAGATGGACCTCCCAACATGATGAGCTCTTCACACATCACAACCAAGACCAACACAGTCAATCAAGAGCGCGTCGATGACACTATGGACCATTATTTTATGACCTGATGATGTTTACGGACTGTTGATTCACAGATCATCTATTCTATTTATTGACCACAACAATAATACCCCAATATATTGCAACCTCTCCGGCAACATGATAGAGTCGTGGGGGTGGAAGTGACAGTCTGAAGCTCAGCCATTTGCACACACACACACATGCACATGTAGGTAGTCTGGAAGCTTCTTGACACATATGATCGCTTTCATCTCTGGACATGGAAGTCTGTCTCCCTTTTGACACATGTTCAAGATTGCACGAAAGCGGGAAACTTCAAGACACAATGACTGGAGATGAGCAGATGAGATGACTTGAGGCTCAATGGCAGCAGATGCGAAGGAGGTCAAGGCTGTCAGAGCAGCTGACAGGTTTTGGTCGTGGTGCCATATGACCCTTCTGCGGGTTTGTCGTTCTGGGCTTGCAAAATGATCACGCATTGAACCGCTTGCAGTATTGGCAGCATTTGGTGGCATTTGGCAGCAGTGTGACATGAGAACATGAAGAATAAATCAACATGATGCATCTAGACTGAACGATGCTGTTCGCTGCAGCATCTCGTTACTCCAGAACTCACCTCTGCGGGTGCCCTTCAGGCTATGTTTGCGTCCGTGCAGACGAATAAGCAGCAAGCCTGGAAACGTCAACAGGGAGAGGGCAAAATAGACGTCCGAGAATCTTGAAAGTTGTCAGGACACAGACTGGGCTGGAACTGTCATGGTATAGCCTGAACTTCTGGACATTTCATGGAAGATGAACGTTAAAGATGAAATTGGCCAAGCCAAATAGCAGCATATAGCTCCAGACCACACAGCACGGGGCTTGCTCTCAACTTGCTTTTCTGGCTAAGGCTTGGAACGTTAAGTTTGTCACAACTGGAGACAGTTGCTACGCAGCACAACCTGAAGGCGAGGGTGGGAGCAGGCTTGCAAAAAACAGGCTGCTCAGAGCAGTGTGATGTTCGCACGCTGACGCAACCAACTCATTTCCAGATGTGTCGACAGAAAGTGCAATCGAGTCTCAGAAAATTGAAGTTCGAGCGAAGGTGCTTGACCTGAAGGATCACAAAATCACAGCGATTCCCAAAGAGGCCGTTGTTTTTGTCAGATTTCAATCTCTCTCTTTCTCTATATATATATAATAATATATGCACATATATCTATAGTCTATAGTGTGTGCGTTTTGACCGCATTTGGATGCGACTTGCTGGAAGGTTCTAGGCGCTTTTGCGCATGTCACAGCTTATGGCTGAGTTCATCTGAGTTCTTTCAATCAATTGTCTTTTTGTGCGTCAGAGCTTCCATATGGAAACGATCGGGATCAGATCCAAGCCAAGGTGTTGGACTTGCGAAAGAACGCACTGGAGGATGCCATGACATGCATGACGAAGATCTGCAAGATGTTAACGATTCGACATGACGGTGTTGGCATATTCGGCAGTTGTTGGCATATCAGCTGCATGATATGTTGGTCCAAGATCTCGCATTGCCCAGGAATTGCTGCCTGAAATTTCTCAAATGATCTCCTTGGAGGACCTGCCCTGACCTGCCCGTGGATATTTGTGTCTGTGGAGAATGGACCGATATGAAAGTTATGTTTGCTTTCCAGGATCTCCTGCTGGACCAAAATCGACTCAGGGATCTGCCAGAGCAGGTGAGCTCCGATGTTTTGAACACAAGCTATGACAAGATATGACACGATGACAACCAGCTGAGGTATGCTCATTGCCAAACCTCAAGTCTCTGTCTGTGAGCCAGAACCTCTTGAAAAGACTACCAAAGGCGGGATGAGAGAGGAACTGGCTACTTTATAATTCATGGAGGTGGAGTCATAGGTTAAGGAAGTGTCAAGATGTTGAAGTGCTGTTGGTGTTTTCAAAGAGCACACTTGACTGCAGGCGCTGGCCTCTATGAAGGGGTTGAAGAATCTGAACGTTGGCTGGACACCTAGATCCACTGTGAGCAGGGATTTGCCATACACACGCAGTTAAAGAAGCAATGCGCTTGTCAGCCTGAATGAAGACGAAGGATCAAATCTGCAAAAATGCTGCTTTTGGTCTTAAGTTTCGGCTGAGGGTTGTGGTTGTCAGGTGACAACTTCATTGAAGAGATTCCAGTGGAGCTGGGGCAGTGCCACTCTCGTGCACGTGCACAAAATGAAAGATTAACCATCATATACCATCATCTATTGACATCTCTTGACCCGTTGCAGCGCAGCACTGTCATCCCTGTCAGCCCAGAGTATTGTTGTGCAGCCTTGGCAGTGTGCTGCTTTGGCGCCAGGTGCAAAGAGCTACAAACGCTGTATTTGCACCACAACAGCTTCACCACCCTTCCTGGCAGCATGGCGCAGGGCCCTGAGTTTTCACACTGTCCAGGGTGTCCAGGATTGTTTTCAAGTTTTGCGCAGAATGTGTCACCCAAGTAGATGTTCCGAAGGAGCATGGAGAACTTGCAGGAGTTGGCCCTGGAGTGGTTTAGGCAACAAGTCACACGAGTCACATGAGAATACTTCTGCCAGATATTCCCTTCTGGTGACCAGATACACAACGCCACCTCTGCCGCGGGTCATCAAGGGCTCGGAATGGCAGGCATCGTTGCAACTGGATGCCACTGGTGTTTTAAGGATGCACTGAGATGCCACTCGTTTTGCAACTGGCGTGCCACGGTGCAAAATGCACAACACAAACTGGCGTACAGCTGACAGCACCGTGTACCTGCCAGCGCATCATCACCAAGCTCCGAGACCTTTGCCGCGACAAGAAGGATGGTCGAGTCACTTGCATTGAGGCCATTGAATCATTGGGACCAGGTACACTCGGTACAATTGGTACACTCGGTACACTCGGTACACTCTCTATCATTGCCAAATTGCATCAGATTGCCAATCAGTGCACATTTATGCACATTTCCTATAGCATCTATAGTCTATGAAAGTGATTAGAAATTATATAGATTGTAAAGCAGAAGTGCGAGCGAACCGTGCTGCCGTGTGCCTTGTGCTACAGGTTCTCTCCGAATTTTCCCAAAAGGCTTTTGATGCAAATGCCATCGATTCCAAGCGTCGAACCAGGTGTGAAACCAAGGAATCAGCTGGAATCCGATGCACCCAATCAATCGGTTCTATTGTCATCTTTTGTCCTCGTAACAACTGGGTACCAGGCTTCACGTGGCATGCCTGGAAGGGCATGTGGGTGTGGCTCTTGCTTTATCGGAAACTGGGCACGGCACTCAGAACTTGCTCCCAGCGGTGCGGTGGAGTCCACATGAACTTCAAAGATGTTCAAAGGACATCCAGCTCTTCAACCGAGTTCAACCGAGTTCAACCGAGTTCAACCGAGTTTAACTGTTTAACCGAGGCAAAGGTGTGATACATTGGACTGTGAAGGCTATTCACCGCTGTTGGTGGCAGTCCGGGAGGTGCGCTTGGGGCGCAAGTAGATGAGATACGAATGGAATCTGGTACACGTTATACAGTACTGTATACATCATTATACATCTGTATACTATATATATATATACTGTTCTATACTACGTAATACTACGTATGATATACGCGCAACACGGCCCTGTCCCGCTACCGCACAGGAGCACCCAGACATTGCCAGTGCTTTGGTCAGGGTGGGGGTACTCAGCTGCGTCAGCATCAGCAAATTGACGTGGCGAGCTGTGGGGGACAGATCTTTTTGCCAGACTCAAGCAGCTTCAGCACCGCAATGCCATAAACATCCATAAACCTTTCCTGAACTTCGTGTACTTTCCAGCCCTGCTTGTTTCTTTTTGATCTTTTTGATCTTTTTGATCTCTTCGCCTGATTTGTGCGCTTTGGCAGTCTGGAGTTGATGTCAATCGTGGTGGCGGTCTTTTTGGATCTCCATTGCATGTGGCAACGGTTAACTTCGATCCACAAATGGTGACGGTCTTAGCAGCGTCAGCCATTTGTAGTAGTCTGACTGGTCTCTCATGAGCACCTGCAGCTTGCAAACTCTGTGCTTTGGAAACGTGCGGCCGTTGTGTCAGTTCAGGTGAACCTGCTCATCCGCGGGAAGGCTTTTGTGAATCAAACTGATGCCGATGGACCCTTGCCTATACAAGCCGGTGTCGAAGTAGGACGCTGTGACTGTCACTGTGCGTTAGAACGAAAAATTGGGAAAAATTGAGGGATGGAATCCTAACTTTGTAGGCCAGCACACTGTGCTGTTCAAACATCTCTAGCCACTTCTCAGGTGCAACGCAGATAATTACTTGCCTGTTTTCAGTACTTTGCAGTTCACATTTCCGACCGTCCTGGTTTCAAAGTGTCTGTTTCATGGTCCCACAATGCCAGACCTGCTAAGGCAACTGTCCACTGCATGTTCTGATGTCAGTCTTTGACAAGGCCTGAAATTAGGAAGCACTTGGAACAGCAGTGAACCTTTTCCCCAAAACACTTGAAGAAAGCTGACTGTGCAGGGTGGCAAGCGTGCTGGAATAATTGGAAAGATTCTTTTGCAGAACAAAGCTGACTGCAACATGCTCGCAGCCCAGCATGAGAACACTGCATAATACGCATGCACACTTGGCATCAGCAATTCTGTTTATGCAGAGACACTTAGGATGAACAGCGACAAGTGGGCTCCCTTGCATTTGGCTGCAAGAAGAGGCAACTGTCAAGACTCAAGACTGTCAAGCTGATTTGAGTCCAATTTGGACTGGTCTGAGAACAGGGGCCACTCTTTGCGAATTATACAACCAAACAAAATCACAATTGACGTTGTCCCGAACAGTACTGGCATCTGCAAGAACTGCGAACAATCAAAAAAGGAATCTTGTGAAGAGGAACGTTGACTATTGACAATTTGTGAGGTGATCTGTTCCTGTCTTTCTTTTGTCAGCAAAGTGATCTTGAAGTGCTTTTTGGTCTTTCAACTTTTTGGTCTTCCGAGTCTGAAGAGTCATTAAGATGTCTTAAGATGTCTTAAGCATTGGCCCGTGATCATCCCACAGGCCAACTCCGAGGGATTGCCTTTGTGCTGAGGTGCCTTGTAAACGCTAAACGCTGAAAGTTCATGAAAGTTCATGAGATTAGACTCTGCAAACTCTGTATATCTGCGTGACTTCTGACTCTGCAAACTTGCCGCAGTCACCTGGACAGCGCAGACGCCGCCTGTCAGAGAGGAAGTTGTGGCCATGAGTGGAGCCATCGTGTTTTGGCAATCAGTACGCAGTGCGTCATCGTGTCATCGCAATGTGTCATCCATGGGGATCAGCCAGGCCGGAGAAGAAGCAGGCGTACATCAGCAGGGTGCGAACATGTCCCAGAACCTTCGACCTTAATTTGAGGCTGGGCTGAACTGCAGAACCTGTGCACATCCATTGCATTACTCTGCTCATCGTCTCATTGCATTTGATGTGAGTCACACGGGCCCTAGTTGATGCTGTTGTTCAGGGGTGGGTCCCACTTGTGGACACCCTTGCATCTTGCTGGACATGCCTGCCACGTCAATGTTGCCTGTTCCTCAGAGTTTCGGCAGAGAAAGACAGTCCAAACTCTGCAAGTGGTAGCGCTCCCCATGATTTCTGAACGTCACTGCAGGTGCAAGTTTTAATCGAGGAGCAATCCTTAGCTTTTCCTGGGCTTGTGCCAGCTTGGTCAGCTGAGTCTTCTTTCATTGAAAACTATCATAAAAGAATATATAAGATCTCCATTTTCAACCGATTTTTCCTCTGCTCTTTGCAGGCCGGCTCGGATGTCTTCTTGCGAAACATCGACGGTCGAACTGCAAGGCCAGGCAATCATATCTTGATGTGCTTCTGTTGCACGATGTTGCACGATGTTGCACGATGTTGCACGATGTTGCACGAAGTTGCACGATGTTGCACGATGTTGCACGAAGTTGCACGATGTTGCACGATGCTGCACGTTTGCATGACATGTGCAAGATTGCCCACGACAAATGAGGCATGTTTCAAGAGGAAACCTAGCCATATCAAAACTCCTCAGAAAGGCGGAGGACGGGGTGTCCAAAGTCTCAGCAACAACAACAAGACTGCTACCTTTGGGTTACCATTCGCAAATATTTGAAGGGAGATGCTCTTGCAGCCGTGTATTTGAGATTTGCGAGGACGAATGGCTTTGGTACCGCATACACCAAGGATTCTCTGACATGAAGGAGACCAAGTGACTTGCCTTTCAGAATACTTCCAAAACAGCTTGCATCAAGAAGCAAGATTCTTTCCAATCATTTTGCATCGTTGGATTCGTTATGCAATGAAGTGGAAACACTGAGTAGACATGAGTAAACAAGGTTACAAGAATGGTCTCGACCGGGTGAAGTGGAACACACACACACACAGCGCAGCAATAGTACTTTTCTGGATAAATGGAAGCACCATTGTTCCACTTCAGTGCAGTGAACACTAGACAAGATTTCGGCAAGATGCGATTCTGCATATGTTTGGAAGCAAGGAACCTAGAAAAACCTAAAAGAACATAGATATTTATTTTGCCCTATTTTGCCCTAGGAAACAGGAAAGGATGACATTTTTGATGCTCCAGATATCAATCAATAGATAAATAGCACCCTGCTCTGACGATTTCATCAAGCGGGGATATTTGTTCAAGATTTCATAGAGCTACTTTGACAACTAGATGTTCTCCGAAGCCTCAGGACAGGTTCAAAGAGGTCAGACAGGACATTTGCATTTCCAATGGAAGTGTGACCAGGAGACAGTGAAGCCAATGGGAGATGTGCATGCGGCTACAGAACCATTTGCGGATGGTGCGCTCAAACTAGAAACTATGGTTGCCGTTGTGCTTGTACTTCTTGTGGTTGTTGTGAGTGCTGGCAGTAACTTAGTAGTGACAGTGAGGGTCAAAGTGCACAAAGTAGTGGGGGGATCAGCCTTGTTCATATTCCTCTGGCATAGAAGTTGGAGTATGAAATATTGACCCGTATGATTCTTGAAGAGGAACATTTAGGTTCAAACCGTCTTGAGCGTGAGAATCCCATCAGTCTTTCCAAAACCTGCCTGCTGAGTTGCGAATTCACCTCGCGAACTTCCTGGCAAGTTGCAATTCCTAGATTCGCTGTAGATTTTGTGCACTTGTTCAACTTGTTCAATGCGAAAAGTTCGATGTGTTGCACACCCAGGGACACTCACGAGCTCCTGGAGATCTTCAAAGTGGATGACGACGAAGATGATCCGATTGAGGCTCTAATAATGGGACCTGCCATGGCATTTGAGGCCCAGTCCAACCGGGTCCCACTGTCAAGAGCCACAAGCCATGCGCAGGAGATAGCGAAGAACATTGAAGGTCCAGCCAGAAGAGGTCTGCAGTGTCGGAATTATTTTTTTTTGGGCTAACGTCTAGTCTGTTTGAGAGACCGCTGGTGTGAAAGATAGACACTTTTCTTGAATTGAACATTTCTTTAAACTAGGAACTCATGCAGGCTCCGGCAGTTCAGGTGCACCTGCTCCCCAAGGCCAGGATTCTGAGTCATAGTGAGGCAAATAGATACTCTTACGATCTTTTACTCTTTCATGTATGGAAGAGAAGCTCTCTCTCTCTCTCTCTCCCGTCTCCCGGGAACGTAAGTGACATGGGGTCATGCATTGTCGATTTTTTGCTACATATTATTTTCCAGTATATATATATATAAACATTTACACACATACGGACAGACATACTCATCTATTCTATATTCAGTTATGTTTGGTATATATATATTATATATATACATACACACATACATACACACGCACACACACACACCCCTCTTATACACCTGTGTATCTCAGCATACAAAGTCCCAGAAAATTCCCGGTTTCGCCATCTTAGAAGCGATGGTTTCAGGTCCACCAGATCCTGCTGGACCACCACAGTTGAGGACTGCATCCAGGCCGGAATGCCTGGACCTTTCCATCCCAGGGTTAGGTAAAAAAATGCGGGATTCACCTCCCGATTTCTGGCAATTGGGAAAATATGGGAAAATGATGATCCACTACAAATTGTCTGGATACCTCATTGTCACACAAACCCATCAAGATCGCCCTACTTGCAAAGGGATTGCCTTCATTGAGTTTGTTCTGCTGTCCTGAGAACGAATTGACATGTAAATGTTGCAAACATAAATCGACATGCAAATGATGCAAGCATAGGTTGATCAACATAGTTCTATCTTGAAATTCTACATTGAAGTACACAAACAGATCATAACAGATCACTGTCAAGTCAAATCTGTCAAAATAATTGTGTCTTATACGTTTCACGACAGATTTCTTTGCTTCTCTTGGAGGCCGAAGATGCAGCGGATCACGGAGAAGTGCCAAGACTCCTATTTTTCCAAGGCCACAATTCGTCAGTGGAACATTCTGAACTCGAGAGTGAACAGAATGACTCAGAATGAATAGAATGGACACGTCATCATGATACATAATGAACATCACGAACATGAGAGGGCTCTTCGACCATATCGTATCATGTTGCATCAACATTTGCCAGTCATTCAGAATGAAATACCTACCATTTACATCCATTCCCTGCTTCATTTCAAAGATGTTCCTATCTTGGAACGTTTCTCGCTCAGGAGGAACTCCAGTTCCACCAAAGGATTAATTTCTGCAAGCCGACCTCCGAAGATGGCCTTGAAGGCCCAGACGATTTCGCTTGTGAACTTGATTGGCATATGGATCTATATCTATATCTATACTGGCATATGGATCTATAGATATTGATCTATATATATACATCTATAAATATATATATCTATATCTACATATCTATAGATATAGATCTATATCTATACCTATAGATCTATATCTATATCCATATCTATATCTATATATGCACATATGGACATGTAGATATATCAAGGTATTTGTTGCGACAAATATGTACATGTACTTTCACATCAATCAGTTGTCAAGGCTCGAAGGGTTCGACTGTAGGTGATGAGGTGTTCGTCGAAGCGCTCGGCAAGCTGCTCGAAAAAGGGCCACCTTCTGAGCGATTAGCCAGTGTTCAGGCGACAGGAGAGGGACGAAGATGGAGTCGAGAGTGGAAAGGGCATGGCTGTGACTATCCGGAGACCAAACGACCTCGGCAGTCTTTTACTTTGCCGAGGCCAAAGTACCGACTTCCTTACTTGTTGTCAAAGCCCTGGGTCAAGGACAAATTGTCGCTGTTTTCACCGCTCATCTGCGCTCTGTTTTGCTCAGTTTCTGCCAAGCCTTAAAGCCTTAAAGCACCTCTATGTACCTCCGTTCAGCAGTCCAGCAATTTAGAATTTCTGCTGCGTTGCGAACACCGATTTCTGCAATATCAGCACTGCAGGAAGTAATGCCCTATGTGGTCGAAGACGACGCAAATCACCATCTTCTACTTGATCCGGAGTTTGTTTGCAATGAGGCACTTAAGCTCGCTTGCAATTCCTCACACTTTTCTACAAGTGCTGCCTCAAGCCTGCGATTGCATTCTGGAAGCTTGCTGGGGATGTTGCAGGATTTGCTGAGAATGTTTGTGAACAACTTGCCACAAGACAGGCCTTGTGGCTGAAGTGTGGAGAATTGCTTTGTGTTTGTTCTCTCGCTAGATACTTTTGTTGCATCATGAACTCCCACGTTAAGCTTAATTGCAGCTTCTTAAACCAGAATGGCAAGGAAGGAATCAGACATCACGATTGGCTCACCGCAAACATATTTGCATTGTCAAAGATGTTAGTCAGTGGCTTAAGTGCAAAATGCAATGGGAAAATTGTTGCTGGGTATTGGTGTCCCCATGAAACTGTCAGCTTGTCAAGTTGCTTTTCGTTTCTGCCGGTATTACGACTTGGGAAATCAAAAAGTCATTTTGCTGGTGACTCGCTGATCACAGTGAGCCATGTTTGGAGGCTTGGGTTGCTCGGAAAAATGAGAAGCAGCGATCAGGACCGAATGCTATAAACAATTGGACAGGAGAGAAGGCCATGCCTGGTTAAATCTTGTCAATGCATCTGCAAGGACAGTCTGCTTCACGTCATGTGCAGAGGTGCAAAGAGATTGCGAGCCATATGGCCATACGATGAGATGTAGCGCACACGGCGATCTCTGCTAGGTGTTCGTTCTGCCACAAGCTCCGCTGCAGACTTGCTCTTGTTCCTTTTGATGGCTGCCAGCTCAGTGGAAAGGATGCTACTCTACACTCTGCCGAGTGCTTTTTGGTTACCTCGGTTACCTGTCCAGTCCCCCAGTTCTAAGGCGTGCCCAAAAGGAACGTTTGACTTGGAGGCCTGTGGGCTGCCTGGGCATATTTTGTCATTTTGTCATCTTGAGGTGAAGCATGGTGAAGCATTTTCACTCCGCTTGGTTAAGTTACGTTAAGTTGCTTAGGGTGCTGTGTTCCTTTAATCATCATGTTTCGATCTTCATTTGTGGCAGCTTATGCAGCTCTGAGATCTCACGTTGCGAACATATCTCAGAAGGATTTGAAAGCAGCAACAAAAATCAGCTGTGTGAGCTATGGCAATTACTGTTGCCGGACTCCTGGCCCATTTGGGATCTGCATCTTCAACAGCTTTCCAAAGCCTCACCGTTTCAAGCATCTTTTGACTATTTTTTACTTAGCAAATCGCAAAGCACATCATTCAACCAATGTGTTTCCTGCTCGATCAGGCCATGGATGCTGAAGTCAAAGCTGTTTGTTGTAGGATTTAGACTCTGGCACTTGACCAAGGGCGATGTCTGGTCATGGGATTCGTGCCATCTCAGGAATGGTGGGATTCTGGAGCTGCAGCCTGCAATTCTCACATGCCCAAGATCAGGAGAGCAGGCTTTTGATGTCATTCAGGCACCAAGATTTCTTCGAAGGTGAGATACATTTTCCCAGAGGTTCAGTCTATTTGCAAGGTAGAGGACCAAATGCTTCTTTGAAAGTGCGTGGATGGATGTCTGGCACACAAGGAATATTCTCCAACTGCTGGCATTGCTATGATGGGAAAGTTTGCTCTTCGGAAGAAAAATGCTGTGGGGACAACCCAAGCTTGGATTGCTTTGACGGGATCTACTGGCGCAAAAAGGTTTGTTGTGACAAAGAGCTGAAACACTATGAGAATCATGCCGAGATGCAAGTTTCGACTCTGTATACAATGTTAGGCATTGAGCAAACATATCAACGCCTGACAGCTAGAAGACTTGAGCACTTGACGACTTTGGCTTTACCTCTTTGGAATAAAAGCGTCTTGGAGTTGGCTGGGCGTCAAGGCGATTTGACGCATTACTTCACGGACCGAGGATGCAATGTGACCATTGTGGAACCTCGAGAGTCGAACATCCTACAGCTTCGCAGAAAGCTCGCGCTCAACATTTTATTTGACAAGAGCAGGGTAGACTATTTGTCAATGGACCTAGAGAAGAAAGTCCCCGTTGGCCGGTGGCAAGTTGTATTTTGCTTTGGATTGCTCTATCACCTTGAACAACCGCTGGTGTTCTTGAGAAGGATTGAACCTTTGGTGGGGGACTTCCTTCTTTTGGAGACTTTTGTTTCTTCCAATATTGTCCAAATTGAAGAAGTAGCTGCGGCAGATTCTGCAGGATTGTCAGGAAGAGCTACACTGATTCGAAGGGAGGATGTTTTCTATGCATTGAAAGCGCTTTTCGAATACGTGTACATCCCCATTGATTGGGCAAACCAAAGTGACTCACGTGCACTCTTTATCGCAGCCCGCCGGCCGCTGAGCAGCGCCGTACCCTTAATGGAGGAACTTCCTATGCAGCAGATGCGGTCATGGTGATGGCAAGGGCTAAAGATTTGCTGCTGAAGCTGCGGGTCCCAGACACACAAAAAAAGGCTTTGTCAATGGCTTAGAAAATCACGTGTCCAGTCTATATGGTTGGTTATTGGCAAGGGCGCAGACAGGTAATCTGATGTTCATGTCCGCAGCCGATGCATTGCGAAGGCAACGTTCTATGATGTTTTATGTAATTCTGAGGTATACCTGAATTATGGACAAACATCTCTCTCTCTCTCTCTCTCCCCAATGAAAACCAATCCACGTGGGCCCCGCAGCGCTATTTTCCATTGGAGTTCTTTCATGGTCGTTGAGATCAGACCCGTCCAGGCGAGAGACTTACGAGGACAGACCTGTTTGCATCTTGCCTCACAAAGCGGAGACCTTGGTTTGAAGCTCAGGCAAGAAAAACATAGAAAAGCAATCAGCTCGCATTGAGTACCAAGACCAGCCACGGCTTACATTTCTGAAGGCTTTTTGCATTGCAGCCTGAGGTCTTGTGCAGGTTTTGCTGGACAACAAGGCTCAGCCCAACGTGCAAGAGGACCAGTTCTTGGGAATTTCTGTGCGACAGTTGCCCCTGTTACACTGTTGCATTTGTTTCCAATTGGCTACAACCAGAAATCCCATCCAGGAAACTACCGGATGGACCCCACTCCACTTCGCAGTATCGAAGGTTTGGTGACACGTGGAGATTCAGTGGCCAGCCGCAGCCTGGACACACCGAATTCATCACCCAAAAAAAAACTTATGATTCTTATGATGAGGAAATTGGGGAGTGATGGCAGGCACACTACAGCATCATTCTGCAGCTGCTGCAGCATGGAGACACTGATGTCAACCAGGCTCACCAAAACTTCTTTTCAGTGCGTGACAGCCTTCCACTTCAGTGTTTCTGTTGGCAGGTTGACAAGTTTGAGTGGCCTCCAATTCTGGAAGCGTGCTCAAGGTGTGGCTCACTGGATGAGTTTTCAGATGTCTTGGTTTCTTGAGGTGGTGAGAAGAGGTGTGCTCAATGCTTTTTTGACCTGGAGGCTTGATGCTCGGGCTACATCCCTTCTGGTGAATGGGAAAGCCAATCTGTCTTTCAGGTCGCCTATCTTTGCTGCTTCTTCAGCAGTCTGTACATGTCTTATCATTTCTTTAGTTTGCTGGAACTCAATGGGTCTTACACTGGGGGCATTGTTGTTGTTTTTTCCCTTTCCGGACCTGTGAAAAGGGAATAAAGCAATTTTGGCATATTTTTGCACTAAGTTCCTAATGTGTAAATAAGCTGGACAAGAACAAGAAAACAAAGAAGAAAACAAAGAAGCAGAGGAAGAATAGGAAGAAGAGTAAGAAGAAGAGAAAGAGGAAGAAGAGGAGGAAGAGGACGATTATATCGAGGAAGAAGAGGAATAGGAAAGACACGCATGTCGTTTGTATTTCCACTCTGTGTCAGCACTTGATCGAGAGCACTCGTCAGGAACCAGCACCAGTTTGATGTGCTCAAAGCTGTTGACACATCAAAGAAGGACATTCAGCTAGGGGTTTCAAAACATGTAGTAAAAATTGCAGGTATTCAAAAACCCTTTGAATATCTTTGAATGCAAATGGACTTGAAGAAATCGATGGAGTTCGAACACTTGCAAATGGCCTGGAGGATTTGGCGGCAAAGCGCTGGATGTCCTGCTTGGTGGTCAGCAATGGCTTCCGATTTCAGGCAGACCATGGCAGACCTCATGATTGTTGATAGGCTTTGAAGGTGCCAAAAGATTGTGTCAAGCCCTAAGCTTCCTGGTGAATCCTAGTAATCCATACCCAGGAGTCAACTGTGCAGCTAACGGCGGAGGCGCAGTCTTGTGTGTCAGGCAGATGTCAAGAACCAGAATTTACACAGCCAGGGGGAAACATGAACAGCTAGCAAAAAGGTGAGTAAGTGTAGAAGCATCGAAAGTGCTGCAAAAGGGAGTGTCGTCCTCGGCAAAAGAAGACAAGGCAATTGCGCGACCCATGTTATGGCTACATATGGCTACTATCGACTTGAAGCCCGCGATGGGTACAAGCTATATACATTGGCTGAGTAAAGCATTTGTTGAAAAGGAATGAAAAGGATGCAATCCCTCGGCGGTGTGAAATGCCAAAAGGCAGTTTGGAAGGTAGCACCTGCATTTGCTTGCTACAAATGAAATCACTATTGGTTGGAAAGGGGATTCTAATGAATTCTGGGCACACTTCCTCTCATGAAGACTTCAAGCTGCCAACAACATGTGCGCCTGCGGGGACATTTTACCCTAAATACCTACACTTTGCCTCCAGCTTTACCGCTCGGAGGACCGCGACACTCTCCAGCGCGAACATGTCTCTTTCAACACACGGACGGTTCCAGCCGCGATCCAAGCAACGAAAATCCAACTGGCCGAGAAGTTGACGTGGACACCGCGGACAAGGCATATCTTGGCATTAGCCAAGACTGAGGCGACACGTCCTCCGTTCTTTGTTCCAGATCACTTGGCTCCGAGATGTCATAGCTGCAAGGCTGGCAGTGTTTCTTACAGGTAAAAGGTGGATACTGCTACCTGTTGATTTGGCACGTTTGTATTCGTATTGAAACCAGCTCAAAGCATTGGATCAACGACTCCAACAGAGGTGACTTGCAGTTTCTTTTTGTGTTTTCGGCAGGTCCTGTTCTCAGTCTCGGTTCGTTGGAATCTCAGTCGGGGCTCATTGTTGCACATAATTCACATGATGGTTCGACGTGAAAGACATGACATAGACTACAGGAATTGTCAAAAGATGCTCCTTTTACTTCTTTCCAAGTATTGTCTTTGCAAAACACAGAGCAAAGGCCGCTACCACTGTCGGAGCTGTGGGCTGGTGCTATGCGGCAATTGCTTCAAGTGGAGGCACTTGGTTTCCTGTCATGATGGCAGCATGTCCCAACAGCTGGAAGGAGCTGTTTTTTTTTTTGTCTGCTCACGATATATACACGGATGCACTCTATCCGATCTATCCAATGCCGCTGCAATGTTCTTATTTGGATATCGGCTCAGCGTTGTGATATCGTTTCTTTTACAAAGCCTCCCGCTTCGTGCACCTCGGCTCTGGTAACTTTGGAGAAGTGTTGCTGCTGACCTTGGACTCGCAAAGTACTGCATCCCTTGATATAGAAACATATATGATGTACATAATATATATATATATGATATATATTATAAATAAATATATATATATATATACACAAATATGATACAATGCAATGTAATCTAATCCAATCTAATGTGATACAATATAATATGATATAATATAATATGATACTGTATAACACAATATAATTTAAACACTATAAAATATAATAAATTGCCAGTAGTACCCGCACGAGGCGGGGCGGAAGTTGCCTTAGGGTTATACTATAAGACCTTTCTCATCTATAGAACTTGCATGCGCCGTGCGCCAGCCAGGCCTGTGCGTGCGTGCTTTGTGCGAACCTATTGCGCTGATGTTTGTTCGACAGCACTTTACTACAATGCTTGCACAAAGTACTTCCCAGTACTACTTTGTACTACAAAGCTTGCACAAAGCACGTCCCAGTACTACTTTGTACTAAAGCTTGCACAAAGCATTTCCCAGTACTACTTTGTACTACAAAGCTTGCACAAAGCACTTCCCAGTACTACGTTGTACTACAAAGCTTGCACAAAGTACGTCCCAGTGCTACTTTGCACTAAAGCTTGCACAAAGCATTTCCCAGTACTACTTTGTACTACAAAGCTTGCACAAAGCACTTCCCAGTAGTACTTTGTACTACTACAAAGCTTGCACAAAGAGAGCCTTTACACACAGCAAGTTCTTTCGCAGAGAAGCTATTACACACGGCAAGCTTTTACACAGAAAAGCTTTTACACACAGTGAAGCTTTTACGCACAGAGAAGCTTTTACACAGAGAAACTTTTACGCAGAGAGGCGCTTTTACACACAGAGAAGCCTTTACTTTTATATACACACAGAAAGCTTTACACACAGCAATCTTTTACACAGCAAGCTTTTACACAGAGAAGCTTTTAGACAGAGAAAGCTTTTACACACATCAAATTTTACACACATCAAGTTTTTGCACACAGAAAGCCTTTACACACAGCAAGCTTTTACGCACAAAATCTTTTACACACAGCAAACTTTTGCAGAAAGAAGTTGTTCCACAGAGAAGCTTTCCTGTACATAATGGCAACAGAAATTGCAGCTCCAAAACCGGATCTCGGCGCCAAAGCAAAAACAACACGATCTTGAAGCACTTTTAAAAGGAATTTTAAAAGACAAATCACCAGCTCCAAAATTAAGAAAATCTGCTGACAAATCATTATCGCAGCCTTGATGCAGCCATTCCAATACGATTTACGATGTCCAGCTGCAAAAGCCAGTATTATGCATGCAGCCGCGGCACCAAGCAACCTTGACGCAGGGCCATTACAATGCGATCTGCAGAGAGTGAGTTGCAAAACACAATAGAACTACGCGCAACGGCGTCAGAAATTGCAGCTCCAAAACCGGATCTCGGCGCCAAAGCAAAAAAAAACACAATTTTGAAGCTTTTTTCACAAGGAATTTTGAAATGAAAATACCAGCTCCAAAATTGATAAAATCTGCTGACAAATCATTATCGCAGCCTTGATGCAGCCATTCCAATACGATTTATGATGTCCAGCTGCAAAAGACATTAGTATTACGCATGCAGCCGCGGCACCAAGCAACTTTGATGCAACCGTTACAATGCGTCTGGCAACATCACGTGGCTAACTCGCATGTAGCTACACACGTGGCAACAGAACATGACAACAATCATGCAGCCATTATCATGCAATCTGCAACCAGACATTCCACAAGCGCATTGAACGACGCACACATGAACAACCACTCCTTGCAGAACACCAAGGGAGAACCGATTCGACCCCGAAACGACCACAGCCGCATTCGCCGCACACAGGAGGTACCTTTCATCGCCGCCTGCAGCCACTTTACACGGAAAAACACCAGGTTTCGTGCTCCAGCTTCCTCCCCAACACAAGTCCCATGAAACATTCATGCAGCCATTACAATGCGTTTTGCGGCAACACCTACACAACCATGCAGCCGCTACACTACGATTTGCATCCGCTCGTTATACTCGTTGCAGCACAGAGGAGGAACCGATTCGACCCCGAAACGACCGCCGCACCCGCCGCACACAGGAGGTACCTTTCATCGCCGCCTGCAGCCACTTTACATGGAAAAACACCAGGTTTCGTGCTCCAGCTTCCTCCCCAACACAAGTCCCATGCAACATTCATGCAGCCATTACAATGCGTATTGCAGCAACACGTACACATCCATGCAGCCATTACATCACGATTTGATCCACTCGTTGCAGAACGCAGAGGAGGAACCGATTCACAGAGGAGGTACCTTTCATCGCCGCCTGCAGCCACATTACACGGAAAAACACAAGGGTTCGTGCTCCGGCTTCCTCCCCAACACAAGTCCCATGCAACATTCATGCAGCCATTATATGCGTTTTGCAGCAGCACCTACACATCCATGCAGCCATGACAATGCGATTTGCATCCACACGTTGCAGAACACCAAGGGAGAAGCGATTCGACCCCGAAACGACCGCCGCACCCGCCGCACACAGGCGGTACCTTTCATCGCCGCCTACAGCCACTTTACACGGACAAACACAAGGTTTCGTGCTCCGGTTCCTCCCCAACACAAGTTCCATGCAACATTCATGCAGCCATTACAATGCGTTTTGCAGCAACACCCTACACATCCATGCAGCCATTACAGTGCGATTTGCATCCAGACGTTGCAGAACACAGAGGAGAAACCGATTCGACCCCCAAACGACCGCAGCCGCATTTGCAGCACACAGGAGGTACCTTTCATCGCCGCCTGCAGCCACTTTACACGGAAAAACGCCAGGTTTCCTGCTCCAGCTTCCTCCCCAACACAAGTCCCATGCAACATTCATGCAGCCATTACAATGCGTTTTGCGGCAACACCTACACAACCATGCAGCCACTACACTACGATTTGCATCCGCTCGTTATACTCGTTGCAGCACAGAGGAGGAACCGATTCGACCCCGAAACGACCGCCGCACCCGCCGCACACAGGAGGTACCTTTCATCGCCGCCTGCAGCCACATTACACGGAAAAACATCAGGTTTCGTGCTCCGGCTTCCTCCCCAACACAAGTCTCATGCAACATTCATGCAGCCATTACAATGCGTTTTGCTGCAACACCTACACATCCATGCAGCCACTGCACCATGATTTACACTCGCTCGTTATACTCGTCGCAGAACACAGAGGGGGAACCGATTGCATCCGCTCGTTATACTCGTTGCAGCACAGAGGAGGAACCGATTCGACCCCGAAACGACCGCGGCTGCACCCGCCGCAGGCAGGAGGTACCTTTCATCGCTGCCTGCAGCCACTTTACACAGAAAAACACAAGGTTTCGTGGTCTGGCTTCGTTGCCAACACAAGTCCCATGCAACATTTATGCAGCCATTACAATGCGTTTTGCAGCAACACCTACACATCCATGCAGCCATTGCAATGCGTTTTGCATCCACAGGTTGCAGAACACCAAGGGAGATGCGATTTGACCCCGAAACGACTGCAGCCGCACCCGCCGCACACAGGAGGTACCTTTCATCGCCGCCTGCAGCCACTCTACACGGAAAAACACCAGGTTTCGTGCTCCGGCTTCCTCCCCAACACAAATCCCATGCAACATTCATGCAGCCATTACAACGCGTTTTCCATCACAAAGCGTTTTGCAGCAACACCTACACATCCATAAAGTCTCCCACCACCCTGCATGAATGTATTGTTATGTGATGTAAAGTCTCACAGTCTCACACCACCCTTCATGATGTATTGTTATGTGATGTAAAATCTCACAGTCTCGTCACACCACCCTTCATGAATATATTGTTATGTGATGTAAAGTCTCACTAATATATAGTATGAGATAATATAATATAACTTAATACAAACAGTTTAATAAAATCTATAGTATTGTAGAATATATTGTAAAATACAATATAATTTAATATAATATAGTATATAGTAGTATATGATATATGGTATAATACCGTTTAAATAAATTATTATTGTATGAGATAATATATAATATAACTTAGTATAAACAGTTTAAAAATAGATAGTATTATAGAATATATTGTATGCTATAATATAATTTAATACACTATAGTAAATAGTAGCATATGATAGTGTAGTATAAATATATAATATAATGCAATATCTAGTTAAAAAAGTAAACAGGAACAATACATTATCTAGTAGTGTATGAAATATAGTATAATATAATACAAATATAGTAAAATACATAGTTCAACAAAACATAAAGAATAATATAACATACAGTAGTATAAAATATTTAGTAATATTACAATTTATAGTAACATATTTAGTATAACATAATATTTAGTATAATACAAAGTGATATAGTATAATTGGTGTAATATAATGCAATATAGTATAGTACAGTATAATATATTTAGCATAATTTAATACGCTCTAATATGATATAGTATAGTACAACAAAACACGATATGATTTAATTTAAGCTAATATATAGTTTAGTATAGAGTATAACATTATATATGACATATAACATAATATACTGTAATTTAATGTACTTCAGTATCGTATTATATAGTATAGTTTAAGGTAAGATTAGATATAGTATAATCTAGTAGCATAATAGAATACAATAGAATGTCATTTAATGTAGTATAGTCTAATATAACCCAATTTTAAATAATATAATAGAATATAATATACATATAGATAATACTATATTGAATAGTATAATATAAGTATCTATGAAAAATACATAGATAGATAGATAGATAGATTGATAGGTAGGTAGGTAGGTAGGTAGATAGAGAGAGAGATAGATAGATTAAATAAGTAAATAAATAAATAAATAGATAAATAAATAAATAGATGCACACACACACATATATATATACACATACATACATACATTATAATTGTGTTATTTCCTGGTTTTCTTGTCAATTTTGTCAACTCTTTTTAGCTGTTTTCAAATTGTTCAACATATGCATGGAATCTTTTGAGTTTTCCATGGTCATCTAAGGCGGTGCATGAAGCGAGGCCCATCTCAACAGGAGTGCGGGACTTAGCTGGTGGCCATCTGGGATAAAGGCCCCTTCTGGCTCAACGCCAAGGCAAGCGAGTCAGAATAAGCGACAGAAGGAGGGCTCGGTCCCTTGGTCGATTGAAACGGGGTAAACCGGTCATCCCTGGGAATCCTATGGGAATCCTATGGGGTCCTGTAATGCAGATTGACTCTGAATACCCAAGACACCTAGATACATCTAGAACATCTTGAACCATCTGAACCATCCTCGCCTGAAACTGACGTTTCAAGCACCTGCAGATGGATGGAGCTGCCGCTCCGGCCGTTTCAGCGGACAGAGAGCACTTAATGCTCGTGAAGGCTCCACCAGTTTTTGCAGATCTACAGGAAGTAAAATCATATGAAATCAATAAAGACATACCGTCAGTTGGTCAGTTCCTCAGCAGACGGTTGCGTCAGGTTTTGCAGCTGGCCCAACAGCCAGCACAAAAACTTAGCGTGGCCAACGCAAGTGCCTCAGTCCGACTCACTGTGCAGTGGAAAGTTGATGAGAGTTGTTGCCATCCAAGGGCCTAAGGGCCATCTAACAGTTCAGCACCGTTCTGGAGCATGGGTCCGTGCCGTTATCTTGAGGTCGGCGAATTTCTGGACGGCGAGGCCAGAGATGACCGAGATGAGACGCTTTGTGTCGCACTTTGCTTTGTAGCGAACGGTCAGTGGACAAAGCAAAGCAACCTGTGGACTCTTGGAGACTCTTGGAGTTGCAACTTGGAGGCCAATCGAATTGCGGGGGAAAGGAGCCTGGAAGATGCCGTCATGTTTCTTGCAGCGCAAGGAACTCAGGGTTGCAAGATGGCGTTCAAAGGTTTGGTTTTACTTGTTGAGATTTTCGAGCTATGCGTCAGCACGCTGAGCAGGGGATGGAGAAGATCTGAGGACTGCTTGATAAAGCTGACCAATAAGCTCCCAAAAAGTCACGATGTCTAGAGTCCATAACCTCATTGGTGGCAAAGACCGCACGCGAAGGAAGGAGGTGTCGTTCCTTCAACTTGGGATGGCATTGCGCCACTGCAAGAGGCAAGTGTTTGCATGAGCACGGGATGAGCTGTCACTGATGCACGAGGTGTTTTTTGTTTTTGGCTATGCACTGACAGTTCACCTGATTTGTTGGGTATCCTGGTATCCATGCAACTTCTCCGACTTCATATACTTCGTCCCTGTTTTTTTTGCTTTTCATATTCTTCTGCTTTCGGGAGGCTGTTCTGACAGCCTCACTTGCCCTGTTGCTGGGCGCATCTTCCGAGCAGAAGGTGTGCAGCAGCGACAAACAAGTTGTGAATCAACAATTCTTGCCATGATGCGACCATGAAGACATCCTCAGTCTGTTTCTCCATTTCACATCATTTCACAGCTTTGTAAGGCATGCTGCTGCATTCTTCTCAGAAATGCCGAGAATTCTTGCCAGCAAATTTGTCAGGTCACTCTTATTCTTGGACTTCTCAACAACCGTGTGCCAATCAGGCCATGTTTTCTTTTTTTTACCATCTCTGGACGGATGGAGTTTGGAGATGTTTGGCAATCGGTGGAAGTTCTGTTGAAGTGTCCTGTGGATCCTGTGGGTCTGCCAGGCTCATGAACGAGCTCCTGCTGGCAGCTGCTGAGGTGGATACAGAACGTCAAAAAAATTCGGCAGTTCGCAGTTCGCCACGCCCTGTCACAGGATGATGCAGTTCCACCAGTGCTGGTCTCCAGACTAGCTTCACAGCTGAAGAATCGGCAGGGAGCCTGGAAGTGCTCGGAAGTGTTCGGAGGTGTTCGGAGGTGCTGAGGCTGACTGCTGACTGATTTCTTTTCAAATTCACGACGGTCTCAGCAACGTGATTGGAGTCTCAGGACTCTGAACGATCTCCGAAGCCAGCAGTTCAGCCAACTGATACATGTGTCGGGAGCCCGAAAACACAACGAAACTTGCCAAGCGTGCCAGTGCTGTTGTTCGACATGGAGTGGTGCTACACACTCTCAAGAAGTGTTGATTGATGTTGATTGCCTTTAGCCCGCTCTGAGGCTGAGAGCCAAAAAAGACAAAAATCAGAGCAAATATGTCAATGCATTGGTGTCCTCACCTCTCAAGGAGGTTGGCAGTTTCGGAGCAGTCTGTCGAGTGTTTTTTGTGATGCATGTCACATTGAGTCCGATGAGTGTTCAGCTTATTCAGCTCCAGGAATTGTGGAAACCGCCCTTTGAGTCGAAGTTTGTCCGGACTCCAGACTTGGACTCCAGACAGAAGAAGTTCTGAAGTTTAGCCTTCTGGAGGTCTGGCGAGACAAGAAGAAAAATGTCGTTGCCACTCAAACAGAGGGTCTCTTCTTACAGGACACTGCCCGACTCCGTGCACCAATTTTCCCACGGGATCGACCGTTTGCTTCAAGTGGTTCGAGTTCCTGTGCGAATGAGGAGAATTCTCTTCTTGGATGGGCCCTATCACCATCTCCGCTTGATAGCGCTTTGGTGCCACCTTCAAAGGCCCATTTGACAGAGGCACGGTTTGTCCAGATGCGAGACCCCATGAGACGTCTTAGAGCCTCAAACTTTCCAAACTAAAAAGAGGGACGAACACAAGAGCAAGGCAAGAGCAAGGCAAGAGCAAGGCAAGAGCAAGGCAAGAGCAAGGCAAGAGCAAGGGCAAGAGCAAGGGCAACATAGGGACATAGGGCGGCAACATCTTGATCTGTGTGTTTGAGGCTGGATCGAAAGAGTGGGATCATCTCACACGAGCTACGCGTGGCAGAGTCGAAGGTTTGCAACGAGGCTGAAATCCTCAGACGAGCGACGAGCACTATGCAGTGGTCACATGTGGTCACAGTATGTCACCGTAGTAGTATTATGTAGTATTGTTGCGCTCAAAAACTTGCCTTGGCAGGATTGCAGACGAAGCTCACAAGCTCACAAGACCAGGCCTTTCGAGAGGGCGCTCGACAGGCTGCACTCGGGGAACTCTGTGATTCAAACTCCGCTGGACGCAGGCCGCTGAGTTTGTTGACATTATTCTTCGTGCAGGGGCCCGTTTCCAAGTTTACTGAGTTTACTGCATTCTATGTATGTGACGTGGATGTATGTGGTGCTATGATTGTGCCATGTATAATTGCAATCAGCAGTTGCAAAGTGGCCCCTCAGATTTGCTTCAGGACGAGCCGAGAATGGCAGTACTGGAATGGCTTGGAGTGCTTCCCCAAGCTCTGATTGTCACCAGATCAACTCGTCATGGAAAATCCATGGAAAATCCATGGAAATGCAGTTGAAATGCATGGAAATGCCACAAATGCACACACATGCCATATCGATCCATATCGGCCATATCGAATCCAAGTCGAAGCGCTTCAAAAGTGTTGAAGTTGAGCGGAAAGGCCATCATTACCACTGCCGAGCCTCGCGGCAAGCAGGGTCAGCCAGCTCCAGAAGGGTTGGGAACACAGAAGTCTCAGCGAGAGCATTGAAGTTTTTGGAGTTAGCTGGGGCATTTCGGTATTCAAAAATTTCAAAACAAGTGAAACAGCGAAACTCAGGTTTAACTTCTGGCCCCAGTATGGCAATCACGTCATCGACTGCTTGAATCAGCAAGAGCCTGGAGCCTTTGAAAGATCCATGAAGAATCTCCTCTTGTTGCAGGCCGTTTGATTGGGTTGCAAAAGCAAGACTATGCAGTAATGCAGACCACCGCATGGAAACTTGGGTTAATGTTGGAAAATGTTGGCAGGCCCTTCATGCGCGGCTTCAGGGCTTTCCAACAAGTGGAATGGCACTGAATGCTTTTACACTGTGCGGTGCTGAGATTTTCGAGACATATATACAGCCGCTTCTAAGTTGTTACTGTATGTGTGAATCCTCGAGTGATGTTGATCGAGGCTGTTGCACTTGCTGAAGCCCATCAAACCTGAACAGGCATCCACTGTTTCAGTGCTGATCTTAATTTTTGCCGAGTCCGTTGACTGTAAAATTCCGATATCCGGGATTTTTGATGATTTTTGCATCTCCATTGACGCAAATTGCATCTTTGATCATCTTTATATTGGGACTGGGGACCGACATCTTGGCGTCTTGCCATGTCTGAGGCTTTCTTCCCTGTTCGTGATGATGTCCCACAGCTCTTGGGGAACTACCACAAGGAGGATGGTCTCTGAGAAATGGGAGAAATGGTTCCAGAAATCATCGAAAACGGTTCCAGTTGCTGATCAGGCTCGATTTGGCGAAAAGGAACAGATCGAGGCTGCAACCGCCTCTGCCAAGAGCGCCAGAACCTTAGTGGTTTTTCAATGTGCTTTATATATCTTTATATGAGTTGTTGGTAGATTGAAACATTTTGAAACAATGTGAGCCGATTATCCAAAAGCTGCAGAGAAACTGAAGTGTGGACTTGGTGGACTTGGTGGACTGGGTGAACCGAGGATCCAGCCTGCACCACTGCGCTCAGCGACAAGAGTCTGTTCAAGTCACAGGCAGAGCTGTTGCAAGAAGCTGGCTGAAATTGAAGACGTTTCCTGTTACAAGTCATGCGCCAGATCTTTTGGCTTACCACAAAGGGGGTTGGCTACCTGTGGCAGCCTGAGTTTTGAGGCATGGTGATACGATCACAAATAAGTGCGAACTTAGGCTCATGCCAGTGGCGAAGGAATCCTTCCATGCTTGGCAAAACTTGGCTTCCGCGATGTATGACAAGGACAGATGGGATTCATATTTGCCTCATTATGATGTGTTTTCCAGTGATGTGAGACACTGTGATGCAGACTTTTGGGTATGCAAAGGAGCAGTTTGTGCCGGGTCTTTATGTTTTTGCCTCGAGGACCGGGAGATCTCTGATGGGGCGACTCGAGAATTCATGCTCGCAGAGGCAGCTCTGAAGGACGATTGCTGGGCTGTGACGGTCGTATGCTGTCGTATGCCGTCGTCTGCTGTCGTGTGCTGTCAGTGACAGGAGTCTCGATTCCTCGAACGCCTGGGACATCTCGTGGATTTGACGTTTAGATTCCTTCAACATGCAGCGGCAGGAGGCCAACAAGTGCAGAGCTCAAAGTGCCTAAGGGCGCCTAAGGGCGCCTAAGGGCGCCTAAGGGCGCCTAAGGGCGCCTAAGGGCCTAAATTGCCTAAATCTTTTGATCCCAAAGGATGGTACCAAGCTGATATATGGTGATATATGGTGACTGGTGCCAAGCTGCGAGGCCTTACCACCACCTGCACCTGGTCCAAGTTGGCACGTGATGCCTAGCTCTGCCGGTGTCCTCGGGCTTGCTGGATCTGCTGGATATATTGAATCCTTCTGGTTGTTCTTTTCTGGAAAAAATGACACCGAGGTTCTGGAGAATGTTCTGGAGCTCTGCGATCTCTACCGGGACAGGGAGAGAAAGAAGAGTGCGCCCTCCGTTTTTACATTATGACCATTATGATCACAATATGACATGCTACTCAGTTGGCCACTTCGCTAGCTTGTTGCATTTTGTTGCACTTTAGCTACTTTAGCTGATGCAATCGAATAGTGTCAATTAACACACGTCCATACTGCCAGCTGCTGGTGGGATTCCTACCGGACTCTTTATCCATGTGGATCCCGACCCGGTCCTCACAACGTTGTGCATTGTCTTAAACTCAAAGTTTTCCAACTTGTCGCACGATGTCGCATTGTTGGAAAAGAAATGGATGGAGACGAACCTCCGAAGTTTGTGTCAGGTCATGGCCTCGGAAGATCATGTCCGTGATCCATCTTTGCGTGGACGGGCCGTGTCTCGGACAGGCAATGTTTGATATATCAGGCGTTACACTGCTACATATGCGACATATGCAACATGTGCTGCATTCGTCAATGCACTCGCCTGCCAAATTGCACCCAGGTGAAACTTTTGCACCGCCTTTGTTTTGCTTTCAGATCTTGGCGGGACCGATTTTGCTTGTTCTCAAACCGTGGATGTGATGCGGCAATGCACGTCTTTTGCATACTTCTGCTTACAGAATGCAGGACAAATTGAACCATCCACCTTTGGACAAGCAACTGATCCCGTGCCTGGTAAATGCCGGGTGCTGCAGTTCTTTTTGCTTGCGAATTGTTCAGCTGGTGAGATTTGGGCGTGTCCCAAGGTTTTCATCGCCGTGGAAAAGGCGATCATGAGCTACTATGACCTCTCCTACAGATACAAGTACGAGGTACTCTAAGTAGCTAGCTAAGTGCTGTGACTGTATTCACTGTAAGTCAACATCGAACATTTGCACAGCTGGAACGTCAACACTAACACCTTGTCAGCTCATGTCAGCTCCGCGTTCCTGTCATGGACCTCTTCGACCTGACTCTTCAGACGGAGGGCCACCGAGAGGCTTCCAGAGAGCATCGTCGCTATTTGTCGCTGATTTTGAGTATTTTGAGCCGCAGGTCCTGGATCAATTCATCAAGGGCGACGGCAACGACAAGTTCTTGAAGGCCTGACATGGCCTGACACTGAACGCTCTTCATATTGTTCGTATTTGTTCGTCAAGACCCCCCGACACCCCGCCCATCCTTGGTCGACGGCCAGTTGCTGACGCAGCTGATTAATGACAGCAATTCGCAGATAGAAGAGGCTATCCGAACAGTGAAGGACTGTGTCAACTGTGTGGGTTTTTGGAGTGTAGCCAGCGTAGGAGCCTTGAAAGCAGTGGAGAGATATGGAGAATGTCATCAAAAAAACACGGAAAGCATTGAAGCCTGTGGAGCCTTTTGAGCCTTTGAGGAGTATCATGAAAAGCAGAGCCAGAGCCAAAGCTCGGATCCTGCCGCCTCCTCAGTGTGTGGGAGTGCCGATGATATTCTCAGCATTTGGTGCTTCAAGGCTGCCCAGCGCCATGATGAGCAGGCCAGCGAAACGACATCGTAGCCATCGTAGCCATCGTAGCCTTGCCATGGAGTTCCTTTTGGTGCCAGGTCTTGGAAGACGATCGAACAGGCGATGGAGATGAAGCTGAAGATATTTATCGGAGAAGCCGAATGAACTACAAGGAACAGATGGGTTTTTGAAAGAATTTGAGCTTTAGCGCTTTAGATTTTTTCACAGCTTCAAGAATCACATTTTCGTTCCATTTTGAGCATGAGTGTTCTTTGATCTTTAATCTGTAGGAACATGCAAAGAAGTACTTCGGGCTTGCCGCGAGGTGGGCATGGAGTGTTGCTGTCGTTAGCAAGAGCACCTGCGCCATGACATGCCCTGACGTCTGAGGACCTGGAAGCAGATGTGGCTTCTTTGCAAACTTTGCGCTCCAGTCATCGTGGAAGGTGACTTGGAGCTTGGTGGAATGCCTTGTTTGCCTATTTTGAAAGGGAACTTGTTTGGGATTGTTGCACGATCGCTTCTCTGTGTAAGCAGCACAGCAGCCATTGCGACGTGCAAAATTGGACTATTTTGCAGCTGCAGGAAGAGCCACTCTTGAGCAGCTCTTGCATTCCTCTTTGGACGCGCCACTGGACTGACCATTTGGTTTGATAGTTGGAGTTGCTACTGGTTTCGTTAGGAAACCTCGGGCTGCATTTTTGGTTGGAACGACGTCGTTTGAACTCGGAACACCGTGATCTTTGTCGCTCGCTTCCCACCAGCAAGTTTGCATTTTTAGAACTGTGTAAGGCAACTGCACTACCTTGTAGGCTGGCCGTCTTTTGCTGCTATGCCAGTGTGTTGTATCTGTGCATTCGGAAGCAACAAGAGCAAAGATCTGTGGAGCAGGAGGAAATATGAACTGTGGAGAAAACAACATAGAAAGTTACAGCAGCGCCTGGTTTCACTTCCAGTCATATTTTATTTAAGCTAAACTCAAAAACAACCGAATTGAGCAGAGTATCCGAGAAGTCTCACTTCTTGGGAATTTGAGTGGAGACTTAGAAATTGATCATGCACTCACCAAAAACGATAACACTGTACATAACATTCACAAGCTGGGAAACCGGAACACACCAACCAAAATTTGAAGGACCTGTCGCCACATAACTAACTTTGACGGTTGCTCATGTACTTAACTTCTCTATACTTATTTTAATTTATATTTGTATTTCAATATCACAAGATATCTGTATAAGTATAGGTATATTATATATTATATTGTTTAAGTATATCTAAGTGTCTTGTCACGCAATTTTTCCTATTTTTTCCTTTCAGCTTTCACCATTTTGCCCCCAAATTGCTTCACCCGTTGGGCCAGGCCCCGAGATGAAATCCATCAAGGCTTCTCCGCAGGAATACGATGAACTTGGCTTCAATCCCAAGGAGATCGGAGATCGGAGATCAACTTGCACAGCTGAGAGCTTCATAGAGCTTTATAGAGCTTCATGGATCCACGGAGTCACGAAGAATCCAAGTTTAATACTTTAGGATACTTTAGGATACTTTATTATGATGAGGATATGGAATGACAACTTGTCAACTTGTTTTTTCTCCAGGAGCTGGTAAAGCAGATTGCTGAGAGCTACCTTTTCCTTGTGCGAGCCAACAAAGATGAGGTTGGCAGCCTTTCAGATGATTGAACATTCACCAGACAGAATTTGTTTGTTGTTTTGCTCTGTTGCTTTGCACTTTAATCGCTTCCGAGTTTATTGTTGTTCTTGAGTCAGCCCTGCAAGACTGCGAGTTGAGGTTGTGCGCGTTGTTGGAAAAGATGAACGATACTACAGCAACTTTGCCAGAATTCAACAAGTGGTTTGGGAGGGGATATTGGTATTGTAAACGAATCCTTCGCGTGACCGTGTGACCTAAGCTTTTCTGAGGTGCCACCACATTCAGCAAAGCTTGCAGCTTTGTCAGGACTGACCAATGTATTCTCAAACAAATCCTTTCCGCTATGCAATTTTTGCCGCAATCTGGAGTGTACGTGGTGTCGCAAACAAATCTTGCACAGGAAGTATGGCCTTCTCATGGGCAAGGACCTGGAGGATTTCGATTTATTTTGCAAGGACAGATGGGACTCGTCGTTGCCAAAGGTGGATGTACCATCTCCACAAGTGATTCACCTGAGCGCGGGTCAAGCTTTATAACAAAGAAATCCCTGGCAGCTTTTACTGATTATTCACCATGAAATCTTGAGGTACCTCAATGGCAATTCTCATAGCGTATGCATAGTGCTGTTTCTGCTGTATTCCGTCCAGGTAATTTTACTTGTGTACCTGGTCATATTTGAATATATTTGAATATATTTGATATGTTATCGTTTGTTACCCGACTTGTGCAAAGTACCATTCTTTTTGTGCTCAACATCTACCGGAGCTTTTCAGTAGCATGTCGAACACAGCCTGATGGACAGAGGGTCTTAGCCTGGCGCCGCAGGAGCTTGCAGAGAAAGTGTCCCAGCATCGTGCAGCTTTCGACGAGGTGCAGCTGGCCGGAAAGTACAGGATCCGCCGCATATCAGCCGCATATCGCCGCATATCCATCATATCATATCATATCATATCAGAATCATATCAACATATGCACTGCCCTGTAGCTGTGCTTTAAAATTCCCTCTCTTGTGTTTGCCAACCAAAATCTCGCTGTGATCTCGACCACAGCACACATTTCTTTCGGATTATATCAAGATTTTGGAATGCGCTGGCTTCCTTAAGCACTTCCATGAGTGGGATGATGGAACACACCTGCCAGGCTGATATTCCATCGAATTATTTGTGCGAAATCATGGCCGACATCATGAGCGACCCTGTGATGTTCCCGCAGAGCCGCAAGGTGCAGACAGCGGACAGTGCAGACGCAGTAGATGATACAGCTGAGACAGTTGAAATTATGAAATGAACAGTATGGATTCAGTATGGATGGATCCTTCCATGGATTCTTTGTGATTTGCTGACTTACTTATGACTCAAGTTGATCAGGTTGCAGATCGTACCTCGGCTCTTCGAGTCATCATGGGCCCGTGGCTTAGCAAGACAGCCGAAGTTGATGGTCGTTCACTTCACTCCAAGTGAGGCAATGACAGGGACCCTTTCGCCAACACACCAGTCAAAGTGGAGGACTTCGTTGTGCTTTGGGCTGCGCTTTCAGGGTCGAGAACCGTACAAGCCGTTCTGGAATTGTCCCTGGAGGACCTGATCCCTCAGACGGAATTGAAGGAGGAAATCCACAGATTTGCAAAGGAGAAGGCATGGAAGAGATCTGTTATGCCAGGCATCAGGAGGCTATGTCTGGGGATCAAACTTGGTTCCTCAACTTTGGTCGACGCCAGACCTTTCCTTTTCTGATTAGCAGATGCATGTGTGACCAGCTTGCCTATTTAAGTTCTGTGATGCGTCCTTGCTCTTAGTGTGCTCGCAGGGAATTGCGTTGGAGGGTGGCAACATGTTCGACTGAGGGTGGCAATATGCGACCTCACGGAAACATGGCGAATGCCTTGCGCAGATGGTGTAGAGACTCTCCCCGTAGGTCCAAAGGATAGAGACAGATCAAGAGACTGCGGGTAAGTTATGTCTGCCTCCGCGTTGCTTTTGCCAAGAGCTGCGAAGGCTGGCGAGTGCAAAATCTGGAGCTAGGAAGGTTGCTTCATGATGGTTTCATGCTTTGTGTTCGCACATCGCTGATGCACTGCTACTCTGCCAAACGCCACGGTTCCGCAGATGCTTAGATCTTAAGGGTTGAAACGCTTGTAACATCTTGGAACAAGCTGCTGAAGCACATCCTGTCAGGGGGATCACTGTCGTTCCGCTGGATGAGCGAATCGCAGTCAAGGCTTGCACTTGCACAGGGACAGACAAACTTGTCGTTGCTCTGTAGAGGTTTAAACCAAAGAAAGGGCTTTGTAGGCAATGTGATGAGAGCTGCAATTTGCAAGGCTTTTCTTATCCAATGCAAGTGCAATGTCAGGCTTCCGGACTGAATGAAAGCCGTTTGACCGCGGCACTTTCCTGAAGTTTTAGCGACTTTAGCGTGAGAAGAATGAGAAGAATGATATTGTGGTGAAACGAGTGACAGTGACCAGCTGATGAGCTGAGGCTGTTGAGATGTCACTGGGTCGCGGAGGACCTTCATGTGGTTCCGCTTGAGGGGAAGTGGAAGTGGCTAGCGGCTAACTACGGCTAACTACTATAGTTGTATCCTAGCAACCCCCATCCTGACTTGCTCGGCGACCCACATGTCCACTTTGGCTGTGTGGCCATTTCCCGCAGCATATTGACACCAGTTGAACAGCCTAGACTTCTACTTCTTGGATCGCAGTAGCAACAAATTAGATGGCTGTCTTCAGATGTCTGGAAAGTGCTCACAAACTGATGACCTTTTGGTGTTCGAATTGATAAGCTGGATTCACCCATCCTTCCGGCCACAGGATTTGGGAATGGCTCGGGTGCTCTGTGCAGAGCTTGGCCACAAGAGTTTCAATCAGATGACCTGGGCAGTCTTGGAATTTCAATCCATGCAGCATGCCATAGCATGCCTACATGAGGTCGCAAAAGGTGTCAAGTGCAACTACAGAGGCCATTTCAATTTGTCTTGTGATGACATGTGATGACCATCCATCAACTTCTTTCGCTTCCGAGCCTCAACATAACATCTTTGGAACTGAAACCTTGTGATTATAATATGATTGTACTCCTTTGCATGGCAGGGGACAGAAAGTGCTTGGTGCTCAGCATGGAAGCCGTTGCACGTGTGGATCATCTGAAACTGCCGCATGACATTCTGTGGCTTTGGTTTCTTCTTTTTTGCTTTGATTCAGGCTGTAGCAAAGTCTGCAGCGGATACTGAGACGAAGGCAAACATTTGTTTCATTTGTTGCTCGTCTCAGCTTCACAGATCAACCTGCATTGATCAATTTTGATCAAGGCGGAGATCAGTTTCGATGTTTCTCAAACATGCTTTGGAGGCTGGAATGGAGAAGGCCTCCGAAGGTGCGATGGAATTCTTTCCGAATCCCCAGGTCTCATGTCTTCTGAGGCTGAAGGATGCGCTTTCTGCATCTTTCTGGTGCAAAGTCAAGAAGTTAATTAGTAGGAGGTACTATGTATGTACATATTATACAGCATAGATATAGTATACATATATATATATATGTGTATATATATATATATATACAAATAATACAAATACAATTACAAAGCATGTGCTTCTTGCGCCGACACGGCGACTAGTACGGTGCTAATAGTGCGCTAGTAGAATTGGACCAGCCATTGCGAGCCCCACGCTTCCAATTTTAGGCATCTTGGTGGTTTTAAAGCACGAACAAGCAAGAAAATAGAAGCCAGGAGTAGTTCACTAGTGATCCAAGCCAAGTATTTCAACATTAATTCAGACAAATCTAAGCTGAACACAAAAACTGCACCAAGATATGGGTGCTATACGAAATAGATCGAAATAGTACCAGCTCTGGAACCACTGTTTTGACATCAGGTGGTTCAGGCGGGCTGAACCGAGAGCGAGGTGGACAGGTTGCCCAAAATGGCTCCAATGGCCCTGCACTTGGGATCTGACTGCAACAGATTTGAGGCTTTGCTTTTGAGGATATCACTGATATCACCATCACATTTCATCAAGATTCACTCCAGCACAGATGTTGATGTTACAAACATGTTCATCATGTTCGAGCTCATTGTTGTGTTTCCAGTTCTGCATTTGATCCTTTCTCCCTGCTACCAGGGAATGCCCAAATGGTTCGACTCTGTGCTCCATGCAGTGCATTCTTCGAGGCTCAAACTGCGTCTGTTGTGTGTACTTCCTACCTGCTTCGAGAGATTCTGTCCTTTTCGAGGCTGGAGTTGGAGAGACTTATTCCATGCAAAGAAAAGCACAAGGTCCGCTGCCCGAGTTGACGAAAGTTTGCTGCGCAACGCATGCAACGCATGAGACGTGCCAAAGACTTTGATGCGCCAGTTTCGACAATGCTCTAGAACCCTGTTGCGTGGAGCCTGGAGAGAACCACTTCTTTTATTAAAGGGGCATACTTTGATGCATACAGGTACCCATAAGATCCCATAAGTACCCTTTTGGCACCAAGGTTGCATGTTTCTGACTCTCACTGTGTCACCTCAGATTCATCAAGAAGCTGTACATAAGATGTGACGGCAAATAGCGATCTGATGCACTGATGCCAATTGCCAAAACAAAACTTGACTCAATAAGTTGCAAATATTCATGAATACTCTGATTTTTTTGGGAGTGATCGGATCAGTGTTCAGGAAGAGGGTCTCAGAAGGTCACAAAGCCTCCTTTGATTCGTGGGAATACAAAATCGCTCAGCAGTGCTTGTGCCCTGTTCAGAAAGGCACCAGCGAACGGCAAGAGATTCCACAGTGAAACATGGGACACGTCGGACACGGGTGATATCCGGTGCAAAATCTGGGTTCAAGCTGCATAAGCTGTGGATTGGCCAGCTTGGAGTCAACTCTTCAGCTCGAGCCTTGGGAACTGGCTATTTCATGGTATTTCTACAAATCTTTGCATGATGTGAGCAATGTGACCCGATGGTGACGGGCAACTAGTGATATACTTGTGATATTCAACTAGTCTTTGTGGTCTTTGTCTACAGTATGTGTCCTGTAGGTACTGCACATGCATTTGTTCTATGTGGATATGCCATCCACAGCACGGCTTTGCGTCTTTACATCTAGAAAGTTGGGCGCTGCCAAGGCTGAGATGGCTGAATCAGAGGAGACCCCGGTGGTCATTTGCTCAGACTTCTCAAATGCACAAATGCACCACATATTACAGTCAAAATCAAATACATAGGACAGTATACAGTGTGAAGTGTACGTATATATAATTATATATATACATATATATATACACATACAGATAGACTCTATAGATACGAGTTTGTTTGGCCGGTTTGTGTCTTGTGTATTTGGTTCATCTTGACATCTCTTGCAGGTTGAGGAAACTCCGCCGCCCCTCGACGGCACAGCACCGGAGGACTGTCAACGGAGAAGCATTGATTCAGACAGCTGAAAATCTGGGAGCGTTTGGGAGTGTCTGGGAGCTGCGAGGAGGCGGAGAAAAAGAAAAAGAAGAAGAAGAAGGTGCTGGCACAGCTGATTCCTGTGTAATTCCTGACTGATTCCTGACTGACCCCAATGAAAATAGCCACAATCATTCAATCATATTCAGATTGAATCATATTCAAGTATTGAAGGCTTATTCATTGAGCCGAACAAAATTGCCTCATGGACCAATCCGCACCCTTTAGACTCCGTCCAGGTGAAAGAAGTCAAAAGCGTGTTCGAGAGCGTGCCTGCAGCTTCATCTGCAGAATTCTCTGCAACCAAAACGGTGAGCTTCCCTGGTTTTCCCGCTGCAAGTGGTGTTGGTCTGTGGCTTTGGACTAGAGTCTACTAGAGCATTTGACATTTGCTTCATTTGATTCATTTGCTATGTGTTTCTGATAGGCTTTGGCCCAAGGAACCATGACAGGGATGGATACCTTCAGTTCAAAGAGGGTTTGAACAACAAGTCCTCTCAGATCAGCTCTGGATTGATCCGGAACGAGGCAAACATGCAGCCAGGGCATGCATGAGATACATTCAACATTTATTAGGGACAAGGCTTCTGTTTCTGGCGCGCCATGGATAGCGACTCCTCTGATGATGAATACTGGGGTTCGTACGAGCGTTTGCCGCAGGATCAAACTGTGCAAAGCTGTTAGCTGTTAGCTACGAGAAACGTGAGAAACTACAAGCTGTCACGTTTGCTTCAGACAAGGCAGTGATGCGTTGAACCGACATGAATGATGGAGCAATGATGGAGCAATGATATTCAATATTCCCAGGAGACATCACGCTTGCCTTACTCGTCTTTCAGCCAGGGTGTGTCCCTCGATGCTCTGACCAAGGAGGTCTTAAGTGAGAGCATGTGTGCACAGTAGAAATTTTCCTCATTCTGCTTCAATATCCTCGATTTTACCAGAGTTTTTGTCACTTTTGCAAGGTCGAGACTTGAGTGATCCAGCCTTGCCTTCAAGAAAACTTAGTGCTGGCAGCATCGGCAGCACTCCATCAACATGCTCACAGGACCGCCACAGAATATGCAACAAGAGAGGCTACTGTGGTTTTTCGTGGTGTCTCTTGAGTTTTCGACTCCTGTTGCAGGAAACAGTGGAACTTGAGCCTGGTACATTGATTTCTGCCTTTTACCCAGTTTCCCATCCAGCCTCGAAAGTTTCAAAGGGCTCAAACCCTCTTCCAACACATATGGCAGATCAATCAGATTTTCTGCAAGGTTGGCCGTCGCTCTTTCGAGCTGCACAGCCTGCTTGGGGTCGGAAGCTTTGGATCAGCCAGTCCGACATGTTTCAAGAGATTTCAGGAGATTTCAGGAGTTCCACGTGCCGTGAAGTGGATGATACAGTATATAATAGTGTATACATATGTATATATATATAATTATATATATATAGGATTGATATAAGAAAAAGCAGTGGCAGGTCTGGCGCGCAAGTTGCAACGATTCTGGGGCAACAGTTGCCCTCAAGGAGACTCAATTGGCTGCCGACTTCTGGTGATCAAAGTGATCAAAAAGGCAAACACAAACTCATGACATTTCATGACATCCATATAAGGACTTGCAGAAGTAGGAATGCACAGTTTCTGATAGCAATTGTGAGGTGAGGAGGTTGCAAAGAGTTGACCAATTCTGACCGCAGGAGATTTTGACTTTGAGCAAAGAGTCCATGGAGGCTTTGTTGATACCATACTGTGTCCCCATAGTCACTACATGTCACTACTTAGAAAGAATCTGAGAGTGGCAGGAAGTCATAGGAAGTCATTTGGATGGTTTTGTTGAAGCACTTACAGTATGTACAGACAGACATCGTATCACTTGTTGCAACTCCGAAAATTTTGGCGAGGCAGCAAAGCTGGAGGCTCAGCGCCTTCATGCTCTCTCTGATTTACAGGAGACGTGGACTTCAACTTGCCTCCTGGCTGTGAAAGACAGTGAAATTGCTGAAGCTGTGGAATCTGCAGGACACACATAGGTCTCCAGCCTTACCTCATCTTTTGGCTGCCGCAACCTTACTTGTTTGGTGGTGTCAAGATTTGTCAATCGTTGAACTGTGTGAGAAGCCATTCATGGATTCCTCATCCCCTAGCAGCCCTAGCATCATGATGGTTGCCATGCATCACAAGGCTGCTACTGGAAATCATGGCACTGGCTATAGAACTGTGATGGTCATGGAGCAAGTTGCAGGAGTTGTTTCTGATAGGGCAAATAGGGCAAACATTTTGCATCATTTTGCATCATTTTGCACTTGGACAGACTTGGACACAAAAAATCAAACTGGGACAGTTTAGATCAGTTTAGTATTGAGAGTACCATTGATCCAGAATGAAGGAGAGCCCTTGCAGAGGGCACTTGAGGCTGGGACCAAGGTAACTTCTTGGTCTTGGATGTCTTGGGTGGATTGTTTTAGAAGCAACTAGCAGATCAACTAACGCTACATGCTTTGAATATCAATGGGCTTTCGGTCTGAATGACTTGCATTGTCAGCATTTCGTTCTGTTCACTGCTTGCTGCAGGGTGGCCAACTGTTGATACCTAATGGTCATCCGATTGCTCAGGTTCCTTGTCTGCATCATCACTTTCTTGAGACACTCTTGTTCACTTAAAGGAAACATGCACACTTTCTCTCAACAATAAAATACGGGGGAAGGCCTTCCACTTCGTGGGCGAGATGTTGGGCTCTCAGATTCACGTTCGACTGGACAGGCAGCTTTTTTGCCGCCACCGTGAGTCGAGGCTGCAACAGCTGGCAGGAATCATGCAACCCTTGAGCCAGCGTTTTCTTCATCGTGATGCAAACTCGCAGAACATACTTGTACAGGCAAGGTACCGCAACGCATTGCAACGCATTGCAACGCAGCTGTACAACAGGGGTTTGCACTGGTTTGCGAGTGAGATGCCTGGATGTGAATTTCTGGAGGCATCTTCTGGTCAATATGAATTTGGTCTCATCGACTTTGGCTTGGTCAGCTCCTCAGATATCAACAGTTCAAGCATCAAGAGAAACCGACAAAAATGTCGATGTTCTCCATAGAGATTTCCTAAAATGGGGGTACCCCTAAATCATGCCAAATTAGATCATTTTAGTGAAACATATTGAAACCTTTGAAACCTCTTTTGGGGATGCCCTGTAGAAAACCAGCTGGTTTCAGGCCATTGATGCGACATCCTTTAGCTGTGGATGGCGTGGCCTTGGTGCCGCCGGGGCTTTCTGGGCCTGTTTTCCGACATGGCGAACGTCATTGCTACATAGGTAGCCATAGGTAGCCATAGGTAACCATAGGTAACCATATAGGTAACTTCTGAGTTAACCATGAAACAAAATCATGAGATTGTTATGAACAGTACGGCCAAGAAGCTAATATTATATGCAATGTGGGATACGGCGCACGGATGTGGAGATGGTGCAGTGAAAGCAAATCTGACGTGTGTCAAACTCGGTCGACTTTCAGGGGGGCCAGCGAAAAAGATACAAGGATACAATATGATACAATATGATACAATATGATACAATCAAAGAGTGCTACCACTCCATAGCCTATCAACTTATTTGGTTGGACTGGGAGACTTGAAGCGCCACGAGTTGCCAGGATGGTCGTTTCTGGACAACGTCTTCGTGGATAGTTTTTACGAACGGTCCAGATGCTTTGACCCAGGCTGCGACGATCCACTTTGCACAACACATCATTCGTCGTCACTGGAACTTGCAGGACTTGCAGTGGGAGTACAGAACCCAATTGGATCTCCACTCAATAGGCGCAGTGTTTCAGTGTTTCAGTGTATTGTCACGGGATTTCTTCTGTGATGCGCATTAGCGGCTAGGAACTGGGAACGGCCAATCCATCAGTGCAGGCGTTAGCGCTCTCCAAGCTCTTGTAATTCTGGCCTTCTGTGAGGAGCTGTGCAAAAGTGACTGGTGATGGTTGAGGATCGCACATCCCAATGGTATCCATTGGTAACAGTATCAAAAGATATCAAAAGTATCGAAAGTTGCAGTGGAGGACAGTGGCTCACATGATGACCATGTCGAGGCTGCGAGCAGCATTGAGAAATGCATTCAATGCATTCAATGCATTGTGTTTGCTGTTTGTATAGCGATGAAGGTGGATTCCAGATGATCAGATGATTCCAGTACAGGTCATTATGCAATCCCTGCGAGCGCTTCGAGAAGCTTGGCTGGACACCCAGTATCATCTTCGAAGCTGCCTTCGCAAAGTCAGCATCTGCGGGGCCACGTTGCATTTCATGTTGCATGCCACGTTACAGCATGTCAAAATGCAAGGACACAGTACTGGTGCTATGCATCAGATTGCTGGGAGAGAGTCCTTGATGCCTTCAATCGAGCTCCAGACTCAGAGAAGGCTACTGCCAAACCTAACAACATCTAACAACCTCCATCGACCTGCCTTGGCTTATTTGCCATCTGAGGATGCTCGAGGGGAAGTGAAGGCGGAACTTAGACAGGAGAAACTCTCAGACTCAGTGGCTGCCAGTGTACAATCCGTTTGATGCACTCTTTTGACTTTGGAATCTTTGGACCATGGGGAGAGCAACTCGGCAACTCATTCCGGGCTCCGGAGCGGGCTCCACGGGCTCCACGATGAATGCCACGAGGAGATGGTGCACGAGACCTTCGCGGCCCACCTTGTGAATTTGCGGGAGAAATTGGTGGAGGATTGCGCTGGCAGCCGTCAGCTTGTACCTGTTCAATACTTTGCACATTTTCACACCTGGATTTCATTCCAGATATTCCAGGTTTCTGCCTCCTTGGAATCAAAAGACATGGCAGGCCACGTTTGTGCTTTGTGGGACTAGTGAGTGATCGCACTGGATCTAAGATGGTGCATCAGTCACAACAAGACAGAGTTCCTATACACATATGCATCATATGGTTTGCAATGTGGCCTCTCTTGTGAATCCAAGTCCATAGTTTCATTATTTCTAAGTTGCAGGTGGACTGTTGGGAGATCCTGTGATGGCAAGACGAGTGGTTGAGGCGCTAACAGATGCATCATGCATCCTTTGTCACCTTTGTTCCACCAATATTCATAAATGTTAAGAAGGAACTTGATTCTAAGCTTTCGCCCGAGAAAGGCACTTTTGCTGATGATCACTCCTAGGCACTGGTTTCAGTTCTGTTTTCATGCCTTGGTTTTGGACACAAAACGCATTGACTAGCCTTGTTAGATGTGCTGTCCTCTTTTCGCATGAAAGCTGAGCATTGAGATTGGCAACTTGGCTAGTCGCCCAATCTTTGCTGAGGCTAGAAGGGGAAGATGACTGGGAGCAGGCCAGTATAGATGCTGAAAGATGCTGAAAGCCTGTTTCGACGTGTTTCGACGTGTTTCGACGTGTTTCGACGTGTTTCGACGTGTTTCGACGTGTTTCGACGTGTTTCGACGTGTTTCGACGTGTTTCGGTTTCAGGATTTTTGCCGGTGCAGATATGGACCAGGTCTTGCACGTCATGGGCATGAAGCCCAAAGTGCAGACAGGCTCTCCAGCTGTTGCTTTGGATGATGAGGCCAGCAGCTTCGGGAAAAACATGGAAAAATCAGAGAATCTAGATGAATTGGTCGAAGATTTCATGGCAATTGGGAGGTGCTACGAGTTGAAGCACCTGGAAAGTGGGAGAGGCTTGAATGATTCAGTCCTGCACGAAGGATCACAAGATCACAAAGACATCCTGAAATGTGACAGGTGAGATCTCAAATTCCTGTGTGCGAACCGTATCTTCGCTGCGATGATTGTTGCTGCATAACTTTTTCTTCGTCTCCAAGCCTACTAGCAACATTGAGCGCCAACGACATCTTTTGCACTCAAGGAGATGGCCAGCACACCAGTGCCATTTGAACCATTCGCAAGAGACTTGGATAGTTCTGTTGGTTGCTTCAAGTGCTGAACGCATTGATGTAATTTGTTGGTTCTTGATTTTCTTGACCCTAGTGTTTGAATGTCTTTGAGGCATTGGAGTCTTTCAAGAGTCTTGATGTGTGTCCTCGACAAGAAGAGGTCTACGTGCCTTTGCAAGCGTGTTTTTCTTTCTGGCCTGGAAGGTTTGTATCTCCACGGCTTCAGAGGGTTCCTTAGAGTATCTTAGAGTATTCGGTTCCCAGTTCCAAGTCAACGGCTTGAAGTCGTGACTTCTGCGATGAATTCGCGTTTGTTTCCAGTCAGGCCCGTGGATCCAAATTTTGTACAGTGATCCACACAAGGTGTCATTCTGGCACAGTGGACAGTCGGACAGCCTAGTGCTGACCAAATCAGTTTCAATGACCATGCAGATGAGCATATTTCAGAAAGGGCATGTGCATCTTTCTCTGCTGAAACTAGACAGACTCTCTGTCTCAAGATGTCTCAAGTGCTTCTGATTGCTTCTGTGTGATTCACCTTCCCATGTTGCTTGAAGCTTGATAGATCTTGATAGTGGAAGCGCATGGAAGCGCTTTGATTGCCGACAATTCGCAGGTGAGTGTTGACTCTAGCAGCGTTCCCTCGACGTTTGAGAGTCAGCCTAGAGCAAGTGCCGCTGATTGTCCCAGCGGTGCTACCGTGCATGGTTCCCAGAATTGACTGAGGGCAACAGCTACATGATGGCTACATGTATCCTTTTGATGGTTGGCATGTTGTACCAGAAGAGGTTTTCATGCGAATCACGGACGATTTTGCTTCATGTATTCACATCCTGTCGTTCCAAGGGAAAATTCGCAGCAAGAGTCCGTGTTTGAGAGCAAGCCTCAACAAAGTAAGGCCCACTTGCAACTTTGCGAACTTTGCCTTTCAACGAGTCTGGCTTCACTTTCACTTTACCCTTTCTTCCAAAGTGCTGCAGATTCGGATGTTTTAATCGCAGCTTGCATGACCATTTTCGTCTGAACTACCGCAATCTTTTCATAGTCATAGCATAGAATACTGGCTTCGTAGCCATCGCAGCCGCAGAGCAGCATTCTGCTGCGCCCTCAGACATCCAACTTTTCTTTCACCCTGACTTCAGAAAAGTTTGTTTGACTGACTAAGTGACCATTCATTTGCACAAAATAGACAGATGATACAGATGCGATCACATTTGTTGAATTTGGTATGCGGATTATGCAGGGATTCATGGATTTGATTAATTTGTTTCTTTGCAAAGGCGACATGGCGCAAGTTGGCTTGAAGCGGCAGCTTGCACCTGGACTGCACATCTCGTCAGTTCTCGGCATCTCTGAACTTGGTGAAACAGAAACAATTGAGAGAACTTGCAAGGCTCTCGCTCTCTTGGCAGCAGCGATTTTCACTTTCAGCAAGAGGTGCCACAAAAGGTCTTTCGATTCGATCAGTTCGCAGTTCTGGCAGTTCTGGTTTGCAGATCAGATTCAGATCAGATTCAGGCTCCCAGCAGCAAACGTGCAGCCCCCTCGCTTTGCCTTACGAGTTTGTGAGAAGTGCGTCATTGCCCCAGGGTTTGGGCATGTCGGCATGTCCTCAGCCCTGGGATGGGACGGTGTGCTTCAGGTTAGCCGCTCAGCTGGAAACGGCTACAATCCGAAGGGAGTGCTCCAACAGACAGCCAAGATGGCAGCAGAGGTTTCTTGGCGCTCAACAGTTTCGAACAAGGGAATTACATGGAAATACCATGAACTACCATAATCACCATATCTATCCATATTGGTGTTCATAATTTGGCCATGTATGTAAAACTATGATCAATTAACTGAATATACATATATATATAATTATATATATATACACAAGTATATATATATATATCATATATCATGATTTGTCAATTTGTATAGAGTTTATATAGTTATCATAGATTCAATGGTCTTGGAAGCTGGGGATTGACTGTGCCCATCTCCAGCCTTTGCCATTGCGTCCCAGCGTCCCAGGCAGGCTGGCCGGCGCCAAACGTTGAATGGGGCAAATGTCTGAAGCTCAGGGTGCATAGGGTGCGTGAAGGGCTTCCATGGACGGTTCGATGAAGGTTAAAGACTTGGGAAAGCATAGAAAGATGATGAGGCTTGAGTGCGAAAGGTCAATGAAGTTCACACTTTGATTGAGACATGGCTGCAAATGTCAGGATTTGAGGTCCTGACTGGCTGAGGTACTGGTGGATGTGACTATGGTCCAACTGTGCGGCTGGTCAAGGGAGATATTGCTTTAGCCCAAGTCAATGGGTCAAAAATGTCGAGACATAATGTGTCCGACAGCTGAAGTGACGCTGGAGTGATTTCCACGCATGAGTACTGTATCTACCATTGGGTACCATCCAAGGCGATTCCTGTGGCAGTGTTGTCCTGAGGAATGCTAGTTGTGCCAGCCAAGTGAAATACGGGCAAGACAATCTTGCCGTCAAGCGAATCAGGTTGAGGGCATGACAGAAGATGAAGTCAGTTTCAAGGCAAGGATCGGTTTACCGAACACGCTGAAGTTGCAGTTGACCTCTGTTTGAAAAGAAAGTGCGGTGGGTATCGGTGGCCCCCACGACGAAACTCCTTCTGCGCAAAGTGCTGGATCGTTTGACCCATTTTTGACCAATACCACTACCATTTTTGTCCCTGCAGAGGCTTTCCTCGCTGTCCAGAGTGAAATGGAGGCAGAGCGTGCCTTTGGCCTTGCCAGCAGGCACATAGCCGTCAGCTCCTCAGACTGAGAATTACTAGAGCGGTTGAATTACGACCGTTGATTTCATTGTTTATGGTTCAACATGGTTTCATTGTTTCCACTGGAATATGCTTAAAACATCTCCAAGCAGGTCCAGATGGATTCAATCTGGTTTGAGCACGGTCCAATCAAATCCAATCAGCAGCTACGCTCATTTTGCTGCTGGACTTCAGGAGTCTTCTGCAGATGAACCACAGCCAGACATTGAGATTCCAGCATGAGGCCATCATTGTGAGATGTGCAAACTTTCTGCAGCCATTTCGATTTCTGCAGGATACCATATGACTACTCATATAACTACCATATGATACCACCAGATAGCACGAAGAGAGCGGCAGCGGCAACTTGTCAAAGGCCTCCTGACGTGTCGCTTTGAAATCGCAGCGCCTCTTGTGACCCGGTTTTCGGGCGGCTGCCTGAGCCTAGGCTCAGGTCATTGCGCGCCCTGCTCGAAATGAAAGGGGCACCTGGGGGCACCTGACACCTTCAGAATCTTTCAGATATGATTTCTGTATGTTCTTCTTATTCTTTATTGCAGCCAGTCTTTGAAGTGCTCCTTTGGTTTTGGGACCATTCCAAGCATCTTTGAAAAGATGCTCAGTTTTCACATCAAGGTAAGGACCTTGATTTGGACCTTAAACGATGCTGGAAAGACTGGCTGTCCGGTGTCCACATATCACAGAGGAGAACTCTTTGGGTAGCCTGATATGCGTGTTGGTGAACAGATAAAAAGAACTCTATGGCCGCTTGTCAATCATTTTTTGTTATACCACTCCATTGGCCATCCATAGGCGTCCATTGAGTGTCTTATACTTTTCAGGATACATTGACATGTTTATTTGCTGGCCCATGTCATGATCCAAACATGTAGACAGGAGGCGGAGCTACCTATCTCCGGCCAATAGTGTGTATACCGGCTTGCCAGGCGGATACAACGGCTAGCGCAACCGGAGGGGCCGCGGTTGTCTGATGCCCAAGCTGATGAAGCTTTAGACAACACGGGAATTCAGACAGGAACCACATAGGAAGACTGAGGCAGAGCCATCGGTCTTTGAGTCGCAGCCGAAGCAGAGCTCAGCACAGGTACGGACTTAGCGATGCCAACTTAGCAAGCAACATCATTCCCACATTTGCCAAAATTCCCACGATTGCCATGTAGGTCTCTTATGCTGCAGCTGCGACTCCTGTTGATTCCTCTCAGTCTACCTTTGAAAGCAATCCGCAACAGCTTTAACCTCAGGCAAAATAAGTCAGGTTCAGTCTCAAGTTCAGCGTCATAGGATGTGATATGCTGGTAGGCAGCTTTTCAAAGATGTTCGTCCCAACCCGGACGTTGCTCCACACTTACAATCGTCATCGTCATCGTCATCGTCATCGTCGTCATCATCATCACCATCATCATCATCATCACCACCATCATCATCATCATCATCAGCAGCAGCAGCAGCAGCATCAGCATCAGCATCAGCATCAGCATCACCATCACCATCACCATCACATCATCACATCATTATCATCATGATCGCATTAAAATTCGCCCCCCCCTCTGAACAATATGTTGATTGGGGTAATAACATTAACCATATCTCCATAAGGGATCAAAATTCGCCACCCCCTATCTTCATGAGGGATCAACATTTGCCCCTCCTATGAACAACACGTTGATTGGGGTAATAACATCAACTTTATCTTCATATCCACCTGAAGTCAGACACGGCGCAACGTCAGGGTTGCAGCGAAGATGTTTCAAGGGGCAAAGCTTGTTCCCGTGAACAGATTGAACAGTGAGTGAAGTGAGTGAAGTGAGTGAAGTGAGGTCAAAGGCAGACACAGCATATGGTGGTTCTGCGGCAGCCACGACCGAACCGTTTGGACCTCTCCAGCTGTGGCAGCTGTGGCAGCTGTGGCAGCTGTGGCAGTCATGACCTTGTTGTGAGGTCGACCTTCGAGAGTGCGCCAGCAACAAGCAAGGCCGGAGCTAAGGGAGATTCCCATTTTGAGGCATTTGTATACTATGTACTGCATACACATTATATCGTTGTGTATATACATACACAAGAATCATAATTCCCACGAGGAATGTAGGACTTTTGTGGCTACTGACTTCAACTCTTGAGTCTTTGATACAGGCTGCTGTGGGGTACGGCCGCAATGATGCCTCAACCGTGGCCGAGGACTGCCGCTTCTTTATTAGCTTTTCCACAGATGCTGGTGGTTTTCAGACATTGGATATCTTTGCTTTGAAGGCTCCATCTGTATTCGAAAGTCAGCCCAAAAAGTCCTCAGCCATGGTGTCCGCTTCTGACTCCGATTCTGGGCTGCAAGAGTTTATTGAGTCCTGAGCTGTTCAGAAAGAACTATAAACATGTGTAAGGACAAGTATCTCCAATTTGTAGACTTTAGCTATATACGTGCCTTGCAGTGGGTATTCTTTTCCTCAAAGGCTCCAACAGCTACAGACAGCCCGTCAGTCTTCGAAAGTGCACCTGCAGAGAGGCCGCGGAGACCACAGATTATTGGCAAAACATGTTGAAATTACGAAGTCTTTGTCCTAGTTTTATTGCTGTGCCAGTCGAGCGGAGACATCATACTCCAAAGCGGCGACATCCGCGGACCAGTCGCAGTCTGTGTGACACTCAGGGAAAACTTTTCCCTGCAGTTCAAAGAGCACTTGATAGCACTATCTGATAGCATTCATCGCTCTGTGTCTTGAGGTGTTTGAGAGCCAACCGAAGCAATCTTCCGCCACGTATGGGCATGCTCAGCAAGTTTCTGCCTCAGCTTAAGAGCTCCAAGGCCTTTGGCAAAATCGGGGTACGTGTTTCCTAATGTTTCCTAATGTTTCGCACCGGTGCAGTCAGCCATATTCAGCTTGTTCCAAGGCATCAGGCCCAGCTGATCAGCCCTCTGTGTTTGAAAGCCAACCGAGCCAGAGTTCTGCCATGGCAAAGGCCCCAGGCATTGCAACGGTTGGAACATTTTGGAACCGTTGGGACATTGAGCAAAACAACGATGCAACCGCAGCAATCGTCAGATTTCCGCACCTTGCCGTGGCTTCCAAGGTGAGTCATAAGGACACTGTTTCCACATCTGCAGACAAGTCGGTCTTCGAGAGCGAGCCGCAGCAAAGCAAGGCCCGGCATGGCCCGGCCAAAGTGATGGTGCGGTCGAAATTTAAAATAAGTTGAGGATAGCTGAGGTACTTAGGACATCTTAGGACCGTACGTTTACGATATGTCATGATCACGGGTCCATAGAGGGGCGGATCATCTCACCAAAATTTATGACATGCTCTTGGCTGCAAGAATTCGACGGCAGCCAGTCCTGTCTCGTGAAAGTTCCTGAGGCCGCCGTTGGACATGGAAGGAATGCTTCAAATGCACCGCAGGCTCGATTTCTTTTGTTCATTGAAATTCATTCAGCGTGCTTCAATCAATCTCCCAAGCTCCTACCCCTTATATCAGCAACGCTTTTTCTTAGCCAGTGCTTTAATGGTCAGTAATGGTCAGAGATCAAGTTACACGATATATACAACTAAACAGGGTGACCATCGTCCTGTCCAGGAGCAACCATCGGTTTTCGAAAGCCAGCCCGCCCAGAGCAAGGCACTTTTGCAATCTTTTGCAGATGTAAAGGGCCCTGTTGTTGTCCGACCTGCTCTTTGTCTCCGGCTCGACGCTGCGATCCGACTTTGCTAGGCGCATTACAGAGCTGGAGCCAACGCGCAAAGTGAGTCTGAGTACGAAACCGATGAAGAGAACTGAGAGTTTGGAAAGGCGTGTGCAATGCGGTGCTGCATGAAACTTTGCAAAGCATGTTGACGCCTGCCATGATACTGTCGTCATACTGTCATGATACATGATACTGTCATGACACTGTCATGTGCATGTGTTTGTTGCTTTGTTATGCCTGCCCCGCCTTTAAATACGCGCGCTGGTGGGTGATTTGATTGCAATTTGCCGTGGCCAGTTGATTGATCGGAGGTTGACACTTTCGGTAAGACTGGCACCGATGCTGATTTCGGCCTCTCCCCTAGACCTTGACCAGAATCGACTGGACGGAAATCCTTTGACCAGCAACAAGTAGAAACAAGTAGTGTTGGTAGTGAGACAATCACTTTGATCTCGAGGTGCCTGTGACATTTGCGGCAGCTGGGAAAGCACAAACTTGATCAGACTGCCGGGCTCCAGCTTTGAAAATGAAAGCTTTCGATGCCAGAAATCTCAGCTATCCCAACCATGCTGGTCAAATAATCCATGAGAGTTCATGATAAGTCGGAAATGGTGGCACTGCTGGGAGCCCGAGATCGATTTTCACTTTGTGAATTTGAGTTGGATCCTACCTGGGCATATCAGATACAGATCCTGTTTGATCAGCCATCTCACGCTCCAAGACTACTTTGTATAAAATCGCAAATTCTAATATATATATATAATATGTATACAAGATTCATACAAGATACCTTCCTAGTCCATTGTGATTTATTCTGCACCATGGTTGTTGAAACCCAGACCTCTCATGTCTCGCAAAGGTGCGAGAACTTGAGGTGTCCTCTTTTTGCATCCGTCCAAGCTTGATTTCACATGCGCTGGATAGTTTGCTACAAGATCTGCCCTGCTGCACTCCCTTGGGACTGAACTGGTTTTCTTCGAACATGCTGGTTTGAGTTGGTTCTTGGTCCTAGCAGCTCATGGATTGTAGAGATTTGCTTTATGTTTGCGGCCCTCGTTGCTTAGCCTCTTCGAGAGATGCTAGTAGCAGCAGTAGCCAAGTGCCCTTCGCGTGTGAGATATTGATGATAGACGCACAATGTGCAGATGGTGTGAACGCTGGGGAAAGTTAAAACAAATTGCTAGTGCATGCTGTCACACATGGAAATGCTGAAATGGCTGCGGCATCAATACTGCCAGCAATGCAACAAAACACAGAAGCATTTGCATAGATGTAGCCAGGAGATGCAAAGAGAGCTTGTGACCCGAGCACTTGTAGCAAGAGCTCTTCATCATGACACGTACAGCATGTTGCAGCCACCACTGCAGCCACGCCGGCTTTGTAAAGTTCGGATGGGAGGCCTTTTTTGAGGGGACCTTTTGCGCGGATGGCATCGCAGGCCAACGTACAGAATATTGACCAAGAAACTCATACACACCGTTACACACCTTGTACTTGGAACATCGATCTTGGAAGCTTCTGTGGCCCGCAGGCACGGCAAAGAAAGGGCAAAGTTCCGAATAATCCACCTGAGATAGATGTTGACCTGCCCGTCGGTGCCTTATATGTGGAAATCTAATGAAATCTATATGCTGTCAATGTGGCAAATTGATGCAAATTGATTCAAATCGCGCAGTTGCCCGCAAAAGATGTGACCTTTTGTTTTCCCTTTTTTGTGACCAGTTTTATCGAACTCTGGCTGATGTAAATTGCTTAGAAGTATCAGGTTGCTTCAATTGTGACACCTCTGAGTTTTTGTGTATGGATAAGCAGGGCATTGAGTTCGCCCAGGAGTCATCTGCAGTTGCTCGGATAGTTGCAGGACAACCAACCCCAAGGCTCGAGTTGGGCCTGGAGCAGACAAAAAACTAGCGGTCACCAGCGGTCACCAGCGTCTAAGTCAGGTCGACTTTGGGCTCACCATTGACCTCCCATGCTTCTTACAAGAGGCACAAAGTGGGACAAAGCATTCGGCTGTCGCCAATTTGGGGCAGCATTTCGACAGTTGACATCAGTTGACATCAGTTGACATCAGTTGACATCAGTTGACATCAGTTGACATCAGTTGACATCAGTTTACCATGTCAAGTGGTATCGAGCTACCAGCGCTGCAAGCACTAGGGTGTGATGCTATGTATGATGCAAGGTCAGGCGTGGGAGATTTAGGTGCTGGTCCTCGACGGCACATCTCTTTGTCGCAGGCACAGAATCACACAAAACACAAAGTCCAGAGATGTCCAGAGTTACTGACATGTTATCGACATGTCATACATAATTGTGACCATAGACATGTTGTAGAGTTGCCCATGGGATGATTTGGATGGTTGGGTTTCGACATTGGTTGTGTGCCCCAGGGATGCCGAGGGTTTCAACATCCCCTAACGGCCGTGGCGCCGTGGTGTGTCGAATCTGTGCAGGTGGAGCTAGTGCCATGGCTATGTTGCATGGCTCCGGCCATTGCTCTGTTTGCGACGTACTTCACAGCAGGGACACTCAGGATGCGGGACTTCTCAGGACGGCACAGAAAGGAGATCAAAGGAGATCAAGTAACCAAGCACTGCATTTTCTATGTTCTGCTTTCAACACAGGCGCTGTGGGTGCAGGACTTTTTTGCAAAGTTATAGTTATGCTCTGCCCGAGTTCGAACTGCTGTGAGGTGTTGTCATCAGTACTCTGCTCGGCCTTCCTTGCAGAGATAGTGACGGCAGTCCTTACCTTCATTACGTGGCTTTGGATCAGCAACCTCTCCTTGGCAAGTTTTGCCGGTGTCTTCAAGATGAGACAGGCTCCTAGTACTGCGACAGCAGTACAGCAATATCGCTCAGTGTTTTTAAACCTATCAGAATATCTAGAATGGTTCTTCTGCTTGTTGCGAGATTAAACGGCTTCCCAATTCAACATACATCAACATTGAGTGCAAAATCTAACAATTGAAAGCTTCGTGGTTTGCTTGGGAGTTTGCAGGCCAGGAGTTCTTTCGCACAAGCTCGTTTGTGATTGGTGTTGTTATCATTTTACAAGATTTTACTGATGCTTCGACACTTGCAGTTATGTTTGCCTGGAAAAGAGATCAGGCTGCCTCAGTTGATTGGCATTCTTTGCTACATCAGATGCCAGCTGACGTTCTCATCTTAGAACTCAGCACAGGTCTGGTTTGCTTTTTTGCCCTTCCCTGATCGTTCTGTTTATGATCTTGTGATCCCTTGAGCATTTTTCCCTTGCTTCGTGCTTGAGGCAAGAGCCGGAGTGAAGCACATTGTGCTTTTGCCAAATTATATGGAGAGCGAGAAGATGATGAAGGCAGCTCTCGTGGTGCAGCTCTTGTGGTTTGAGCTTTGAAAAATTATTCGACTGGTTGCTCCCAGGAGACGTTGGACAACTTGGCGCGCAGTCGTTTGGCCCGATCGTGCGTGCATGTTGTGCTTGCAATGGAGGTGCGTTGCAGCAAGAGATCGCTTGATATCAGCTGAAAGCAAAGTAGGAGAGCTAAGACGAAGTGAATCGTTCCGGAATCAAGCAAGCCACAAAAGCCAGTAAAGCGCAAAACCAGCAGACTTCACGACAGGCAAGAGAAGGGCAAGCTGGTCGGGACAAAGCAGAGCGAATAATGGCAGAGAAGGACAGCACTTGTGTCAAACATGTGCTCTATAGCAGAAATGGTCAGATCTGTTTACATAATCTTCATGTAGCTTGCGAGAGCCTCGGACCATACTCACCCATGCACGCCCATTCGCTGGCTTTTGTAGATAGTTCACTGCAACCGGGCCGCAGAAACATCTCTTTGCCGACATTTTTGCGACTTACCATCCGCAGGCTCCAACTTCTGTCATTTTTTCTGCCACTTATTTGCCACGAAAAAGCTGTTGCGGAGCGACAGTTGCACCAGGGGCTTCCTGGAGAAGTAGCTGGCAAGTCCTCCAATACCCAGTGGGCCTTCAGAGAGGTGAGCTGCAGCTGCACGCGTCATGCTGGAGTGAGGGCCAGTTGTTTATCATGTGATGCTGTTGATATGGAGGCCCTCCGGCGATATGGAACATCCTTGTCAAAGAGGGACTTGTTCTGTGCTTAGACACAAAACCAACAGGTCCAAAAGAATGAAATAGACCGGTTGCGGAGCGACACATCGAACCAGCACTGAGGTCCCGCGTGTTCCTGACTGTGGCTGATGCAGATACCTTGTTTGAAGCTTGGGATCGCTCGGATCTGTTTATGTAAAATCTGAAGTGATCCATCAGAAAAAAATCCAGAATGCTGCGGATGCTGAGGCTACATCCACAATATTTGAGCGCTATGACTTACCAAGGCCCGACAACACACAGAAAGTCAAAGCATGGTTCAGTGATGGAAAGCTCTTTCGATCCGAAAGTCGATGTCCAAGGTCTTTTGATGGACAAGGAGGAACGCTCCTGGACAATTTGGCAGCCACCAGTGCTGCTGGTGCTCCTGGCAGAAATTGTCTCTTTGGAAAGCACTACATAGAATTCGATGTTTCTTTCCTTTCCGAAAGATATCAAAGGGACCATGCACTGTTAGAACTTGGAAGCGTAGCACTTCACTTCTTGGTGTTTTTGGTCTCTGTTGGTCTCTTTTGGTCTATGTCTGCCAGGTTCGAAATATTTTTTCAGTTCCTGCGCTCACACGGACATCCTCACATGCAGCGTGGACCGGCAGAAAGATCAGCGTCAAAGGGGTCTGGCGTTGCTGTCAAAAAGTCTCGTCTCTGACCAAGTTGAAAAGTTGACCAAGGCTGATTTTCGAACTGGCGACCCTTGCAAGTCAGCACATTTTCCCGGCCTTTGCCTACTCTTCGTGCCCCAAATAATGATAATGTGACCAGAGCCAGCGCATGAACTTCTCGTAGGATTGTTGATCTTGTAGCATGACCATCGGATGACCTTGGTCAGGTATTCCATGACCTTGGCATTGGCTTCTCATCCCGAAGTGGATGGGTGGGATGTTGATGTGATCGCAGAGGACTACACTGTTCCACTGTTTAGCCTGGCATTGGAGGCATTGGATACTTCAGAGTTCTACGGCCGATGTTTTAGTAGGATTTTTGCTTGCTTCTTGGTTCATCAGGAGTCATGATTCAGTTTGGAAATCCTCTTTGATTGCATACCATCACAGTGTTCACTTGACTTCGACTTGGAGGACCATCACATGTACTGCAAGTGCTACTTTGCCGCTCTGTGGGAATTATCACATGCCAAAAAGGCCAGGCTACCATCGTCTTTGCGCCTTCTTTTGCTAAGTTTCAGGCACCGCAGATTCAACACTGCCTTTGCAGGAACATGTCAAGAAAGCTGGTGAGGAGAATGACACAATTGATTTGATTCCCCAGGTTAAGGCAGGGCTTTTGTGTCGAGACCTATGTCAATTATGTAATCACTGTGACCACTGTCAGCCGAGGTGCAGGCAATCTTTTGCCCTGTCCGGGGCCTGGGGACGAGGTTTGCCATTTGGTTTATTAATTTTTTGAACTACACAACGACATCAATGACGTTGCCACGTTGCCACGTTGCCATGTTGCCACGTTGCCACGTTGCCACGTTGCCACGTTGCCACGTTGCCACGTTGCCACGTTGCCACGTTGCCAAGGCAGTGTCCTACTTGGTCGAGTCCACAGAAGGCTATATTGCGTCTCTTTTTGCGCGGTTTCAGCAGGCGGGTGCATTCGCACGCTTTCGTACGTCGTGCATTTGGAGGAAGATCATATCAGATAGTGTAGCAGTTGTTGAATGAGTGTCCTGCGACGATCATTGCAAACAGGCGCGGCGCCACACTCAAGGCCTTGTTGAGCTTGGCTACGTCCTTCAGCTGCACTTAACTGAATGGTTTGAGAACTTTGAGAACTCAGGAGCGTAGTTGAAGGTGTTGAAGGTGTTGAAGGTGTTCCGGGCCAGTTCCGGGTTCCGTCCTGAGGTGTTCCTGCAATGGTTCCGGCTTTCGTCTTCTGTTGGATTCCTCAAGATCCCCTGGAGGACGTGCGAGTGCTCAGGTTTTGTTCAACTTCTTGTCACATTGCACTTTTGGATCTCTTGGATCTTTTGGTTGCCTTGCGTGTCTTGCACACTTGGTATATCTTGAGATGATCTGAGGCATTTCTCAGTTGCTATGATCGCTGCAAAAATGCACACCATCCACGTGATTGCTGTGGCTCAGTGCTTCGCCCTGATACTACTCTCAATCACGCAACTGCTTCCAAGGCCGCAGCTTTCACATGCACCCAACTTGAATAGTTACACGAAATCGAGTATAGCATGTTATCGTAACCTTGGCAACAACAATTGACTTCCAGGGCAGGGAGATTTGCTTCCTGGATTTTGGAGGGAGGATTTAGAGAGATCTTCCAGGAGACTGGTAGCTTTGGCCTTGAAATGACTTGCTTCTCGCTGGGTATATCCGCCGCTCGCAGGAGCTGTCAAGCAGTTGGTCTGGAATGAACGGTGCCGAACAGGTGCCACCAGCAGATGCCTTCGTAAAGAGAAATCGAAACATATCGAAACGATCTATTCGGTATCACGGTATCACGGTATCACGGCCTATCACCATGCATCCAGCTGGTGTTGTTGCTCGGAAACATGAGCATCTTGGTTTTCATATTGGCACATGACTGAACTTGACTGAACTTGACTGCATTGGCATCAGAATTTGAGTTGCTTTTTTAATGTGGCCAAAGGCGCTGCTCACCGCAATTGGTCAAATCTCGGGAATCATGTTGCTGTACTCCTTGACGTGTGCCATGGCCCGCGTCTCATTGGAAGGTTTCGCCATGAAACAGAACCCAAATCAGTCACGAGTACGATGAGTACGCCCTGTTTTTGCAGGTTGGACACTTGAACAATCTTGGGTTCTCAAGGTCGTCGGCGATATGGTGGAAGGAACTTACTATGCCAATGCAGAATCAAAAGCTCCTATCTCAAGTCGGGAGCCCTTAGAATCCGTAGAGTTTCCGAGTCTTGAGTGGCCTTGACTGTCATACTCCCCGAAAGACATCGAAAGACTATCTATGGTATGGCTTACTTTGACATCTTTTGACATTTGCCATTGGGCATTAGGGTATTGAATGGTATTGAATTTAGATCGTGTCCATTTGATTCCATTTGTCATACTTTGTCATTGAGGTTCTATGGCCATTGATCCGGTCGCAGAAGGAGATGAGGCACGGCAGAAAGACCATCACTGTCCAAACAGCAACCGGGACACCACATTTGTCACACTGATTTCATATGATTTCATGATTTCATTGCAGGTGCAATCGCTTGACTCTCAGATTTTCTTCCCGCCAGTCCTTTGCAATTAGTTCTGACATGTTCTGACGATTAAAGCTCATTGCGACATTGCAATAAGGCACGAGAGAGCTGCAGAACCATCCAACCCTGCAGAGCGGTTGGAGATGCCTGGCATGCTGGAAGGTCCGCGGTTGTCAGAGTCAAGAGAGCTTCAATCGCTTTTTCAAGAAACATGAGAATGTCTTTGTGCAAACTGCAAACTTGACCTGTTTCTTCTATCTCTCGTTGTTTGTTTCTGCCATCATTTTGGGAAACTAGCGTTCATTGCGTGGGGCTACAACAAGCTAGAGGCGCTGCAGCCACATGATGCCAACTCTTTGGCACTGGGCACTGAGGTCGTCGATCCTGGCCCTGGCGTATTGGATTATTCTGCTACGTTTATGCTGACACGATGCTGTCAGGCTCCACATGGCTTTATATGCTTTATATGGCTTTATATGGCTTTATATGGCTTTATATGGCTTTATATGGCTTTATATGGCTTTATATGGCTTTATATATGGCTTTATATATGGCTTTATATGGCTTTATACTGTATGGCTTTAACATGCTTTAACTATCATTACATAGATGTATATAATAGATGATATTCCTAGAGCTACAAAGACCCACGAAATTGTAGGCCCAGTCAAAAAAACACGTTTTTTTTTGGAGAAAAACAGGGTTTTTCATTTTCGGTGATTTTATATAATGCTTAGAAGGAACACGTATTTGCTTTTCTTCTTGATCTACTTATTGGGTTTCAGCAAGTAGTTGATCAATACCATCGTGCAAAGTAGAACTGGATCTGATTCGTTGTGCCAGCAACAGGTTACTCTCTCGCATATATGATGCCCCAACTTTGTTCAGAAATGTGCTGCGTCCAAGAGTGTCATATTCAATTATAGCTACAAGTGCCGCAAATCAAAACAAAATCACAGCATGATGTATCCAAACATGTTTGAATGCGGGGTATGGATCATGTTCGGCACTGACAATTGACGCTCATGTGCTGTCCTTTACACCGAGTCGAAAACAATCAGTGTCACAGCCACTCTTTTCTGCAGGGAAAATGAAAAAACACATAATTTTTGTACGGCTTAGTATGGGTTCATTATGGGTCCTTTACGGGTTAATTATGGGTTCTTAAAAACTTGTTCTTTTTTCTCGATTCCTAAAATATGGGTTTTGTGTGGGAAAAATATGTTTTTTTCATGGTGGACCCAAGAATCCATATAAAACCCATGGAAAATCTGATAAAATTGTGATATTTGAGGATTTCCCATCGAAAATTCGGACAAAGTCCGGCCGGGAGTTTAAAATTCCGGGTAGGAAATTCCAGAAATAGATAATTCCCGGCCGGACATTCCAGAAATAGAAAATTCCTGGCCGGGAATTTTGGTATTCTATTTGAAATAGGATAAATAGGTAAGAAACATGCTAACAAGACAACATATTCTCCTGTGGGATTTTAGGCACAAATTCTTTCTCAGGTTTTCAGAGATTTGGGATCATCATTCTACACCAAATCCCAAAAGGTTGCCATAAGCAATCTTTGAAATCATATATAATGCCCAATACTCCGAAAGACTTTTTTTTTGGCAACATGCATGGAAAAACCGGGTTTCTGAAAAAAGACCTACAAATTTGTGGGTCCATGTTGCTGATGGTACCTTGTACTACCTTGTCAATTTCTGTGCAATGCCAAATCCAGCTCCTTCCAGACTCGTTTCAGGAGCGTGAACGGCTTGAGTTGCATGGAAAGTGCATGAAACTCCTGGCTGCTTGTTGCCAGGCTATCCTGCGTGCTGTGCTTGGGGCATGGTGCCGGGCATGATGGCAGGCGGCAGCCCAAATCGACGCAAGAAAAGATGCTCATGACGCACCGCACCGCATGTCCATGTTTTTAACCGGCAGGTTGGTCCCTGTTAAGACGTGGAACCGACTTTGAGTATATCGTGCCGAACTCAACACAATCGGTGAATTGAAGGGTGGGAGAGAGGAGATTCGAAGATTTTTGAAGGATTTTGTTGTCGTTTCAGGTGGCTATGAAGCCTGAGTGAGCATTTGCAGCGGCACTTGCTTTTATCCTGACTCAATTGTCAAAGGATTTCTTGCGGCCCATCGCTGCAGATGTTCCGTCGTTCTTCAGATGTTTTGAAACATGTTGACACCTTTTCTAAAAATCTATATGACAATAAAAAATAGTAGTGATTAATAAATATATAGTGGTTCCTAATGACCTGCTAGCCTGCTAGCAACCATCTTAGAATTCCACTAAATGCCTTGTGTTTTAGCACGGGGAGCAGCAATTTCGCAGCGGCTCCCAATTCAAGTTCCCTGCACGCCGCACGTGTTTTGGCATGTGCTCATTTTGTGTGAAGGCACCAAAATTGTGTCCTCCAGCCGGATTTTGCTGAAAGCGTCCCTGTCCAAAGCGTACTAATGACAAAACCCAAAGTGAAATTGAAATTTGTCGGCAAGAATTCTGTGGCAGTGCGATATGGAGTGGCTACGAGCAGAGGATCAGGATGCGTGGCTGTGCATTGTGCCTGTCATCGATGAATGCAGGCGTTTACTGTGGACTACGTGATCCTTGCGAACATGTCCGGTAAGCCAGCCCACAGCTAGACTCGCCTGGGGTTCCAACATCGAAGACTCAAAGAGGACTTAAACTGGACTCAACTGGACTCAACTGGTTTGATCATGATCATTTTAGGATATGTTCCCAAACCCAGTACCTCCCAAAGTGGGTAGGTGATCAGAATTATGTTCCCAAGGGTAAAGTGGTTTGACGCAAAACCATGTTTCATCCAACGTGTTTTTGGCGAGTCAAGTGCCAGGGGAGAAGTGCACAGATTGCTGACAGCTGTTTGCGAAGCAAGCAAAGCCAGCTGCAAGGGACATGCACATCACATTGGGATTTGGGAAAGCCGGCAGTGTTTCACAGATCGACGAAAAAGTGTCGGAAGTTCTGATTGGCAGTGGTGCTTTTGGCTACTTATGGCTGTTGTTTTTGAGTGTTTGCTGGACTTTCCCAGAAGTTCAGTGGGCTCTTTGAACAAACTGTGAACCTTCACACATGACATACATGTGAACATGTGGTCCAAAGTTTGCTGATGAGGCCGTTTCTCAGCTCAGCCCGCTTTCCCCGTTGCATCCGTTGCGTTTCGTGGGTGACCCCGCAAGGTCAGGACTTCAACCGTACCTTTGCAACTGACCATTACGGCATGCGTGACAGCACACAGCAAGTCACAGTCCTGACAGGTAAAGAGCAAGATGGATATCCGCATAGAAGCGATGGAAGGGTTATCAACTCAGTATCCTGAAGTCCAGCCAAATTGTTGGCCCAAGCAAAAAGGATGCAAAAGGTTTTGTGTGCCATGTGTGCTCATGTCGGAGCATGTATGATCTCAATTGTTGCATTGACCACAAGGCCTGTTCCTGCTGGAGAGACTTTTGTGTCCATGCGCATTGGAGACTACCAGAAGCAGTCTCGTCAGCTGATTGCAATGGATTGCATGCTATCTTTGCATGTTATCTTTCATGGTTGGAGTGGTGCGAGGTTTCCTGTGGATCTTTGGTTTTGATGATTTTTGGATTGGTGGTTCTTTTTGCCTGGCCGTGTTTGCATTTCTCAGACACCTAGGATTGGGATGCACTAAAAGCTATCGCTTTCCACAAGATGATGGCAATGGATTTGCTCGCCTTGAGGAGGGATTTGACTTTACTCTTCGCACAATTTTGTCACATAGATTTATAATGATTTATAATGATTTATACATATAATTATATATATATAGCTTTATGACATTTATGACATTTATGCTACCAGTGTGTCAGACATTTTGAGTCCGAGATTCTCGACTCATTGGACCGAGCTTCGTAGGTCTTTCAGCGGATCGGACACGTCTCTCTCAGCCTGGACAAGCTGCGAGCAAGTGATCAAGACGTGCAGGCGGACGGCAAGGGATTGGATCTTCATGGTTTGCTGTGCAACTGAATCTATCTGAATCTATCTGAATCTTATGAGATCAAAGTGCTAGATGTGCTCAGGTTCCGTTGGATACTCCGGATGTGAATTTCTTGCCCATGCGGTCGGTCTCTTAGTCTTGGATCGGATTGGCAGAGGAATCGAAATGAGTCGACTTGAATCGACCATTCTTGCTGCTAGGATTGGCATGGAGAAGAAGTCGGACCAAAAGGGTCAGGGGAAGGTGGGGCGGGATCATCAAACGCCCGAAGAGCCTCTTCATTCTGACAGAAGCCGAGCAGATCCGTTTTCACAGACCTAGAAACAGCATGAAACAAGTAGAGACAGTAGCTGTGCCAGCATCCATAGTCCGTACAATTCCAAGCCTTCCTGTCATTCCATGCGTCCTGCATCTAGGTGAAGACCAGACTTGATTCAGCGCAAAGGCTGGGAACCACACGCAAAGAACATAGGACAACGCGCTTAGACAGGTTCTGATTGATTTGTTGCTTAGAATCTTAGATTTTTATAGATTTTTCTTTAGGCAAAGCAACCTTACATCTAGGGTCGTGCAGGGTATGGATGTGATTCGCATGATCGTGGGATAGTATTCAACCCGGGTGAAGTTAGTGGAGAGGCTTATACTGAGACCTCACATATACCAGATCTTACACGAGAGCAAAACTGCACCGCAAAACGGTAAGTGATCCAATTGTTAGATGGTGAGTGACAGGTACTTGGCGCAACATCAATTGGAAGAGATCATTGCTGATGCCATGCGCGAGGTGTGTTTTTATTACAGTGATTACAGCGGATACAGCAGAGCTGTACCATGTTGCACGATGTTGCACCATGTTGCACGCTCGCAACACAGCACAAGCACTTCTACCCCCAATCCCTAACTTGGCCAGCTTCTGGTGAAAGCATTCCATTCTCGCAGGTGATCCATGAAAAGCCAGACGACCCGCACACATTCCTCTCCAATCAGATCATGAAGCACGCAAAGAAGCCTTCATTCTTGCCACCTCTGTCGATTTCTCAGAAATCTGCACTTGGGAATTGGCACTGCAAAGATGGCCTTGTCCAAAAATGGACACGCAAAATAGCAATTTTGATTTTGATTGGGTAAATCTGATCAACCATAAGATTTTGGCGTGTCCGCCACTTTCAGATGAACCCAAATGTTGCGACAGATTGGGCCGAATGAGTCGAATGGAAAACTCCTTTTGCAAGGCGCAATGACAAAGAGCTGCCACCAAAGCCTCCAAGTGGAAAGCCATGACCACTCAGTGACGGATTTGGAAGCAACGGCAATTTATCCAAATGCACTTCAAGGTGAAGGCATCAGGTCACGTCAGATAAACCCGATTGGATCCGATTGGGACATAGGCTTAGAGAATTCCAGTCACACTTGTCTCAGGAATCCGAAGCCCAATATGTCTGAGAAGCTTCCACCCATCAGCGGCCATCTCAGTCTCCAAGCTCCCGGACCAGCTCCAAATCTTTTTTTTTCTCACCGTGCCTGACGAATCCTGATATACCCGTCTCCCGATCCCGGTCTGACTGAGGTGGAGGAAATGCCCGGACCTAAGTTGACCTAAGTTGACCTAAGTTGACCTATGCAGTGATGCAGAGCCATCTCTACCACTGAAGCTGCCAGGAGCTGAGCAACCTGCGCATCGAGGCGTTCCGAGATTTGAGTCATGATGTGTTTGAAACATTTTGGCAAATTTTGGCAACAGTTTGGATTGGGTATCCTCAATAATATATAGTATATAATAGTCATGCATTTTTCAATTTTTTCCACGTATTTTGCCATCAGCGAATGGCGTTTAAGAAGTCGTGAGACTGAGAGGCTCGGGATGTCTTGCTGCAATCTGCCAAAGATGGAAGCTTGGCAAAGGCCTTGGCGAGTGCCCTGAGCTCAATGGCGCTGCGGAACTTTCAGAGCCAGGTATTGTACTCACTGCGGGGATAGGGCGTTACTCACTGCAGGCTTCGAGCGAAGAGGCATCCCGAGCTTTGTTGCCATCAAACAGCCCGTTGAACATGTTGAACAGGATCCAATATGATATGATTCATATGATCCTATCATATCCTATCCATTCCTATCCAATTTGAATATTTGAAGAGGGATGTGTATGGCCCGTATGGCTATGCTCCCTTAGTCCCATGCAATGCCATGACCCCGGGACTTTGGAGAGGTGGACATGACAGAATTGCGCAAGGAGGCAACACACACAAATTGCAATTTTAACGCTGTGGATGGTGTGTTTCAATCAGTCTTGTCGCTGTGCTTAGTACACAAATCACACAACACTGCACAGGTTTCAAGACTTTGATTCCGTGAGGCGGCGACGGCATTGTTCAATGCAGCCAAAGACGGGAGCTTGAATGCAGCATTGCGAGACACGGCCATCCCCAAGGACCTGTTGTGAATGTGCTGCACCATGCTGCACCAAAAAACATCAATACTCGTATGGTGAAAACAGACAAGCCAAATGAAATCAGGACAGACCTCTTGTTTCAAAAGGAACACCTCGATCAAGCTGGGCCTACATGCTAGACTAGACGTCTGTTAAAGCTTCCATACTGTAGAGTGAAAACCCAGTGCGAGCGGAAGTGGTTTTGAGACCGAGAGGCACACTTACAATCCACATAATCCAGACATGAAACAAGTAATAGGCTGTGCAGGTGGCAGAAAACCGAAAACCCGATAATTTCCATAAGGCTTTCCCGGTGTTGCAAGGTGCCACTGGGTGCCGCTGGGTGCCACTGGGTGCCACTGGGTGCCACTGGGTGCCACTGGGTGCCACTGGGTGCCACTGGCAGGACAGTGAATTGGAGCAACTCCGACAGCAGGTTCTGATCAGAGAAGTTGTTGAGCAGATTTTTCGATGTTTGTTGACAACGACAAGCAAAGTGGAAACACATCCGCAAGGCCAGGGCCACCTTGCTTCAGGGAGCACGTGATGGATCCTTGCAGGATGCGCTGAAGAGTACCAAAGCCGAGGCACCGCATTTGAATCTGGGTGAACACCGGGTGAACTGTTCATCTTGGGAGTGATTGTGACATCAACAGTAGACTCAGTAGGCTGCTACTTCAAATCCTGAGATCTGCCACACCCGGAGGTATCAGCAGAGAGCGTTCGCTTGGAGGTGGGCCGCTGGATACATCACCAGGACAATATGGAGCCGAGAAATATGAGAAATGCAAAACAACGGATTCTTGGAAGATCATTTCCGCACCAGTAGAAACTACAACCGGAACTATAGTATTTAGGTTGGGATGTATTTAGATGTATTTAGATGCATTTAGATGTATTTAGATGCATATGATTATATGATGATTATGATGTATTCAGTCATAATCGCCGCATCCTTGGATATCCTTGCAAATTTTGAACGTTAAAGGATGCAGGATCATCTCAGTTTAGATGATATCTCTTTCTCTATCTTGGTCCCGTTGACCGATCGACTCAAGAAAGGGGTTGCTTGAAGGCACGTGAAGCTCTGCTGCGATCAGCTCAAGATGGAACACTGGCAGCAGCTTTACAGGGTCAGGCCAGAACGACATGGGACACCCAAGGCATACCCAAGGCATCTCAAGGTCGAATCTTGTAAGTTCAGGCATGTTTGAGGCATGTCTGGGTTGGGATATCTGACGTGAATCGTCGCTGGACCAGGCAAACCGTGAGGATGCTCTGAAGGTGGAGGAGCTTCGTGCCCAGGCTTGTCACGACATGTCCTGAAGCAAATCCGGTCCAGATTTCTCATGTCAAAGTCGCCATAGTCGCCATAGTCGCCATAGTCGCCATAGTCGCCATAGTCGCCATAGCCACTCTTTTTTTTTGCAGGCCCGCGATGCACTGCTCAAGGCATCCATGAACGGGGCTTTGGAACAGGTACTCAGCAAGGGTCAGCAGCTCAAGGAGCCACCACATCTATTCGGCGTGGCCGCGTGGCACCTGAGTCACGTGAGCCAAGGTAAGTCAGATAAGAAGGCAATGCAGGTGCAGATGGTGCAGCATGGTGCAGCTGTTTGCACCTTTTGTATGTTGCGTGATGCCTTCATAGTTTGCAAAGTTTTTTTGCGCCCACTCTCAGACTGTTTACAACGCATTTTGGGTTGAGGGTCTAAAGAGTCTATAGAATCTATTTGATAGGAATCCTTCTCGCATTTTTTCCGTGCCTCCATTTTGCATCCTGTCCGACACCAAAGCAGGCTGCCGAATTGCCACAGTTCAAGTTCAAACCGTCAAATTCTTAGTGTTTCAATGAATTCCAAAAGTATGTCGAAACAGACGGAGGTCTGACTGGGTATGTTAAAGAGTGAGGACCTGGTCCCTGCTGCACATCCACCATGTTTAGCTTTTTTGTTGATGGCACTTGGAAACCATTCACCAATGTTTCCTCTCTCCTAGGAAGATTTGCCATGGAACCTTCTTATTTCTTGAGGTCAGTGGCATCGTGGCTCCAAAAGAAACCCCACCAGGTTCAGTCGCATTAAGCATTCAATCGTGTCTTATCAAATCTCTGGAATGAACCAGAGATAGTTTGAGAATGTTTGAGAATGCTTGAGAATGTTTGAGACCTGTACTGTAGGTTCCAAAGCCCTGGTACTACCAGCGGGTTTCCGTTGTTGAAGCTGAGGACGAGAAGGCAGGGGCAAAATTTTCAGCTCAGCCGAAACAGAACCAGGATGAAATCTTTGACCAGGTCGTGAAGGGCTTGCAAGCCGTGATCGCAGAGAAGGATGGAGAAATCGCTGCACTGAAGGCTGGGTGCCTTTGAGAATCGAACGTGAGACGTGCTGAATGCTGTCACCCAACAGAAGAATGGGGGAGTTTGGAGGCCCAATTGCAGCAGACCGGTATGGAAGTTGCTGCATCAGCACCTCCATTGCCACCCAAGGTGCCCAAACAATCGAAAAATGCATTGGAGTTGGAAAAGCATGCACAATTTGCTTAAATTGCTTAAAACCAGCAAAACAAAAGAAATGTATTCAACATTATTTAACATATTTTAACATTATGTCGATTATGTATCATTATGTCAAATGAGTAAAGAAAGAAACCGGATATCGCACTTGTGCAGGCTGAAAAGGCAGCTCCCGAGCCTGCCAAGCCGAAGGCAACGCCGGCAACCCTGATGAACTTCAGGTGCGGGTCATGGCTTGAAAAGTGCAGCATCTCCCTGTCATGCTGACTGAGAAAATCTGAGAAATGATTTTGTTGTGGAGGCAGTACTACTCCGAGAATGTCCGCAGTCTTGGATCTGATGCAATGCAGGCCTCCATACTTTTTTTTGTGGTCGCAAGCTTTTGTTTGCCAAATTTAAAGAGAGAATTATTTTTGTTTGCCAAATAGCACAGTCCTTTTCAGATGACTCAGCCGTAAGCTGATTCCTTGCTCATTTCAACATGCGCCAGAAGCTGTACTCCAAGTTCCCCAGCCAGCCGAAGCCAGCTCCAAAAGCTGCGGCAAAGGCTCCGGTGCATTTGTGGCTACTCATTACATTCCTGAAATTTCCTGAAATCAATCTCCTGATATCTCCCGATTTTCGAGAGGAACCAGAGGTGAAGCCAAAGCAGGGCACTCAGGAGTTTGAAGCTATGACACGATGTCATGACAAACCGAAACACGATGGAATTATCCAACTGAGGTTTGCACTTCGACCATCCGTGGGCACATGGCTGACACCCAAACTGGTCAAGCCTGCTGCCACGCCTGCGGCGGATGCTTCATCTGCCCCTGAAGCAGGGGCCTCAGAGAAACATGTTGATGTATATTGATTATAAAATAAGACATATTATATTACAATAAATTATATATATATACATAGATTTCGATGCATAGAATATCTATCTATCTATCTATCTATTCTATTCTGTTCTGTTCTGTTCTCTTCTCTTCTCTTCTATTCTATTCTATTCTATATTCTATATTCTATTCTATTCTATCTATTCTATCTATTCTATCTATTCTATCTATTCTATCTATTCTGTCTATTCTATCTATTCTATCTTATCTATCTTATCTATCTATTCTATCTTATCTATCTTATCTATCTTATCTATCTTATCTATCTTATCTATCTTATCTATCTTATCTATCGTATCTATCTTATCTATCTTATCTATCTTATCTATCTTATCTATCTTATCTATCTAATCTATCTAATCTATCTAATCTATCTAATCTATCTAATCTATCTAATCTATCTAATCTATCTAATCTATCTAATCTATCTAATCTATCTTATCTATCTTATCGTATCTATCGCATCTATCGCATCTATCGTATCTATCGTATCTATCGTATCTATCGTATCTATCGTATCTATCTTATCTATCTTATCTATCTTACCTATCGTATCTATCTTATCTATCTTATCTATCTTATCTATCTTATCTATCTTATCTATCTTATCTATCCTATCTATCTAATCTATCTAATCTATCTAATCTATCTAATCTATCTAAGCTATCTAAGCTATCTAAGCTATCTAAGCTATCTAATCTATCTAATCTATCTAATCTATCTAATCTATCTAATCTATCTAATCTATCTAATCTATCTAAATCTATCTACTCTATCTAATCTATCTAATCTATCTAATCTATCTAATCTATCTAATCTATCTAATCTATCTAATCTATCTAATCTATCTAATCTATCTAATCTATCTAATCTATCGCTCCATCCATCCATCCATCCATCCATCCATCCATCCATCCAGCTAAATACAATTATGGTGTACCATGTGCACAATGCACACACAATAGTCTTCATGTACAATGCCTGGATCAAGGCCTTGAGCCTTTGCCCAATTGAGCCCAGAGAGAGAAAACAATACAGCGCGAGTGATCACACAACTGGGCACTGACAATTGAGGAGATTGACAGACAATTGAAACAGTGAAACTTTACATGGTAGCGGAGCGGTGATCCTGGTAACACAATCCAGGTGAGCTCCAATGCCGCGCACACACACAAACGGCACATCCACACGAGAGGAGAAACATTTGCACTGACGACAGGTCGGGCAACAACACCCACAACAACTACACAAGCACACCAACAAGCACAGGAGAAAAGAGAACAAAGGAAACCGTGTAGGACAAAGCCTTGACCCCGACAACACGTTAGGCGAGCTTTGGCACAGCTTACAATGGCAACAAGCACAGGAGCGACAGCCCCAGCAGCAGCGACAGCTGCGACAACCACCACCACAAACACACAAGAAGACTTGACAAGCATCAGCAGGTACCAGCTGAAGCCACCATTCTACAATGGTGACTATGGAACATTTGCGTACATGGGACTCATGAACAACGCACACACAAGGCTACTACAAGCATCAGAGACAGCAACAGCAGAACTCACAGACGCACAACTGCGAGCTGCAGCAGACACAATCGAGGATGGAGAAAAGCACGTACAAATGGCAGCAGACATCAGGCACATCCTCTCCTCATCAACATCGCAACAAACTCAGCAGCAACTGTTTGCAGACAATTCCAACACAGCAACGGCTTCGAGATCTATCGACAACTCTGTCGTAGATTCTCAATTCCAGTAGGCACAAGGTCAATTGGCTACTTGACCAAGCTGCTGAAGCCAACATTCGACACAAACAACTTTGAAGAATCATTTGCAACATGGGAGTTCGAACTTTCGAGATTCGAACGAGACAATGGGCAACAACTACCAGACTCAGTAAAGATAGCAGTGCTCCTCAACAAGACAACAGGACCTCTACAACAACACTTACGACTCCTTTCAGGATCCAACCCCGCATACCGACAAGTGAAAGACACAATCATCGAGTACTACAGGTCAGACACAGCATTTACAAGGTTGGCACAATCCTCAAGCGTGGCAACACACTTCGGTGGAGGACAAGTGCCAATGGACATTGGAGCATTCCACAAAGGCAAAGGCAAGAACAAAGGATACAAAGGAAAGAACAAAGGAAAAGGCTACGGCAAGTATGGCTACAATACAGGCAAAGGAAAAGGAAAGTATGGAGGAAAGCAACAATACCACGGGCAAGGACAAGGATATCTAATTGGACAAGGAAAAGGGCAAATGAACAACCAGTTCAAAGCAGACAAAGGCAAAGGAAAAGGCAAGGCAAAGGGAAGGCCAACACGTGCTACAGATGTGGACAACCAGGACACTATGCTATGCGCGCAACTGCAGAGTGTCCGTCTACAACGTAGCAGACAGCACCACGTACAATGAGCAGTACGACGCCACAGCACAGTGGTATGCACACCACGACAACTACGACCCTAACTGGTACTCCAATGACTACACACAAGGTAGTCAACCACCAACTCACAACTCACAACTCGCACTTCCCTCAGCACCAACATCGTCAGCAGAGATGGCAGCAATGAACCCACCACAGACAATCCACATCGATTCGGGCATCGGTAGCAACAATCGACGAGAAGAAAGATGATGACAAGAAGGAACAAGAAGCACAACAAGTGTCAGCAATGAAAGGACACAAGGCAGCACAAATTATGCTTGACAGCGGTGCAGCAACACATGTCTGCCCACCTTGGTTCGCAGACAATTACCCAATACACAAGCTTGCACCAGAACAAGGACAGCAGTTGAGAACCGTCACAAACAAGGAAATACAATCCCACGGAGTTAGATGGGTTTATTACATGCAACGTCAAGGACAACCAATCGTCATACGATTCTATGTGTGTAACGTGCATGATCCCATCCTGTCAGTGACAAGACTGGCAGAACAAGGCTTTGACATCAGGTTCAATGATGTTGATGTCCCTACAATATCCTACAATGACACACTCTACTACCTTCCAGAAACAATCATACACCTCACCAAGACATGCAGCTTCAAATACAGAAGACCGACAGCGGCATGATAGCAATGATTGCCCCAACAACAATGACAACACAAGGATACGAACAAGTGCTTGGAGGAAGAAATGACTATTGGGCCTACAACAATGAAGGATACTTGGTGAGATTCCACAGAACAAGGAGGAAGTCACTATTTATCCCAAAAGCCAACAACTGTCCTGTTCCCCTTGAACAACTTGACAATTTCAGGAGAACATTGATTCGAAGAAGAGACGGCAATGTAGAAGACATTACAGAAGCATACAAAGATTTGCCGTTCAAGATGCAAAAGCGAGAAGTCAATGGACGACAATGGCAAGGAGAAAGTTGGTTCAAGGTGATTCAAACAGGCAGGTCGACAGGAACAACAACAATGGCAAAGGCACCACCTCAACAGGACGCAACAAGGAAGTTTAACCTACAAGCACGTGGGAAACAACCACAACAACAACAGCAACAACAACAACAATCACCAACTCCACCAACAAGGATGCAACGACACATTGGCAAACAGCCAGAATTGCCAAAGGTGTCACAATCAGTTCCACCACCACAAATGGCACAACCCAACCACGACTATTGGTACAGAGAAGGGCATTTGTGCAAAAGAGTTCGCAATGTACCACGCACGGAACTCTATGTTCCACAACAAGATGACAATGGCCCAGATGTGACAAGACTGTTATCAGCAAGGCAAACAATCATCAAGCCAACAAGTGAGGAGAGAGGATGTTTGTACGAGGATGATTGGACAAAAACAGGAAACCAGCAATGGACTCGACAATGGGCAGGATCAACGAACTTCGAAGAAGACATCAGCTACAAGTACGAGTACATTGAGGATGATGCAAGAGCCAAAGCAATTCCAGCACCAAAGCAACCAACACCACAAGAAAGGATGGAACACACACCTACCTTACAGGACACGGTGCCCGATCTGCACTAAGAGCAAAGGAAGAGCAGACTATCACCCACAACAGCAGCAACAAAGCAAGCAGCCAGTGGTACAAGCAGACTTCGCCTACATCAAAGCATATGGAGACAAGCAAGTCTTACCTGTCTTGACAGCAATTGATGCAGAAACCGGCATGGCAATGGCCGTACAGGTACAAGACAAGTCGCAACAGTTCCACTACTTGGTGAAATGCCTACAAACATTTCTATATGAATGTGGCAGAGCACAAGCAAGTCTGAGCCCAACAACTCTACCCCCAGATCAGGAAGATTACCTGATACAATTGCTGAAAGCCACAGCATTGGCAATGGGTGGAAACATAGCGGTGAGACAATCACCCACATACTCGTCGCAATCACACGGCAGCGTGGAGAGATTCCATAGGACACTTATGGGACAAGTGAGGGCGCTGGTCCAACAAGTGTCAACAAACTACGACATCCACATTACAAACAAGCACCCAATCCTGCCATGGATTGTACGACATGCAGTATACCTCCTCAATCGGTATGCTGTGCACAACGATGGACAAACAAGCTATCAACGAAGATGGGGATAAGACCACAAGTCACCCCTGTGTGAAATTGGTGAGACAGTACAATACCAACTTCCAACAATCAGAGTCTTACCAATTCTTGAGCCAAGGTTCTACAATGGCATTTGGCTTGGAAGAGATACAATGACGAATGAGTTCATCATTGAGATCTCAGGAAAGATCATCAGGGTAAGAACAATCAGAAGACAAGTATACCCTGAAAAATACAACAAGCAACTGGTGGACGTGATCAATGCATACCCTTGGACAAGCCCAACACCAACACAAACAATACAACCAGCAATGCTTCCACTTGCAAGCCCAAAGGCAGCAAGCCATGCAATTGGACAGACAGCGGTTGGACAACAAGCAATGAGCACGCAGACTCCAGTGCAACAGCCACTACAGTTGCCGAGTCAAGCAATGGGTTCACAACCAGTGGTGCCCACACAACAGAGCACAGCTGCAACATCACCAATGGCAACATCACCGCCAACGGTTCCACGACAAGCACTGCCAATGCCATTATAACCGCCACCAGCGAAAGCATCACCAACAAAGAGAACACAAGATGAGGCGACAGGAGAAGCAGAATCGAAACACGCAAGGACAAAGCAAAGGAAGGAGCACAAGAGCCGAAGGCGACAAGGCTTAGGACAGACGCAGTCACAATTACAACAAAGAAAGGTGAGAAGATCACAACAGCATCGAATGAAGACAGTGAAGAAATGGAAAACGAGAAGATGCTGTTGGAACCACAAGTCTGGGATACGGAAGGCCTGGACAAAGAACAGACAAAACAAGGCATGAAGAAAGAAGCAGAGTCAATGAAGAGACAAGGTGTTTTCAAAGGAGTTGGCATCAATGATGTTCCACAACAACACAGGAACAACATCATAGACTCACGATGGGTCTTACGACAAAAGGGCAACGAAGTCAGGGCCCGAATAGTGGCCAAAGGATTCACAGAAAGATTCAATGATTTGGATGACATTTAAGCAAGCACACCAATATTCCAAATCTTGAGAATCCTTTTGACCCTGGCCATTTTCAAACAATGGTTCGTCAGAGCAGGCGACATTTCCACAGCATTTCTACATGCACCAACAGGCAACGACAATCTCTACATGTGGCCACCAGCAGAATTCTATGGACAACACACCACAATCGTGTGGCAATTGCTTCAGGCAATTTATGGCCTACGCACAAGCCCGAAGTCATGGCAAGACTTCCTGGGACGTCCTAAAACAATTGGGAGTCACAAGATTGGTCTCAGAACCCAACGTCTACCGCAATGCCCAGCAAACAGTTTTTGTCATGGTCTATGTGGATGACCTATAGTTTCTAGGAGAACAATCGGAGGTCAACAGGATCTTCGAAGCAATCCAACAAAAGGTCTTGTTACGACCGCCAGGTGAACTCACCCTGAAAAACAATCTCGTTCCTCGGCAGGAACTTGACAAACAAAGGTGATCACATTGGAAAGGTGATCACATTGACATCACACTGGCACCAGACTACATTGAAACAATCCTGAAAGAACACAATCTGCAAAACTGCAGCCCAGTTACAACCCCAGGGACGGCATCCGTGAAGCAAACAATCAATGATGAAGTCCCACTGAGCAAAGAAGAACTGCACAATACAGAAGAGCAGTGGGAAAGCTACAATGGCTGACCTATACAGGACCAGACATCTCCTACGCAACAAAGGAGTTGGCAAGAGATCTACAAGCACCAACACAACACAGCCTGAACAAGCTGAAGCATCTACTACGTTACCTGCGAGGTACACAACACTACAAACAAACAGTGCATCCAACAATCACACCACAAGGCATCAACACATTCGACCTCAATGTGTACGCAGCTGCTGATTGGGCAGGTTGCCCAACAACAAGGAAGTCCACAAGCGGGTTCACAATGACCCTACTGGGAGCCACAATACACTTCGGAAGCAGAACACAAGCAGTAGTGGCACTATCATCAGCAGAATCAGAACTGTACGCAATCGGAACAGCAGCACAAGAAGTACTACATGCAATGAACTTCATCAAGGAAGCAGTGGCAGGAACAAGAGTTAATGTCAAAAATACATACAGATTCAACGAGCGGCAAGAGCATAGCAACAAGAATCGGCAGCAGCAAGAAAGCAAAGCACATTGACCTCAGATACCTGTTCATACAACAACTTGTGCACAATGGGATCCTGGCAATCCACAAGGTTGGGGCCCATGACAACCCGGCCGACATCTTCACAAAGTATGTCACGGCAGACATACTTTACAAGCACCTGCACAATGTTGGTCTGCACGGCCAGCACTGAGCACCAACAACCAACCACGACAGCACAAGAGTTTCACTATGCGAGCTATGGTACACTTTTTTTTTTCGGGATACTATGTCTAAGACAATATCTTCAGAATCTTTCTGATGGAGCTCTACTACTAGTCCTTTTTTCTGCATGACCTGTACAATTTGGACTTTCGAATCAATTGGCCAAAGATTTGAGAGGGACAATTTGATTTTAGAAGAAAACAAGTCGACGACAGACTGTCAAGAACAATTTGTGTTTCAATCCTTTTTTGACAATTTCATTCAGTGATATAGCGCATGCCGTTGACAATGATGTCAACAATTTGCTGAACAATTTTGTCTCAGTGCAGCTCAGTGAGACATTTTGTCTTGACAATTCGCAGCCATCTCCAGCTCACAGTTTCCGGGACAAGGATTCATCAATCAGGAGACTGCCGCAATAGCCATTCTCAAGCCTGAGGGGACAACAATGACCTGGGCAGAGATCATTGAAGACAAGGCCGTGAACAATCAGTCTCTGTGGTTCACAGTGCTGACAGAGGAAGAATACAACACTATGTGCAAAGGTCACGGACAATTGACCAAACTGGAAGGCGCAATTCGAAGCCATCGAGGTTGGCACCAGTTGATTTTGCACCCCACAAGCCGGGACGCAGTGTCAGACATGGCGTATCATCTTTCGATGAGTCATGTTCCAATCTCGGACAACTACGTCCTCATCGCCCTGACGGTGGATGGCTACAATTGGTGTAGCCACAACTCGACAAAGAAGAACAACTACTTTCGGGTATAGCCTTGCATACGCACAGATCCTGGACACATACGCAATGTCATCGCATGAGCGTGACAATTTGGTCACAATGCGCATCAGTGGCTATGACATGCTTGGCGTGTTCACAAGATGGACATGGCCAAGGGGATTTGTGTGGGTTTACGGGCAGCGTTTGTGTGTGCAATCCTGTCTTCTTGCGGAGGACAATAGCCCAATCCACACGGCCTTTCAACAAGCCCTGACCCATGCGGGAGCGCGTGGAGTGGCAATGCTGCTGTGAATCTACAAGGGAAAGCGCAGTTTCAGTGAAGGAGTGAGCACCTTGGAGGGTGAACGCAATCGTGGTCACCCTGGCCATGCTCAATTTTTTCAACGCCAACAATCCACTGAACATTGAAAGCATGGACGCCGAGATCGACGATGATGAGATGGAAGGTGACGACGCTGGAGACAATTAGATCCAGATCAATGAGCCGCACAATGGATGATCTTGGCACACTCTGGACACAGTACCGCCCATCATGTACAATGCCTGGATCAAGGCCTTGAGCCTTTGCACAATTGAGCCCAGAGAGAGAAAACAATACAGCGCGAGTGATCACACAATTGGGCAATGACAATTGAGGAGATTGACAGACGATTGAAACAGTGAAACTTCACACATCCATCCATCCATCCATCCATCCATGCATCCATCCATCCATGGATCTATGGATCCATCGATCCCTGGATCCATCGATCCATCGATCGGTCGATCTATCGAGCTATCGATCCACACATACATGCGTCGAAATCTACACATGCATATCTACACTCACATTCATACACAATAGTTGTAATTATAACTGTACAGTATACAAATACCATCAAATACCAATATATATATAATAGTAATAATAATAATAGTAATAATAATAATAGTAATAATAATAATAAACAATTAATAATACAAATTCGACACACACACACACACACGCATAACCATGTCCAGTTTTGCAGCGGCTTGCATGACACTTGCTGAAGTTGTTCGATTTGAAGGCGCCGAATACTACAACTTTCCGAGGCTTCCAGCAAGCCAAAGACACCATTTGCTTTGAAACCATCGGCAGCTGTCCTAGTTTGACACTTTCAACGCATCACAGTCTGACATTTTTTGTTCATTACTGACGGTGGGAGAAGGTCCAAATTTCTAAGGCCGTTTTTTTCATTTTTTGTGTTCAGCCTTTGGCAAACAGGTTGGAACCTGGCTGAGCTTCAAAATTACCGATGACCGTCCAAAGTCCGCGAGCATTTTGGTGCGCCCGAACAATCATGATCTTGAATTGGAAAGTGATGACAGTTGTTTGAGATGGTTTGAGCGCAAATTCAGTCAACCTTTCTGGCAAATTTCAAGATTTTCTTGCTTTGACTGCCACTGACACACCTTTCTCAACCCATCTGTTTTCCACAGAGCTGAAGTGGAGGACAGAACCCACAGCAAGCAGTTGGCGATGAATCAGGAGGACAGGGCCTTCAGCAAATATAACTGAAGGATTCAAGATACACATCCAATCCACATCTTTTAGTTTTGACAGGTGTTGGTGTTGGCAGTCTTGGAGGTGTTGGTTGTTTCATCGTGTTTGATGAATTGCCTGATCTTCCAGGATCTGATCAAGGGGTACCAAAAGGAGATCAAGAAGAGGGATGAGGCTCGGATGAGGTCAATGTTGCCATCATTGGCCATGACACATCTCCCACAGAGAAACTCCAAATCTGGCCAGGCGATCGAACAGCTGAAGTCTTCCGTGAAGGCATGAGGCTGCGCCCATCCCCTGGCCCTAAACCATGAGTGACTATGAATGTGCAGATTGATAGTGATCAAGTAGTGGTCAAGTAGTGATCAGTTGTCTACATCACTTGCATTCCTGTTGTGCTTATCATTAGAGATGGAAAGATGAGACACCGCAGCTTTAGAGCCAAGCTTGGAAGAGAACGACATGCAAACTATCCATGTAGCAGGCCATGCAGGCTGAAAAGACCACGCATATGTATCCAAAAGTGTTCAGAGTTTTATTCTGCATGTGCTTCAAGGTTGTAAGCAGCAAGGGAAGCAGCCATGTACTATCTGTGATCTTGGAATGCTGTCTCACACACCCAAACAACAAGCTCTGCACAAGTCTGCAGAACCTGCATAATCGCATCGAAACAACAAGCCTTGCGCAGCTGCCTAAAACTTTCATGATGGTCTTGCGGTGCCAAGCTGGTCAGGCACATTATATTTTTTGGGCGACTTTGCCTGCTGATTGTATGACTGGTCCTGCAAAGGCCTATTTGCTTATGCTCCTTCTTCGGCTAGTTGCTTGCGAAGATGACAGCGGGACTGAAATTGCAGTGCCCAGATCTGTTTCGAAGCGTCCTGATTTGAGAATGCCCACCAAAACGTTGCTGTCGCTCAGAAACTTTGCCAGGACTTGTTCCCTTGGAGTGTGCAAGGAGCGGGGCCTCACGCTTGAATCTGTGGCTTTGCTTCCAACGTCTCTTCATGCCTAGACACAGTCAGCACAAGCACTCATTTTGCTTTAGGGATATCCATGAGATTCGTTTTGCTGTGTTTTTCTACAATGACAGTGCTGTCCCTTGGCACTTACTTGCTTTGCTGCTCCTTTCAATCCCCAGTATTGAGATGTTCAATCCATTGGAAAATTACATACCTAGGTTCCTCAGAAGATTTTGGATGCAGAGTACGCAGTGAGAGGAGAAATTGTGATTCTCGGCAAGGATGTGGGTTTCTTTTTCTTGGGAGCAAGTGGGTAGAACATGTAGGACATTGTGGTACTATAGAAAATATAGAAAGGTATGGAGTACCAATGGACCAAGACATGTTACTGAGATTTGCTGAGTAATTACTGCATGAAGCGTTTTGGTCTTTCTCGTCTTGTCGATTGATAAGCAGCTGCATGTCCAAGGACTCGTTCCTTCAAGCTTGAGAAGCAGCTGCAGGAAAATCATAGTCTCCCTTTCGATGAACTCGTAGCCTGCAACATCGGGAATCCGCAGGCCATAGCGTCATTGTTGGCCATTGTTGGCCTCCAAATCTGTCGCTGAGATTCGCCTTTCATTTTGTTTGGGTGATTTAGAGAAGGGCCACGATTTCTCCTAGAAAAGTGTGAGCAGCAAGGAATATAAACATTGTTTGTCATGTTTTTGCCCCCATTGTCCCCATTTCATCCCATTTCTATATTTCTCTGATTTTGTATTGGGTCTTGAAGCCTTTGATACAAATCTTGAAGTCTGTCCAGCCGTCATCCTGTCCATCCAGTCCCCCCAATGTCCCCTGACTGAATTCGCTCAGGCAGTCGGTGCAAAACCTGTGACATTTCACAGACAGGTCAGCAGTGCGAGTCTGGCTCCAATGCGTTTAAAATGCTTAGAATGTTTAGTTTATCGATTGGATCAGTGAAATGACGCAATGTCAATGCAATGCCTTGTGCAGGTGCTGTCACTTCTAAGCAATCCGTCACTCTTAGAGGCAGGCTGCACTGTGAAGGTGACATTCTTCCAACACGGTCCAAGCGTCCTGCTGTTCCCATTCCCCCGCCAAGCATACTTTGTGGTCCCCTGTATGCTTCTGTTATGAAACCTTCTTTGTGTTTCCCTGGTTTGAAGTCATGTCTAGAGTCCAAAGCCAAGCAACATCAAGCTTCCACATTTTTTTCATTGCAGCCGACTAGCTCAAGAGCCCAACAATCGAGATGGCGCTGCGAGAGATCTCCAATCCACTGGGAGTGATTGATGAGCTCTTCGCGCGTGCCGCAAGCTCTGCCACGGACCAAAGCAAGCTGCCTCCTGGAGTTTGGAATGAAAAAGCGCACTTCATTAGTGCTCTTCAGTTGGCAGACGAAGAAAACTTTGCCAATGTTCCGTGCTTGAATGATGCAGAGGTTGTCGAGCACATTGCGCCATTTAGTTTGGTGCGCTTTAGATGCTTGGTTCAGGACGTATTTGAACCTGAACTGTACTCGATGTTTCTTGTTGAGCGAGATCAACAAGATGGAAGCTCACAGCGCTTGATAACTACAAAGTACCGGGAATCTCATCCCAGCCCAGAAGGCAAAGTGCTGCAAGAAGTGGGCAGAGGTGGTCTCAGTTCAAGAGGAGCCTACTACTGCGTGCCTCTACCAGGAGAAACTTCTTGGTCAAGAGCAAGTCCAGTGAAGCAAATTGCCAAGTCTCTCACAGTTGGCAGTGGCAAGCGTAGCAGAGCTGATGAAGATGTGGACATGGGCATGGAGGAAACTGAAGAGATTGCTCTAAAGCCAACAGAGACAGCAAGGCCACAGCAAAGGGTGAAAACCTCGGCCGAAGCACTGGAAAAGATGACAGTCCAGCTTCAAGGTGGACCCAAAAACTCGGATTCCTTTGGATTGAATCTTCCTCTTCCATGGGAAGCTGATTCCCGCAGCTGTCCCTGCATTGTCAAACTTTATGATGAAGATGCGGAATCCCTGAAGCTTTGTGAGACTGTGGAGATTCTTGGAGTCCTTTGTGTTGCCCCCGCCATGGCAAACCTGGGAGAGCAGACACAAGCTTGGCCATTTCCAGATGCCCGGAACCCGTCCACAGCGCTGGTTCCCCGTTTGCATGGCCTCTTGGTTCGGAAGTTGCCTTTCTATCATCCCCTATTTCCATTTAGCCCCAATTGGCTGTCAGAAGCGCGTTTGGCCTCAGCATTTCAAAGGCGTCTGGCTGCACCTGGGGCGGTGGCGGCGGCCAGAAATGCGGCCATCAATTCCTTGAAACATGCATTGGGAGGTGATGAAGTCGCTGCTGAATACATCCTGGCCCTGATGGCCAGCCGTGTTTATGGTCACGTCAGCGGCATGGCTTTGGGACAATGGTCCATAAATCTCAGTCATTGGCCGGGAGAAGCTCCTGTCTCACATCTCTTCGAGGCTGTATCAAACCTGGTGCCCATGGCAGTGCACCTGCAAGTGACAGCTGAGACCTTGAGTTCGGGTCGATGGAAGCCCAAGAAAGACTTCGATGCCAATCGCCTCGTGGCAGGTCGCTTGCAGCTGGCGCCTGGCACGTTTCTCCTCCTCGATGAGTCTGAAATGCGAGAAGGAGAGGTAAATGACAACGGGGTCCGAGCTTTGCAAGCGCTTTCAAGCTTGGTCTCGGACCAACTGTTGCCATGTGACTTCAACACATATGATGTCCAGATTCCGCTTGAGGTCAACTGCATGTTTCTTTCGAAAGGAGTGTCAATCCTGAAGCTTGCAGACCTTGTCCTTCCCTTGAGGCCACAGGCAAATCAAGGTGTGGATGCTGGACTGGGTGGACACGGTGGACTGGACGCAGCTCGGTTCCTTCTTGGACTCATCACACGACACACCAAGCCCTTCCGGATGCCCGAGCACGTGGTGGCTGGATTCAGCCAAGACTTTGCCCAGCTCCGGCAAGACTTCCAGGACATCGGGCAGCGAACTGTCCATGTTTGGAGATCATTGGCACGTGCCATTTGCTTCACCCATGGTGAAGAAGAGATTACCATGGAACGATGGCAGTCGATCATGGCACTCGAGCGGGAGCGCTTGAAGCGCTGTACAGAGGCAGGTATCCTAAAGTGAGACAAGATCACAAGATTTGATACGATTTTACAAATGACAAGATTTGATATGTATCTTTCCCAAAGTGTTTTGTGACGATGCGTGCAACTGCGAATGGGGCAGTGCAAGATAGAACATTTCCAGAGGCTCTTGAGTGAAATGTTTGGCATTGCTTGAGCGGACACAGCATCATTGGTATGAGCACCTTGACACCTTGAGCACATTGAAACCAAATCACCAGTTCATTTTATCATGAGTCAGTGAATCAAACAAACACACGCAACATTTTCGTTCAGCTTTTGACTTGTCGAGGAAACTGCGGTTGCATCGCTGTACCCAGCTGATGTGATCTCCAGAGCAAAGGACCCGGTGAATTTGATGGCAGTTGATGGTAATTATATGTAATTATTAATTATGGTAATTATAGCTAGGGGGTGGTTGTTTTTCAAGTCGAGCTGCACAGAGTGAATGCATGAAGGACTGCTCTTGCTGCATCTTCAATATTCTTTACAGTATGTAATCTAGAAACATGGTGCGCGGCATGATGAAGGGAGCATGCAGCATGTGCCTGAATCAGGAAAGTCCTTGATCGTTTTGCGCCTTGCCTGCAGGAGTATGTCTCGAAGAATCCAAAGTTTGGTGCTTACTCCCACTCCAAAGGAATTCCATTCTTCAGGTGCCTCGGGAGCACAATATCCCCTGACTTTCACACTGCAGCTTTTTTTGGCTTCGCTTCTGCAACTGTTGCAGGGAACAAGTTGCCAACTACATCGATCGCAGAGACGGATCAGCAGTCCCAAAAGCCGATCCAGAGGACAAGTGCCACGCTATTTGACTATTTGATGCTGTTGGAGCTTGCAGAAGGGTGGGAAGAATTGAGAGGATTTCAACATGCTTGTGAAAAGAACCCGTGAGCAGGATATCTACTTGACTGATGGTGCATCGGCTGGAGTGAAGACGGTGCTTGAGGTTGGGAAGTTTACCAACGTCAATTGCAAAGAGTGCTTGGGCACGTGCTGCGTGGAAACATGTGCAGTGCACACTGACCTGATCTGACCTGATCTGACCTGATCTGACCTTCAAGCCAGGTCATGATTGGTGACTCGCTTGATGGAGTCCTCATCCCAATCCCTCAATACCCACTCTATTCTGTGTGGGTCTTAAACCGGTTCTGTTGCTGTTTCGCCCTATTGGTGTGTGCGCTTGTGATGCTGCAAATGAGGCAGCAATTACCCGGTTGGGTGGTACATACATTGGCTATGAGCTGATGGAAGACTACACATCTGGTAAAGGCAGACAAAGCAACATCTCCATTGCAGGAATGATTGCATGGCCTGCACTTTGTGTTTCTGACAGGATGGGCCGTAGATGTTGACGTGATTGAGAAGAAGATTCAGGAGTCCGACTGCACTTGCAAGTGTGGTTCTGTCAGCACTACAGTTGCAGCGACTGGAGCTCTCTTGTGATTGCAGGATTACATTGCTAGCGGTGGTCGCGTTCGGGGGATTGCCATGCTCTGAGTTACTACTTCAACATTGGAGATCATTGGAGCGATTGTTGTTTTGTTTCCAGTGGGAAATCTCAGCATGCACATTGAGGCTGTCATCAATCCAGGCAATCCAACAGGCACAGTCCTGACTCGAGATGTGATCGAAGCGGTTGTGAGGCGCGTTTCAACATCGTTTCATCATTGTATATAATGGCCAGCTTTTGAGAACCTTTGACCCTTGCTCCATAGGGTCGCTTGCTTTGGCCATGTTGCAGGCTCTGTGAGAAGTACAAGGCCTAAGAATTGAAGTGAACTTCAGATTGAATTTGCAGTGCAGATGGCACATTTGTCTCAGATTGTGATCTTGGCCGACGAAGTCTACCAGGAGTTCGCACGTTAATTCTACAGTAAGTGGTCAACACATGCAGTTTGTTCAAATAGATGCGCAATCTTGCAACCAGTTCTTTCAGGACAACATTTTCAGGGAAGACAGGGAATTTATATCCTTCAGGCACTCCAAGGAGTTAAGACTGTGGGTATGGGTCAAAAATAATTCGGGGACTGCGATACGATTCCATATTCGAAGGAATCAATTTGAGCGGTTTTGTGGGTTCCCAATCTTCACCCTTGCACCACCATGATAGACGCATGCCTTGTGCACTACATTCCTACTGCTTTGATGATTGTTTCATGTATGTGTAGGCGCGTGATTCACGAGTCGAACTCTCCTGTGGAGCTGTTCTCGCCAGCGTGGCATGGAGTTGGGATTTGCTGCAGCAAAATTCAGCCCAAACAGTATAGTATAGATTATAGATAGTATAGATATGTGTAGGATATGTATATGGGATTTGCTGATGTTGGAGCCAAATGTACGAGCTCACGCTCATCGTCGGCTCTGCCGTACTAGCCGACCCTTTTTTCATCAGGTGAGTTACCAGGTGGCCATAGAGTGGAATGGTTTAAAATAATATCTCCTAAAGAGATCTTGCTAAAAGACCTCTTATAATGTACAGAGATCTTGCCGGGAGACCTCTTATAGAGATCTTGTACAGAGATCTTGCCAAGATGTCTCTAACAGAGATCTTGCCGGGAGAAGGTTTTTATAGAGGTTGTACAGAGACCTCTTGTAAAGATCTTGTACAGAGACCTGGTGAAGAGAACAGAGATCTTGCTCACAGATCTCTTATAGAGAGCTTGCGCAGAGATCCTACTTTGATTTTTTTTTTTTAAATTCTCTTACGGACACCTTGTATACAAAGGGATCGTGCACAGCAGCTTCTACACAGAACCTGTCAAGGAGATCTTGCACACGATCTTTACAGAGCTCTTGACACAGGGCACTTGCAGAATCTAATCCTGGTATCTCAGTCTCTCTTCTTCATGTTCCTTCCAACACTGTTTGGGGTCTCTTGTCGGGATATTTTTTTAACGGCAGAAACATTTCTGAGATGCACTGCCGCCAAAGTTTGGGGAATAGATATGAAGTTGTTGCAAATTCTGAGGCCAGGGCGAGACATGTATTACTGTATGTTTGGGACGTGACACAGGCAGTGGCTGCTCACTCTTTTCGAAGAAACTGTTGTCGGCGGGAACAAGGACTAATTTCATCACCGTTGTTCAACAAACTTCACATCCAATCTGGCTCCAACATGGCTCACCATAACCCGCACGTGGCATCAACATGGCCCAACATATTCCCAACATGGTTCAAGACGGCATTTTGGGTTGTTGTTCTTGTTCTTGTTCTTGTTGTTGTTGTTGTTCTTCTTCTTCTTCTGCTTCTTGTTTTGGTGGTGGTGGCGGCTGGCGCTGCACGGTTCAATCCTGTATTGCCTGACGCGTTCTCCTTTGTTTCAATGGGGTCGGTGGGCATTTTTCCTGCAGACCAATAACTGTTGTTCTATGGTGCACTCCTTGCTCCAACTGGGGTAGGCGGATTTCGAGAGTTTCCCACTTTCCCTGGCCAGTTTCCATTCAATGTCAAAGGGCTACTATGGAGAGTGTGGATTGCGAGGACCTCTATGTTTTGCGCTGTCAAACGGTGTCCTTCCCATTCCTACAGTCTTTCCTGAAGTGTGACTTTTTTTGTTTTCATCTCAAGCGAACGACAGGAGGGGTAATGCATTTGACCAACATTGACCCTGGTGTTGCTGATCAAATCTACAAGCTCTTCTCGATGATTCTCTGTGCAAACACCTTGGGTCAGGTGCATCGCATGAGTTCAAGATGTTTCAACCAGAGACACTAAAATTGTAAAAGTGAACACTTTGAAAGGCACTCATGGCTTCCATTCTGAATCCGCCACTTCCTGGAGATGCATCTTTTGAACGTTTCGCAGAGGACGGTCTTGACGGTTTGTGTTATTTGTGAGTTTTTGTGGGCCCTTTGTGACATGTGGGTCCCTTGTGAATTGTGGGTCATGATTCGCTATGTATCATTTGATCATGCCATGACATCGTGTGACGTATTTCAAAATGGCTGAATTGAGGAGCGCAGGGAGATTTTGGCAAACCTCAGCAGGAAGGCCTCAGACAGATTTGGTGTGGGAGTATCAGAAGCAGTAAGGTCGGACCTAGAATTCGAATGATTAGGTCTGTTTTGCACAAGTTACGCTTGCAAAACAGAGTTCTTGATGTCTTTATACAGGCCTTCTGACTGTTCAGCATGTTGGGATATGTTGGACATGCTGAAACCAGCAGGCAGACCTGGTGACCCGAGAACTCAACAGCATGCCTGGCGTGCAGTCACTGCCTGTGGAGGGAGCCATGTATGCCTTCCCCCAGGTCGCTTCGGCGGAAGTGAAAGCTTATCAGAGCAAACCAGTCCTTCAGGTTTTTGTTTCCACCAAAATGACAGAAAGTGGAGTTCTGCTCGTGGTGTACAGTAAGTCTGAGTAGCTCCAACCTATAGTCACTATAGTGTTGCATTTGCTTATGCTATTTTGTTCAGGTTTATTTGCCGATGAAGTTTGTTGAAGAGGCTCAAAGCCTTGGCAAGGCGTGAGAGAACGGGAGACAAGTTTTCAGTCCTTCAGTCCTTGGCCCACAAGACTCTGCGACTCTGCGCAGGCGGCTGACATGCTTTATTGCATCCAGATGCTTGAGGCATGGCTCGAATCTTTTTCAAATCGGAACGGATGTGAAGAACGTCAGGATTTGTTGGATCTTCTTGGCACTGAGACGTCTATCAGTTGCTGCAAGATTGAACAGTAGATCAGGCCACAGGAGTCATTGTGGTTCCTGGAAGTGGCTTTGCCCAGAGGCACCCGACCTCCATGGGATTCCATGGGTTACCTGTTCGATCGCTCCAGCTGTCAGATTCTGACAGTACAGGAATGGCACCTGGCACTACCGCATTACGATTTTGCCGAAAGAGGAAAAACTAAAGCGAGTATTAGCCATGAACTTAGTCTGTGTTTCTGGTCTGAGAATACGTCCCCAGAATCACCCAAAAAAGCAAGCATTGAACAATAATACAGTAGTGCTTCAAAAGTGTTCTCTCCACTCCGCTGAAGGCTCGCATGAAGACTTTTCATCTCAACTTTTTGGAAAAGTGCCTGGTCACGCGATTTATCACTTGTGCTGCTGCGCTGTCGCAGGTGTAACAACTGCATTGAGTCATACTGTCAAGATGTGTCAAGTCCGATGCCTTACCCGAGGTATTTAAGCCCCGGGGAACGTGCGGTGGAGGACAAGACTCCTACACCATGTCTGCTGGCTGCATTGATGGCACATTGCCGGTGAGGACTTTGAGAAATTCTTGATTTTCTCGATTCGAGGCACAGCAAAGTACCCGGAAAAACTCCAAAGGGAGATCATCGAGGCTGGCCTCCTGAGAAGACTGAGCAGCGAATGTTGTCATGCCTTGTCATTGTCATTCAAAAGTGCTGATCTGATTGAGGAACACTTGAGAGCCAAGACTGGGCAGGACTGGGATCAAATGGGATCAAACCATGCATTATCGTGCACCTCTGCGTTTAAATTTGTATCATAGAGGGTTGACGAGCTGCAGTGGGTGTTGGAATGTGTCAAATGTGTCAGAGATCGACATGGTATTCATGGCATAGTTTGGTGTCACTGCACGACATTGGCAAAACATTCTGGCTATGACGGCTATGGGGAAGGAGAAGCCTATGTTGCTTCTGATGCTCGGTGGCTCGGGTGCTGGAAAAGGCACCTTTTTAAGAGCAGGGGCCTTTGTTTACAAGGACCAACACAGCAAAACCGTGCAAGTTAGACGCAAACAAAAGCACAAGAGAAAGACATTCCAAATCATGTCATGAATGACAGGTATTCCGAAGGTGCCAATGTTTGCACCCTTTCTTGCAAGCCTTTAAGCTCCTAGCGCAAGGTGATGAAGAACAACGGCATGGATCTTGACAATTTTGTGATGCATGGATTGGACGAGTGACCTCAAGTTGATGATATCGTGCATTCTGACAACTAGTGCTGCACTGCATTTTTCCGCAGACTTTCATGTTCAGCCAAAAGCATGGAGTAGGCAGGCGGGTCTTGGCTCCTGGGTTTTGGGTGTTGTTTGATGTCTTGACCACAATTTCATAAGACCTCGCAGGTACATTGAGTACCTCCCAGAATACAAGGCTGGTGGCACCGTTTGGATCCACTATGCTCGTGCTGTGAGTCATCCCAGGCATCTGTGGACAGCAAATTAGTGGTCTACAAGGAGCACGTCTTGCCCAACGTGGGCTTTTTATGGCTCTTTATGGCTTTTTGGCATATCCAAGCAACAAAACAACACGAGTATCCATAGAATATCCCAAGTGTGACCTGAGAGGATGCCGCCGATGGCTGTTACTCCGGCGTCATTCCAATTGCCAAGGCGAACGCGACGCCATGCGACGCCTGTAGCTGTGAGGCCTTGTCAGGCTGTAGGATGTAGGGCCTGACCGGCACAGGCTGCTCAGCTTGAGATCATCAAACGGAAGCAGCATGTGATCTACGAGGACCCGTACAACATGTGCGACAAGATGCGACAAGCACATCACCTCGGCCCAGCATTTTCTCCAGAGAGGGATGTGGTGAAGACAAGTAAGTGACCAATGAGGATACTGGAAAAGACCTGAATCGCATCATCAAGCGAATCTTACCACCCTTTGAGGAGGTGCGAAGATGAAGTCATCATTAAAAGCGGATAAAAAGCATTGAATCGATGTAATCGATGAATCAGTAGGAGTATTTGGAGTTGTTGGGTTCTGTTTGCCGTACATGTTTTTACGTGAGGCCGGCTATAGCATCGCCATCGCCTTGATCGACAATACTCCTGAAGTAGCCAAGCAAAGAGCCTTGAGCCGCTTTATGAAAGAAGGCAGATACGCCTCGGACAGCTACATTGAGGCACCAGAATGCTCTGCAAAGCATCAAGCACCAGCGGTTGCTCTAACAATTGATTCAAATATAGTGAAATCATGTCAATGTGAAATCAGTGAACATGGTGAACATGATGAACATCCCTGCAGTCCACCTTTCAGAACGTGCCGGAAAATTACGCCAAACTGAAAAAGATGGAGCAGGCCCTGATGCTTTGAATGCCCATTGTGGTGCTCATTGTGGTGCCCACTGTGCAATTCTCCGGCCTCAGCTTCCTTCAGGTCAAAGAAGCCTACTATTGCAACAACAATTGCGTTAAATCCCCTTCGGGAGAATGCTTGAAGTGCTGGATTGACAAGGGCCAGAGGCCCGCGGGGCTTTTGATTGCCCAGATCTTGCAGTTTCCACCATAGCAGTGACACTAGCTGTAACAAAAGTAGGAAAGGGCAGAACAATCAGCTTGTGTCTTTCTTACCAGAGGACTTTGCTTCCTGCAACTGGCATGTCGTCGATACCTTAGTTTTAACCCCTTCCTCCTCAATGTGCACAGTAGACTCTTGCATTCAGAGCCTCTTGATATTTTTCGTCGAACCTTGTTTCAGGATGATGTCCGTATATCTGTGCATGCGAGGATAGATAAATACATGATCATACATGATCGTACTATGCAATGACACGGAATTGACCGCTCTCGCCTTGCATCTACTGTTCTGTGCATTGCTGCGATTCCGTGGCTTAGGTCTGGTGCCATTGAGAGAGTGAACGCAGCATCTGAATAGACAGGAGTTCGGCCCTGACAGTGTCTGCGGGAACAGTCCGTCGACCATCCAGACGCAGCAAAAAAAAAGCGGCCAGATGCCACAGTTTTTGTCTGGGCCAACTTGAGCTGGAGATCTTGTGAGATCTTTGCCAAAGTTAGAAATTGAACTCACTCTGAATGATTCTGGGCTTGGAAGCATCAACTGAACATACTTGGTGTTGGAAGCATCTGTTAACTTGCTGTTGAGCTGCCGCCACGCAGGCAATGTGACACAACTGGGGGCTGGGGCCGATCTCTGAAGGGCCTCAGAGCCGCAGCAGCTTTGTTTGAAACATCGCTGCGCCAATTTACTAAGACAGATTTACACCCTTTCGCTAGGCCATGTTTGAACAATTGTGTTCACTTTGAAGTGATCACATTCTGTCCTGGTCTTGAGACCACTCACAGGGCAGCAAGCAGGGGATTGTTTACCCTCTTGTTTGTGTGTGCCTGGTGACGTCTCATTTAATTACATTGTGCACCCCCGTGCTAAGCACAGAGAGGCAAGCAATGCATCCGTTTAAAAAGATGCTGTTGATAACCGGTTGACACATTGACATGCACAGATACGCACAGTGGCGATCGTGTGTCAGTATTGATAAGAACTCTTCAAGGTACAGGAACTGTTGCACGGGATATTCTGCTGCACAAGCTTCCCAAGTACGGTCGTGACTGTTGCATGAAGATGACAAGCTGCCATTTGGAACCCATTTGGAACCCATTTGTGCGGAGCAATTTGGGGCTTCAAAACGTTTGCTACTTTGCCAATCTTGGCAGGTATTTTGCCAGGCTTGGCATTGGCATTTATTGGCATCCTGCCATGACTTGCGTCGGAAGTGTCATGACCTGCACCAGGCATTGATGGCAGGAATGGAGATCCGCATTGACTCAGTTGAAGGGCACGAACCTTATGTTTTTATATGTTTTTCACATGCGCCGCCGCACACTCCTGTACAGCGTGTACAGTCACAAAAAGAAGCTTCGAACTGAAAATTGCAGCTCTGCCAGCTTGATGTGGTGCTGAGGCAGGCAACTCCCAAAGACACATTCGTCTCTATGCGTGTTGGAGATTACCAGAAGCAGTCCCGTCACCATCCCAGTAGAATTGTCTTTGGCTGGATGATTTTTTCATATTGTTTTCTTTGTTCCAGTCTAGCTGTACTAGTAGCACGTTGTATTTGCATCTCTGAAATCTCTTATACACTTTGCAAATTGGGGCCAGTTCGAGGCTTTGGTTCTGCCAAGACCTATCGTTTCCCTCAGATGGAAGACGAGCATCGCTTCGCACGTATTGAGGTACAGTGGGATGGTGAGGGGGAAACGTTTCCACCGTTAAGCCATGCTACTCTGAGGTCTTTCATCGCATTGGCCACTTGACTGTGAACCTGGACAACCTTCCGGCGAATGAACCTGTGGAGGTCAGGACACTATGGAAATGATATGGCTATGGATCAATACCTATACATACCATTTTTAGGGGGATGAACATCCATTTACCAGCTATTTTGATGTTCACCAGGGGTACAAGGTTTTGACACACTGCCATATAGCAGTGATATAGCAGTGATAAGCAGTGCGTATGATAACCTGTGCAGAAAGCGATAGAAAGAGCCTGTCGCATCTGCTGCATTTTTTGCCGACAGGTGCCGGTGGATTTGCCTGAACTGAAGCTGTTGCCGATGAAGCTCCTTAGCTAATTTGGCTAGCGGCTATACACTGCTATACCAAATCAGCTGAAGAGCTCCTTCGGCCCTTTGGTCCACCTATAGCTACAAGTAGGCTACAAGTGTACAATGTTTGTTTATTTGCCCATTTTGTTTTCTAAAGCTGGCAGACTATCCACATTGCAGGCTTGCTATTCTCAGTGACACTGTGGCCTTCTCCTCAGTACTGTTTGCCTTCTTCCGTTGACTTGGCAAGTCCCTTACGTTCCCACAGCGTGTGGTGTTGGGCTGAGGAACCAAAGACTGACCAGAAGGCGAAGCAGCAAAAGGCGAGGTCTTCGTTGCATTTCCAAAGTGCCTTTGAGGCGAAGGCATGAGAAGACCTGTGTCCTGTGGTGCACACTTGATGCACTGTGAAGGCGAAGAACAAGGTTGATGCCGCCCAAAAGTGACCCTTAAGGGCAAGAGTACAGGGAAGAGAGCAGGACAGACTCTACTAATTACTGCATAGTATACATTCCGTAACCATCCTCAATCTATGGTTTGGTCTAGTTTGTGCCACAAGGTGTAGGACACTGCATGTTCGTAGGTACTTGGCGGAGCATCACGTCGAAGAAGTGATTGCTGATGCAATCCGTGAGGTTCGGACATCATGGACCGCATCGTAGCACAAGATGAGCAACTTGTTTCGATCAGCAAATTGGATCGAACTGGAACATCGGATTTCAACGCCTTTTCTATCCTTTTCTTGTCAGGTCATTCATGAGAAGCCAAGTGATCCGCATGCCTTCCTCTCTGCACAGATTTTGAAGCACGCGCATGTCTCAGAAGCTTTTCTGTGTCGAGAGCCTGCTCTTGGATGCTTTGGGGCCTGCACAAGCCCAGAGTTCACCAAAAAGAAAGCAATGGTCATTTTCCAAGGCTGCAAAGAAGCAAGCGGAGATGCAAGCGGAGATGCTTGAGCAAGACACTTGGGCGGTGCAAAATCTCGCGACTTTATGCAACATTTGGACATAGTCGGTCAGTGCTTGCAGTAAACTTGTGAGGCTGCCCATGACCGATAACATGGTCATCGCAAATGATCTGGTTCGGTCCTCAAACAGTCAAAAGTTGCACTGGTTTTGATGTCGCCAATGTCGCCAGTACCTGCAGCACCTTTGAGCCAAGAATGTCTTTGGAGATTTTGGAGACGACCCGTTCGTTTTGGAGGTGGACCACTCGGCGCCCAAACTTGCAGCGCCTCTGAGCCCGGCCGAGGTCCCGTTCAGGCCGTGCTAGCCGCATATATGGTCCGCATATGCCACAAGCAAAAAGATGGTGGGACGCTGGGGCTCTGGGGCTGGACTGTGACCTGGGAGGCAGTACTACAACGATCACATCCGTTCTCTTGATGCGAAGCAAATGGAGGCCATTTCACTTGCAATGTCTACACCATTGCAGCGTCACTCGCCGAATCGCCAGAACTTGTACGCAAAGTTCGCAACCACACCAAAAGCTGGATTGCCGCCCAAGAGTGTCCTGCACCAAGTCTGGGACGTGAAATCTTGAACAGCTTGACTGAACTGATGTCAATTTGATATGATTGGATGCCTATATGACCGTATGACCCTGTGACCTTCAGCAGTCTCACAGATCTCACAGAAAACTCTCCGGCTGTCCGTTTTGGGCTGAAACGCCTTCGAGGCGGCCCCAGCTGCCCCAGCTGCCCCAGCGCCGGTCGTTGAGTTGCTTCCGTTCAGGACCGGTCTGAGCGGTTTCTTGTGCAACACGCGGATAAACTATTGGTCTGCTCAGGAACTACTACGCGCTGAACGTGCGCCCCTTGAACTCGGATGCCATGCAGGCCTTTTATTTATGATTGAAGAACTTTTTTTTTTCATTCTGGGCGTTTTGAAGGTGGAAAGTTCTTGCAGCACCTTCGTCATCGTAACTGGGGCTGCTTGCATCACCAAACTGACGTGAGCATGTGCCGCCAGAAGCTCTACTCCAAGTTCCCTTCCCAGCCCAAACCTGCTCCAAAGCAGACACAGGCAGTTGCTGTCGGGGTCTTACACTTCTTATATCTTCTTATCACTTGTTCAAGAGATTTAAGAAGGCAACATTCAGAGATATTCAGAGCATTGATACGAACAAGTCGGAATCAGCATTGCACCAGGCCCCAGCAGAGGTCGTGCCGCGCGTACCTGAGAATCTAGATTCAAGTTGAGCTCAGTTGTTTTCGTTTGAACTTCTCTAACTGTCAAACTGTTCAGCAAAAGTCAAAGTCAAACATGTGGAGTGGGGCAAGAGCCCCTTTTGCTCAGATTTGCAAAGCGACCCTCTGTTGGCACATGGCTGAGCAGCGCACCCAAGAAAGTCAAGAATGAGGCTGGGCAAGCTGTGATGTCTTGCAAAAACAGGCAACGAGGTCTTCGCAAGAATTTCACTGATCCCAAGGTCTGCGAGTGCCAAGTAGTCCTGCGGTTGAAACTTGAAGACTCCAGCTTTATATTTTGCTGAAAGGTGTGTAAGCCAATGCAGGTTGTGAATATTGTAGCAGAAATGTAATGGAGATGAGTTGGTTGGTGGGTTGGAGAGCATCCCTTGGAATGAATAAATAGATATAAATAGTACAATAGGTCAAAGGCACTTTGAAGTAGGTGAATCAAGTCAAATAAGTACGCAGCATATCAATTATATCATTATCATGTCCCCAAGATGCCCTGAGCCAAGCAAGGAGAAAGAGATTCAGGGTCGACATATGGTGCGGTGTATATATATATATTTATTTATTTATTGATACAGTATATGAATCTACAAAATCGAAGTGAAGAAGTAAGCAAGTGTGTGTATATAATATGTGTGTATATGCTTTAAGGTTGGATCTTGGGTACAGAAAATTCCAATTCAAAGCATGGAAGAACCAACGATTACTGTATGGACCTATGGACCTGTATCGTTGCATCGCATCTAAACATTCTCTCGATATCTCGATTGTCACCTGGAGGCACCCGCCGTCAAGGAAGCACCAAAAGCTGCGACCAAGCCCGTGGTGCCCGTGGTGGCCGTGGTGGCCATGACACCTTTCCGGCAAAGCCCTCAACAAGCCGTTCTTTTGAAGTTTCTTCATGGCTTTTTTCCCGTTCTTTTTAAATGTGTCCTTTTTGAAACGCTGATTTGGGAGGAACATCATGGAGATTCCATGTTCTCGGCTTCACTCATGCATTCAGTTGCAGGGACTACTACCTCTCCAATGTGCGCTCCTTGCCGGGAATGGAGGTGCTCTTGTGATGGGTTGCAACATGCTGTGGATTCAACATATTGACTCCACTGCGCGTACTTGGCGCGTACGCGACCTGTTTTGCCAGAAAATCTACGCAAAGTTCCCTGCGCAGCCAAAACCGGCATCGAAACCAGCAGCTGCCTGACCCTTAGCCCTGGCAATCCCTCAACTTGTGCAACGCTGCAGCTGACATGTGAAGATTCCCTGGACCCTGCAGGCTGCTTCCGAAGTCGCAACAGAGGTGGTGCCGTGATCGCCTGAGAAACTGCAGTTAAACATACTGAACATCTAGAAAGCAAGGCAGTTCGGGTAAAAATCCGGGCCGCAGCGCATTCCATAGCATTCCATGATTGAGGTTTGCCAAGCGTCCATCCGTCGGAACTTGGTTGAGCCCGGCACCAAAGAAGCTTGGAGGTGAGCAGAAGGCAAGGAGCTGAAAGGGCATCTCCACAAAATCCAGCCTGCAATGATATGTAATGGCTGAAGGTCCAGTTATGTCCATGTGAGATATGTGAGGGTCGCAGCATCAGCAGCACCAGCTATCGTTATTTTCTTCTTGCTTGATCTTGCTTGAATATTTGTTCATGCACAGGCCGAGAAAAGTTCCGAGCCAGAAGCTGTTTGGTCCGTAGATTTCGAACAGTGCCGCATAAGCCAGGTATGTAGGAAGTTTGCCAGACACTCTTTCGCTAAGGCCAAGCCAGTGAAAGAGACGCCAGCAGCCCCGGTCGTGCAACTGCTTCCATTCAGGACAGTTTGCTGCTTGCTCTACTGCACGGATCTTTTGCTTCAGTTTGTGAAATGCTGTGAAACCACCCAGCCACCAGCTACTTCAGGGATTACTATGCAGCGCAAGTGCGCTCCTTGCCGGGAATGGAGGTGCTCTTGTGATGGGTTGTAGCATGCTGTGGATTCAACGGGAATTAGGAGCACAATGAATTCGGTCTTACTGAAGCTGTTCCTGACTCATATTGACTCCACTGCGCGTACTTGGCGCGTACGCGACCTGTTTTGCCAGAAAATCTACGCAAAGTTCCCTGCGCAGCCAAAACCGGCATCGAAACCAGCAGCTGCCTGACCCTTAGCCCTGGCAATCCCTCAACTTGTGCAACGCTGCAGCTGACATGTGAAGATTCCCTGGACCCTGCAGGCTGCTTCCGAAGTCGCAACAGAGGTGGTGCCGTGATCGCCTGAGAAACTGCAGTTAAACATACTGAACATCTAGAAAGCAAGGCAGTTCGGGTAAAAATCCGGGCCGCAGCGCATTCCATAGCATTCGATGATTGAGGTTTGCCAAGCGTCCATCCGTCGGAACTTGGTTGAGCCCGGCACCAAAGAAGCTTGGAGGTGAGCAGAAGGCAAGGAGCTGAAAGGGCATCTCCACAAAATCCAGCCTGCAATGATATGCAATGGCTGAAGGTCCAGTTATGTCCATGTGAGATATGTGAGGGTCGCAGCATCAGCAGCACCAGCTATCGCTATTTTCTTCTTGCTTGATCTTGCTTGAATATTTGTTCATGCACAGGCCGAGAAAAGTTCCGAGCCAGAAGCTGTTTGGTCCATAGATTTCGAACAGTGTCATAAGCCAGGTATGTAGGAAGTTTGCCAGACACTCTTTCGCTAAGGCCAAGCCAGTGAAAGAGACGCCAGCAGCCCCGGTCGTGCAACTGCTTCCATTCAGGACAGTTTGCTGCTTGCTCTACTGCACGGATCTTTTGCTTCAGTTTGTGAAATGCTGTGAAACCACCCAGCCACCAGCTACTTCAGGGATTACTATGCAGCGCAAGTGCGCTCCTTGCCGGGAATGGAGGTGCTCTTGTGATGGGTTGTAACATGCTGTGGATTCAACGGGAATTAGGAGCACAATGAATTCGGTTTACTGAAGCTGTTCCTGACTCATATTGACTCCACTGCGCGTACTTGGCGCGTACGCGACCTGTTTTGCCAGAAAATCTACGCAAAGTTCCCTGCGCAGCCAAAACCAGTGTCCAAGCCGAAAGACACTGTTGCAGTCTGACCCTGAGGATGTAGCTGCATGGATTTGACATATGAATTGACCACGTTGACATGTTCTCCTGACACGTGCCATGGTCAAAAGTGGGATGATATCATGTTCATATTGGGGGATGGTATGGGATAGTCATCAATCCATTCATAGGGATTCATAGGGATTCATACACCCATCATATACCCATCATAAGGATTTCTGTTGTGTTGACCATACCTCGTATACCATGTTTCGAGCATGGCCGACATGGAACTTTGAGGCACCGGCCAGCTCCGAAACCAAGACCACGCTGATTGAAGCTCAGTGCCCTGCTTCACATTCACAGCTGATCAGCTGTGCGAATGCCCAAACAAAAATCAAAAAAACGCCTCAGGTTTCAGCACAAACCATCAGTTGCCACCTGGCTGAATGCAGTCCCACTGCGAAAGGCCTGCAGCCTCCACCACTCTGAAATTTGAGATTTGCATACATTCGCAACCTTGGTGCACCTTTGGCCGTGAGGAATATTGTAGTATATACAGTATACATTGTAATAGTGTTCAGTGTTCAGTGTATTTTGAACAGACTCTAACATCTCTAACATTGCATTGTCGTATGTTGTTGTGAACGACACATTTATGTAATCCTTTCGTGGTCAAGGTGAGTTTGCAGCATACATTGTTTTTCTATGTTTTTCTGCACGTATGTTTGAAACACTCCAGATGGCAGCAGATCCAGGCTTGTGACTGCAGATATTGAATCATACATTATATAAATTATAATATATACATATACAAATAAGAACCGGAGACTGGACATTCAAGAAGATCACTTTGCACAGGCGGCTCCAGTGCCTCCCAGCATTCTCGTCCTGCCCCAAGTGCATGTAAGCAGTTCCCGCCCATCTGTGGCGTTGAGAGATACACCTGGCACATTCTTGTATATCATGTCCCCATGGATTTCACGCTTAGTTTTGCTCCGTTGCTGGAATGATATAAATCACATATTATATTATATGATATACATATTGTAATTATATTGTAATTATATACATAATATATTATATACATACATACTTGTAATTGCTACACATACACAACTCCTGCTACGGGTAGTTGACCCCGGGGAACCACTGGTAATGGCATGCGGCATGGTGACGATGGTGTTCCCAAGGACCGCTCTCACAGCCGGATCGTGGCCATGGGGAAGGAGGAGATCATCGATCGAAATCTGAGCCATTGGGGGTTTTATACCCAGATTCATGGTGAATGATGGTGATTTCCACGGATAAAAATCTATGTTGCTGCGGATTGATAAGGACAAATATGTAAAGGAATTTAATACTCAGTCATATTCGATAAATATGTCCGAATCATTGAAAAGGGGTTATGGTTGAGGTTTTCACATGTTTAAACCATCATTCAACATTTGGGAATGCCGTCGAGAAATTATGGTTGGTTGATGATTGTATTGCATGGATGATGACTGTTAGTGATAATTGATGGATGTTGCGTACATCGACTATTTGATGGACAATAATGTGATGATACTAATTGACGGTTGATTAACGGATAATTATATCATGTATAGTCTGTATAGTAGTAAACGCGTGTAAACGGACTATTTCATGGACAGTGAATGCACCATTTAAGATATATCATGGATCCATCCTTTAATGGACAATTAATGGATAATTGATCGATCATTGATTTTATGAAGCATATATCATCTAGCTGTTTGTCGGTGTGCTTGCATAGGCAGATAACAATATAAAGCAGCCAATACTTTACAGTACAAAGATTTGCAACCGACTGTGGTGTGGTGGGCAGGAAATCGTTGAGGCAGTTGTCAAGGAGATTAGGCAGAAGGAACAGGCCCAAATACGAGCTGCCATGCTTGCCACGCTTGCCACGCTTGCCACGCTTGCCACGCTTAGCACACTTCCACCAACTTGCTTTGTTGTTTTCTAGGCATTCGAGTGTCAGATCAAGAAGAAGGAGGAGGCACAAATCTTGGCGCACAGTAGTCTTGCGAGTCTTGCAGGGCCTTGCTTGCGGAATGGCATGAACTGTTTCTTGGCCGGTGAGTGTATGACTGTGTCAGTTTGTCTTGTCTTCAACTTGTCTTCAGGAGTTTGCTTCTGAGTTGCAGAGGAAGGACGAGGCATCGCAGGGTACTTTCACAGTTCTATTCTAGTTCAGACACGCTGAGTGGAATATCTCTGCGGCGGTTTCCCGTTGCAGGAGATCGCAAGATTGAAAGCTTTGCTTTCCAAGTGAGGACTGCCACATAGGATGTAAGTAAATGCTAGTCGCTGCTAGTCAATGTGTGCAGTCATGGGAAAATGAAAGCATGCAAAGCATTTGCCAAGGGATCCAGAAATCCGCCTCAGCATGGTTTTTGTGCGCAGGTTTGTGGATGGGAGCTCTTTGCGCGACCGTCCTGTGAATCCAGAATCACCCTGTCCAGAATTGCTGTATGGCAATGGCTGCTTTGTGCTTTGAAGAAATTCAAAGCTTTCAGATGTCCCAAATGATTTCGCAAATCTTCTTAGTTTATCCTCGCGGCGTGCAAGTCGCTCCCTTTCGGAGCGAAACTTGTTGTTGCAGGGAGGTTTCAAGCTGCTTTGGCTATCCAGACAGTGTTGAAGACACTGTCTGCTTTTCAGCCAAGCAAGGCTCACATTTGCTTTACCGACCCAGGTTCGCTAAGCTTCGCCTTGGGAACTTTGTATCTCAACCTGCAAGAGAGTTGCGGAGCATTGCAAAAGCAGGAAAACAACATATATTTTATAACACTGCACATATACTACACGTACAAAAAGAACACACTCACTACGTGGAAGAACAAAGACAGCGGAGTTGAGGGGTTGGCCGGAGGTCACCCTACTCATCTCCGCTTGTCCTGTAGAAAGCGTTTGACAGGCTTTACGCAATGCCTGCAACTTTGCAGCCGCGTGGTACACCCATGCACGTGTGCCGACAAAGGGACTTCTTGGAATTAGATTTACAGTAGTCGTGAGCCTTTTGCATAAAGCATGTCTGTATTGTTTGCCTCGTTTTTATTGCCTACTTGCATGTTTGGCCATTGCTTTGCTCGAACCATAGCTAATCATCCATGCATGTCTTCCAAAATTGCTTCGTTCAATGATCTATATTTTGTCGGATGGAGAATGGCATTTGAACAGAAGCACAGTCTGCTGATGTTCCACCGGTGGAAACATTAGCAAGGGAGCCGCTTCGGCCACGTGGCATAGAGCGCAGCCTGGCAGCCATCGGTGCGCAGAGTTCTGGGAAATTCTGGGACGGCCGGGACCTGGCTCCACCTCAAATGATCCATATAGAAATAGACCTTGGATATCTTGGATGACCTTAGGCTTTGATGTGTCCATGCTATTTTTCCTTTGTCATCTTTGTCATGTGCCTAAGAAAGGAGGAACATATAGAAACATATAGAAACATATCATATCAAACAAATAAAGGGAATCGACATGTGTGCCCTGTTGCGGGACCAACAGCGGATTTTTGGGGCAAACCTCATCGAAGCATCATATTATCCCTTCTCCAGTCCAGCATGCTTCTTCCACGTTTTATGAGTGAATGACGCGAGTACGTAGTGACTGAAACAGAACTTGCTGCAACTTGCAACATGCATTTTGGAATTGTGTTCACTGGCTGTTTCTCTTGGAGGCTGTTCCATGCTATCGACATCGAGACAGCCTCGTTGTGGCCAACGTTGGTGACTCCAGGGCAGTGGATGTAGCTCCAGAGAGGTGCCAAACATTCCAAACATCTATACCTGCTGTTTTTTTTTGTTTTTTTTTTTGTAATGGTTATTGCTCGCAAGTCTATGCAGTCTATGCCATAGTCATCCATAGTCTATGCACAGACTAATGTTTGAATGGCAGAGTCGGCAGAGTCGGCAGCGTCAAGAATCTGGTGAGGTCATGTCGGTCATGTCACACTGTGAGGTCATGTGAGGTCAACCATGGTCAACCAAGAAATCTTCTCCGCTCCAACGGTTGCCGTGGGTTGTTAGGGAGCTGCCGCAGGTCCTGGCCAAGGCCTTGATTTTGCCGTCGCGCGATCTGTAGTTGGAGCTCACCAAGCGTGAGAATCGTGAACGCATTTGCAACGTTTGGGGCGTGCACAAGTTGAGGCTGGGAGGGGAGATGAATCATGCGAATACGTAACCTTTGCAATCCTCATAGAGATTTCTCATCGAGATTTCTTCGAGGTACGACGGTTTCTTTTGAAGTCAGATCGAAACTAGGCCACTTGTTTTACTTGTAGATTAAAGATTATTGAGGCAGTCTCTGCATTCTAGAGAATTGTCTTCTCCGAGGTCGCAGGTTCTGGGGCCTTGATTTTCTCGGCCTCCACGACCTTGATCGGAGAAGTGCGAAGGTGCCTGTGCTGCGTCTGCTGTGTCTGGGTGGTGAGAGACTGGAATGGGGGAGAGATGCCTTTGCAGAAACTGAATCAATGGTAATCAGATTGAATCAGGCTTGGCTTAGCTGCGAGAAGTGGTCTACGCCTCAGGCTACACCTCAGGGACAAGTGCACCGTGGCGTTACATGATGCTACACGATAATGTTTCACAATGTATATTAATGATTACATATGATTACCCTTGTTCTGAAATCGAGTTCCATCTTCACGTTTCCTGCCGTCTACATACATATATTTTATGATATTTTGATATGTTGTCTTCAATTATCTTCAATTCACGTGGGTCCTCTGCACACTTCTCCGGCAACTGTGACTCTGGCCTTGTTGATCTGACTTTGCACCTTTTGGTTGTGTTTGCATTGTGCTTTTTGATCTTCAGAAGTGCCTTGCTGCTATTCTGCGCAATGCCAGTATGACCAGGGAAGAGCTGGTGGGTAAGATGATAGCAAGTCGGGACGAAGACAAATTGAGTGATTGTGAGAGAGAAGAACGTGTGCTTTACACTGCATGGGAGAGTGCCAAAGAGATTGCTGCCTTACCTCTTCACATGGCGCGATCTGCGCCTTGGGATTATCTTCGGCCAAATGTCGGCCACAAAGACTTCTTAGAAAACCTTCTCAGTTCAAAGTGCTGTGACGATAGTGTGGTAGACAGCACCTTCCTTTCAGGGGCAGCTGAAAATGCCCAGTTCATTCAACGATATTTGCCAGGAGTCGTCAATGGCCATCCATGGGATGGACATCCAACCAATGCCATCTCTTGGGATCTTTGCTGGCCAGAATTTGCGGATGAACCCGTCCCATTTCTGGAGCTTGCCAGGGCTCAGATTGGTGATGACCCACAACAGAATGCAAAAGTGGAGAGAAAAATTGAGGACGATGAGGATGAAGACTTTGAAGGTTTTCAGTTCTCTGGGCGAGAGCTGCAACCAGTGACTACCAAAGCAGGAGGTCGTCTCTGGAGTATCACTTTTGCTGCTCCTGGGGGATCAGTGAAAGGACTGAGAGCTGCTTACCCATACCAGCTGTTGGTGCGCTTTGATGCAGGTCGGCAAGTCTTGATCTACGAGGCCTTCGATTACCTTCCATGTACACCAACAGTCTTCGAGATGGATGCCAAAGACAAAGATCCAGTCACTCCCGCTGAGCTTCGAAAGATTGAGGAGATCATCAAAAGAAATCAGAGGTCGATTTCGACTATTCTAGGATCCGTTCCAGAGGAGGCTCCCTCAGCAACAGCTCACTCTGAGCGATGTCAAGAGCACGGAATCAAGAAGTTGTATCCTCTTGCCGAATGGATTAGGTTCAAAAAGTCCAAGGTCCGCAGGATTCGATTTCCTCTTTCAGCCATTTGTGGTGCTCGACTGGTGGTGTTGGAGGCAAACCGACCGAATGGCAACCTGCCACCAGCCAGAGGCAGCTTCCCAAGCAATAGCCTGGGGCGGAAAGGCGCTGATTCCTACAAAAACTGGAGAGCTTTACCTGGGACTTCTGCAGCATGTGGCTCTGAGCTTGAACCATTGGGCCTTTTGGTGCTGGAGCTTACACAGCTTGGCACGCATTCTGGCGCAGATTTTGCAGAGATGTTTGGGCAACACACAAAGACCGGCGTTTGCGAAAAGCTTGCCCTGATTGGACGCCAGAGGCCAGTTTTTCTCAAGGGAAGCGCCATTACATCCTCGGAGATGCTTCTGAGATCATCGAGCTTGGTAAGGCCTTGGCCACAGCTAGTCCTGCATTGGCCAGGTTGCTGCGAATGTCACCGGACGAAGAGATCCTGGAGCCACCTCTGAAAATCCCTGCTGTGGAGGAATGTGTCCGACGTATGAAGAACACTCGTTGTGCAACGTGCAAGTGACTTGTTGCAGTTGTTGCCTTCAAGGACCACTTCCAGCCTGTCTTTGGGTAGCCTTGCAGCCAGAAAATTGGCATCTGAAGTGAAGGTCATGAAGGCAGGGGTGCCGGCAAAGCGGGCTCCGTTGTCTTCCACAGATGAGGTGGACGGTTTTTTGCGACGGGCAGGCGTGAAAGAACCTGAAGAGGTGAACCTTTGCTTAAAGGCAGGAATGCTCAACGGTCACATCCCCATCCCCCCAGAGCTTTTGGAAGCTAAAAGCACGCGTCCATTTCTGAAGCAAGTTCTTTATAGAGGTAAGTGCCATGGATGCAACAAGACATTGGCATGCACAGTACGCCAAGCACTGTCTCAGCCAAGTGTTGGCTGCGACTACGGCGACGGAGGTGAAGGAGGTGCTGTGATGTGCAAAGGCCGTGGTGGCTGTGGAGAAGGGAATTACATCTCTCAACTTTGTCATGGCCATCCAAGTTTTCACTGTGGGAAGTTCCACAACCACTGTGAAGAGTGCCCCGACTTTGGCACATGCATTGGTGATTACAGGGAAGATCATTGCCATCGTTGCGGGGAGCATTTCTTTGCTGGCCACTCTGGCCTGCCGTGCCCATGTCGGGGCAAAGACATTGACGACTTCGGCTATGGTGGCTATGACTCTTCTGGTTCGCGTGACAGCGATGACAGCAGTTGTGCCAGTTGGGTTCCATCTGACACCGAGACAAGCCCTTCAATACCCCCTGCAGGGTGTTGGGATGGACATTTGCGTGGAGTAACTGTAGCCAGCGAACAACAGGAACTAATAAAGGAAGCATTGGAACGGAAACCTGAGCTTGTGCAGGGGGCTGGAGCTGATGGAATGTCCTTGTCAAAATTGTCATCTCTGCTAGACGAACTGCGACCATCTCTGCCGGCTCCGCCACTTGACGCTGGCGAAGAGGACGAAGAGGAGGAGATTTTCGAGGAAGATCCAACGCTTCGGTAAAATGAGGGTCATGCAACGCCTGAGATCGCTTGAGGGGTGTGGTCCATGTGTCACTTTGGGACGAAGCTGTTTCGACTATAGCTCCCATCTTTGAGTGGGTAATCATAATCATTTAGTTTCACGGCGAGCACCCTATTATACGTATGCAATACTGTATCATGCAATACTGTGATCCCTGCCAACCCTTCCGTGAGTGACAGTTGGACCGCCATGTTGACAGCATCTGCAAGTTGAGTTGCTAAGGTGCCTTCTCTCAACCGTGGACCCCAAAATCTCAGAGCCATTTTGAATGCAGAAAGTCAGTTGCACTTGCTTGTAGATTCTTTTGAATTCAGCTTGAACTAACAGGGCAGTCCACTTGTTCCACTTGTTCTGCTTGGAGATTGATGTTGTCGAGAATTGCCTTGTTGTCGCAGGTCGTGGCCGAGACTTTAATTTTCTCTGCATCATGACTGCGGAAGTGCGTCCTTGGACGAGCCGTTTCGTTTATCAGATGCCACGTACTTGACAAACCATGGATGACGATGGTACCTTTACATGGGTTTACTCTGCACAGCAGCTGCTGGTGTTGTTAAATGTTGTTGATACGTTCCACAATTCTGGTTGGAGACTCTAGCAAATGGACTTGAAACAGAGGTCTTGGTCATCCTGCTCCACGTGGGTGTGTCAAAAAGAGGGTTCTTGCCGAAGGAGTAGTGAAACAACTGAGAGTTTTCTGCAATCATTTGGGCGGCCTTCCCAGTTGGTGACCGACAAGACGGATTGTAGTCCATTCGGTATCCACTTTGTCAAAAACATTTTGGCACAGACCAGATTTCACTCTGGTGGAGCGCGTCAGTGGCTTAAAGAAACTAAAGGAACAAATTATTGTAACATTGTGAAAGACACAGTCTCAGAAATTGGTCTCATAGGCAAAGATAAGGTCTAAACACGCATGTTGAATGCAACTGCATGAGTACTGTTTGTACTGTTATTGCTCTTAGGGACAAAGGTTTGCCAAAATAAACACGAGCAAATAGTAGGTTTTTGACAAAATTGTCTTCGCCTGGACCGGTCGGCAAACCTTACCGTCCTCTTAAAAAAAATCCAATTCCAGGAAAAACAACACGAATTACATCGAATTACTCATAATTATTAAAATCAAATAGAATAAGAGAAAATCCGAAACGAGTGACCCGCAGCTGGAGAGAAGAGCGACAACTCCGACATTCCACCCATTTCATCTCCGTTTCACTTCGTGGGACGGTGGCACAATGAGATGGCCGGAGAGTTGGAGCCAATGCTGTCGATCAAAGGAAGAAGGTGGGAACTTCGTCGTCAGCCGTCCTTGAACATAGAATTTGTATGAAATTTGAACGCCTTAATGTTAAGTCAGGTTCCTTTCCTGACGTGTTTGTCATGCCGGGTTTGAATGGGTTTGAGGGATCCGGTTCATGCCACCTGAACACCTCGTACCATGATGTTCCATGCACGTTGGTTGTTTTCTTTGGGTCTGCCCTGCAGTTCTGATCTGGAGCTGCAACCCTTTGCGCAGGAGTGTGAGATGGTAAGACTGGTAAGAGATTTTCAAAGACATTGTCAAAGACCGTCAGATCAATTCAGATCTGTTCCTTCAGACATTTCAGACCAAATGTGTTGAGATGTTTCCCTGCAGGAGGAGCCAGCTGCTTCAAGGCGGTGTTGTGGCCCTGGCTTTGTGTCGTTGGCTCAAGTGTTTGTGGGAATTTAGGGTGGTCAGGTGGAAACTCTTTGGACCAAGTTGTTTGCAATGGTAATATAATATATGATAATATATGGCAATGTTATCTCCACCTGTTCAAGGTCATCATGCAGCAACTTCTCCATCCAGTACAATTACACGTGTGCAAGGAGATGCGAATTTCCAGAGCAGACATGTCCTTTGCATCCTGTGTGCACGACTTTGTGAAGTTTGTTGGATGTTGCATCAGTATAGCGGCGGCCATCATGCTGTCTGATGGTGGCATTGTCGGTGAACATGTGCTCTTCTCAGATGGAAGAATGAGTTGAATCGTTCAAGATGCCATCATTTTTGGAGAGCTACATAAATTTTAAATGGTGATTCCAAGGCCAATCCTGATTTTCCCCAACCTCCTTGGGTATGCGCCTTATGCAGCAAAACAATCATCCGCACGAGAGCACTCCAGGATTCAGGAAAGCTGCACGGTATCCAAGACATTCAAAGACGAATGCTGGTTGTCGTTTGCTACTTTGGCGTCCCTACATTTAAACTGCCACATTAATCCCACAGACACTGAATATTCAATCAGTGGTGTCAGTTTCTCCGGTTTATGGTTTCAAGATCTTCAGGTTGAGCGCTATTTGCTAGGTGCCGGCCTTTCATCAATTTTCATCGAAGCATCACGAGTTTCATTCAGTTTCGATGTGTTGTTTTTATGTGCAAATACCAAAACTGAATTGGTGCAGCAGTGCAGCATGGTGCTTTTTGGAGGTGCTGTCTTCATGGGCTCCGTAATCGGAATGCTTCTGATGGGGTGCCACTAGCTGTAAATCTCCCGGGTCTCAGGGACACAAGGGACATGACACCAGTGAATTTGGAGCAGGTACCTGGGAGATTTGATGGGAATCCGACCAGCGCTTGCTTCTGCCTCGGAGATGCCAAAATTTATCAAACATGCCATAAGACATTTTATAAAATCCATAAAATGTCTTCTGTCACACTTTGGAAGTCAAAGGTCTATGAGAAACTGGACAAAATCGCCGCTGGAATCTGTTGGAGTGCCTTCACTGAGATTTTGGCGAATGGCTTGACTGCTTTGGGTGCCCTGACTTCATCTCTGCTTTCATGGGGTGCGAGCCTCTGAGACGTTTGATGTGCAGAATATAAACAAATTGGACAAAGGCTCCAAAGACAAAATGTTAAAGCTTACATAAGCTTACAAAATATGTCAACGTGTCTTCTCTGTATTCACACAACCCAATGATGTTTGTCTGTTTGCGGGTTGTGCAATCCATGAGGACAAGTTTTCAATCAAACCAACAGTTTGAATATGTTCCTGCAGCCAAGCTTCGCACAAAGGATCTTCAGAAGTGGTGTGGACGGTGATTTTGGTGAGCCGCGTCATTCTAGGAGTTGGGGCCAGAATCTCAGACCAAGACACATAGACAAAGGGGATTGACCTGACATCCCACAGCTGAAGGTGGGTGGCAACTATCCCCTCAGCGCGGCCAAGGCCTGATCTTTCCAGAATTTTCATCAGCAGCCTACTGTGGATCCCCTAATGGATCCCCTGGCAGGCTGCAGAATCTGGCAAAGACACCCAGGCACCCAATTTGCACAGGGAACCAGCTGGAAGCTCTCATGCTCATCGCAGCTTGTGCCACAAGGTTGATGCAGTGCAGGCGGCAAATCAAGCGGCCCGAGCTTTTTTTTGGTGCGCTGCAGAGTTTAAACATGTTGTCCGCAACCTTAACGTTCGCCCAGACTCATGATTCTGACATAACAGAACAATATGTTGATTGGGGAATAGCATCAACTTTATCTTCATGAGGGATTAAAAATTGCCACCCCCTCTGAACAATACGTTGATTGGGATAATAACATCAACTTTATCTTCATGAGGGATCAAAATCAGGAAGGCGGGACATCAACTCCGGGCAAACGTCCAGGTTGCAGCGAACATGTTTAGACCGTCTCGTTATTTCCTGTTCCAAAGCAGACAAGGCAAGGACCTGGTCAGCTGGCACCATATATGCCATTGGCTTAGTAACTTTGTCAAGAGGTTCAAGAAAGTTAGTGAGCCACCAACTCGTGAGCCAGCAATTTTGCACTTTGCTCAGGGTTGCCCTTCCCTTGCTGTGCTTGCCCAGTGGCGAGGCAGGATAATTGTCACTATGTGCCACTGCAATGATGTCGGTTTACCAATTGGAACTGCAGGGCATCACCTCCGTCCAATTTCGGCTCCTCCTTGGCATTGGAGCATTTCCTGCTGGAGTTGTGCGCACAGGGCACGTTTGCAAAATGATCATGGTATTTACTTCTTTATACTTATTTACATGTATTTACTACGGCGTCCGGGAAGGAATCCATTAGCACTAGGTTGCAGGGCTCTTTGAGTCAGGTACTTCTGCGTTCATGGCAGGAGGAGGAATCAAGTGTTCGGTTTTGAAAGAAACGTCCTGAATCTTTGTGAGACGATCTGAGATATCTGAGCTGGAATGATGCATTGATAGCAAATTATTAATGCTGCAAATTATCAAGCATGTTCACACATTTGGTTGAGGGGCCCGTGTTTGCACTTCGTTTACCTTTTCACTGGACTGACATGCTGTTGGAATGCTATGGCATGCAGGAAAGCGACCCACGGCCAGGAGCTCGAGTATGGAGCTCATCTTGATTTGTCAATTTGTCTTGTGTCTCTTCATGTCTTTTCGCTGAGCTGCACTATGCCACTATGCTGCATTTATTTCCCAAGGAGAACATCGGAAGGCGCAAGATCCTCAGGGAGACAGCGACAAGCGACCCATGAGACCCAAAAGTACTGTGCTGCGCTGCATTTTGAGGAGAAGAACTGCACAACCTGCGTCATTGGTGGACGTTGATAGGCATGGAAGCCACGAAGGTTGAACAATGTTGAACGCTGTTGAACATAATTGAACAACGTGTAGCTTGAAGGTACAGTTTCAGCACCCGCTGGAGGCACCGCAGGCTCATGGTTCTTCTTCGACGTTGCATTCTACGGCACGGTCTGTTTGCTAAGAAGAGTGCAGACTTGTGGCTTTTGTTCACCTTGAGCTCTAGAGAGTGGAAGGTTTCATTCCAAAAATGGTTTGCCAATGTGGATCTGTGCAGCCATATGTACTCCAGGTTGCTGAAACAAAAGTGCACATAATGAACTTGTCGTGAGCGAATCATCTCAACTGAACATTGTTCACTACGGCCACGTCACAACGCTGATAGCAAGCAATGTCTGACCTTGGCACCCAAGCTGAATGGCGGCTTGGACTGTGATGGAGCAAGTTGCCAAACTCTGTTGCAAGATGCAGTATATGAATGCATTTGTTCAATTCATATACTACAGATTGATACAGCATCGAGCGCGCACATAGGTTGTTGATTGAACATGCAGCAACTTCGACCGACTTCGGCCCAGGTTCTTCATAGGTGCAGCCGAGGAAGCTGCCACGCAACACGGGCCGAATTTTTTTTGAATATTTTCGCCACATGTTAGCCAGACATTCGTCCCATTTCGCTGTTCCCTGTCTAAGAGATATTCCCCAGGCAGACTTTGAGTGTGGATGTGACGACTTCGAACAGTGCTACACAGACAGATCTGCAGCTCGCAGAGGTAGGATAGTGCAGGATGTTTAGTTTTGCTTGCATGCACTTCACTGACACCAGATTATCAATACTTATCATATTTTGTGTGATCCTATGTGGACTAATATGTCCTGGAATGTCTCAGAGCTTTGTGCGGAGACAAACAAGAATTGCTGAAGCTCTGAAGCAACGTTTGGAGGAGGTGGCAGCGTCCGCTTTGGACACAGCCACCAGACTCGATGCAGGCAAGACTCGGGGCTCCTACTGGTAGTTTGCAGTCGGCCTCACATCACTTTCAGTGATTTTCTATAGTTGGATTCCAACAGATATTCTGCATATCTCTGCATACAGATGAATCTGTCACACTATTTTGCTCACCTTAAGGCGTGATAGCTTTGTTGCTTCTGATTTTTACAGGTGGCAATCCCATACCTGTGAGCTGACTTCCTGCGGGCGTGCCCTAGGGTATTCCCTTAAAGAATCAGGTGGTTCGGATTACGTACTTCACTCTAAGGGGGATCACAACACGATAAATAAATAAACAAACAAACAAATGTAACAAATAGATAGATAAATGAATGAATAACTACATGATCAAATCAATAAAATAGAGAAAATATATAAGTAATAAATATATAATTATGTTATAAATTATACAATAAATTTCTGGGTTGCTCGTTCAAACTAGATATCCCAAAACCGCAAGGTTTCAATGAATCAGGGTTGCAGCTCAATCTGCCACCAGGCCGAGCTCTTTTCTGGATGGGCTTGGGCTTCACCTTCCTCGCAGGAGTGCGTTTGGTGTGACCTAAGGGCTGCATGGCTGAGATTTCCAGAGTCGAGTGGCAGGAGCCTGGCTCATGTACCCAAAGAAGGACGCAGGCCAAGCAATGCCAAGCAAATTTTGAGCGCACAGCTATTGTTGCAAGAACTGCTTGGCGAAGAAGTTGTAGCCCTTTGCTAGCAACTGGTTACAGGCCAGAATGCCCCGCTACCAGAAGAGACAAAAACAGAGGGGACAAAAGCTGAAGGGACAAACGTCGAAGGGACCAAGGTTGAAGGCACGTGTTTGTCTGTCCTGAGATCATCAAAGTTATTTGTCTTTCCTGCTTTCATGATTCTGTTCTCAAAGTTTCCTGTCGCGGGAGCAACTAGGCGTGGGCCCTGCGAAGATTGAAGAACCGGTGCAGCAACAATTGCAGCAACCTCCAATCACAAGAAAGGAGAGCCTTACAGCTGTCAAAAATCATTATACCATGACCGCTGCCGCCTGCACAATTGTTTTGCGTTGACTGCAGGACTGGGTTGGGGCTGTGCCTACATTGCCCAATTTGGAGACGCGGCAGAAAAGGTAGAGCACCGTTGACTTCGTTTGCGCGAAAGACATGCACTTGATATGTCTTTTTTCCCTATCACTCTTATTCACACTTCAGGTTTTCACAAAATGAGGTACTCATCCACGACAATCCACTTCTCTCCTGAGCCACAGTTTGCTGCAGCTAAGGAGCCATTTGTTGCCACAAAGCCGCCCCAGCTATCCCAACTTCAAACGTGGGGTCCCAACTTTTGGAGAGTGCAGCGCATAACATGAGCCACGAATGCACCTGTCACGTCGCTCAACAAGGCCAGGACCTGCACCACCTGGACCCTCTCCGAGTGAAAACTTTCAGAGGGACTGGGCCGGGCCCGAAGCAAAAGACACTGACATGGCAGACCCAGCCGATGCATTGACAGAGGAGCGGTCAGAGTTTGTAGAAGTTTGCATCGTTTTGGCAAATCGCCGAATGCAAAAAGACAATGCAAGTTACTGCCTGTGGAGGACACTATGAATCGGAAGATGGTGAGCTCTCACATAGTTTGCACGCAGAAGACATGGCTCACTTATGCTTAGTGAATCCTGATGAATTCGTTTGCCAGGCACTTGTTTTTGCAGCTTCCGCCCTACTCCTGTTCACTGGTTTTAAGCTGACCAGGCTGGTTTCCAAGAAAGGCCCATCAAGTTACAGTGGGCCCCTTCAGAATTCCACACAAACAAGTAGTACAATTGCGTGAACTTCATTGACTGCAAGTTCGTTGGCTCGGAGGTCTTTGGGAAAGCGTCCTTGTCCCAGAAATCGCATGCAGATTTCCTCGCGAATCATTTGCTGATTGCCATTGATTGCCATGATATGCATTGATGTGCTATGATGTTTGGCGAGGTGCAAACCTCGACATGTTCCAAGAAGCGACTAAGGCAGATCTGCCTCGATGTAACTGTGCCTAGCAGCCTAGCATATTCTCTGCATAAAAGATATAAAAGCGTTGAGATTTGAGATGCATTGAGTGCTTCCTAGTGCTTCCTAGTGCTTCCTAGTGCTTCCTAGTGCTTCCTTGTCGAGTTCGCATTGTCATCTTCCAGGTGGCTTCCGTACGACCAGGCGGACCAGGCCTGCTGATTGCAGAAGTGCAACAATGCCAGTCTGTTTTCTCAGCGTAAAATGACGCGGTACCGACAGTACCCACAGAAGGAAGGTCTAGAGTCTAGAATTAGAGATACTGTATTGGCAATGGAAATGAGCATGTCCACGGCTGCGGAATTGAATGTTCTGCCAGGCTACGCAAAGCCCGATGTCCAGACAAGGCCACAGGCACGCCAATCACGGGGTCACGGGGTACATCTTGGACATTTTGGATACTTTTCAGTCACCCTGATTCCCCAAATCCCAGATAGGGTTGCAATGCAATGAGTGGAGGTTGAACCCATGCCGCCCAAGTCCAAACCAAAGGAACCAAGCCCTGCCGCAACCTTACCAAGTCCAAACAACCTTACCTTCTGAATCTTACCGTTTTCTTTTGTACTCTTGCAGAGCCCTGTCAGATGGAGACTTGATAAGATATGTGTGGTTTGTTTGTTTGTTTTGTTTGTTTGTTTGGGGGAAGCCGTTGGAAGCTAGGTGGTTTACTCCAACTCTGGATACTCTGGGCTTCAACAGGGCAAAGGCGCTGCGCATCGCTGCACTGGATTCATGATCATGACAAGTGCATACAAAGTGCAATTGCCAAAGAAGGTTCGTATAGGTTAGTATAGGTTAGTATAGGTTAGTATAGGTTAGTGATTTTGTGAACTGTTTGAATGGAGAACTTTCGCAGGCCACGTGGAGCGGTCACCTGAGACTTACTGTGATGCCAACATGGAGATCCTCCAGAAGCAGAAACTGTCCAGGATTTTGCTTGGAAGCAGCAAATGAGCAACGCGCACAATTGCTGAGTCTTTCTGGAGTGCAATTTCTAGTTGATTGGGTGCGTTTCGGACCTAAACCAAGAAATATGTAAATATATCATACGTAGTCATAACATAACAATGACGAATAAGTAATAGTGATAGTAAAAGGAATAGCAATAGTAATAGTAATAGTGATAGTGGTAGTAACAGTAATAATGCCAACAGTACATGAACATAATCAACAATGCTTTATAATAATACAAGCAATACTAATAACAATAATTTCAAGAATTATGATAATACTACAGTAAGTTCAACAATAGTAATTGTATGTGGATATGATATACAACACTATAGAACTACATTGTCCTCCCACCTGACTCCAAGACACCATGGTCACCAAGCGCTTGCGCTTGATCTCCCACTGCTTCTTGAAACACGCAGGAACTCCACCACGGCAGAGGCATCGAGCTTATTCCTGTGTCTTGCAGCGCTGACGCACAAGTGCTTTTGAATGATGTTTCATGATATTGAATATCATTGAATGATGTTTCATGATATTTATACAGCTTGCCACTGCTTGCCTACTAGCTGGATATTTGCTCCCCTGGTATCAACTGTGTTTCTTTGGCCCGTGCATCAACATCAACCGATTTGTCCTGGAAACTGCAGGTCCGGGTTGCGAATGGTGTTGTTCGACCTGTTCCTCCGACTTCTTGCCATATTTTCCGAATTCTTCCCAAGCAATGAAAGCACATCAGATGTACACCAGAGTGAGACGCTCAGTGCACTTGCAAGCTGAGCTCACTCACCAAATTGGTGGTCCCGAGCCCAACGTAAAGCCGGCCAACGTGCTGGCAGCCGTTTCAACGGGGTGACATCAGTGCAGGTTTGCACAATCAATTCAGATCAATGCTGTAAAACTTCATGATTGTATTAATAGGTTGACGAGTACAGTGTGTGGTTGTGGCACATTTGATGCTTCCTGGGCAGTAGTTCCCTGTAAGCTGTGAGTCATTTTAGCAGATTTGGCCAATGCCCAGAGGTTGTGCCATGGAGGCCCGAGGCCTAAACTTGCCGAGGAAGACCACGCAACAGCCATTGCACGTGGACCTGAAATGGTCCAAGTTGTACATACCATGGCGGCCATGGCTCAGCAGCTGTCAATATGTGCAGGGCAGAATTGCCAAACTGCTCATTGCTATGGCCTTGCCCGTCACTTTTGGGAATTTTTGGGGACTGGCAACAAAGCCAGTGAAGCAGAGTGACTCAAGCACTCACGCCACATTGCTTCCCCATGGGTGCTTGTTTCAATCTTCCACAGTGGCAACACCACCTGTGATTCTGCAACAGACAGTGTCACAGACTCTCAAACCATTGCAGTCGGGCATTTGCTGGTGGTGAATCTGAAACAATCAGTAGAGATCATCCATTTGAGTCTTGGCTTCCTGTTTCCGAACTGTTCAGACTTTCTGCAAGACTGTGGTTTTCAATCATCTCAAATTGGATCATGTGAGATCATGTATAGCTATGTGTTGATAAATCACAGCAGCCTGTGAACGATTCACACTTTGGAAGCATTTTTTACTAAAGCATTGATTGATATGGACAAGCCTTCGCCGCGATACTTTTGAATGCTTCAAGGGAGTGGGAAAGGCCGATCTATCTAGCACCAATTATTGAACACCAGATCAGGAGAAAAAACAGCGGAAGGCTCAAAATCAGTTCAGCAGGAGTTTTGCCAAAAAGTATCAAAAGTAAAGTTAAATATTCCAAAGACAAATCTTGGATATGAACGGTCACGACTAACGACTCATCACGACCATGCCGGAAGTGATTGTGAACTGTCTCTCCGGACAGCAATTTAGTCAGAACCTCAGCGCAACATTTTTCCCGGAAAGGGTTGTGAGCAGCTCCTGCTTGAAAAGTTTGGAGCCACTGAACATGTTGGAAACCAAAGCAAGACTTTTCTTCATGTCACAATGTCCTTCTGCATCCTTTCAAGGTATCGAAGTTGGAGAAGACGACACCATTGATGTGCTGAGACAGCTCATTGCCACAAAGTGGTCGGAGCCAATCCTTGCAAGAAATGTTTGTGTGCCTTTGATCGAAAGTGCCGAGCGTGCGCATGGTGAACTTGAACGAAGTTGCTTATGTCTATCTTATGTATGCTGATTACATCTGATTACTCGTACTGTATGCTTATGTCCAGCTGATCTTGTTTAATCAATCACTACAGTGACTGCCCGTTTTCCAAAGCACTTGGCCAAGGTCTTGGGCCCAGAGGGCGATGTTCGACGAGGTTCTTCTCTGATCAATGCTTCAGAGGTCTCGGTGCCTTGGAAAGGTATAGAAAATTATAGAAAGGTTCAGCATATTTCATGGATTTTCAATGATTTTCATGCTGTTTCACAAGATTTCACACTTCCAACTCCCACGGGTCATCGCACCGAGGCTGTCGTATCCTTGCAATTACCACTTGATCGAGACTGGAACTCCCACTCTGATTTGATTCAGACTTTGCCGCAAGATGTGCACCTGGTTTTCGTAGGCCAGCATGGCCAGCTCTCAGAATGCTGATCACACACACCATGCTAACAATTGTCGGCCAGACTCTGTCTTCCACCACCATGCCCAAACCCTGAGAGGTGATGGGCGAGAAATTGCAGGAAAACAGGGAGGGGTTGGGACGCTTGCTTAATCTTGCTTGCACACTTTCCTGCACCAAGCTTTGGTAGTTAAGCAGACTTGAGCGGCAAAGCAGAGTGCGCATGGCTGTTGACCGCGTCTAGCATCTTGTCTTTTCAAAGTGGAAGCGTTTTGAGAAACATGCCAAGGAAGACAAGCCTTGTCTTCCGATGTCGAGATTGTCTGGGCACTGGAACGGGTTGGACAGGAATGGGGAGAATGAATGGAAGCGGACATTTGAGAGATGCTCGACTGGTTCAGCAAGAGATTGACTTCGCATGCAAATGAACATGTCTTGTGCGTGTCAGAGAAATTCTGGCTACTGATTGCATTCGCAAGGAAGATGGCACTGTCTTTTTCAACAACTGCTCCTTGCCTTTTGAGTGATTGAGACAGATCAGTTGTAAGAAGCAGGACTTTGGAAGAAATTGGATATATAATGATATATAGATATGTGTATAATATTATATATATACATATACTGTTTGATCCTTGTTGGAAGTGAACATGCAGAAAACACAAGTGACCCAGGGGACATGGCAGGCTTGGGCACTTTAGGATATTTTCATCCAAGGCGAATACCCTTGGAAAGACAGCATCTTTGATTGCATTCGTGGCAAATTTCCTGACTATCAGATGTTATTCCGTCACTATACCTGTCTAATGAGAATTTCTTCCCATTGAGATAGAGTGCAGAATACTTGAGGCAGCGGAACAGTTGCAATGATGAGCCTTTCTGATGCCTCATGTTCTGTTTCATCCCAGCGCAGCAGACTTGGCCTTAGATGCCTCAAACCTCTGCACTGTTGGAGGTTTCTTCCGAGAACGAGTGAGAACAGTTTCAAACACGTTGAGCCATGTTGAGTCTGCATTTGAAATCAGCTTTCACAGAGGTTATTATGATTCTGCATCTGTGGTTCTGATCCTTTTTTCCCTGGCCAGCAGGACCTGGGACCAGACCTCAAGTTGTCATGTGTGGAGCGACAAGCGACCACATTGTGTGTGTGTGAGTCGATCCCTGTTTCAAAGGGTTCTTTCTCTGACCTCATTTTTCAAGCTTCACAACGCAAAAACGCGGCACTTGCTTACTTACCGTGATCACTCCTGTGTGCCTGTTCGGAATCGAACAAATTCAATTTTTCAACTTGTATCATGGCAAAATGGCCGAGCCCAAATCCACCCATGTCGTTTACGGCAAAACAAGGCCTTCATGGGAATTTCCCATAGCTCGATCGAGTAATCAATCCAACCGTCGACGACTTGCGGCTTTTCAAGTGTGTGTGTGTGTGTGTCTGTCCGTGTGTCTGTCCGTGTGGCCAGAGTGAATTCATGAGTACGTGCAGTATGCTGTAACGTACTGTAACCAGCAACCTCATTGGTATCCCATCTTTGTCCATTTGCTTCTTGCTAGGAGTCTTACTACATCTCATCCCGTCTCACCCCTGTCTTTCCTCCGTAATTTTCTGGTGCAGTTGAGATTCAGCCAGGAGCTCCTTTGAGAACATCCCCAAGTGGCGGAAAGAAGCCCGAGATGTTCCTGTTGTGCTGGTTGGAACCAAGCTCGACCTGTGTGAAACCCAACCGCCGTCTTCCTGTGTGTCTGTACAAGAAGCCCAGGCGCGAACTGAAATAAACCAAGTGACAGCCGAATGAATTCGCATCTGCGTGTACTACCCCAAGATTATATGATAATATATGATATAGTGAGTGTATGTCCACATATACATTATATAAATAATATTATATATATATACGTTATGTATATACAATATATATATATACCTTATGTATATATATATACACGTTATGTATATACAATATATATACATACATTACATATATATATATACATACATTATATATATGCATTATATATATATACATTATATATATATATACACATTATATATACATTATATATATATATATTCATTTTATGTATACACACACATTATATATACGTATATAATCGTATATACATTATATATATATGTATACATCATATATATATATATGTACATTATATATACATATATACATTATATAAATACATTATATATATACATTATATATATATACACCTTATATTTATATATATATACATATGCTACCCCCCCCAAAGATCTACCATTTTTAGCTTTTTGTTGATGTCAAAGAGGTAGTATTTGTTGAGAACCTTTTGCAAAAGCAAAGTAAGTACACTATTACTTTCAAAAAAGATGGGGTCAGGTCAGAGAGCACATCATTTCTTGAAGGAAGCAATCTGTCTTAAATTGCAGCGTTCCTTTCCATGCTTGAAAAAAATCACCTTCATTCATAAACTGCAATGTTCCTTCCAAACAAAGTATGACTTCATTCAAGAAACAGTACCCCTACAAAAAATAGAGCATTCCTCTAAACATGCCGTGTTTTCTTTCTGAAGAAGTGCAGTCTTCCTTTCAAACTAATATTAAGCCTTCCTTCAATCATACAGTATTTCTTTCAAAACACCAGATTCCAACATGTTGGATACGTATGTCTTTTTAATGCAACAGAGTAAGAATAATATTTTGATCAGCAATTTTTAATATACAATGAATATAGCTTCATTATAGATTCCATATACTTTAATATACCAGTTTATTGACCATAAGCATATCTTTAATAAACCTTTAGTAAACCTTTGGCATACCTTCAGTATCCCTTGTTTAATACCATCTTTAAAAAAACTTTAATATACCATTCAATATACCTGTAGCATTCCATTGGATAACGATCAAGCTACCTTTAATATACAGTTTAGTTGGCCTTGAAAATACCTTTAGTATACTTTAAATATACCTTCAGTGCATAAAACTTCACTACACCATTTAATCTACCTTAAATATACAATTTTATTGGCCATGAAAACATCTTTAATGCACCTTTAGGATACATCTCTCCCTCTAGAATACCTTTTATTTTCCATTTAATTTGTCTTTAATAAACCTTTAATGTACCATCTATACTTAGTTTACCATTTAAGAATCGTTAATATTCCATTTGATATTCCATTAATATATTATTTAAAATGTCGTTTACTACACCTTTAGTATACCTTGAAGGTATATACCTTTAATATACCATTTAATTGACCTTGAAAATACCACTATGCCTCTAAAATACCTTTTACTTACCATTTAGTTTGCCTTTAATGAACCTTTAATATACAATCTATACTTAGTTTACCATGTAAGAATCATTAATATTCCATTTGATATACCATTACTATATGTTTTGATATGCGTTTAGTATACCATTTTATGTACCATGAATCTACCTCTAATATACCATTTGATTGACTTTGAAAATACCTTTGATATACCTTTAGTATACCATCTAATACACCTCTAATATACCATTTAACATACCTGTAGTATACCTGTAATTTTCCAGTCTGGCAATGAATATATATATATATAATTATATATATACATATACAATATGTATATATCTCTTTAGTATATCTTTAAAATCCGCCCACACCGCTTTGGCGGTGAAGGCGTGCTTATTGGGGGGCAAACAGCTACACTAAATGCTCAATCACATTTGTTAATATAGCAGTCGCTATATCAGCTTTAGCTGGGGGGGGGGGCCAAAAACGGTTTCGCACCGAGACCAGAATTCGGTGGTGTTTTCGACATTTTTCGAGGATTTTTGGGTGTCTGAGCGCAAGAGGGTATTGAAATGGAATTTTGGGTCATTTTGGTAGCTTTCCGGCAATGGAAAAACGGCCAAAAATGAAAAAAACATTGTACATAGCAAGATTTTGCAGGGTTTTTGGATGCCAGAGCATTGAAAACACTGCAAAAACAAGTGTTTTGGACTGACGTTATAGCAAAAAACGTGTAAATTACCGTATGCTTGACTGGAAACATTACAAAAACACTGTCAAAAGCAATGTTTTGGAAGGATTTACTGCCTTTATGGCAAAAAACGTGTAAATTACCGTCTGTTTGACTGGAAACATTGGAAAAACACTGTCAAAAACAATGTTTTGGAAGGATTTCTTATATATATGTTGGAGTTGGCTACCGGCATTGGAACATGGAAAAATTGAAGAAAACACTGTAAATAGCGGTATTTTCAACGGTTGGGGAGATAAGGGAATTGGAAGCATTGTCGAACATGATGTTTTCGACCGGTTTTATGGCGACAAAAGTGTAAAGTACCGTGCTTTGAAGGAAACCATTGCAAAAACATGGAAACACAGAACACGGGATTTGGGGGACTATCTAGGCGTCGTTGTCTAGCTATTGAAATTCCGCAGCTTGGAGAGCCTCCAAGGGAGGGAAAAGTGAAAATTCCATAGCTTGGGAAGCTGTCACGGCGGGGAAAAGTGAAAATTCCCTAGCTTGGGAAGCCCCCACGGGGGGGAGAAGTGAAAATTCCCTAGCTTGGGGAGCCCCCACGGGGGGGAAAGTGAAAATTCTTAGCTTGGGAAGCTCCCACGGGGGAAAAGTGAAAATTCCATCACTTGGGAAGCCCCCACGGAGGGGAAAAGCGAAAATTCCCTAGCTTGGGAAGCCTCCACGGGGGGGAAAAGTGAAAATTCTTGCCTGGGAAGCCTCTACGGGGGGGAAAAGTGAAAATTCCCTCGCTTGGGAAGCCCCAAGTGGCAGCATTGTCGAACATGATGGGTTCGACCGGTTTTATGGCGACAAAAGTGTAAAGTCCGCCCACACCGCTTTGGCGGTGAAGGCGTGCTTATTGGGGGGAAACAGCTACACTAAATGCTCAATCACATTTGTTAATATAGCAGTCGCTATATCAGCTTTAGCTGGGGGGGGGGCAAAAACGGTTTCGCACCGAGACGAGAATTAGGTGGTGTTTTCGACTTTTTTCGAGGATTTTTGGGTGTCTGAGCGCAAGAGGGTATTGAAATGGAATTTTGGGTCATTGTGGTAGCTTTCCGGCCTTTCCGGCAATGGAAAAACGGCCAAAAATGAAAAAAACATTGTACATAGCAAGATTTTGCAGGGTTTTTGGATGCCAGAGCATTGAAAACACTGCAAAAACAAGTGTTTTGGACTGACGTTATAGCAAAAAACGTGTAAATTACCGTATGCTTGACTGGAAACATTACAAAAACACTGTCAAAAGCAATGTTTTGGAAGGATTTACTGCCTTTATGGCAAAAAACGTGTAAATTACCGTCTGTTTGACTGGAAACATTGGAAAAACACTGTCAAAAACAATGTTTTGGAAGGATTTCTTATATATATGTTGGAGTTGGCTACCGGCATTGGAACATGGAAAAATTGAAGAAAACACTGTAAATAGCGGTATTTTCAACGGTTGGGGAGATAAGGGAATTGGAAGCATTGTCGAACATGATGTTTTCGACCGGTTTTATGGCGACAAAAGTGTAAAGTACCGTGCTTTGAAGGAAACCATTGCAAAAACATGGAAACACATTCAAAGAACACGGGATTTGGGGGACTATCTAGGCGTCGTTGTCTAGCTATTTGAAATTCCGCAGCTTGGAGAGCCTCCAAGGGAGGGAAAAGTGAAAATTCCATAGCTTGGGAAGCTGTCACGGCGGGGAAAAGTGAAAATTCCCTAGCTTGGGAAGCCCCCACGGGGGGGAAAAGTGAAAATTCCCTAGCTTGGGGAGCCCCCACGGGGGCGAAAGTGAAAATTCTTAGCTTGGGAAGCCCCCACGGGGGAAAAGTGAAAATTCCCTCGCTTGGGAAGCCCCCACGGGGAGGAAAAGCGAAAATTCCCTAGCTTGGGAAGCCTCCACGGGGGGGATTCCACACCACCCTTAGCCCCTCTGACGGACCGAAATAAACCTGCGGTGTGGGCGGCCACCCCACGCGAAGCGGGGTGAATACCTTGTGCTTACCACGTGTTTGCATTTAACATACCTTGAATATACAATTTAGTAACCGTTAATATTCCAATTGATATATCAGTGAGATATTTATATATATATATACATAAATATCATTAAAAATGTCGTTTACTACACCTTTAATATTTCTTGAAGACATATACCGTATTATATACCTTTAAGATACCATTTAATTGACCTTGAACATACCACTATACCTCTAACATACCTTTTATTTATGGATCCAGGAAAGTTTGCAAAGTTTGCACATTTTTGGGATTCAAGATTCAAGATTCAAGATTGTGGGAAAAACTTCTTGAATCCAAGCGCTGACTGACATGGGGCCCTGGAAGACAGTCAAGGCCTGGATTCAAGAAGTTTCTCCCAGAATCTTGAATCTTGAATCCAGAAAAGTTTGTAAAGTTTGCAAATTGTGGGAAGTGTTTGCGTGTGTGTGCGTCTGTATGTGTTTGCCACGTTTTGTTGATTCAACGCATATGCCTGTGTATATGTATACGTGTTTTTTTTTTTAATTTTTATATATATATATATATATATGCGGATGGTCCCCCCCTTCAATTAACTGCTCGATTATCATCCCAAACCATAAGATATTAAAAAGGTAGGTCAAAAATGGTAGATCTTTTGGGGGGGGTACCATATATATATATATAGAGATACATTATATATATAGAGATACATTATATATATACAATATATATAATGTATATATACAATATATATTTATATATATATATACAATATATATATATAAATATATTGTAAACAATATGTATTTATATACAATATATATATATACACACAATATATATATACAATATATATATACAATATATATTTATATACGATATATATATATGTACAATATATATATATATATATTTACAGTATGCACATTATGTATATTTATTTCTACGTACATTATTACAGTATATCAAACTTCCCACAATATGGACAGATGGAAAAGAAGAGGTGCGAAGAGTCAGAGAAGAGAAAGAGTCAGCAGAAATAAGATCAGAGTAGAGAAAGAGTCAGAAGGAAGAAGATGCAGGTGCGCGAAAAGGTAGCAAAGTCGCGAAACACTGTGTTTTTCCAATGATTTGTGGCTCCGGAGGGTCGAAAAGTAGGCTCGCTAAAGCGGCGGGTGCAGAGCCATCTGGGGAGATGAGAGATGAACAATTGCACGCCGTTGTGGCGCGAAGCACATTTCAAAGTCAAAATGAGCAAATCACACCACGTTCGGGGCACTGTTGGGCGTTGAGACGTTGAAAAACTGTACGCCGTTGTGGCGCGAAGCCCTTCCAAAGTCGAAACACACCATTGTCGGAGCACTTTTGGACGTTCAGATGATGAAAAAGCGCACGATGTTGTGGTGCGAAGCACACTTCGGCAAAGCACACCACGTTCGGAGCACTTTTGGACGTTGAGATGTTGAAAAAGTGTACGCCGTTGTGGCGCCAAGCGCGTTTGGAAGTTAAATGTTAAAAACACACCACGTTCGGACCACTTTTGAAGGTTCAACCATGCCAAACTACAACTGCAAGAACACCAAGAACTACAGCTATGTCTGCAACTGCAACTACATCTACACTACATCTACAACTGCAACTACAAGATACTACAACTACTGCTACAACTACAACAACTGCAACTGCAACTACAACCACAACTACCACTACACGACAGCACAACTACAACCACAACTACAACCACAGTTAAAACTGCCACTGCCACTACACTACACTACACTACTACGACGACGACAACAACAACAACAACTACTACTACTACTACTACAACTACTACTACAACTACAACTCAGGTACACTACAACCACAACTACAATTACAACTACAACTAAAACTGCACTACGCCACACATCCAGTTGTTGTGGTTGAGGTGACCACTGCAGCACTCCCAAAATCACGACTCCAATCACCTTTCGGTCCATCCGTGGATTCGCTCTGCCATCCATGCATCGCAACATTTCACCTCTCCTATAGCGCCCCATCTTTGAAACTTCTGCCACCGCCTTGCACGGTAGTATTATGTAGTATTGGTACCATATTCATTGTATACGTGATAGCAGATAGCAATCAAAAGGTGATCTGCATTGCTTTGCAGGCAATGGCTCGGGACATTGGAGCCTTGGACTACCTCGAATGCTCTGCGCTCAGTGGCGCAGGAGTTGATGATATTATCGATGGAGCTATGTGGGCATTCGTTATGGATGCCCAAACAGAGCGTGGTAAAGCCAGGACTCAAAGGGAAAGCAGGGTTGGGCCAAGAAGAGATAAGGAGAGGTGAAGGCTAGGATGATATGCCAGTGACAAGATTGGGATATGAATTAGAAATTCAATTAGAAATATATAATTAGAAAATATTGTTGAAATAGAGTTTTAAAAACCTTCTCCATGGCATCCTCCAGTACCACGCCAGGATAACTCAGCGACAGAATCGCGATCAAGGCTGCCAAGTCGCGTAGCCAATAGCTTTGTAGACCTTTATCATCCTTTACCTTTGCTGTTCACCTGGAAAGTTCCAGGGTGCACTTGAGACATTCTCCGCAGCAAAAAGAAGGTGTGCAAGCCACACAATGTTTTTGTCAAGTTCAGACAGCTTAGACTTGGATTTGACTGTTTGGAGCAGCCTTGTTTGCAGTGCGCTTTCTGTTCCGGGATTTGAGCAGTTAGGTGATCTTCTCTCCGACCATCCTCTTGAAGGTTTTTGGAGAAATGGAGCTGCTTGGCAACAGCAGAGAGTAGTAGAGAGTTTTTTTGGGATTCTTTTTGCACATCTCAGAACATCTCAGAACTCCTTTGAGATTTGAACAACTTGAGCGCCCGGGGCCATCAGGTCGCTGTCGATGCTTGCCGTACAGGCTGCAGCCATGATCATGGCACCGCCCGCAGATCCCCAAAGTGTATCAAAGTGTGGCATTGCCTTTTGATCCCGTTTGCGCTGGGGTTGTCGGCAGTCGTCAGGTCAGATTAGAGAGATTGCCTAGGTCACAATCATTGGAAATACTGGGAGTTTGGCAGTGGCCACCTCAAGTCCGTGTGACAGTCAGCAAGTCCATGCAAATGGTATGTTTATGCGTACAGGTATGTGTGCCTTTGAATTTGAATGCGCGCGCTTGTGCTTCCGTTTGCAATCTCACAGTCGGATCGGTCAGGTCGTTCCGCGCATCGGCGCAAAAGCCTTGAACACCACCGGACTTGTCACTTCGGCGCATTTTTTAAAATACAACTGTTCCCCCACAACTGTTTGCTCTGGTCTCAGAGGGTGGCCTAGTGGACAGTTTCCTAGAAGACAGTTGTCTGAAATCTGAAACAAGAACAAATCACAAGATATCATTGAATTACATTGAATCGTTGTTCAGGACTTCTTGCTACCATGTCATAGAAATCCGCTGCCAGACACTCTGCTGCTTAGCCTTCGCAGCGTTCGCTTCTGCAGCTGCCTTACCAATTACGTGGATCGAGACTGTTATGATCATGCAAATGATCGAGTCTGGCTATTCAAATCCAAATGAAGGGTCCAAAAGACATCTTGTTCCTATTTCAAGCTCCCTGTCACAGAATTTGAGTCTACATACATGGGGAATTATACAAAGCCTTTTGTTCACAAATTGCATTGAAAGTCCGCCCCACTCCACTATATCTTTCGCTTTCAGGTCTACCAGTACTGGCATGATCAGCATGCCCTTCAGTTCGGCCTCCTTTGCACAGTGAAGTATATCGGTTGCAAGATGAGCAATTTCAATGATTCAATGTAGAGATCAATCCCAACGGAAGGAACAAACAGAAGGAGAGGATAAGAGGAGGGAGAGAGATAGAGAGAGAGAGAGAGACAAAAAAGGAAGAAGAGAGAACAAAAGAAGGATGGAGTGAATGCAAAGCGTGGCCATTTGCAAAGCTTTGGGACCACTGTTTCCAAGCATTGAGCATCGTGACTCCCTGTCAGCTTGGCACTTGCCCTCCCGAACATCGCCACATTCATGCTACCTGTTCTACTTTTTCCTCGCAGTGTGGGAGTCCTACTCATATTTCATCAGTCCTTCGCACAGCAAGTAGGTGGAATATGGAAAAATATGGTGGATCCATCTTTGTAGAATTCATCTGGTTGCTGCCTTTGACGTACCGGTTGAGCTGTGAGGTCAGATCAACTTTCCACGGTATTTCAGCGGCTGTACCGATCTTGGAAGTTGAGTTGGAGCTGCCAAAGATATGAAGATCTGAGTTGGATTATTATGAAAATGATCTGAGGCTGCCAAAATTGGGGCCCTTGTTGGAACCATACTTTTCCCAGCGTCGGATTCCAAGATTTTGCTGCCGGATTTATTTCACTACGTCCGTGACCGTCTGATTCCATGTGCTTGATACATACCGCAAGGCTAGAAGGTTATGGCATTCCAACGATCATGTTCACGCAGGTGCTGTATTCGTTTGCAAAATTTGCAAGCAGAATCTACACTTTCTGGATATTTCATGACACTGAGTGTATAATGTGTATATGTATTCCTGGATCTCATGATGTTGCTTTACGTTTCTTTTGCACCTCCGAGCCCCAACTTGACAGGCCGTGTTGTGCGGCTTGGGTGCAGCTTGCAGTTATTGGTGGGCACCTCAGTGTGACTCGAAGATCTCGAAGCATGGTGCTGATGCTTGTCGACTTGTCTTGTGGCGAAAGTGCTCAGGTTTCTGGATGAAAGTGATGTCGACTACGTGAAGGTCTGGTTTGCCGAGCGATTTCTCATTTTCACGGTGAATCACTATGGTTGAAGGTCGAGATGTCTACTGAGCAGGCTTGGAATGCTTCTGGGATTGTTGGAGAATGGTTTCGATGATGGTGAACTCTCAAGTTCACTTTTGGCACTCTTGGAATAACTTGGTTGCCATGGTCCCCTGATGTCCCCTGTCAGTTGCAGGTCCAGTTCCAGTTGGTCCAGACCATTGGCACCCTCAGCCCCAATGCCCTGTCAGAGGCTGGTATGTCCACAAGACGATCAAGAAATCACAAGAAAACGACCTCCAAAAGATAAAGTGTTGCCTTGGCAGGAGCTCTCTGTGGATGACGAAGACCTGCGAAATCGGCAACTGGCTGGCTTTGAAGATGTGAAGGGTCAAAGTACTCAGAAAGTGGATGAAGAGCAAGCGTGCGAAGTCAGCTCTAGCTCTACATCACCCACCACATCACCCAAGACCAGCGTCCCTGCGAAAATGAACGCTGTGCAGCGAATGCGATGGTTGCTCAGGCGTTAAGAGGACATTCACAGAATTTGTCGCTTGATATTAATTTGTTTTGCTTGCGCTGATTGAACTTTGCGGCTCCCGGCAGGAATCACAGGATATGAACCCGCAGCACATTGAAAACGAAATACCATATTGATGTGGGTCCCTCATGTGGAAATGATTGCGTTCGCACATTTTTGCAAACAGAAGGAAGTGTGATGTTACACGAAGATACGTAACAATCAATAGAGCGCAACTTTTCTCCACTACAATTCTTTGCTGGATATTGCCTGGGCAACTTCTCCCCAAAATGACATCCCAAAATTGCCAAGAAAGCAAGCGTTTTTTCCTTCAGTAGTTCAACAGAGCCACAGTGCCCGACGGTGCCATGAAGTCTAGCCCTTATTTCTGCAGTAGACGTGTGGACTAGAAGCAGATGCAAGATGATGCAAGTAACAAAAAAGTCTCACTGAGGTTGATGCGCCTCCGCAGGGCAGCCAGGCATGCGGAATCCATCGGAATCCACCCAAGAGAAACATGCGCAGCACAGGGAGATTTGGGGCTTCACAAGCCACTCATGGTTTGTCTCTGTGAGGTGTTACAACTAGGGATTGGTTTGAAAACATTTGAAAACACGTCGATTCTATTTTTGAACATGTTTGGAACATGTTAATATATGTTAATATACTATAATAGCAAGGTTTGGGATTGGCTTGCAAAGCTGCAGTTGCTGGCATTGCTTGAGCTTTCGAACTTTGGGAATCCGTTTTCTTCATGACACCCGAACGATGTTAGGCGTCTAAGACTTCTTCTGTTGGTATCTGCAATCGCTGCTATCTCAGCTTTGGTGAAGAGCCCAGACATGCTTCGACAAGCCGGAGCCTTACATTTTGACATAGCTGCAAAATTGTACAACGCAGGTCCCACACTTGCAACAAGCTTTCGTGCCAAAACCTTAGATGTTGTTTCGTATGTATCAGCATCAAGAATCTTGATGCATCCGCTTTCACATTTTCATCTCCCCATTTCCGTGTGTTTGCCGAGTCCAAGCCCTAGAGCCCCAAGAGAAGGCGAAACTGCGGCGCGAATAGGGCTGCGTTAAGTCGCACAACCCGCAGTCACAGGTCGGTCAATTTTGCCGTTTGGTGCTCTCTACTGGTCGTCCCAGGCAGGTGTATCAGAGGATTGCATAGGAGCGATGGGAACTGGGAGAAAGTTTGATTTGGAATCAGTCCAATGATCTCGCTTTCAATAGAAGAAGGAGGAGGAGGAGAAGAAGAAGAAGAAGAAAACAAAGTACTTGACCTTGACGAGTTTCCCGTTTCCATTGTGTAGGCCGCCTCAGTTGGGGCAGAAGAGGGTTTGCCCAAAAAACGCAGAGCACTCAGCAGGCTGCCTTCTCAAGAATGCAGTCAAACGCAGCCGATGTATGCTGACCATCTGACCTCTGAAGACAGACCAAGGTATGTTTGCAACCGAAGAGGAGGCGAAGGCCATGCCTACAACACGATGCTAGAAGCGTCTTTGAAACTCTAAAAACACAGCACTGAAGCCTTCGCCCTTGCCATCAGTGGATTTGTTTGGGCACTCTACTTGAAACATCTTGAAAGCCATGGCTCGGTGAAATCCACTGGCCCACTTGGTTGTTTCAATGGTTGTTTCAGGGATTTTTCAGGGTATCTAACCTGGAAGTGGAATAACTTTAGTTGGTCGTGTTGCGAGGCAGCTGCTGCACAGCTGAAAGCTGCTGGGGTTCAAGCAGCCAATTTGCTCCAGGAGCCCGTGGATATGCTGCCTCCTGTCAACTACTCAAACCAATTTGAAGCAATTTGTCGGTAAGTCTGAAGTCTTTGAAGTGCCGTAAACAAATCCCATCATGTCACATTCCGCTTGATCATTTAGTGACTAACGTCTACATGGGAGTGACCAAGGGGCAGTAGAAGTGTGCGACCTTCAGGTCCTTCCAAACGAAGCAAAGTCATCGGAGATGGTGCGGGATTTGGTTCGTGAGGCGCAGTTTTTCGCTGCAACCAGATGAAAGAAATACGTATATCTGATGACAGGGTAAATATTCCTGTGTATATATATATATAATTATATACAATACATATATATACATATAACCATTTCTAAAATATACGTACCTACATACATTCACACATTCACACATTCACACATTCACACATTCACACATTCACACATTCACACATACACACATACACACATACACACATACACACATACACACATACATACATACATACAGACAGACAGACAGACATACAGACATACAGACATACAGACATACAGACATACATACATACATACATACATACATACATACATACATACATACATTCACACATACATACATACATACATACATACAGACAGACAGACAGACAGACATACAGACAGACCGACCGACCGACGGACCGACGGACCGACGGACCGACGAACGGACGGACGGACGTACCACAGACACATATGCACATACACATCTACACATGACGAAGCATCGATGAAATACATGCGTCTCGTTTGTGACAGGCCATAGGTGCAATCTCTCAAGGAGACTTAGGCCTGCTTTGAATCGTCAATCGGACGCTGTTTCTTGAAGGCCATGTTCATTTGTCTACGTTGGGAAAGACATGGTCAAGATTGGTCAAGCATCATGAATTTGTGACGATGAAACGAATGTCCTCTGTGTGAATCATCGATTGCCTAGTTAAACATCAAGGTCCAGGGCTCAGAGGGATGGAGAGCTTCAGCAAAGCATCGCAGATCCAAGAAACCTCTGGCAATGTGACAACATATTACGTTTGAATATATTGGAATCATGAGATAGACTGCACATGATACAATACATGTAATATCATGTAATCATGTAAGACTAAAGTTGACTAAAGATTACTGGATACGGTAAAGCAAATACTAGAGGAGAGGAAAAACATGTAAAGTCCCTGAGTCTTCAATGACAAACGCGTTTTCACTGGAGGGCAAAGCCATGGAATTGGGCGAGCCAGGTGAGCCAGGTGAGCCAGGTCCTGACCCACCAGGTCTGCGCATAAATTCCAAGGGTTCTCGATACTCTCGAGATTCTTCTGGCAGCTGGGACAGCGGAGTCAGTGTAGAGACGAGCAATGCCAGCAACCCGTCCAATCTGTCGAGCCCCTCCAAGCGAAAGAAGCAGTTCTTCAAGTCCTGCACAGCCACCCGGGACTTCGACACAATCGAGCTCCATCCAACAAGTGGAAGAATCATACGAGTGCTCACGAATTGTTTGAATTCTACTTGGCTGGACGTTTTCTCTGGAACAGTGCAAGACTCAGTCGCGACACATTCAGAACAGATTATATATATATTTATAATTAATATATATATATGTGTGTGTGTGTCTCGTTGCATCATTTTGCATCTCGTTCTCACATCATGTCACATACAATCATGTCTCAGACAATCTCAGAGTCTCAGAGATAATAAAGCCAGTTTAACCGCCTGCGGCGTGTTCCACCGGCCACCATGGAAAGAGCTATCCTGTAAGGCGCAGACAGCCCTTGCACAGGCCCAGCAAGAACATGGGTTTTGGTATGTTTTTGTGCAAAACATGGTGGATAACATGTTTTTTGTGTAAAACAGCTCTTTGTGTAAAAGACGGGTTTGACGCAAAAACATTGTTTGTGTTCAAACCGCGGTTTAAGTTTAAACCAACGCATGTGTGTAAACCAGGGTTTTGGAAAAGCCATATTGAGAAAGGCTTTGGAAAAGGCCGTATTTAGATGTATTTAGAAAGTTTATGGTGTAAAAGGTGTTCGGCAGAAAAGCCAGTGGATCAAGTAGTGCAAAACCAAGCCGATGTTGAGCGAGGCGTGGGCAGAGTTGAGCCCACCAAAACGTAAGGAAAGATGAAGGCGAAATGAAGAAGATCTAGTCCAGGAGGGGGGGAGGGTTCAAGTTAGACGGGGCAAAAATCCGCGCCAAGGGGAAAGTCTGGACAAAGACAAACACATACAAAGACAAAACAGACAGTACAACTACAAACAAGCAAGATAAACAAGACACGCCGGCAGGCCGGCGGATTTCTTTTCACTCTTTTGCTGACACTTGTTTCCGTTTTGCTTACAGATCGCAGATACTAAGGTCGTCTTGGCGGACATGGTTCTGACATGTGTGGATATTGATATGCGTGCTGCCGGAGTCGCGGATCCAACCTGGGCTTTCTTGGCATGCCAAGGTCCCTAGGCTTCAAATATATACTTTCAATATCTAAAGCAATGCCAAGTGTAGACCCGCTTGGATTCACTGAGAGATGTTCAGGGTGTTTTTCTAATGAGCGAAGTCCTTGGCGAGGCTGGATATCAATGTCATTCAGTATCATTCAATATTACTTACAGTATGTCAATGTATGTTGCATGTATGAGTCCATCACAATGACTTCGACACAATTCTTGACACTCCAAGCCTTCCAAGCCTTCGCATCCTTCGCATCCTTCGCATCCATCGTATCCTTCGTATCCTTCGCTCCGCAGCCGCGGCCTCAGGTTGTTTAGTTTTCTACACATCAGAAGCAGCGGCCGAATTGATCGTGCGCGGGCCGCGTGTGGTCTTCCGCTCCTTGGATTGGCTCCTTGACATGGGCATCATCTCAGCATCTCTCGTCGAGCTATTTTTTCTGCTGTCCGGGAGTGCCGTGGAGGAAGTTCGCATCCTGAAATTGCTGAGAATTTGTCGGGTGATGCGCCTGATACGCTTCATTCGCAAAGCTCCATCCTTGCGAGAGCTACGCAAACTCATGATGATGTTTGCAAGTGTGATTCGAACTTTAGCCTGGTCTTTTCTCTTTTGCTTCATTGCGATGACTCTTTGGTCGATGATTTCTGTGGAATTGATACATCCTGTAGTTCAAGAGTTGGCAGCACAGGGCACTTGGAATGATTGTGGCACCTGTTCAGATTCATTTGCAACGATTATGCAGTCCAATTTGACGTTTCTGAAGACTTTGTTGGCTGGAGATAGCTGGGGGCAAATTGCAGTCCCTGTCATGACAAAGCAACCTCTTACTGTGATCATTTTTGTTGGAGCGCTGGTATCCATCGTCTATGGCATTTTGAATCTGATCGTTGCGGTCATCGTCGATGCTGCAGTTGAGCAGCGGGAGAAGGATATAACGACACTGGCAGCTGATTTGGATTATGAACTGGAAGAAGACCTAAAACTCTTGGGACGAGTATTCCAACAGGTGGACCTCAATGCAGATGGTGAACTCTCCCTGCATGAACTCGTCACCGGGGCAGAAAATGTGCCGGAGTTTCAAAGCCGACTGCGGGTGATGGACATTGATGCTGCAGAACTTGAACAGACACCTAGCAGCATCTAGCAGCTATTCATCAGGATGATTCAGGATGTGGATGATCCGAATCACAAAATATCTTTCTCAAACAGCAAGGCCACGATTCGTGAGCTGAGATTTGACAAAATGGAACTGGACAAAACAATGAGTACTAGTTGGATTACCTTGGAATTTGGAGTGCTTTATAAAATCTTATAAAATCTTATAAATACCAACTTTCTGAGTCTGACTCAAAATTCTAAATAGTACTAATTGAATGGGCAGCTGAGCCTCGAGAAATCCTGCAGTCCCAAAATGAGGGCAGGAAACAGAAGATCTTAGTGACTGAGTGCCTCAGTGACTGAGTGCATCCATCCCGGTCATCCCGCGATTCAATTAATATGGAACCATATGGAACCCAACAAGAGCCATATGAAGTGATAAAGTCATTTTTGGTACAGTACTAGTACCCCATATGTCAGGTTCCATACAAAAATTAGATAAACTTAAGTAAGGGGTAAGCTTGTAGTTTACAGAATGATTGCAGGCTGGAACGGAAGTTCACGCCTGCCTCACAACCAAGGCTTTTCCACATACTGGATGAAGATGGTGGTGGCAGCATTAGCAAAGACGAGTTTAAATTTGCAAATCACCTGCACCAATTGTTTATCTTTTTTTTACTTGTGGTTTCTGATGTTTCCAACTTTGGTGGGCTTCCGGTAATTGCTAAAGCTGCTAAATCTTGTTCGCCGAGGCATTGAGTCGCTGGATGAGGGAAAGTAAAACAGCCAATCACTTCGTCAAGTACATGGTGAGCAATCTCTCCGTGAACCAAAGCCAGCTGCAGGATCAAGTCAGGCAAATCAGCAGGGCAGTCGCCACATTGGCAGCTGACACTTCAACTTTGCGGAGAGTGGAAGAGTCTATCCCCAGCAAGCTCACAAAGACCAAAAGCTCAAAGAGTCTGGACGCTGCAACTGCTCAGACGTTGCAAGTTGTCACAGTCGCTGGTCCTCCCAGTCCTGAGAACGCGTCGCAACTGCCCACATTGCTTCAGAGACTTGACGACGGCCATGGCATGGAAGTGCAAGCAATGCCAGATGAAACCAGACCTTCGATGAGTGCAATTTTGCAGTTGCTGCAGGACTGCAGCGGTGTCAGTTGCCCCTTGTGCCTTTGTGACACTCTTGTTATACCTTTGTCAACGCAGCTTTGCTGTCAAAGGTTATATATTGAGTCTTTCAGTTTCAGTGTGTCATGCCTAGAATTGAGCTGCATTGGTTGCCACCTCCGCTACCATCTCCTTTCGAGTAGTTTACATCATGTACTTTAATTAGTGTTGTCTCCCAAGCAGTCAAAGTTGGAGACATGTCGAGAAGTACCAAACAGCCAGGATTGGAAATGAAACACCAAAAGTAGGTTAGCCACCCATGCACGTGAAAGCAAAGGCTTGGAAAGCACGTCCGTCGGAAAGTTGCGAGCACATCAGTTTGCTATCAATTTTTGGAACTTATATTTTGTTTCTGAGTACTGTATGTGTTTGACACGTTTGCCTTCACCAGCCTTTGCTGCTATTCCTTTTTCATGAAGTAGACACTCCAAAAACATCCCAAGACACGTTTGATAAGTTGTTTAACACATTTGCATAATCTGCCCATTTTGTTGGTTCCACCTACAAAGTCTTTGCTTCTTCTGCTCCACTAGCCACGCCTGCCTGTTTTGCTGGTCTTCTTTCCAGGGCTATCGGGTGTGTGTGTGTGTCCTTGATCTCATTCTCTGGGATGTTTGTAATGTCCTCTGATTGCCTTGCGAACTCTTCCCAGACTCCGCGTCCCTTTTCAAAGTCGTCGCACGCATCATTTAGCAATCGTTCCATTCCCATCATATTTCAACAGATGTCTTTCTTGGCAAGGATGCTGATGCGCTACTGCTAAAGAAGAAGCGTTTGACAGCAGCTGCCAGTGAAGTCGATCGCTCGCTGAAGACAACTCTTGACAAAGCGTCCGTGGCAATGCAGCGCTGGACGTTGTTGCAGCCAGGAATCTTGATTGCAATGGGACTCCATGGATACCTTCTGGAAATCAGAGATTACATATATATATATAATTATATATATATAATGGGATGTACTGGAACATCCCGATTCTTAATAGATCTAAAAATAGGAAAATCATCCATCAAAATGACAGAAACCGTTAGTGCGAAGTGGATTTTCCACTGTCAGCCGAAGCTTCCACGGCGAAGCTGCGACGCGCAGGCGCAAGCGATGGACAGACCCGTGGTGAGGCTCACAGCTATGGCGATGAAAGGATGGTGCTCTAAACTGATAATGACTCTGATAGTGAATGATGTAAATGATAGCGTCTATTTGATAGAATCTGGATGAATCATGTGCGTATCTTTTGCATATTTTGCTACGTGCTGTTGTGACATTCTTCATGCATTGAAGAACAATTGAGGCCTTTCGTTTGGTTTCAGTAAGAATTTCCCTCCACTTTTCTGGGGTGGGGTGGCTCACCTCTTTGTGAAGTTGGCCAGAACTTGACAGCAAACTTGCCAACAGTCAGCGAAAGTTAAGACATTTGTGTTCCCTTCCAACCAAGAAATTGTAAGAAGTTGAAGCCCAAAATGCAAGCCCCATGCACGAGGGTTGCTCCTGGTGTGTGGCTCTTACCTACCTCTTTTCCAGTTTTCCAGTCTGTTCATGGTAGAAGTTTGCATGTGTTGATGCATTGTCTTGTTTGTCGCCTAGATTCGCAGGTCAGGCCAACGCACCCGTTGCTTGTCTGAAACAGCAATCAAGGAGTGCCACAGTATTCGAGAATGGCCATGTCTATTGTACAGTGCCTTCCATGGTCAAGCATGTTCAGCTGCACATCGTAAGTAATTAATTTGGACATATTTGGACTACCGAAATCAAAGTAGCTCTTGCACTTCTGCAACTTAGGCCTGCAGCACAGCCGAGAAAGCACACTCCAGTGATATGCCCCATTTAGTGATTGAGATACAGATAGACGAAGTAGATGGAAAAAGTATGAGAGGGCATGATAGACTTGAAGAAGAGCTGCTAAACTGAAAGCAAGGGCGCTTCAATCACTGAACAGCATGTTGATGCCTTTTGCAAAGCAAAGTGCATTCCTGGTGGATTGCTCTAAGAAGAGTCAAGAAGGCCAAGCCATGCGTTCGAACATATTCTGGGTGTTGTAAGATGTTGTAGATTGAGATGATCAAGCACAATGGCTTGGTCAACACCAGCAAAGCTCAGATGCGCGTTTTCTCTCTCTCTCTCACAATTTGCATCAAGTTGCTACAGTTGCATGACATGATACATTTTACCCTTGCAGAGGTTTAGAGCATCCTGAATGAAAGCAAGGGTCGCAGTTGAATGCATTCAAACTGCTTTAATTTGGCTTTCCAGAATGTGTACAGTTGCAAGCAGCTTTTATGTCAGCCCAGTGTGATGGTTTGCGTCCTATTCGGAGCGCAACAAACAAAAGCTTGAGACGAGGACGAACTGTTTCAAAAACAGCACCAAACAAATCGCAGGTCCTTTACAAATCGATAGATGACAACTTCAGACGGGCTGCTAATGAAGTATGCTCCAAGTTATGCCAAAAGGCATGACAAAACCAAAATTTAAGTTCCATTTTTTGCCATACACTTCCAGCGGTAGTTGGAAAATCGGAGTTTCTTTCCGTGGATTGTAATGGATTGCAGTAGGTTTTTTAATCCTTTCATCAATTGAAATCTCTGCGGATTTCTAGATTTAAGTCCAGGTTCTGCGGCCAACATTGCTGCAGACATTATCGCGGAAGGGCAGGCAGCAATCGAGGCAGCGATGCGGCACGTTTCAGGCCAAAGCCAAATTGAAGAGAGTTTTAAGTATGTATATATATATATATATGTATATATATATACGTATATATATATATATACATACTGTATATACAAGACAAGTGCGGTTTGTGAGTCTGTTTTGGTGATGAAGGGAAATTATGCAAGATTCTGTATGCGGAAAGGGTCAATTGAACAGTTATGCAGACAGGTTTCGGAAGGAGCGTTTGGATTCACGACTACAAGCAGGACTACATACAAAGAGGAAGAAGGAAAAGAATAATAAAGGCAACATGAAGCAAAATGAAACAACAACCACATCGGCAACAGCAATGACATCATAGTCACCTAGGAGAAGGCAACAACTGCAACAACCCTGCAAAAAACAGGGAGGCCACCATGAGGACTCTGAATGTTAATTCAACATCAGTGACAAAGATGACAACGCATGAAGCGAAAAACCATGAAAAAACCACACGCTCCACTGGGAGGTTGAAAATACTACATGAATATATAGCCAGATATATAACAAGCTGGTAGGGTGGTGTTGAATCAGCAGTAGAGGCACCTTGGAGTAGCAGCTTCAAGCTCACCTGGAGACAGACCGGCCAGGAAGATGGAATTCCTTGGGAACAAGTTGGGCCATTCTTCATTGCGCATTGCCCTGAGACCGGGAGAGTGCAATATGACTTTGGCAACGTCTTTGACTTTTCCCGGACTGCTTCATGCATGATTAATTTATTCTGCAATGAATCTGGGTCATCATCAAAAAAGTTTGGAGATGTGTTGAGCTTGACATTGTTCAGGGCGGTTGTTCTGGCCAATAGCGTGCAGCCCAGCCATATCCAGCCATGAATGCCCACACTTGCAAGAGATCCTACGTGGCGTTGTCGGAGTGCACTGGGCACGAACTTGAGGTGCTCAATTTGTTGGGGCCATAGTTTGCAGTTTCCGAGCATGTGATATGGAATACCGCATAAGACTAATCACGCAAGCGTGGGGGTACCCATGGTTGAATTTGACCCACATCCTGAGATGACTTGATGATCCGAATTCGTTGAAGATGTACCGATTCCTGAGATATACCCGTTGATGGAAGAAGCCATGGAGGCGATTGGCATTGAGTCTTGAAAACATGACATCGACACATATCGACACGGTATCACCCAGTGGGTTTATGCTTTGATAGGAGGATGACTACGACAGACTCCCAATGCCAAGTGGCAGACCCGGAGAGATTGCGGCTCTTTGAATTTCTTTGATAACTGTTACACCATGTTACACCAAGGTGGCAGACCTGGAGTTGGAGTCTTGGTATTTCGTCGACGTTGTCACAGCAGTCACGGCCGACTATGCCCATGTATGAATCTGTTGTTTGTTGTTTGCTGAGAACGCTGAGATAATTTGAGATATGCTGTGTCACCGAGGCAAGACGTCAAAGGGTGGAGGAGGTAGATTTGAAGCTGCCTCCGAAACCTCAATCCCAGATCGTGGCGGAAGCCGCGGCGAAGAAAGTTGAAAAGAAAAAAGATGTGGACATGGTGCGCCATTTGATGATTTTTGTCATGAGTCTTGCTGAACTTCCATTTTCAGATTTTTTGCGAGATTCCATCTTCAACTTCATTTGCACAGGATTTCGAGGAGAGTCAGCGCTCAGCTTAAGACAAGCCGAAGCTACGAAGCAAAGCTTGAAGTGCAGCCAGCCACAGAAAGGTGGACAATCCATTGCCAAGGCATTGCCAATTGTTTTGCATTGTCCTTTTTAAGGAATTGTTTAGGGGGATGCAGCAACTGCCACCCATCCGCACCGTCTCAATTTGCAGTAAAATGTGACGCAGTTGTATGTGAGTTGTCATGTTATCACGCACTTGTCAGAAGCACTCATGCGCAACAATCTGGCCATAGATGTGATTTGATATGCTTTAACTTTGTCATTGGTTGTCCAGAGACTTGCTGATTGGCTCGCGAAAGCTGACATGTAGCAATCGAGACTGCATCAGCCGCAAAGTATGAGTTCATATGAGTTGCTTGCAAGAAAATCAGAAATCCATCAGAATTCCATCTCAATGCCAAAGGTCTAAACATGTTTAAAGCATCTAAAGAGTCTAAAGCATGACTAGAACCTCAGAACAGGGGGGCTTGAAAGTATCAAGGCGGCCGTAGATGTCATGGCCTTGCTGCTCAGTCTCCTAGGCATTTTGTGCAAACAAGACACACACACACAGCTTTGTGATGCTTGGTGAAAGTGCGAAAGTTTGAGCCTAGAGAAGTCAAATTGTGTGAAAGTTTGGTGCTGCGATGCTTTGTGAAAGATGTGAAAGATGTGAAAGATGTGAAAGATGTGAAAGATGTGAAAGATGTGAAAGATGTGAAAGATGTGAAAGTGCTGAGCCTTCGCCATCGCAGGGACAGTGGCCTTGGGACAGGATTATTCTACATGGAAGGATTGCTGCAGCCACAGCTACAAAGTGCGGCAAGATGCTGCAAAACTGACAATCAGAGCGGACAATCGGGTGATCCACGGATCTCAAGCTGGTTGCCTGCGCACTGACCGCCCACAGTTCTGAGGCAACTCAGTTGTCTCCAATTACATTCCTTGCTGCAATCGCCTGTGTGGAGCTTAAAGCAGCTTCCAGCCCAGCATCAGCACCCCTTCATCCAAATGGAGCGTGTGCAGCACAGGCGATTGGAAGCTCAGTTGGCTTGCCTTGAGTGCCCTCTGTATTATCGCTTTCCATCATTTGCTGATTGTCTATTTGTGGCTGTATATTCATATATTTCATTATATTTCATGTTTGCAGCTGAGCTGCTGCAAACCAGCTTGTTTTTGTTGAGCAGGTACTCCAACTTCGGCTTTACCGAGCGTACTTGCCTGCCTTGGCTTGAGGACAGCATGGGGCTCTTGCGCAGAGTCATAGATGGACATAGTTTGAATATGTTTGAATTTGACCACATTTGACTCATTCTGACTAGAGTGAAGATGTCACAGTATGCCACAGTAGTCATCCAAGCATGCCCCTTCAAAGCAACATATTCATACAAATCCCAGGGTTATTTTGTTCATGTGATGGGTTCTGATATGCTTGTGGAGAACAGTCAGGTCTCCACGTGTTCTGGTGAGCTGGACAATTCTAAATTTATATTGTGAAAATTGTCATGACCTTCGAGAGTGCAAATGACCGGAGCGGTGTGAAACTTGCAACAAACCGTCAGTATGGTGGATGTGAAGCACTGTGAAGCTGTCAGTTTGGATTTCAGGCAATCGAAACCCACTGCCTTTTGGTGTGTGGAGACTGCTGGGTGCTGGTCTCAGTTTGGCAGGGCGCAGGGCAGCTGGATCGCTAGTGAAGTGGCAGTCGCTCCAAGGAACTTGGCAGACGACTACGGCAAGAATGTCAATTTCAGCTTCAGGTGGAGACAGAAACCAGTTCTTGAAATTATTCCGGAGAATTCCAGATGATTCCAGATTGCTGGTTGAGCATAAGGCATAAGCAAATAATATCAAATATTCTGTTTTTAACAGGCGATTCTACGACAGCTCTTTGGTACTACGGCCAGGTTCTGAATGAGCCAGAGACAACGAGGCAGGAATAGTAGATGGCGGGCTCATCAACAGCACTGATGGTCGACATTGGCCATTGAGTTCTGCAGCTGTGGCTTGCCGAAACGGTCAGGGTTTGGTGCAATGACACCCTGAATGATTTTGTGGCGTTGCGCTGTACGCCCGCATGTTTGGTGACTTGCCTAAAGTGTGGTTCAGTGTGGCATTGTGTCGTAGTAGCGCCTGCCTATTTGTTTGAGTGCTTTTTGCAGCCATGTTTTGTTTTTTTTTGGGGCTCTTTCATGCTCTTTCTTCAGATCAAAGCCAACTGCTACTGAGGTAAATGAGACTGAATGTGCGACACAGAAGGCACCCTGAAAGCCTTGTGGCTTCCGAAATTGATGTTTCTACAGCATCTGGTTTTCCCATGTTTTCCCAAGGCAGAGGATTGCATGAAGAAATGTGGCAATTACAACACCTGCCAGTGTCGCGGGTGGAAGCCTCATAAACTTGCCATGGCACTTTGCCATTGATTCAATGAAGATAATGAAGTGCATTTGACTTCTCGAATCGATCCATTCGCAGTAGACCAAGGTACAAAGGAAGTTTGCTTGAACCAACCTGTGGTGGTGTTACCTTCAGTGATGGTGCGGTGGACCCGAGGCACAGCAAAGATCATCAGAGATCCAGCTCAAGCAACTTGCACTTTGTCCTCGGTGAATCCTAAAGAACCCATCCTGAACCCATCCTGAACCCATCCTTGACTCCTTGACTCCTTGATGCTTCTCCATCAGCTGGAGGCCAGATCTCTACTATGACTGCGCTTTGACTCCAGCCGACTGCAAGCACACCAGCTATGATGTGGAGTGCAACAGATATCGGTATTGTCCACCAAACTTGTGTTTGATAGAAGATGCAGCGAGCTCAGGATAGCTTTGTCGAGTTTGCTCAAGCTTAGGGAGCACCCTTTAAATTGAAACCTGACTTGAGTGCATGCTGGTGTGCGTGTGTGTGCGCGCACTCAACAAGGTCCAGTGCGATCCGAGACATCAATGCGAGGCCGGTATGCTTGCTAAGCGAATTGACCTGTCTAATTGGATGATAGATGATGAATGATGATGATATGTTCGGACTCTGGAGGTAGCTGCTTCAGTGACAATGCCACTGGTTACAAGGGGTTGCTCCATGTTGCTATGCAAAGACTCCACAGTTTTATGTCTTAAATTTTACTTCCAAAGCTTGGAGACTTCATTCCGAACCCTTTAAATATTGTAAATATAATTTGAATATATGTTATTATATGTTATTATTTTATATTATTTTGTGTGTATGTATACAATTGTATACACAGTCACTATGAATCAACTTGGTAAAAACACACATCAATGTGGTAACATATGGCATGATGTGTAACGCATGTCTTTGTGTTTTGAAGATTGGCTCAAAGCTCAGAGCCGACTTCACTGGAGTGACCCCCTTGGTGTCCCCAGTGTCCCTCAGCATAGCGAACAAATCAAGTTGGTGCCTCAGAATCCCACAACCAGACGTAACCAGTGACCATTGCAGTGACCATTGCAGCGAACTTTGAACTTTGGCCAAGTTGGTTGATGTTGAGAATGTTGAGAATGTTGAGAATGTTGAGAATGTTGAGAATGTTGAGGCTCATGCATTGAATGCATTGATGGAAGCGGAGAGAAGAATCGATCCAGAAGATGGCCAGGCAGCTCGCTCAGCTGTTGGATCAGCACATTGCCGCACCTCTGTGCAGAAAATGACTAGAGTCGCTCAGAGAAATATCCGCCTTACTCAGCCTCATTGTATCAATGTAAACAAAAAGTAGAGACAAAACACGCAAAAACACATTGCCAACCAATAGTTGGCATGGATGTGACTTCCTTCGGGATATGGTCATTGATCAAAAGATCAGCCAAAGCACGCAGAAACATCATTGTCCCCTAACTAAAGAATATCTATATAGTATAGAATATTCTAGAACTATGTGATGCAATGTGGCTATGTGATGTTCGAGTCTTCGCGGTCTCCGCGGTCTTCGCCCGGCTTAAAAAGTTCGATGTGGCGACTCTGGAACTCGGCAGGCCCGGACCTTCGATGAGCTTGTACAGCACTACAAGTCTGCTTGGGGAACCCAGGAGAGTCTGACGCTTCCACCCAAACTGAGCTTTGCATAGCTTTGCATATTTTTCCATTCCATTTGGCCGTGTGGGCACATACTTCGGGTGGAGGTGAATCAAATCGAAAGTCATGATTTTCTTCACCATGATAGAGTTCAGTGATTTAGGAAGGCTTGAAAGGAAGTGCCACGGGGATTGCAAAGTGAATCTTGTACTGACTGTACATTGTTCTTTTTCAGCTTAGGTCTATACCTTTCACGAGGCAGCGAGTGTTGCTTGAGCATTTGGTGTGGAACGCAGTCCAATATGCGTGTTTGATCGTGTTTGTCAGGTGCAGCAGTACTGGGACAACCGGTGTCGTCAAGTGCCCTGTCTTACCTGGTGCTTCTTTGTAAAGAAGCAAGTCCAGAGTCTAGAGCAAACATGATTCGCAGCCCGCCCACACACTGCAGTTCTGGCAAGCTGCCACAAAACGTCAGTGATGATACCAGCCGTTGGTACCAGCACCGAATAATTCGCACCATTTTCAAGATCCCAACATATCCCAACATCTATCTGTCCTGAGGATATACCAACAGACCCCTTCCTTACATCCCTACAACAGCCTGGGCTCCTTGGCAAGATCAGCGCCAAGTGCAGGCAAGTGTAGACAAGTAGTGGCTTTTGGATATTTTTGGATCATTTGGTTCGTTCGGATCTTTTGGATCTTTTGGATCTTTTGGATGCTCCTGATGCGTTCTTGTCTTGAAACTTTGATGAGGCCAGAATTCAAGCTGCGACCAGACCACGAGCCTCCGACGGAGCCAGCTTCACAGGCGTGGAGTCGTCAACCAGTGGACCATGTATCTTCTTCATGGGTTGATGTTCGTCCGTTCAGCAAAATGTGTCACTTTGATTCTTGCAGGTTAACCTTGGGCCAGTGAAGCTCTCTGAAGATCCATTTCTGGCTGCAAGCTTCACTCAGCAGGCAGAGTATCATGGCTCTGATATGCATTCCGTGCAAAGAGGTTTGTGCTGTTGTGACAAAGACGACAAATCGAAAGGCCAAACATCCACCTGCACTGCACCAAGTCAATCAACCAGAGGCGTGGAAGGGAAGGGACTTTTTTATAACATGTGTTATAGGAATTTAATGTGCAGAAAACAACTTTGGCTGACCTTCGCTCATCAAGAATCATCCTATTGACTTATTTGACTTGTCTCTATACCAATTTCATCCAATTTCCGTGGTATAGGTGGGCACGAAGGATTCTCAGCATTGGCTTGGGTCTCAACATTGAGATCCTGATTTGTTTGTGTTTGTGTTTGTTTGTGTCTGTATGTTTTGCATTTTCACAAAATTGCTCTTGCCTTCTTGGCTTTGGCATGTTCACCTTCATCACTCCGTTCAGCACTGCGAATTGAGGTCTGAGACAATTTCAACTTGCTTGGGGGCTGGAGATGTAAACAGACAGCCTCGAGCGTTCAGAGCTTGGGAGCTTTGTGTTCATCTCCCAACATCGTCAACATCGATGATCGATGTATCTTTGGTCTCAGGCGCACTACCTTGATCATGGTCCCAATTTTTCTCTTCATTTGGGAACCTTTGAAGCAAGTGTTGAGTGGGTTTGGAACATTTAGATACAGTTTGGCACCTCTCAGTGCCCTGTCCTTGGAGGGCTTTGGTTGCTCAGGAATTGCTGGTTTGGAGTCTGGTTTCCCATATTTCAAGAAATGGCTGCTGGCTGCCGGGCACTCAAACAACTGTGCGACGTCCTCCACTCCGTCGAACTCACCTGTTTTGACTCGGGATTGGAAGACTGGAAAGACATGGAAAGGCTAACTGCAGCACTCTGCAGCCTTTTCTGAGGATAACGATCACCCTTTTCATCGTCTCTGCGGCGGCCATTGGTATGTGGTTCCAAGGCATCCGCGATCGGCTCAGACATCTGGAGCTCCCTCGTCCTTTCATTTTGTTACCCAGCTGCTGGCTGGGGGTTCCATCACATCAAAAACATTCCGTTTCTGTGAAGACTAACTTAACACACCTGGTGACTTGTGCCCCAGTGTGGTCATGCATCATTGTCCTGAGGTTGGGGACCAGTGTCATTAGCGGCACTAGGTGTGTTGTGCATGCTTGCCATTGCTGGAGGAACTGCTCTCGGTCAACGAGGCAGGCAGCTGCGCACGTTACTGTAACCATCCTCAACCTGTTGCCATTTCATGCGAAACGGTGATGCATGCAAGCACTAATGCAAGCACTAGAGTCTCTAGAGAAGCCAAGACCGTCCGGTTGAAGGCTGGGACCAGTTGTGGAGACAATTCTTCTGGATGAATACAGGGTTTGCGCCTTAGGAGATTGGCTCATTCATATCACTTCGAGACGGTTTCGATAAGAATGTGTTAAACAAAACGTATTCCGCGTGTTGCATATTTGGTTGCACCATCTCCACATGGAACCAAAGCATGTTGAGTGCGTGCTCGGTCGGTCCGTCGAACCGAGGAACCAGCTTGTTCCGCCCAAGCCTCAGAGACATGAGCTCACATGTGTCGTAGGGGACCTTTGCTGTTGGCACTGGAGAGACAGGCGCCGCCGGTAAGCGTTGTTGCTGTAAGAAATGGTTAAGGACTTTCGCTGGTACTGCTGCCGCAGCTCGCTCTGCTCTTTGCTGAGATCGGCCAAGCATTGCAATTTCCAGAGTTGCCAAGCATTGTTTTTCTTGGCGCAGTTTCATCCGACAGAAGAAGCATGAGGAATCATTGCAAGCTGAGGATGCTGCAACGTTGACCTTCGGAAGTGTCTCTTGGAATGATTTGAGCCAGAGTCGCAACCGCAACCATCATCCAGCGCAAGAGTCGAGTTTGACATTTAAAATCATTTAATATCATTTTTATATATATGACATTATGTGACCATGTGCCAAAAATAGTTGACAGAAGTTTTGTACCGGTGGTTGATAATTAGTGTGGATCATATTATATATAATATAATATAATATAATATATATATATATATTATGTTATATATATTATATAATTATATATAATATATTATATGTATATATTATATAATATATATATAATATATAATATATATATAATATATATAATATATATAATATGTATAATATATATAATATATATAATATATATAATATATATAATATATATAATATATATAATATATTATATATATATTATGAAAGTATATGAGAGTATATGACATTACATTATTTTTAAATTATATATTATATATTACATATTACATATTATATATTATATAGTATATATTATATATTATATAGTATATAGTATATTATTTTATATTATATTATATATATATTATATTATATATATATTATATTATATATATATTATTTTATTTATTATTATATATATATTATATTATATATTATATTATGTTATATTATATTATATTATAGTATAGTATATTATAGTATAGTATAGTATAATAATAATAATATATATATATACACACATATGTATACATGCATTGAATTGATTGAACGGATTCCACGCAAGGCTGCAGGAAGTTTAGACCATTCATCCGTGGATGCGAGCCGTTCAGTTGGCTTCAAGGCCAGGCCAGCTGACACCCAGAACATCATAATCATAGATATCCATAGATCATCGGAGTCATCGCAGATTTGTTGTCAGTTCATTATCAGTTCATTCTTGTCATAATTGTCATTTGATGTTATTTCTTAATTATCATTATTGTCATAATTGTCATAATTATCATTCTTGTCATAATTATCAGTTAATTATCAGTCTGTTCCCTCCGCTTTGCCGCTTTCAGGACACGAACCTTTTCTGTGTTGCGCCCGTTCTGAGCTTCGGCCTCATTCTTTGACTCTCTCTCTTGGCCAATGGTTGTGGATAGATGGGATCTCTTGAATCTTATAGCCCGTTATACTGCAGATTATGAATATCATTGAAGTAATAAGCACTTGTTATGTTCTAAGTTGTTATATTGTGTATATGCATATTATATAATTGAATGTATAATTATGTATACCGTTTATAGACATATACATTGACAATATGTTGTTTGATGTCTCATTGGTATATAGGCTCGACTCATCTACCCTCATGTGTATTATATTTCAGGCCCTGATACAGCTGGAGCAGACTTCCCCAGAGTCAATTTCTGGGCAGTGCCTCGGCTGAGTTGTGGAGCCTTTGGATTTCTTGGATCTTTGCCAAAATTTGGCAACGTGGATGGCATGGGCTGGAAGCCTTGACGCCATATTATCATTGAAACACATAAGATTCTCAAGAAGATTCAACCCGTTTGATCCCGTTTGGATGTATTTCCTTCGAAGTCATTTGGTCCTCAGCCCTTGACTAGCCAAGCAAAAAAAAGACTATTGAAATTGAATGTCTTTTCATGTCGAGAGATCTATTTGTGGAGGTTGGAATGGACTGCTGTACAAAGCGGTGCTCTCAGTACTCAGGAGCACAGGTTTGATATGAGTTTGTGCAAAGATGCGCAATGAACTGCTTGCAGAGCCAGCTGCTGACACTGCTGGCCTAGGTCTGGAGTTTTCGATTGCGACGCAGCCTCGAACTCAAAGTGAGACTGGAAACGAACTGTCATACTGTAGTTGTGACAAGGTTGTAATACATACAGATATCATATAGATTAAGAAAGCAAAACGTCTTTTGTATTGAAATCTAATGAGCAATGTCTGCAATGCAGAAAAAGAATTCTTTTGTGGTACCATATGCGGTTCTCCAAAGAGCACTGCGACGTCTGCATTTCGAATGCCTTGCCAAGTCCAGAGACTATGATGCGATGCAAGCTGCTTGAAGCTCAAAGCATTTGCTTGTTCCCGACGATGAAAGTTTCTGAAACTGGCCTTCGAGGTAGTGCAGCTTGGAGGTGGCTATCCTTGTCCAAGCGGGGTTCTCAGGTGTTGTTTGGTGCTGTTTGTTCCACGTCAGTTTGCGAAGCAGTTGTCATCCAGGATGAAGCTGGTGAAACTATGTGCAATTGATGACGCTATTTGTATTTATCAGCAACTCACGTGAATTCTGAGGCTGTAACGTCGAGACATTCCAGAAGGCAATTGCAAAAGCTGAAGCGACTTATGGTTTGGTCTTCACCTCAGACATCTTCAGTGACTGCAGTGACTGCAGTGATATGTAGTGAGGTCAGTGCTCCTGATGCCCTTCTGATCAGATGGGTGACAAATACTAACAAAGTGAAGCCGCCGACCCAGTGGGACTCCGAAGTGAAGGTAAGGTTTATGCCTTCCACGCGTCACATATCGTGCAGCTGCGCAAGCATAGAAAATATACGTGCATAGTGTAGATAGTGTACATAGTGTATATACTGTATATGTATACATAATATCACATAATGCAAGGTGCCTTTGGATAAAGATCGGTCTTTTTCGGTCTTTTTCGTCGTGTTTTCCGTTAGTTCTTCTGAGTGGTTTTTGACATGTCAAGTTCAGGTTCCAAGCTGCTGGATGGGCAATAGGCTATTTGCTACTTTGCAGTCTTATGGGTGGCTCGGCCTTGAGAAGATATAGCCATATATATAGCCATATATATATAGCTGTATATAGCTGTCACCCGACCTTTCATGACCTGTCCATGTTTGAAACCTATCTTTGAGAGGTAGTGGCTTTCTCTTCATCCTGGGCTGGATGTCTTGGTGCCAGCCGTGGCAGAGTGGCAGTTTGAAAGTTGCTTCAACTTCAAGTCTTCTGGTCTCCCTTACACTTGCTGACGTCAGTCCACTCTCCGTCGTGTGTTGCCCATGGTTGCCATGGAGGTACTATGGACTCGGCAAGCGCGCACCTTCAGGGAATCCTGGCCCATCATACGGCACACAGGACAGCGCTGGGGCGATTCAGTATGATTCAGTCTACAGCTGGCGATGGCAGTACCAGTAGACCAGTAGAGACTGTTTGGTTTATTCTGTTCGATTTGTTCGGTTTATTTTGAGGATGGCAGCAGTATGATGCAGTATGTATGTCTGTGCAGGACCTGCAATCAGGGAAAGAGAAGCGGCAACAGTGAGACAATCTGGGTTGCATTCATTGATGAGAACTCAAGTGCTGAATTTGCAGACCCTTATGGGACATGCCTGCAAAGACTCGGACCTTTCAGAGGGGTTCAAATGAACGACGTAGCGCGAGGTGAAAATTGAGATGCAGCTGCTCAGCAAAAGCCGTTTTTTTTCCGAAACCGCCTCACAGCATTCGTTCTGGCCCTGCCACAGCTTGTCAGGCACCAGGATCGTGTGACCCAGAGAAAGGTTTGTGTTTGCCTTAGAGATTGAGAAGATTTGCAGGCATATGACAGCATACTGCCCGGATCTGCCCGGCATACTAGCTATCCTGCTTGTCCAGGTGTTTCTATCAGAACCGCGATGACGGCTATCCTTGCAACGATGATATCTTTTACACTCTCAACGATTCATGTCAAGACGGTGCCTGCGTTGGAATTCCAGACTATTGTTTGGGGTGCGCCCGCTTCCCACATTGTGCTGCATGACTGCATCCCATGATCCCACTGAATCTTTTGTGCCGTTGCAGGTACAATGTTTCATGCATCCCACTGAATCCATGCTTGGTGGATGGTGCGTGTTATAATCTTAGCGCTGCAAGAAACCCTTCCAAAACCCAGCAAGTCATGATTTGAAGCGAACGTTTTCAAAGGAACCATAGTGCAAAGCCTGATGCTAAGGCAACCCTTCAACAGGACGATGCACATATAGCCAGCTGCCAGATGAGACCCCGTGCAACTTGTTTTGCATTGATTTCTGTGATCATAAAAACCCGCGAAATACTCGGTCACAACACAAAACAAATCGAAACAACCAAGGTGATGATGGTAGAATGTACACAGTTCAGGACTCCACATCACTTTTGTATCAGGGTCTGCAACTGATACATACTGATACTGTGCTGCAAGGAATGCAAGGAATGCAAGACATTCTTGTTCTGGCTGGCAGGACATGTGCCAAAATGGACTTTGCGTAGGCAGGAAAATGGCAGGAAAATGCAAGAAGTCCTTAGTCCTTTTCCGTAGCACGGCACGCGCTTATCAGCATTGTCAGCAAGTTGAATTGCAGGTCGCCCACAGGATCTGTGCGAACAGTTTGGTGTCGTATGCGAGGCCTTGCTTTATTTTGGGTGTGTCGGACTGTGTCATGTCTAGATTCCTTTTGCGGTAAGAAAGGTCGGCTGAAAGTCCGTGTTGCTTTAGTTGATGTCAGCAGGCCCCAAACTGGTGCTATGATCCAGGCCTGACTTGACTGGTAGCAGAAGCGTGTTCGTCAGACTCAGTGTCTCCATATCACAGAAGTTGGTCCCTTTGCATCCTTTTGATTCCTTTTGCGCAGGAGTGTGTGATCCGAAGACTGGGACTTGCAGCGAAGCTGTGTGCCTGGCTTGCTTTGGCATTTTGTGTGGTCCAGCTGATTCCAGACAACAAGTCACATCGGTGACTGCGCTGCTTGGCAGACTCTGGCTCCTGGCTTCAGAACCTGCAACGATCAAGACCGGACCACATACAACGATACGTCGCCCAGTCACGTTTCCAACGGCACAACCGACATCGACCGACCCTTGTGTGGAAGTACAGTGAAGTTCAATGAAGTACATGTTTGATATTTTTGTTTCATGTTTCCCATTCTTTGAGACCCTAATGGCCCTAATCCAACTTACTTCAAACCTGCTGGCTTTGCAGGTGCATTGAAGGTGTTTGCATGGGCATCCTGGACACAGGCTACAAGTCAGCGACTTCGGAGAGCTATGGCAGCTATGATGTCGATTGATGTCGTCTTCTTTTCGAGACCTGCGTTTCCCACATTTCCTGAGGTATCAAACAATGGGGGCTGGGGAATGTACGGAACTCGGACATGGGCATTGTCCAGAGCAAGAAAGCCAACACTAAGTGTTCAAAGGTGTTGACCGTCAAGATCGGCGCATGGCTCGGTACACCGGAGATGTAAAGGCCCTTGGCTTTCCATGACTTTCCTATCCTTGCCTCCTTGCACTCATAATATCATTAATATCTCGGAATTACGCATGAAATGGTTTTGAAGATTTTTGAAGTCCACATCAAAGCGGCAACAGGAGCAGTCCGAGTGCGAGGCGATTTGCACAGGCTGGGCATGATGTGCTCCAGCCATCTCCAGCCCAAGATGTTGGGGCTGAGCTTCATGGTGCCCCCGTCCAAAGGCGGTCAAAGGTGTGAAAGACATGGAAAGACGTGGAATAAATAAATGTCAGAAAGAAACATCAGATAACAACTGTAAAGCTCCTTAAGTTCTCGTGAAGGTGATCCACAGTGCGCTGGTTATGCATACAACTACCCCTTGCTCAGATCTCAGTGTTCCGAAGGGGTTGCATTGACAGGAAGGCAAATAAAGGCAACCATTGCATGTGTGCTTTCATATCCTGCTGAAGGTGTAGTATCTACGGGACTGTGAGAACCAAGTTACCGCTCGAGCGACAAGCTTGGTCTTTTCAGGCATGGCTAGATGTTATGGCTACACATTTGAGTCTTTGATGGCCGCAATTAATTTTGCAGGCTGGCACTGATCCTGTGGCTGTCATCATTGAAAAGGCTCTCGTGCTCTCAAATGTGTATCTTGGCTGCATATGGCTGCATGATATCTGATATTTGTTCAAAGCAGGTGAAACGTGATGTTTACGAGTGCCAAGTGGCATTAAGTGGCATTACTTGCTATGAAGATGCATCAAGTGGCATCAAGTGGCCTTAGCAAAGGCAGCGGCGATCTATTTGCAGAAAGAAGGGTGTTGAGGGGGATACAATCGCATCGCCTTCAGACCTAGAGGCGCAGCATGGCGCTGCAGCCTTTGAATGGTCAATTTGCGCGGCTTTCCTTCCGTGTTGCTGCTATATGTTGCATTGCTAGCAGGTAAGTGCAGATGAGTTCTTCTCACCAGTCAGGCCAGATGCAGAAGTATTTTTCAATTTTGTTCACATACTACTATGATTTATTGCATTATTTGCGCGTGCTCTGAGTTGGTAAAGGATTGGAATCTTCTTCCTGCTTGTCCTCGCTTGCTTTTTTGCACTGTGCTGACCCCAGTTGCAATACGGCTGCCATTTGCCATTTGTATCAAGACTGGAGTCCTGACTCATTTGATGCACGCATATGCACGCTTCATCATGTTGCATTCAGTGTCACAATGATATAGGCAAGTTTCGAAACGTATACGTGCGTACTTTGCATTACTTGACATTTCATTGATTGTATGCACTTGATAGGCTTGTATGTTCGTTTACTGTGTGCATATCATATCATGGGTACATTGCCTGTGACAGATAGCACATTCATAGGAACATCGGAGCCACAAACTGAGAGGCATGCAAGCGTACAATGCACGCATCAAATATGTGAGACACAGACAGACAGATAGGCGGACCGACGGCGGACCGATAGACCAGCATGCAAGCATGAATCTGAATACTAGTAGAGTGGTACTCACACATCCAACAAAGACTCGACCTGACCAGATTAGGCCTCAACCATCCAGCCATGTTTGATCATGTTTGTATAATTTTGTATAGCCGTGCAAGCCATGCACATGGATGTTTGATAAATCGCAGAATGACACAAGCACAGATACAGGGAACTGCTAAAGTCGTCTCTTTTTATGTTGTTTTCAAGAAATCAGCTGCGGAACAGTGTCTTGCAGAAGTCGTCTCTTTTTGGCTTCCCGCAAGCTGAATGCAGGATTTGTGATGATGTTTTGTTTTTGACCCATTATTTTGCGAATGTTGCGTTTAGGTTGGTGTTTGCATGAAAACTCTCGGGGGTCTTGTTGCTTAAATGTTGCGTTGCCTGTATAAAAGATATATATGACATTATTATTCCATTGGATCATTGCTTATTGCAAGACCACAAAACACATAGGCACGCTGAATTTCACCAACATGAACCAACCATTTGCAGTCATAAACCTTCTTATTGTTTGTTTGTCCATTGCAGGGCACACAACGCAGGGGTACACTGGGTCAGGGTATTGGGTAAGAAAAAACGTCCGCCCAGTCCAGGAGATGTTTTCCCAGCGTTGCCATGCAGAGATGATTTTTCTACTATATCTTTTGGCATTCAAAAGAATAGCGGCCCACCAGCAGAATGCAATGATTTCTACAATTTCAAGATCGTAGGTGATAAAAAAACATTCAGTAAATCTAGCGTTCACATGGGGGAAACCATCAAAGGGATGACTTAGGGATGACTTCTTGGAAACAGCGTTGACAATGGAGAAAACCCAAAAGGGACAGTGAGGGATGACTTTCACTTCTACCTGTAGACGCAAGGCCTGCAAGTATTGAGTGTGTTGCTGCAAGTCTGGACCCTGGTTCCACTGCTAAGGCCGCTTACCGATTACATTTCGCGTTTGCTGAAATGCAGGCAAGTGAATGATTCCATGCAAGGAGTGCCCCAAAACCCCAATGATGGAGTGGTTGTTCAGTTGTTCAGGGTATTATGCCATTGTTTGCAGGATATGTATCACAAGGGAAGATTAAAACATATTGAAATATAATGAAATATATTGAAATAATAATGCACCGAGCACTAGCAGGATTTGTTGTTTTTTCCATGGCAGGAGGGTTCTTATATACCTCGTTCCAGATCATCCCATTCCTTTGGCATTGGAATTCAATGACCTGTGGCAACCTGTGCTTTCGGAAGATGCACTGTTTGATGCTACACTTCAGCCTAGCTAGGTAAGAAGCAAAATCTTGGATGCCTTGAAGCTGGCATCTAGGGTAGATGAGTGAGAAACGATGGGCAAAGGTAGTATTTCGACAGACAAGTAGATAATGTAACTTCGAGGACAATGAAGATAGTCATTGAGTCAGTGCAGCAAACCGGATTCACACGCTGAAACTGCTATCAGAACAGTTCGTGTTCACACGCCAAAAGTATCCAAAGGTCACAAAGAGGCACGATATCAGTGAACAGTCATGTCACGAGCCTTTCAAAAAAAAAAACGGTCCAAATTCATAGAGGGCACAGCGTGGATCCAAATCCAAACATTCGACCATATAACTCTGCCTGGCCTGGAGGAAAGACCCACTTGAAGACCTGGCTGGACAGGTGGCAAAAAGCATTGAGCGCTAGATGAGACTGCGATGATTATCACATCGCAATCTAAAGATATCTCTAAAGATATCTAAAGTGTGTTGTGAGTTGGCTGGAAATGGTTTTGCCTTGAGCACCTTGGATGTTTTGATCGATCTTGAACTGACTTTGGCAGGTCCAGCAAGATCCTGCTTACGTAGATGGGGCCGACGCGCAATGGCTCGGAACCTCAGTGCTTCTGTGTCGACTCGATCTGATCGCTTCTCCACCCGTGACCCGAAGCTCCAAAGCACGAGGAATGACTATGGAGACGACCAATTGGAGTTGAAGGACTTAGCACGTTTCCGTTTGTTTTTGTCTCTGACCTCCTAGCAGCTTAGCATCCTGTAAAAGAAGCCTGCTTTATCATATGAAGCATATGAAGCCAGCAAGGATGGTTTCCAAGATGATTTGCGACGAGCCGGTGGACAGAATCCTGATGAGGCAGGTCCCTCCAAGCCACATTAGAAACATAATGAAACATAATCATGCAAAACCTGTGTGATGAGATGCTATTGTCCTATTCTGTTAGAAGCAAATTTGCATCTGTGCTTGTTTGTGTGCTGCTTGTGTGTTTGTGTCTGTGTGCAAAAGGACGCACTTGCTTTCCCTCCAGATGAACATTTGCCTGTTCCGCCATGGCCTTACATTGTAGCATGTCGATTATGGCAGTAAGTGGAATAAATTGTACAGCCAGAAATGTACGAGTTCTTCAAAGAAGGAAACCTCTTTACAAATGCATGTTTTGCTTTGGAAGAAATGAAATGGATTGAAATGGTAGAAGCAACAAAGAAGCAAGGGTGGCAGGTGTCACGCAAAACTAGACAGAAATTCCCGGTGAGATTCCCAAACTTCACTTCAGCTTTTGATAGGCCTCCTGAGACACCACCAAATCCTCCAGGAGTGCTGTGTGGCTTTTTGTTCCCTTTTTTAGCTTTTTTTCCTGCCGCGTCACTCAAACCACACGGAAGATGATATTTGTGAAACTTGAGACAAGGACGAGTGGAAGGAGAGGGCTGAACAGCGGCTAGAAGCCTGTTCGACATGAGGGCAAGTGGGTTAAACATGTACAGTCCTGAAGTGGTGACACACAAGCTGCGGAAGCCACATTCTTGTCTTTATGTACACTGAGCAGGTCCTTTTTTTGGCCGGCAGGCTGTAAAGCAAGTGTCTTGAAAGTGCTCATGAAATTTAGAGAGAGATAGAGAGAGGCTCAGCAAATATAGATAATCTGGTCAGTTTGCCTTTGCCTTTCTGGTGATTCTGGCTGCTTGAACGAAGTGCAAGTTCAGCCAACTGTTCATAAACTACCGAGAATTTCCGCTTGGGTGGCTCCATCGAGAGGAGCAAGTGTGAAAATAGTCTGGGGTTGAGCTGCTTCACATTGTTTGTGGCAAGAGAACTGCAAGTTAGAAGAGCAACGTTTTTTTAGTCGGTGTGATGTATTCCAATTCGAAAGAAGTCTCCTTCGCCCTGGAACAGTCGTCTCCTCTTGTCCTGCCACAGCATTGGATTGGCGCAATAGCAAACATTTTGCATGTGAGCGGTCATGTAAAGCCAGGCATGTAGCTTTGCAATGTCACTTGATGTCACTTGTAACTTTGCAATGAAACTTTACAATGGCTTCCAGGCGCGGCCACAACTTTGTTCACCCGTTCAAGTCGCTTGCAGATTTGAAGAGGTATCTTCTCATGGCACGTCACTGGCAACCTCAACAGAACTGTAGCAAAGCCAATCATAGCTCAATCATGGATTGATCACACGCCAATGCCGGATCCGTTGACAGCAAGGAGGCAAGCGCAAGCAATCTCACCGAGTCTCACTATGCAAATGAGTCAAATCATTCGAACTGGCGCACAGGTGCGCTCATATTGCAGTAGTTGGCGCTGGTTGGTGGTCGCAAGGGTGGCATCTTCCACAGCTTAGCCGCAATTACCGTGCGACACACAGTTTTCAGCAGCTTTCCTGACATTTCCTGATTTCTGTCGTGCGAAGCCATAGACCGTCTATGACCTGTGTGATCCGCAATCCCCACAGCAATTCTGGGCATTCCAAGATTCTGAAATCACTGCGATTGTCGAGCCCTGCGAAGCTCCTCGCAGCTGCCTGTCTTGAAACAGGACGAATCTTTAAAGGGTCAGCCACGCTCTGCTGGAGACTAGGGATACTCAATTTACTCTCAAAGATGATTTAAGACTGAGGCACACTGAATCCGGATTTGAAGACCGTGGAGGAACTCAAAGAGCTTTATGGAGTGCCCATTTTCAAGACATTTGATGCTTGCTGATTTCGTCACGAACATTTGTGCGGAGTGGATTCCAGGTTTCCTCGTCACATGTGTTTGCATGTGTGGAAAGCTTGTTTTGCACCGTTTGGCCTATGCTAAGGATGACTTTCTTAAGTCGCCACAGGCAAAGTCCACTGATGGCGTCATTATAGCGACAAGTCATTCTTCACACTATGAGATTGGCATGAAGGCGATGGGCCACTTTCATATATTGATGGAGAAGCCCATGACCACAGATCTCACAGAGGCTGACGACCTTGCCAAGACTGCATTGAGATGTCACAAGATCTTCATGCTCAACAACACTGCCAATTTTAGACCATCTGCTGAGAAAGTACATGATATGGCTAAGAGTCGATGCCTTAAGATGCCTTGTGTCATAGAAAGGCTGTTATCCCAGGACTTCCCAAGTTACCCCAAAAATGCAAGCCGTTTGCCTTCTCCAAGGTGAGCTTGGGAAGATCCAAACAGTGAAGTGTCACCTGGCACAGCAACCAGTGCAGCATTTTCCTTCAAACGAAAGGACACTTAAAACTTAAAACATCTTAAAACCACATACGCATCAAAACCGACAAAACCTATTCATACAGAGCAGAGGAAGTTGCACCGAGGTTATATGGCAGCTGCTTTGCTTTGGCTCTTTGAAAATCCTGAGAATGAGGGTTGGATCAAGCCAACCGGTTCCATGCAAGGCACATCGCAGCACTTAAATTGCTGGATTGACTGACAGGCTCCTTGATTCCAGGAACATCCAGGAACGATGGTTTCGCTTGCTCTTGACATGATATGCCAATAGCTTGTTGGCAGGAAATGGCTTTGGATGGGGGCAAATGTCTCATGCGCTTGCTTGGTTATTTTTTGTGACAGAATTGGAACCGGAGATTCTCATCTTAACAAGTCGGTGCCGCTGACCACTGTCCAACACGGTGATTTTGTTCAGCCAGAATTACATTATACTGTACTAATTAGTAGTTATTATAAGATATTATCAGGTATGAAGGAGCTATTATATTGAGATACATCTATGCTATTACTACTCTGCTTTATAAATTTGCATTTGCATAGGCATGGCTGGCCTTCTGAGGAGTGTTTTTTGCAGCATGTCGTACTCCGAGAAAACGGGTGCTGACCTTTCTGACATGGCCATTATTCATTGTGCCGGTGGTGCATCCTGACTGCAATGGGACGCGCTGGGATCTTCTATGACAAATGACGGTCTCAGACTGGGCACTGTGCCTCTTTAGGCAATCATGAACATCCACGGCACCGCATCGCTGCCGTTTAAGCTTCTTGGTTTTGCTGCGCAATTTGGCATTTGGGAGCATGTTGAGGGGCGGTAGGCTCGCATATCCATGGCGTGGCTCCGAGGTCATATTTTGAGTCGACCAAACACATTGACATCAAAGTGTTTGGATCCAGTGGTGTTCTGTCATATGCCGGAGAGGACTTTGGAACAGCACTGCACAATTTTGGGGTACACAGAGCCACAGAGCCAGGGAAGGAAGAGCACCGCTGGTTGAAAGTTCCATTTCTCAAAGATGTTTGGGGCGGAGGACCAGCACCCTGAATCGGGTGAGTTGCGGCTTGAGCGATATGATGGAACAGAGGTGCACCTTCCAGGCCCAGCCGTCAGCGCGTTTGCATCATTCTGTGCTGAAACTTCTAGACCTTCTAGGCTTCTACTTTGAGAATTACCAAGCAGAGGGAGATGGGCCAGAATCTCTGCAAGCCTTTCTGAAAGGCTGTCCCTTGCCTTCTGATGTAGGGAACCGGATTCAGTCCAAACTCACGTTGAAGCAATGCATTTAATTTGCTACATCTACAATCGCAATTCTGCGCTTTGGACTGTCCTAGAGAGGAATGTTTGCTCTCAGGTTCGGGAGAGAAATTTCTGAATGCTGCAGATGCTTTGATTGGAAGAAAGGCGGGAAAAGGAAAATGGCTGGGACATGGGACACTGGAGTTGGAGTTGGCTACTCTCGCATCAAGCGTGGATTGAGTGGTTTTTGATGGTTTTTGCATGTATTTTTTGCCACTTTGGAAAGACTGAAGTCATTTCAAGGTCGTTTCCCGCCAAGTAGGGTTGTTGCTGAATCATCTTTGGATCCAAGCCGGATGCAGGTAGTGGCTACAATTGACGCTATGTACAGAAGCGCAAAATCTGGACAAAACGAGACCATCAGAAGTCTGAAATAGAAGCGAATGGTCAAAATGAAAGACAAAGCTAAGATGCACCCACACCACCGTCAGCTTGTGAGTGAAATGTTCGATGACGATGAATCAAATCTATTTAAATCATTTTAAATCTATATTTTGTCTATTGTCATAAAATTAACGACTTTGCAGTGTAATGTACTAATGGACCAGTCAAATATTTATTGTCATACATCGTCGTACACAATGTCAGGAAAGGTATGAGGGTACCATGTCTTGACCATGTATTCCACACTAAGTTCAACAAGGAGCCCTGAAAGTCAACGTCACCAAAGTGATGTACCCAATGCCAGTGGCCATTGACAATTGCACAAAAACGAATTGAGAAAAATGAGAAAAAAAACATAAGGTCCAGGACATATTCGGTCCAGATTCGGTAAATTCCATGAAATGTTGCTGTGTTTGCCGCTTCTGATTCTCTACAACTTCTCTTTGAGATCACCTTTCATCTGCTGATAGGGATATGCACAGGAAGCCCAAAATGCAAGTAATATGATATGACGAGACGCCAGTGATGGTGCTGGATAGGGATGGTGATAATCTTGGTGATGGTGATGATGATGATGATGATGATGACGATGATGACCTGCGATGGCAAAAAGGATGATGATGAGGATAAGGATGACGACGATGATGACGTTGATGATGACAATGAAGATAGCGTTGACAATGACAATGAAGATGATGATGACCATGACCATGACCATGAAAACGACGATGGGGGCGGGGGTGGGGATGGAGGTCGGGGTGGAAATGATTTTGGTCTTGGTTATGGATGAGGAGGAGGAGGATGGTGATGTTGCTGGCGATGGTGATAAAATACGATAAATACTGTATAAGGATATAAGGATAATAATAATGATGATTATATATGAGGAAAATAATCATAACGAAGATCATGAGCATGAAAACGACGAGAATAATTACGAAGAATATATTATTATTACCACTGATATTGCCATCTGGCTGTACACAGAGAGCGCGCGCGCAGTTTCGCGAGCCCAAATTTCCCCAAAATCTGCCACAATTTTGGGACTTTCACGAAGACATCTTCAGTCTGTGCGAATACAAATTGAGTCTGTATTTCCTGAGCCCCCTGCGGCCCTGCGCGGAGGTCGAAAATTCATTGCTTTTTTGGGAACTTTCGTTTTGCGTTTCCCAAAAAATTCCTTCTCCCCAGTCAGCGTACCACTGGGCAAATGCAGCACGGTCGATCACGGACGGTCAGGGGCTCGATTCCCCTTAAGTCCGTCCCGAC